TGGGGCGCGTAGTGATGGGAAGAAGCTAAAGAAGCGGGTGCGCGCTGAAGGGGGTGAACCATCTCAACAACGCTGTGGACGGTGCAACCAGACAGGACATAACGCGCGAACGTGCAAAAATGAGGTAGAAGAGGTACCTAAGTAATATTACAGCTTGTTTTGCCTTATGCAGCGCCAATTTGTGGTGTTTCGGGCCATAATGGGGGGGAGTTTGGTGGGGGCTTGGCAAAAGTGATCAGCTCGCCCGTTGATCAGCTCGCCCGTGGGGTACGTTATATTGTATAGATAACGTAGATTATCACCGAGCCGGCCATATCACCGAACCGGCCACTTTCTCTTAGCACAACCACATTTTACCCTAACACAACATGCCTCAACAACAACAACTTCAGAAAACTACTAGAGAAGGCAGAGTTATCCTTGCTATCCAGGCCTTCTATGCTGGCCAATTTCGCAGTATCCACAGCGCTGCTAGAGCGTTGAACGTACCTCATCAGCAGGTCTCTAATTGCCTTTGCAATATCACGTTTTAACTGTTTGGGCTTGAGATCTATGCGCCTTTGCTATGCCCTTCTCGCGACCTCCATGACGTCCCCCTCAAGATGCAAGCCTGTGAATTCGGTTAACACCTCCGGCAGTACCGCATCTCCACTCTCCCATTTCCTCTCCTTTGCTGCAACGGCAATCATAAAGTTCTCTTCGAACGCATGTATCTCTAATCGGCATTCTCTCATGTGTGTGTGCTTGAACCACACTTCGGCATCATCGATGCGCTCACCCCATACTCCATGCGTGCTGCATCGCGGCGGTGTGCCCGCTCTGGGAGCACGGACATGCTTGAATTCCAATTCCGGGATCCACGTAGCTAATAGCGCTTCGCCATCGAGCTTGATGTACGCTTCCTTGTAGCACCAGAATGTGTAGAACCGTCTCAGCTTCGCATCTAGCAGCAGAGCACTGCTGAACGTCCTCTCCGATCCGTCGGCCAAGGTAATAGAAAGCTCTTTCCCTTTCGAGCAGCACCGATCGTGCCTTCCCAGCATCTTAGGCGTGACTATGGTTCCATCCAGCAACGGAAATGCAGAGACACTGTACTTAATATCGAACGTCTCTTCGTGGCTAAAGATGCCGGCATACATGTCGACCCACGCCTCGAAGCCTTCTTCGTCGATCATCTTCCCTTCGTTGCGCTCATTGACACACACAACGTCAACGCCTAGTTCGGCATCGATGTCTTCGATCTTACATCCTACGAGTACGACAATGCCGGCTTGGTGGGAGATGTTGAATTCGCAAGGTGCAGGGCCATGGAGTGGTGGAGGGAGTAGGGCGCAAGGTTTGCCGTGCTTGGGATTGCGTTTGCGGCCGAATGTGATATCTTTCCAGGGGGTGCCTAGGGTCTTGTGGACGAAGAGCCTCTTCAGCAGGGCTGAGGCTAAGCTCATCTTTGCGTCGGCTACATGGTATTTTCGTAGTATGGTTTCTCTTTCTTCTTGAGAGATCAGTGAGAGAGCCTCCTTGGCCTAGTCCAAGAGTCAGTCTGGTGGTTCATCATGGGATTCGATTCCACGCCTGATCTAGGTCTTCTCTTAGCACATGATGCCAGGTGCATGCATACCGATTCCGCAATCCTCTCCCCGGGCCACAACGCCCTCGTGTCCAGCAGCCAGCACGTGAGACCGCGCCGCTCTCCCGCCTCTGGGCCTGTATGTGTCATGTCGAATCAACGCGGCGGACCCTGACCCAAGTTCTGCGCTCACTTCCTTAGGGCGCCGCCTCGGTGTAGTTATAAGGCTGCTCGGGGGTGTGGTGGGGCCGGTTCCGATGTTCCGGCGAAGCGCTTCGGTACCGTAATCGATAAGCTTTGATGCGGGATGACTCGGGAGGTCCCTCGACGCTGTCACCCGGCTCTGTTGCTCTCTAAACGCATTTGATCATGGCGGTCACGGTTCCAGATATCACAGTGGGCGTCCTTGCGCTGCAGGGGGCCTTTAGCGAGCATGTGCAGCTTTTGCGACAAGCTGCGGCGGCTTTGCGGCAAAAGAAAGGCGTGGATCTGAAGTGGGGGTTCATTGAAGTACGCACGCCACAGGAGCTGGCACGATGTGAAGGCTTGATTATTCCTGGTGGCGAGAGCACGACTATGAGCCTCGTGGCCGCGAGGAGCGGCATACTGGAGCCGCTGCGGGACTTTGTCAAGTACGTCTGTCGCAGGTGGTGTCGTGCGGGCTCGCTGACCGGTCGACAGAGTGCAGCGAAAGCCAACCTGGGGCACATGCGCCGGCCTCATCCTCCTTGCCGAGAGCGCGAACCGAACGAAGAAGGGTGGGCAGGAACTCATCGGCGGTCTCGACGTACGAGTCAACAGGAATCACTTCGGCCGCCAGCAGGAGAGCTTCCAGGCTAGCCTCAGCCTGCCCTTCCTCGGCGCGACCGCAGACAAGAGCGCCGACCAGCCATACAGATGCGTCTTCATCCGCGCGCCAGTCGTGGAGAAGATACTGCCGCATGCACAGGGTGTACAGACGGAGGAGCAGGAGAAGGATGAGACGGTCGTTGCGCCCAGCAAGACGCCTGGCGACGCGCTGGCCAAGGAGGAGGTAAGCAAAGACGTCGAAGTCATGGCGACGCTGTCGTTCAAGACACCGGCGCTGCAGAAGGACCATGAGCATGAGCATCCTGGAAAGGAAGACATCATTGCGGTACGGCAGGGCAATGTCTTTGGCTGTAGCTTCCACCCTGAGCTGACCGAAGACGCGAGAATACATGTGTGGTGGCTGGAGGGGGTCCTCAAGGCGGCAGAGAGGAGGCAGGCGTTTGAGCTTGCGGACCGCACCAAGTAAGAGGCGCAATGTCCTCGCAGCGCACAGCATGAGCGAAGGCGTTTGGAAGACGGGCACTTTTCTTGTTAGATGTAATGTACCTAGACTGGGCTTATGCTGTGCTCTTGCACGAAGCTCTCGTAGATGTCACGATAAACCGGACGACGCCAGACTCCTTTGAATGCAGTGGGAATCCTCCTCCTCTCCTTCTTCTTCTTCTTCTTCTTCTTCTTCTTCCTCTTCTTCTTCTTCCTCTTCTTCTTCTTCCTCTTCTTCTTCTTCCTCTTCTTCATCCATTTCTTCTTCTTATTCATCCCCTCTTCTTCTTCTTCTTCTTCTTCTTCTTCTTCTTCTTCTTCTTCTCCTCCTCCTCAACGTCGCTCGTCGCTCATCGCTCATCGTACTCGTCGGCGTAGACCCTGCCGTAGCCACCTCGTCCAGGATCGTACTCGTTGCGGTATTCGTCGCGCACCTGGCCGCCAGACTTTCCTCGGCCATACTGCCTGCCCTCGGCGAAGCCCTCGTCCAGATCGGTACGGATGACGCGCTCATCAAGCTTTGTGCCGCCAATGTACTTCATGCAGTCTAGCGCGTCCTGTTGTGTGTAGTATTCGACGAAGCAGAAGCCGCAGGGCGTCTTCTGGAAGCGGTCAAGGCCCATGACAAGGCGCTTGATCTCGCCGCACCTTGGTGGTAGTCAGTATGGGATGCAAGCGGGACTCGTCAAAGTGTGCATGAGGAACAAGAAGCTCAGACGTGATTTCGCTTTCACCTCAAGTGCAGAGTGTGCATCGGAGTGAGCTGGGATTAACGAAGATTGTGTCATCTTTGCAGAGGCGGGCATGGAGACGGAGAATGAAGTCGCGGCAACGTACTTGGAGAACAGCTCATGGATCTGCTCCTCGGTGGTGTAGAACGAGAGGTTGCCGACGTAGAGGGTAGTCGCGTCCTTGAGCTTGTCCTCGGGCTCAGGGCTAGGGCCTCTCTCATCGTCGTCGCGGTTTCTTCTGCGCTTCTGTGCGTTGTCAGCATTGCGTGCGGCATGCCGGTGAGTGGGCTCGCGCAGGCGCACCTTTGCGGTGGCATACGAGCTTGGCCTGTCCAGGCGCTCGATGGTGCTCCGGTGTGCGGGCATTGTGGCCAGAATTGCTCGAAGATGCACAGGTGGTCTATGCGACCCGATCGAGTGGAGCGTCGGGGTATCTGCGTGTGGTGGCGGTGTAGTGGAAGTGCAGTGAAGGCGTCGCGGTGGTGCGGACGTGGAGAGCTTCGAGCTTCTAGCTTCGCGCGCCAAGAGGTTCAACCAACGCGTCGACCCTCCTTCACGGCTGCCCTCACTTTTGTCGCCCACCCCACCCGCCACTCTCACCGCGACCCGCGAACAGCCGCGGGCCACGGAAGCCGGTCGCCATGCCAAAGGTCCTCAGCTACACGCCAGAGTGGCTTTCGCGCCCCAGCCCCGGCTACCATCTGTTTGCGCGCAAGCAGTCCAACGGGAACGGCGCCGAAGCAAAGCGCAATGACGTTGGCCGGCGCACGACGATTGCTGCGAGGGGCTCGGAGATCTTTGTGGCCGTCGGACACGAGATCAGATGGGCCGACCTGGTCAACTTGAAGGAAGGCATCTCGCCCGCATACCGCACACTCCGCGTCTCGATCCCACTGCCCATCACGCGACTCTCCATTTCCCCCGCCGGCGACTACCTCGCGGTCTCGACTTCGCACACCGTCCACGTCGTGACCCTCCCCGACTCCTCGCTCCTGGAATCTGGCAATGACGACAGTCCCATCAGACCGAAGACGTTCCAAGTCGGTCCCACCGCACACGTCCTCGAAGAGCCGCCAGTCGCGACAACACTATGGCACCCTCTGGGCTACCGCGGCCGATGCTTGGTAACCATCACAAAGGCAGGCGTGGTTCGATTGTGGGAAATCAATCGTGCGGACAGGTCGACGTTCAGCGAGCCCGCTCTCTCCATCGATCTGGTCAAGCTGATCAACGCGCAAAAGGACCAGGACGACCTTGGCGCCTCGACATACGGAGCATCCAAGGGTTTTTCCCCAGACTCAGTTGAGCTCGAGGTCGCATCTGCTTGCTTTGGAGACTTCCCCGAGCAAGAAGGTGTACACGGTTGGGCCCCCATGACTTTGTGGATCGCCACTGTCATTGGAAACGTATACGCCCTGTGTCCCATACTTCCCAGCCGGTGGCAACTGGTCGAGACTCCTGGTGCCTTTACTTTTCTCCAGACACTAGCTTCGTCCATCAACATCAATTATACGGAGCTATCCGAGAATGACTCTGCGCCGATCGAGGACGTGAAGACCTCTGAGAAGCAAATCTCGTGGCTGTCTGACATTTTGTACGAAGAGCCCTTCCTCGAGAACTTGTCCAACGGCGACTCGGTCAAGGTCTTCAATCGCCCGTCTAGCACGCCTGCAGTACCGCTTCTGCAGGGCCCATTTGCAATGACGCCCCAGGGAGAGGATTTCGAACTGAGCGACATGATTGTCTACTCCTTGAAGACGTTTTCAGATGGATCAGACGAGGAAGCAGCGGAGGGTCTACCAGCAGCCGTCGTCTGCTTGCTGACTGATACATGCAAAGTCCATGTTTGCATCGATCTGGAAGGGATAGTCGGGCGATGGCTCCCATCCGCAGAGGTAAGTCATGCAATACGCATGCAATAGCTTTTACTGACTCTTCTCAGGATGATTACGAGACGACGCAGACAGAGCATGATCTGATCATCGCTGAGACAATCACTCTGAAGGGCAACGGCGAATCGACGTACAACCAAACGATCACGCAAGATGTGCACACCGACTTTTCCTTCTTTGTTTCGACCGCCAGTGGAGTCACGTACATCTCCATGGAGCCTTGGATACGCAAGTTAGAAAACGAGCTTTCCGAGCCACACGCAGAAGGTGCTGAGTTTCGTCTACAGCGCCTCCTGGGCGCAGCTAGCAGCCAAGTCACTCAATATCTGGAGCGCCGATCGACGAACAGCACATTTGAGCAAGAAGTCACATCAGCCGTCATCGTCGAGGATGGTAATGTTGGATATATCCTCTTGACTACAGTGAATGATGAGCCTCATGCCGCACTGCTCGATGCTCCTGAGGATGGTATACCCACAGAAGAAGAGCTTGCCGAGTACATCGAAGCAAACGTGCCACGGAAAGAAGTGCGCGAAGCATGGGCGCCCCCAAAAGAGCTCTACGACCCTTTCAACTTGCTCAATTCGATCAATATCCCTGCCCGACACAAGGCATCGCTTAAAGATGAAGTGAGGCTATCACCGGCTAACCTCGAGTTGCTGATGGACGTACACCGAGTACTATCAACACAGACTGAGAAGCTTCAGAAGGCTGTCGCCGATCTCTTCAACCGCGCCACACGTCTGCAAGACGAGTTTCGAGACCAAGTGTATAGGACCGCTGAGGTCGTGCCAAAGATCGATGCTGTCATTGGCAACGATGAGGAGCCCTCCGACAGCGGGTCCTTGTATGGAACCGCCCAGATCGATGACCGCTTGGAGCAAGTCAGGAAGAGACAGGACGCAATCAACGCACGCTACGAGAGCTTGCGTCGCAAGATGAACAGCATAGGCTCGAACGAGCTGAGCGAGAAGGAGGCCAGCTATGTCGAAGAGCTACAGACAATGGATAGGTCAGTCGACAAGTCGAATAGGACTCTCACCGACGATGTCGATGGGAGCGAGGTATCGGCATGGCAGCGCTTGAACAAACTCAAGGAGCTTCGCAAGACACTCGAGAAACAGGTGGAAAACACACAGAAGGAGGAACAGGCGCAGGCTGCAAGCGTCAAGGTGCCATCTTACTCTCGCAGACAGGAGAACGAGTATATCCAGGAGTTGCTGCAGCGAAATACTGCGCTTGTGGATGCGGCAACTGATCGTCTGCGGAGCCTTGGCATTTCCATTCCTGTCGACAGCGGAAATTGAATATCGAGTACCAGTGATCAGTTTGCATATGACATTATCAGTCACACTGCAGCTATTTTGGGATGTACGTGCAACAGGTGCGCCACCAAGCCATGTTGTGATAGTGAGTAGTTGGGGGCTTGCAGAGCGGAGACCTTTACCATTGTAAGATATACAAGATAAGCCCATAGTAGACCGCCAGGCTACTGTTCCCCTTGATGCATCACTCCTCTCGCATAGTAAGGCCATTCGCATGTTACCGACTACGATGCTCCTTGCCGGATAGTTGCTCGCGGTCAGCACTGCAACGTCTCGCAGCGCGCCGACAGTTTGGGGGCCCCCCGCTCCTTTTGTTGTGCCATGGTCTGGGATATTGTATGTCCAATCGAATCACCTTACGAACCGTTCCTTCTGACGTACTTTCTTAGTGAAGAGGTGGATGACCACTGGGCATCCTTCTATTTCAACATCCATTCCGATATCGAGGGGCAGAACGGACTAGATTTCCGGGTATTTCCAGGGCTTTCTCTACCACTCATGCTTGCACCCGCAGAAGGAGAATACTGCAACAATGCCCATGCAAAGGACACAGCTTGCGCGCACCGAGACATGTTCCAGCCTAGTGCAGTTATCTGATCGAAGTCTGATTCTATGCATCGAGTCCGTTAACCCCTACTTATGGCTCCCCCTGTCAGCCTCCAAGACCTTTGGGAAAGCTTTCGACTTAGAGTGGAACGAGGACGCACAAATGTATCTGGCGAATTCGTCTGCATGAGACCAGCTTCTGCGGAACCCAAGAAACGTCACTCTATCTCTAGCTGCCTCAAGTTCTGGAAGCGGCATCCAAAAAAATTACTTTGACTTTAACAGCTTTCGATCTCCCTGCGACTTGGCCCGTTGTTGAGAACGACGCCTATCATTTCCTCTGAGGCGCACGTCAGGGACATACATGCTTGGTCGCGCCTTCCTGCAAGGAAATCACATCAGCGTGGATTACGAACGCGGCTACTTCAATCTATCACAGACTCTCCTCTTAGCTGAAGAGAAGGAGGATCTCACAAGCGTTCACAACACCACTTACGGTCTTGCTCCGGAGGGCTCTCAGTCCAGCAGATACCGAGTAGCTGCCGGTGCCAATCTTTCGGTCGGTTCAATCGCTGGGATTGCTGTCGGCGCAAGTCTTGCCATTGTTGCTGCGACGCTGACATTAGTCTGAAGGGAAAAATGGTGTCCGTTCTCCCTGCGACAGAGGTAACCAATTGGGACTGCTCGTCACAAATTTGACCAATCAGAGCTCCATGGAACCATCGTGCCATAGGCAGCAGCTATGGGGGAAGAAATAAATGAGCTTCAGGCGAAATAATAAAGACACGAAGTAGCTGGAACTGGCCACATACATGCACGGAGAGCTTCCCGGCTCAAACACAATTTATAAACTAGATGCAAGTGGTTTGAGTAGACAAATGGAGGAGTCAGTGAGGGATAATTGTTGCAGCACATATCATGCCTATTTACCAGCCAATTCAGGGGTGCAAATGTATGTACATTTTGCCTCTATTTTGGCTGCAACAATAATCAACTCCCACCATCACGGAGTCAGTGAAATGAGTCAGTGAAATGCTGATGTAAGGGAGACATGGGCTCCAGGATAGCAGAGGGGGTCAGCTGCAGGCCTTGGGCATTCAAGCATATAGAATGTAGTCAGTGTACGTTCAAGACTTCTTTGCAACTCGATAGAACTTCTGAGGGTGATAGAGTCTTCAATTTCGTTTGCTACTGGAGAAATGGGAGACTGGAATGTACATTACTTCCACAGAAGCTGTCGGGACCGGTGGATGATATCTCACCCCATCCACAGCTGCCCTATCTCACATCACCCGGAGCTTAAAGTGGAGTGTGCCTACGATCCCTGTCACCAACATGCAAAAGCACTCGATTCCTCTTACCACGCGTAGAGGAAGGGCCCGCAGCAACGGGTTCGCTTGCGCTGGCGGCGAGGAGTCTTCCCGATCAGGCGGCACCGACCAATACTGCATACCAATGTCCTCCTCCTTGTAGTCGCAACTGATACCTCGTCTATCACTCAACCCATTTGTTGGTCGCATAAGACGTCAACCTTGTCAGCATGCGCTCATGCTTATTGAGAACTTGTGCTGCGCAATCAGCAATGATCGTCAGACCCACGGTGTCTGTTTGAAAATCCCCATCTGAGCGAATTTCACATCAGGGAGGCGCGAGCACAAAAAGAGTCACGCTTCGATCACACTATCACGTACTGAGTCGCGCGCGATGAGATTCCGCATCTCAGAAAGATCAACGATCAAGTGGAGTCGGGCCAACATGGGCGCTTCGCACAGACCAACAGACCGGCTGCCGAATGGCCTGCAGATGCCGCAAGCCCGTCACACAGCCTCGGCGAATCAGATCGCACGCCTCCATTTCTCTCGGCGTGCGCTATATGGCACGGCCGTCTTTAGGGCGGGAGCGCGAAGTGCATCCCGCCGCTCGTTGGTCGAGTCCCCCTGTTAAGCCAATATGCTACCTTAAAGCCTATTCGCGCAAGTCTGCTCACGATGGCCGACACAGTGGATGACATGCAATGCCTGGCCAGCCAGCGGACGCAGAAGGCGGGCCCTTGGCAGAGTTCCATTCGCGTGAGGCGTTCGCATTCTCAAATCGGGCGTGGTCGCACAAGGCGTGGCCATGAGGTCCCATAAGTGCTGATGCTCCCCGCCACAGTGCACTGCTTGCTTGCGTCGTGGCTTTCAACATCTGCACCATCCATCGGATACAAAAGAGAGGGGACCTACGTCGAACCGATACTTCGTCTCCTAGCATCGCCGATATGATCCGCTTCACCAAACTCGTCTACCTCGTTGCCTGCTGGTCGTCCCTTGCTGCTGCGCACACCGTCATCGTATACCCCGGCTGGAGAGGAAACAACATCCACACAAACGGAACCGCGTCACCAACAGACCCAAGTATCGTTCCCGGATCACTAGGAATCAACTATGACAATGGCACTTACGGCTTCCCATACGGAATGCAGTGGATGTACCCATGTATGCACTCTTGTCTCAGCATCTTGTATCTCGAGCATCTACTGACATGTCGCAGGTGGAGGCATGCCAACATCGCAGAACCGAACAAAATGGCCATTGAAGGGTGGTGCCCTCTCAATCCAACCAGGATGGTTCCCCGGTCACGCCAGCGCACAGTTCTACATTAACATGGGCTTCGGTAATGAACCACTCAACTACTCGCACACCATGCTTCCCCTCTTCCAAATCACCGGCCCTACAAACGTACAATACAATGGAACGTTCTGCCTTCCGCAAGTCCCGCTGCCGTCAAATTACACAGCCAAGGTCGGCGACAATGCGACGATCCAGGTCATTGAGACCGCTCAACACGGCGCTGCTCTTTACAACGTGAGTTTGACAGAAGAGCAAGAAAATCCCAAGTCGTATCGCTAACATGTACCAGTGTGCAGACATTACATTCGCTGAACCCGAAGACGTTCCCGAAGTCAACTCAACAAACTGTTTCAACAGCACACAGGCCGACGAAGAGATTGGGTTCCAGATCGTATACGCGACAACGAGCTCGCTGGCACCCCGCAACATGGTCGCAAACGGCTACGCATCAATCGCAGTACCGCTGATGCTGGCTGCGGCATCCTACGTTACGTGGTTCTAAGCACCCCATTTGTTCCGGTCTGACTTTGGCAAGGCGTTGGGCGCATTAGATATCCAGTCATTTCCCACTTAGTTCGAGAGCTCCGAGGGCGCGACCTATTCTGTAATTTGTCAGCATGCTCTCTCAGGCGTGCGGCCGCAGGTGTACGTAGAGCGCTTGCGTGTGTGTACGCGTACTACGAATCAAGTTCATACTGCTTGATTTGTCGAACTGTGTATAGACGTCATCTGATGGACGCTCACAGTCAGTCAGCATCAGCAAGTGCGTCAGTGTAAGCTGCCCAGAGCGATGATCGCGCGTGAAGTCAGGTTTCTTGTGTGACCTTGGGTTCGACCTTCGATGATTGTTGAATGCTTAGATTCATATTCGCAAAGTTTCCGCGGATCCCAGTCAATAACAGAAAGTGATCATCTACCTTTGTAAGAGCGGCAGAGCGGAGGAAGACTAGATACAAAGGAATGTGATGCTCGATGTCTGGGTATCCTTCCAAAACGCCTATTATGCTCAAGGACCTATGCTCCACCATCTATCACTCCATTGCCACCTGTGCAGTCTGCGCATCCGCACCACTCCCAATCGTATTCTGCGTTCTTAGGTCTTGTCTTGCCTGTGGCGCCCTTTTCTCCCCAAAGTTGTGCAGCCTTTCACCAATGAGATACACCTCGTCCCTCACAACCAACCTCCATCGAGTGACGATCCTAGCAATCACCTTGGTCGCAAACATGACCGCAACGCTAAGCCCGACAACTGGAAAGCTGTATCGCCAAACTTGGTTCGTCGTGGCCTCGCCGGCGCCGCGATAGAGCGTGAGACTTGTACCCCAAGCCAGGGAAGCAGGAGCCCCAACAGCGATGGCGAAAAGCGCGAGAGCGGGAAGTACGAAGCAACGTGTGGCGATCTTGGCGTCAGGATAAAGGTAGCCTCCCTGAACGACCTGAGTGAACGCTTGTGCTGGCCGGGTGTTGCGATTTGCGAAGAGAAGACGTGCAGCAAGTCGGGAGTAGAGGAAGCCGAGCGTCCAGTCCTGGATTAGGTGGACAACGTGAGGCTCACTGGCCCCAATCCACGCATGCAACGGCATAAGAAAGTAGAGTTCGATGAGCACGGCGCAGAGAAGGGGTATGGCGAAGATGAGTGATGCCCATACGTAGCTGAAACGGAGGACTGTCAGGCCGACTCGGCTTGCTGTAGCTGCAACAGAGCGCAGCTGGGCCAAGGGCGACACATTTGGTCGGTTCAGAGAAGCGGCAAACTTGTATAGCTGGAAGCCGCTGTATGCCACAGTGCCTAGCGTGTATACGCCGAGTGAAAATGCGTGGATGTCGTTCATCTCGACCGTAGATGGCAGGAAGAGGGAGAAGAGATGGCGCCCGAAAATGAGCGGAACGATGGTGACGCTGACTCCGCTCACACCCATAAAGATCCAGATGGTGACGACGAAGCACGCAATGCGCAGGCGAAACCAGGGCGGGATGTATACCATTTGCACCAAGCCCGAGTTGTGCACTCCGGCTTCAGTGTTGCCATCCTTTCGCACATTGTCCTTGTCCACGTCTACGAACACGGCCTGCCCCTTGGGCACTCTGCACTGGTCTGAAGCAGGTGCTCGGACGTATCGACCGTCGGGAACAAAGTACGCATCCACGGCACCGGTTCCTTCCATTTTTCTGTCTTCGTTCTCGGCTTGTGTTGTGTTGACATCACCCATGCGGCCCACAAACCAGCCAAACCAGGTGGCATTGATGTGCCGACCTTCCTCATCCTCGTTCCGCTCGTTGAACAGGAAGTGCGACAGGCGAAGAGCGCCTGCACACTTCTTGAACCACCACGTGCACACTGTGTGCAATCCTTCTCCTGGCTTGTAAGCTTTGATGATGACTGGGGTAAGGAAGTTGTAGAAAAGTAGGTCGAGCGGGAACTCCAGGGACGGCGCCTCGGTGGTCCAGTGAATCGGCAACACACCGTATGTGATGCGGCTTAGTGTCCATACAACACCACCAAGGCACACAATGACCAATGCACCGTAAACAAGAGCACTGAACGCAATCTTGCGGAGTTGAGTGGTCACACTTCGCTCGAGAACATCTCGTACTGGATGGAAGGTGGGGTCATCCGGGTCGCGAATGAAATATAGCACCCCCTTCCGCATGATCTTGCGGCACATGGACACAAAGAGAGCGAAATGGAACATGTAGCAAGTGCCAATGAACCAGTGTACGAAGCCGGCTGTCCACGGGCTTCCGCAAGCAAATTGCCAACGTGAGTACAGTGTGGCATTCTTGAAGAGTGGCAGCATAGCGAGGTCGAGCAGCAAACCACAGTACAAAGGGAATGCCAGCATTTCGATGCTGATGATCAGAATGACCTTCAGGACACCCCCGGCTTGCTGCAAAATCTCGGAGATGATACGTTCGATCTTCTGGCCCTGTTCAGATGAGCTTAGCGGCGTCCCACGTCTGAGGTAGACAGCTCCGGTGAGGGCGAAGAAAGCGTAGCCCGCGACAACAGCAATAAGCCGATCGTTTGCGGTCCAGTGCTCCAACGCAGATGTGAAATGTTCGGTAGTGCTGAGGTCCATGTCTAGAGTGATTTTGTAAGGCTTTGATGTCCACATCCACATGAGAAGGGAACTGGCTTGGTGGACAAGATTTCCAACCGCGGTCCCTACGCAACGAAACCCTTTCCAAAGCAACCCAAAGGTTGATTCAGATTGTGCTTCTTCCAACACAGTGCCGAAAGCATGGCTCGTTTGGCTTAGAGCCAGTGACGTCGAATTCTGAAGGCTGCGCAGAGCGGCATGCGAGTTGATAGAAAGTTTGAAGTAACCCGGGCTCGACGAGAGAGATGAGTCGAGCACAGCGTTTGCGATACGGATCATGGCGTTCCTGGCGATCGACTCCGCGGGTACAGACAGGCGGCGAAGGGAACTTTCGAGATGAGCGGAATCCTTGCCCTGGGTCGCCAGCTTGAGAATCGCCGAGAGGAAACCCGAAACCCAGTATGCGGACCCTGCAGCTACGACAAGCGTGAGATCGACCAACAGATCGGTCACGGTGGCAATGATCTGCAAAGGGAGCTTGATAAAAAGCGCGACAGGACTGCCCATGAACAGGATGACGACCTTGCCCCAGAGGTATGGCAACCAGACAGCACACGCCAAGGTTGCAGATATCAGAAATGCACTGAAAAGTGCATTCTGGAACAACCCCACGAGCGGCCCCTGCATACCAATGAGCTCAAGAATACCTTCCAGGTCTTCAGCATCATCGATGGCGTCTTGGTCGTTGACGTCGATTCCAGCTTGAGCAGCTGCAGCTGCAACTTCAGGGTCTCGGATGGCTTCATTGGCTGGCTCGCCTGGTTCGTTGCCAGCAAAAGGGACGAACGGTGCCTCTTCGTCAAAGTTGCGCACAACATGCTCGTCGTTCCCAACGTCCGTGGCAGGTCGCGTGGCAGGGTCTGCGGGACCATAAATCCAGTCCATCGCCCAGTCGTACAGGGATACTTCGGCCGCCTCCGGTGGTGCGATACGCACGTTTGCAGCAGCGGTCGCCTCGGTCGGTGTCTGAGGGTTTTGCTCGCCTGGATCGAGCTGTGTTGCAGAAGATTCGGGTGAGATCTCTACATCCGTCGTTGCCTGCGCTCGTATGCCATCTTCGATGTCTGCATCTGTTGTTGTCTGCACTCGTATGCCATCTGTGTCTGCAAACCCCTCTGCATTGGATCCTGGCACAGGTTTATTGTCTCCTCGCACAGGTCTATTGTCTCCTTGCACAGGTTTATCGTCTCCTTGCACAGGTTTATCGTCTCCTTGCACAGGTTTATTGTCTCCTTGCACAGATTTATCGTCTCCTTGCACAGGTTTATCGTCTCCTTGCACAGGTTTATCGTCTCCTTGCACAGGCTTATTGTCTCCTTCCAAAGATTCACTGTCCTCTTCAATAGACAAGTCGTCGGCCCTGCCTTTGCCCTTGTCCCGTATCTGACGTCCTTCCAGCGCTTGGTCGGAATCGTTATCCACGATGACTTTGGACACTTGCTGCCAGCTTCCACTGCTCCCTCCACTACCGGGCTCGTTGTCGGATTGATTTGCGTCCTGCTCGCGGTGCTCTGATGGTTCTTCCGCAGTCTCGTCGTCCCAACTGTCAGGGACGACATCGCGCGTGGCATTGTCAGAAGTCGTCGGTACGTTGTCGAACGACCATGACGTACTTTCTTCAAGGCTGCGACGTATCTCGGGAGCAGTGACATTAGCGTTAGTAGGCCCCGATCCGTCTTCTTCCGCAACGAGTGTTTCGTAAGCGTCGATCAAGGCTTGGTCGTAGATGATACTGATCATATTCATCTGCTCTTCAGATAGATCTTCGAGCCCTGACACGGACCCATTTTCAGTCGAATCTGACTGCAGAACAGTCCTCAGTCGCTGTGGCAGATCGGGATTTGCCAGCATTAACTGGCCGGCCAGCTCTCGTTGCCTGTGGAGGAAGTCGTTAGGACGGCGGGAGCCAAGCTCGATGACGCCGGCGACGGTTTCTGGGTCCGGTTCGGGTCTGGCTCCTACAACGGCAGCAGCATTTTCATGCTGCGGATTGGGTCTGCCTTGTACAGCGAGCGGCTCGTCGGGTGCAGCAGCATCACCATGCTCCGGTACGATCGGCTCATCTTCAGGCGCATTCTCGGCTTGTTCGTCGTGGACCTGAGGCGCGGGACCCTCGGCTCCAAGGGCGACCATGTTGATGACTGGTTGCTGCTGGACAACCCATTCTCTAATCAGGAATATCAGAATGAAAGCAACGACGACCAACATGGTAATAATCTGGCCCTCGAATACGTCGATCAGAAATCGATTTGCGGGCTGCGAGCTGAACCAATGGAACCATGGGACCTCTGACAGGAGTGAAGGATGACGGAAGCCTAGAGGGTCGGTTGTCGAGTTGAGCGCCGTGTCGTTGGCAAGCGGGGGTGTAAATGTGACGATGGGGTGCGGCCAGCCGAGGAGTAGGCGCTTTGCAACCGTCCACATGAACGGCTCGTGCGCAGTTGGGTTCGGTTGGGGTGGTACCGAGGACATGGTCGTCAGCAGGTTGGACAGTGACAGGTTCTGTGGCGCACCATCAGCGTTTGCGGGGTCCAGAGAGGAGCGAACCGCTTCCAGGTCAGCCGGGCTAGAGGTGATGGGCTTTGCTCGTGCTGCGGCTTCTGGCAGAGCACTGTACATGCCCGGTGCCCAGCCGCCGTCGGCGATCCAGAAAAGGCTGCGCCAGACGACTCGCATGCACCAGGGGAGCAGCACAAGCCACACAGATGCCACCAAGAGGCCCCTGCACCATGTCAGGAACATGTTCACGACATGCAGGGCGGCGCGGCGCAGGAAGACGGTGGTGGGGATGCGGGTGGGCATGCCCGGGTGGTACAGCTTTGTGAAACGGAAGGACGTCTTGCACAGCTCGCAGTGCTTCTTCTGGGTGTGTGACAGCCACTCCATCAGACACTCCTGGTGGACGTATTTGATGCTGCCGCTGCACTTGCAGGGGTAGAACAGCGGCTCGTCGGTGGTGCCGTCGCCGCGGCAGATGCGGCATGTGTCTGCTTCGTCCTTGTCGTCCTTGTCGTCCTTGTCGTCTTTGTCGTCCTTGTCGTCTTTGTCGTCCTTGTCGTCCTTGTCGTCTTTGTCGTCCTTGTCGTCCTTGTCGTCCTTGTTGTCCTTGTCGTCCTTGTCGCCCATGTTCGAGGCCGTGGAGCGCGTGTCGTGGAAGACATCATTGTTTAGGTCGGACGTGGGGCCGTGTGCCTGGCCCAGGAGCCCCGCGTCAGTGGCCATGGTCTGCGGTGGCGGCGCTGGCGGTGGTGGCGGTGGTGGTGGTCGAGTATTCTGAGCGAAAGCCGCAGTGGAGTGGCTCAGGAGACCATGGGAGGCGGGTGGTGGCGGTGCAGGCGATAAGGGCTGATTGGAACACGTCTGCGTGGAGGGAGTGTGCCGACTCGGGTGCGGTTCATGGCCGTGACGACGAGACAAACGCAACGGGCCCTCCTCGTTCGCGGCAGCGGTCCGGAGGTTGCGAGCCGCCGCCGCCGGTCTTGGCAGTGCGAAGTCAGTGCTGCTCTCCAACTTCAAACAGCGAGACGGGGTCGATGCGCGATGCGGCGAGCAGCGGAGCTAAGCACGCAACGGCCGGCCAGGAGCCAGTCATGTCACGCCCGGACGAGTATCTTGAAGCACTTTGCGCCTTGCTCCTGCGCACGCACCTGTGGAGGTGTGTGTTGTATGCAAACTCCAGACCGCCCCTCTGCCGTGCGCGTCTCCGTCTTGCTGATGTGCCTGTATTTCCTGCTTTCCCATCCTGTGCTCCCGCGGCCGCACGTGCAATTACATCACACACTGAGATCGCTTGGAGCTTGAGTGGATCCCGCTAGAGCCGTCACCACCATCACCCGTCAATCACAAGCCAGCGAGCCGTGACTTGTGAATCTCAGCTAGCACTCGCAGAGCTGCACTCGTTCAGCCGCGCGTGTTTTCTCTGCTGCTTGCTGCTTGCTGCTTTCTGCTTGCTGCTTTCTGCTTTCTGCTTGCTGCTTTCTGCTTTTCTCACTGCTCGCTTCCTCTTGTGCTGCCTGCCAGCCATCCATCCCTCCATCGTCGGTGCCCATCGTTGGTTGCATCACACCCACCCAGCCATGGCCGCCCCGCACAGCAACGGCCGGGCGAAGAAGACGTCCAAGCCCAAGGCCAATGGCTACCTCAACGCCTCGCCCAACGTCGGCTCCACGAGCGGCAGTCTCGACGCACGCGCCGAAAAGTCGCATTCTTCCACCCTCGCCGTGCGCCAGAGGAAACAATCAAGGACGTTTGCAGGCGCCATCACAAGCATCGTGCTGAGGCGCGTCTCCCTCTGCCCTCCATCCACCACTGCCGCAGTACTGACATGCACAGGTTGTCGATATGGTACTTCATCATCACCGCCGCCTTCACGTGTCCGTCCTCTTTGACGCAGCTGGACCACTCCTCGCCCCGTGTCTGCACTCCATACCTGCAGGCTCGAGCCTACGCAACGCCCTACCTGGATCCCTACTACCAGACCTATCTGGCGCCCCACGTCGGGAAGGTCAAGCCCTACGCCGATGGCTTCGAGCGCCAGGTGTACGCTCCCGCCGTGACGTTTGCCAAAAAGCAGTACGATACGTACGGTGCACACCGGGTCGACCTCGCACAGAAGCAGGCCAGGGCCAGCTGGGACAAGACCCTGCGCCCACACGTCCAGACTGCCCAGAACGCGGCTCAGACGCAGTACGATGCCTATCTCGGACACCATGTCAAGAGGGCGTTGGATGCTGCCAGCCCCTACTTCAACCAGGCCAAGGCCAGCTCCAGCACCATCTACCACAAGTCGGTCCTTCCTGCGTACGAGGCTTCCCTGCCTTATCTGCGCAAAGCTCGTGTTCAAGGCCACCATGTCATCGTCCATGTCGTCTTCCCTCGCGTCCGCTCTGCACAGGATGCCACTTGGTCTTTTCTGCTCCGCAACGTCTGGCCCCAGCTTCGCCTTCTCTACGGTGACAATGTCGAGCCCCAACTCGTCCGCATCTCGGAGCGTCTGGGCCGCTACCGTGACCAGCAAAAGGTCGAGTCCGTCGTGGACGCCCTCCACTCTGAGACGTGAGTGCTTACCTGAGTTTGGTGCTCCTGTTCTTTGCTGACCCCCCACTAGATCCACTGTTGCGTCCGAGTCTACCAAGATCGTTTCCACCGTCGCTGCCTCAAGCTCCAGCTCCATTGCTTCTGTTGCATCTGCGTCCATCAGCTCGGCCAGCGAAGCAGCCGCGAGCGTCGTACACAGCATTCTGGGTGGAGAGTCGGCTAGCGCCAGTACTGTCGAGGCCCAGCCAGCGGCGTCGATGAATCCCAAGGATTCCGGTCTCTCTCCTGAGGAGCTGAAGGAGAAGCTCAATCAAGATCTCCGAACGTGGCAGAGCAAGTTCGCTGCTGCTGCTGACAAAGGTGCCGAGGACCTCGAGCAGCGCGTTGCCGAAATCACCACTCGCCAGGTAGAGAAAGGTGTTAACGGCCACGGCAAAGCCTTGCTTGTCCAGCTGGAGGAGAGCGCCGACTCTACCACCAGCAACCTGAAGAGCTACATCAAGCGCACCGTCAAGTCTCTTCCCGAGGACGCCTCTGAGGAGCAACTCGAAGCCGCACTCGAGCAGTGTAGCGCCAAGGCCCGCGAGCTCGGACAGACGGTCAAGCAAAAGGCCCAGGATATCCGCGAATGGAAGGCTTCCTACGATGCGGAGACTGACACCCTCGTACAAGCTGCTGTCAGGAGCACCGTCGAGGTTCTCGAGAAGATTCACGGACTTGGCCTCCAGGAGGTTGGCATGCGCTGGGCATGGACCGATGGCGTGACCTACAATGACTGGCAAAACTACCACAAGCTCAAGTCCACTCTTACAGAATGGCAAGCCGAGGTCGAGGCTGTCGGAGCCAGGCATGAGGGTCTTCGTGTCGCTCACGAAGAGGCAAAGACACTGGAAGACGAGGCCATGTCCGTTGCTTCCAAGAACGTCGACGAGCTTGTCCGTCTCAAGGACGTGGCCAAGTGGAAGCTTTGGGGCGATGACTCCACCGATGACTTCACAAACAACACTGTCCCTCCCCGCGCACGCAAGGTAGCTCAGCAGATCATCAACAGCGTGGAAGATGCGTCATCCAAGGTTTCGGAAGCAGTCGTTGGCTCTGAGACCCCCGTCAGCGAGAGTGTCGCCTCTTCGATTAAGAGCGTGGCCTCTGATGCTTCTTCCAAGTTGTTTGGTGTGTCTTCCAAGGTCTCAAGCTCTCTCGTTGACTCAAAAACTCCCTTGGCACAGAGCGTGGTCGCACAGGCATCGTCGGAAGCGTCGGAGATTGCCATTGATGGCGCATCAAGCGTCAGTAGTGGCGCCAGCGAGGCTGCTAGCAGTGCCTCCAGCGCTGTCTCTGCCGAGTCACCGAAGAAGGTCTGGGGCGGTGTAGCTGCCCAAGTCCTTGTCGAGGCCCGCGAGCCTGTCTTCGACCATGTCATTGAGGACGACGAGGGCGAGAACTACTCTGCCAAGCTTCAAAGTATTGTTGCTGATGCTGGTGACCGTGCAGCAGAGCTCACAAGGGCTGTCAGCGAAGCGCTTCTCGGTGCAACAAAGACACAAGGAAGCGTCGAATCTGCTACATCCCTTGCAAGCGAGCAGTACGCAAAGGCCATTGCTGCTGCCTCCAAGGCCCTGTATGGCACACAACAGCAGCCTCTTGAAAGTGCTACCAGCGTAGCTTCTGTGAAGTTTGCTGATGCCGTTACTGCGTAAGTATTGAAATCCTCGCAAACTTTAGATCTAACACAACGCAGTGCTTCTTACGCCATCTACGGCACCCCAATCCCCACTGCGGTCATCAAGACTGTACAGGTCGAAGTAAGCTCGCGTTACAGCAATGCCGTCAGCCTCGCCAGCGAACAGCTCGAGAATGCCAAGTCTCAGCTGTCAATCCTTGCATCCGGAACCCAGCAGCCTGCTTACCAGACTCTGTTGTCTGGCTTCGAGAAGGCCTACTCTGACTCCGTAGCCGCCGCCAGCCAGCAGCTGCAGGCCGCTCTCCAGTACACTGAGTCGGCGAAGAGCTATGCCGCTGGACCAACCCAAGGATACTTTGAATCAGTCTCCTCTATCGCCTCTTCAAGGTTGTCGGAGGGGCTCAGCCAGGCTTCCGCCCAGCTCTCATCGCAACCGACATCGGGTGTCGACAGTGCGCGCCGTCAGTACTACGAAGCTGTGGGTCTCGCTCACGGCCGCTACTCCGAGTTCGTCAACGCCGCCTCCAGCGCCGTCTATGGTCCTCAGCAAGGTACCGTAGAGTCATTGGCTTCGGTCGCCTCGGTATCTGCAGCTTCTGCTGCGTCTGGTATCTCTGATACTGCGAACTCCGCTGCTGCGAATGCTCAATCTGTAGCATTGAACGCTCAGGCTGCAGCCGCGTCGCTGGCTTCTCAGGTGAGCTCGGACGTCGTTGGTTCCGAGACACCGTGGACCGAGTCCGTAGCCTCCCAGGCCAGCGAGAACTGGGAAGCTCTGATTGCCAAGGCCAGCAGCCAGGTCTATGGTCAGCCTACGCCTTGGGCCGAGTCTGTCTACTCTCAAGCTGGAGCTTACGGTGCACAAGCCACTGCAAGAGCCGCTGAGCAATACGCCGGTATCCAAGCTCTCATCTCTGAGTTGGTCGTTGGTAAAGAGCCTGACTTTACCGAAAGCGTCATGAACCGTTTCGCTTCAGCGTACTCGACCGGTCTTCCGGCCGTTGTTGCCTCCGCCGAGTCGTACGTTAACGAGCAATACGGCTCCGCCAGCTCTTACGCTGGCGAGAGCTTCGATGCTGCGACTGAATACGCCGCCGATGCCTACGCCTCTGCCTCTTCTGTCGTCAGCTCAATCTTCACCCCGCCAGCCGCCGTCGAGACCATCCTCAGCCAAGCCAGCGCACAGATGGATTTGGCGCTTGAGAGTGCCTCCATCGCTGTCTATGGAACCCCTAAGGGTGCCGCTGAGCAAGCTAGCGAATCTGTGGCTAGCGCGTACGCTTCCATTCAGTCTCAGGTCAGCGAGGCCATCTACGGCACTCAGCAGGCACAAGACAGCTTCACTGCCGCTGCCGTCAGCGCGCAGGCCGCTATTAGCGCAGCCATCTTCGGTGCTCCTACGGCTACTGGCTATGCTGCCACAGTGACCAGCGGTGCCTCGGACACGTACGGCTCTGTAGTCAGCGGGGCAGGAGAGGCTTACAGCTCTGTCGCAAGCAACGCCGGAGAGGCGTACGACTCTGTCGCTTCAGTCGCTAGCGAGAACGCCGGCTACGCGTACTCGAAGATCAGCTCCGCCGTGTACGGTCCCGAGCAGGGTGCCATGGAGAGTGCAAGCAGCAGAATTGCGCTTGCTGTCGAGGCGGCCAACTCGCGCATCAGCGAGATGTATGCCAGTGCATCTATGAATGCTGGCGAGGCAGCTAGCAGCGTGTCGAGTGTTGCTACGGATGCGACGCAACGGGTCAAGGATGAGTTGTAGATGATTTCAGCTCCACTCCCCCGACCACGATCAACTGATGCACGACTGCATGTCTCTGGGCATTGTACAACCCCCTCAAACTTGTTACGACTCAAAATTGCGCTCTTTCCCCAAATCACGAAATCCCCCCACGACGACTGTACCAGTAGCTGTTTTCCCTCTTGCGTTCGTATTGCTTTATTCCCTAGCGGTCAGGTGTCAGGTTCCAGTTGAGCTGGGCCTGCATTGAGAGGGAAATGAGATGTGAAAAGATGGGACCAGGTAATACTCTTATTTGTACGCAGCTACCACGAGCATGATTAGTTGTCTGCTTATTCGGCGCGATTCTTGGTAGCGCTGCTGGCGATGTGTAAATGAATATACCCCTTCTGCTTTGACCTTGTCCCCACGAGTCTTGATCGTCACAGCACTATGACTTGCAGATAGGGAACATGCTTCATGTTCACAACACGTCTGTCGTATTGCGCTATTGCTAGGTTCCCCGTTGTCACGAGCTCCGTTATTCATTGAGGTATCTATATGTACGCCGTCTCCATTATCCAACGTGGTATCCGTGGCTCGGTACAGCGTACAATCCTCGAGGGCCGCGCGCTGAATCCATATCCATATCCAAGTCCAAATCCAAACCCAAGTCCAAGTCCGAATATAAAACCAAAAACGCCAGTCATGCACGCTCGCTCCTCATGCAATAATGCTCATCCTCATCCAATGCTCATCCTCGTCAATGCTCATCCTCGTCAATACTCGTCCTCGTCAATGCTCGAGCCTACGAGTCGCTGTCGCTCAGCGAGTCGCGACGCCCGCCACCACGGCGGTACCCGGCCATGACATCGCGACCACCGCGCTCCCGCTCGCGACGGCGACTGCTGGGACCGCCGACCTGGCTGATGCTCTCGCTCACGCCCACGCTGCCCGCCTGGCTCAGGCCAGGGATGTAGCAGGGGTAGGACATGTGGCCCTGGGTGCCTCCGTTGGCGGCGGTGAACATGTCAGACGGGGCCGACGACTGTGCTGGCTGGGAGCTGCGGTGCCTCTTCTGCGGCGACTGGGATGTGGGGCGCGAGCGGGAGCCGGCCGGACGCGGTCGGGACTGCGAAGTGCGGTCACGGGACTGCTGGCGGGCTTGCGCGCGCTCGGCCTTGGGGCGGTAGTCAGAGTAGTACGAGGACTCGGCAGCGGTGCGGTTGTCGGTGGCTTCGGTGTAGGCGGCGGTGTAGGTTGTCTGGGCGTCGTCGTCGCCGGTGGTGAAGGAGTAGGCGGCCGAAGGCGGTGCGCGACGCGCGTTGGAGGGGGCCTGGGCAGGCTTCTGGGCAGGCGAGGACGGCTTGACAGGGGACTTGGGCGTCGGGGCAGCGGCAGCGGCGGCCAAGTCGCGGGCCTCGGAATGGTCGTACTCGGACGGGGCCGTGTACTCGGTGAAGGCGCGCGTGTACTCGGTGCGGGTCTCGGCCATCTCCGGCATCTCGGAGCCGGCGTCAGAGCGCGCCTTCCTCGTCTTCTTCTGCGCGGCCCGCTCGCGCTTGGCGTCGGCCTTGTCGGCGTCCTTGCGGGCCTTGGCCTGGGCGGCCGCCGTCTTCTGGGCCTCCTTCTCGGCGGCCTTGGCGTTCTTCATGCGCTCGCGGGCGCGGCGCTCCTTCTCCTTGGCGTCCTTTTTGGGGTCGCGCTTGCCCTTGCTCACGAGCGGGCGGGCAGAGACGTGCGAGCCAAGGTCCGAGGGCTCGGTGGGCGAGTAGTCGGTGTACATGCCGTCGGCCTCGCGGTTGAGGCCGCCGACGCGGGCCGCCTTCTCGTGGCGGTAGCCGTGCAGGTCCGGGTCGTTGTAGTCGTTGGTGTGGTCGCGGCGGTGCTTCTTCTTGCGGGCGCCGTGGCCGCCGCGCAGGCCGTGGCGCGACTTGCCCTCCTCGGCGTCGCGCATCTCGGTCATGTCGGCGCTGGTGCCCGTCTCGTCCGTGTAGCCGATGCTGGTCGGGGCGCCGTAGCTGCCGCCGTGGACGACGCTGCCGCCGCCCAGACGCGTGCTCTTGGTCGCGTTGGACAGGGTGCGGCCGTCGGGGCCCTTGCGGCGCAGCACCGTCGACTTGTAGTCCTCCCAGTCGTCCTGGCGCCAGCGGAAGCCGCCGTTCTTGGCCCAGAAGAAGAACCAGATGGCCATGACCGTCATGCCCACGCCGATGAGGGCGAACAGCACCTGGAACCCGGGGCCCGACAGGTCCGTGGCCGGGCGTGCGCCCGCCGACGCGAGGTTCTTGTACACGTCGTCGCGCCGGGCGAGCGCCGGCGCCGGGCTGTCGGCCGCGAGTTCGGGGTGTGGCGCCATGGTGGGCGGGCTGGTCGAGTGTGGGCGCAGTGCACGCGGGCGGTGAGGTGCGCGACAGACAGACAGATAGCGAGTGCAGCGGGGGCAATTTGCTAATGGGTTCGGTTCGCGATAGAAATGGCGGCTGTGTTGGCTCTGGAATAACGTGTGGGGATGGAGAGAGCGATTCCCGCGGTGCGCGTGGTAGGACGGCTGCGTGGTGGGACGGCTGCGTGGCTGGCGCCTGCATATCGGGGAGGTTGGAGGGGGCTGGGCCATTGTTTTGGCACGTCTCCACGAGCAACCGCCAGAACGTCATTCGCGCCCGCTGTGCAACGGGCGGCCAATCAGCGCCCGCTGCGAGTCCGTCTGCGGGACGCGGGCGCGAAAGAGTCTTGCTGAAGGTAAGGGCGTCCCAAGCCTGTGTCCACCACCCCCTTTGGACGAATCAAAGGGACGAATCAAATGGATGAATCAAATGGACGAATCAAAGGGACGAATCAAAGGGACGAATCAAAGGGACGAATCAAATGGACGAATCAAAGGGACAATCAAAGGGACAATCAAAGGGACGATTCAAAGGGACAATCAAAGGGACGATTCAAAGCATCTGCGTAGTGCATCAATGCCTCCATTGTCTACGGAATCTAACAAAGCCTTCGACAAGCATCCTCCAAGTCCTCCGTAGCCGCGCCCCATGTCTGGCCCTGTGTGACACCCTGCCATGCTCTACCAGGTGGTCGGCACCTTGGGGTAGTCGTCTTTGCTAATCTTCAGGTCCTCGAATACTGAGTCGTCGCCTGATACGTCAGCACATGCAAAGTCGCGTCGAGCTTCTACAGCCTTACCTTTGAGGTGCTGCACACGGACCTCGTCTTCGTGCTCGAGCTGCTCAATTTCTTCTTTCGCTGTCGCCTTGCCGTGTCTCTCGTTCTTCTTCGTGGCCTCGACGGCCTTGTCGGTGTCCTCGCCGATGAGCAGGATCTGACAGTACTCGTGGTCGAGGTACTTTGGCTTGACCTCTGACCACGCAAGACCGCGGAACTCTTCGATTATCTCTTTGGAGAAGTCGGGTTTTTGAGGGAGAGAAGCGTTCGCTGGGCCGCTTCGCTCCGGGTTCTTCACACTGATGACGAAGCTGCCCTGATCCTTGATGCCAAGATCCTCCTGAACCTCACCCATCTCGGACGGGATAGTGGTAGAGTACACGAGGTGCGTGGTAGCGTCGTCGGTGCGCGTGATGAGGTACACACCCTCTGCAACCGGTGTGACAGGATCGTTGCGGCGGGTGCCTTGCGTCTGGGTGTTGTACTCTGACCCCTGGAAGAAGTTGTCCTTCAGGTCCTGGATGCTTGTGTTGGCCTTCTCCACAAACGCCATGAAGCGGTCGTTGTGAGATTTGGGAAACACCTTCTTGGGTAGCGCGAACAGGCGGTTGTTCTTGAGGTCTTGCACAGCACCATCGCCAAGCCTGGCCCCTGCAGGTATAGGTCGAAGCACGAAGAATGTACGCTGGAGGTCGCCAACACTCTCAGCCTCGTCGACACTGACACGGTTGCGTGTGAAGAAGTAGATGACTCCCTTCTCGAGAATATTGGACGGCATCTTCTTCTCACGCTGTGATGATAGCTCAATTGCGCCGTCACCATTGGTTTCGGGCTTCGCAACCACTTGCTCGACCTTGTTGTCAGAAGACGATTTCGTTGCGCCGTCACCGTTGGTTTCAACCTTCGCAACCGCTTGCTCAGGCTTGTTATTAGAAGACGGCTTCGTCTTGCCACCACCTTCTTGATCATTGGTGTCCTTCTGATCTGTGTCCTCTTCCTTGGTAGCATTTTCGCTTTTATCCTTCAATGGCTGCTCGCTCGACTTAATCTCGTCCGTTTCGTTTTCGGCATCCTTCACCACATCCTGTGCCGCTTCTCGCATCTCAGCGTCATTGTCGGCCTTGGTATTGTCTTCGTGCTCGAGCATACTATCGATTGTTGGCTGGTTCTTCGGCGCCTTGCGACCTCTCTTGGGAGATGTCCCAGCGTCGACGTCTGCCTCCGCCTTTCGCTTGGCCCCAGCTACAGCAGCATCGTTGTTCTTAGCTGGGCTCGACGTGTCACTGCCGTTATGGGTCGAAGAGCGTGTGGCTGCCATTACGGTGATGTATCCGGTATGTGAAGGGTAGAATTGGGAAAGTACTGTAGAGGAGTCAGTTGGATGGACTGAGAGCCTCGAGAGTGTCTTGACGTAACAGTTCTTGGGGCGCGTCTTAACTTTGAGCAGCTCTCTCCTAGCGCGTTTTCTCGCGTTATTATACGTCACTATTTTGCACTTGATCACGTGATAACCTATCGGACTCGATGTGGGCGGGCTGCACGATGCCATCTTCAGGAGACGATCCTTGAGTTCGTAGTGTCTGTCTTCTACTCAGCCTGAGTGGATATCTGCAACGTGAAGTACTCATTCGCGGTACACCACCAAGCACGTCCGACTGTTCACTCGGCGCAGGTTAGGTTGGGGGACAGATGGAGGTAGTGATTATCTATACCTATGACTGTGACCTCAGGTATGCTCTTATGCCTTCAGCAATTCCTTCCGGACTTGGCTTCTGAGCAACGACATCAGGCGTGAAATCAAATTCGGTGATTAGGTAGTCGCGGGTCGTGGGGCCAATGGTTACGATCCGGGTATCTCTGGAACCGTTGTCCTTCTTGCTTTTGCCGGTTGCAGCGTCCAACAGGTTCAAACTCTCAAGCAGTGCCTGGCAGCCAGTCGGTGAGAAGACCACAATCCACTGGCGTGTCGATCCGCTACCTGCGTTCTTCTGCCATATCCTGGTGAAGTCGGTCTTAAACGACTGCATTTCGCCTGTCTCGTAGATCACGAGTTCATTCACTCTGGCGCTCTTATCTGAAGGCAGCTTTTCCGACTGCAGGGTCTTCGGTATGATGTCTCTTCTCTTGTCACCCACCATGAACAGGATCGGGGGGTTCGAGACATGAGGATACAGAGTATTGTAGTGCTCCAGTATGAACCCTGCCAGGGCTTCCCCATTTCCAGTCTCTTCGCCTAGGATAGGACAACGTAAATCCAATGCGCGTAGTCCACGCGCGGTAGCTGGTCCAACGACATAGAGGGGCAAGCTTTCAGGTAGCAACTCGTCGACTGGATGAACGCCTTCTTCACGAATACCTTCGACAACTTCATTAAAGGCTTCTACGGCCCGCTGTGAGGTGAAAATCAGGGCTCCATATGTTGCAAGACCATTTTGCGATGTCGGCACCAATCCTCGGTTGAGTATATGCTGGCGCACATTGTCCAGGGCGTCCCGCTTGAACCTGTGTTCGAGGACAGGGACGAACACCGGCGCATATTGGTTGTTGTCGCAGGTAGAGAACAGCTCTTCGTATGTATCGGTCGGTACCGACTTGGTCTTGAGGAATAATATTGGGACCCGCCCTCTCGAGAGCTCCGCCATTGTCTTTGTCGAGTGAAAGGAAACTTTGTTCCCAGTAAGTCAGGCTCGCTCTTACTGGTTGAAATCACGCTAAACGGCAGTTCCACCGCGGCTCACCCGTGCACCGCTCAAGCCTCAAGGGCAACCTTGGAGTGCCCGCCCAATTTGTCCATAATTTGTCCTCAGGGCCTGACAATTCCCCATCTCCCTCGCCCGGTCCTCACCTCTCCACCCTCGCCCGTCCTTCCCATTTCACCGATTGGATTTCCCACTCCAATTGATCGTCAAGATGGCCGAACTCGCGACCCCCTCTGCTGCCCAGGTGGCTACCGCCGACGCCGCATCTCCTCAAGAGAAGCAGCAGAACGTCCGCCCTGAGAAGCCAGACGAGGACAAATACAAGGAGGACCTCGCCAAGGCCGAAAAGGAGCACCAGGCGGTGCAAGAGAAGCTCGTATGTATTCACGATTTCGATATTCGCTTAGTCGCGCGCACATGCTTGTCGCAGATGCGCACAGTTTACTGTCGGCTACCTGCAGCGTCTGCGAATGACGCATTTGGCCTCATAATGTCTAACAATATTGTAGAACGCCGCTAAGGCCAAGCTCGACGCCGCCCGCCCGAACAACAAGGACTCCCCCAACGCCAAGCGCCAGCAGGAGCTCAAGACTGAGCTGAACGCTATCCGCCAGGCCCAGCAGGGCAACAAGACCGGCCGCAATGCCATCTTCGAGAAGATGAAGAAGCTCGACGAGCAGCTCAAGTCGCGCCAGAACGAGCTCAAGACCAACAAGAGCCGCGTCAACTTCAAGTCCGCCGAAGATGTTGACCAGGAGATCGCGCGTCTCCAGAAGCAGGTTGACTCTGGCATGATGAAGCTCGTCGATGAGAAGAAAGCTCTCTCTGAGATCTCCTCGCTCCACAAGGCGCGCAAGAACTTCTCTGGCTTCGACTCGCAGCAGAAGGCCATCGACGACATCAAGGCCCAGATTGCTGAACAGAAGAAGCTCCTCGACGACCCCGAGCAGAAAGCCTTGAGCGAGAGATACACAAAGCTCCAGACTGAGCTGGATGGCCTGAAGGCTGAGCAGGACGAGGCTTTCAAGAACCTCAAGGCTCTGCGTGAGGCTACCGACAAGGCCCGCGCCGAGCAGCAGGAGAAGTACCTCGCCAGGAAAGAGCTCAAGGACACGTTCTACCAACAGAAGCGTGCATTCCAGGAGTACGACTTCCAGGCCCGCAAGGCCCGCAACGAGCGCAGGAAGCAAGAGCAGGTCCAGTACCTCGCTGGTAAGCGCAAGCAGGCTGCCGAGCAGCGTCTCGAGGAGGCCAGCGCACCCGCATTCCAGGACGAGATCTACGCCACCGAGGGTCTCATCCGCCACTTCGATCCGTCTGCTCTTCCCGCAAAGGAGACTACTTCTGCCGGAAAGTTCGCTGCCTCCGCTCAACGCACCGTCGAGGCCTCTGAAATCAAGGGTACTCGCATCTCCAAGAAGGACACGGAGGAGGAGAGCTACTTCACAGGCACTGGTGGCAAGAAGGGCAAGAAGGGCGGCAAGAAGGGAGGTGCGGCCCCGCCCCCTTCAAAGTTTAATCTGAACCTCGGTGTCATTGAGGAGCTCGCCAAGGTTGGTGTTGACGCACCTTCAAGCCAGGCTGATGTCCCTGCCACCGTCGAGAAACTCAAGGAGAAGCTTGCTCATTGGAAGGAGGACCAGGACCGCAAGACCAAGGAGGTATGTCTCGCCCAGTTTTCATCCTCTGGGTAAAACAAGCTAACGAGATATAGAACGTTGAGAAAGCGAAGAAGGAGATCGCGCGCCTCGAGGCTGAAGAGGATGCCGCCAATGGTACCACAGACGCCGCCCGCAAGCCCGCCCAAAAGAACCAGGCTGTCAACGGCTCTGCCTCCCCATCAGCTGAGCTCGCTCAGGAAAACGGCGCTGCTGCTGATGTCGCTGAGGACCTGAAGAAGGCCTCCATTGAGGATAATGAGTCCACCGAGGCATAGAACGCCTTGGAACTACCGACTGTTCAACTTGCATGTCATTGAAAAAGTACAGTGATCTGTTCGAGATCTATCACGGCCATGAGTTCGGCATCTTATCCTTTTTAGCCCAATTATTCCCTCTAGCATGGTTAATGGGACAACAGCGGCATGGCATGAGGTCTATGTTCTGCGCAGTGTTTTAATACGCCTTTCTGGTTTGCGTATGAGCACTGAGCTTTTAGATCGTAATATATCTCCTTAATGTTCAGTCTTCGTGCACCTCTATGAGCGGCTAATACCCCGTCCTGCCGGATCCTGAGCGTACAGGTCCGTTGTCGCCACCCAGCTTCGTGATCACGGATCGATACCGCCTTCTACTGGCTTTTGCTGCAAAATAAAGTGCTCTAAATCAAACGAAAGCCGTGTGAAGGGTTGAGTACAGCGGTGTGTTGAGCAGCGACGGTGCAAGCAAAGATCGCAGCTTCGGTACCCGGATTGCTCCAGAGTTGACAAGTATATAGCTATTCGGACGCCCTCAATAAACCGCAGAGTCTAGATCACGCCTTCGGTTTCGCAGACTGTCAGCTCCGATCACAAAGTCCGTCATGTGGGGGCTGGAGCATACGTCATAGGAATTGCAAACCCACCTACAAGAATGCACTTCGTCACGAAACTTAACCCCTCACAACAGCACTCCCTCTCAAAGGTACGACGACACCAATGTTTCGTTCAATCGCACTCGCAAGACGCGGACTGACAGCTGTTCCACAGTTCTCGTTCCAAAGTAAATTCACACGCATCCCACAAGCTTGCACCATGTCCTCTTTCAGCAACACCGACACCGGCTCCAAAACTGCCGACCCTTACACCGCAAAGAACAAGGATGAGGCCTCCTTGAAGGAGAAGGTCGAGGACCTCTTTACCTTTATCGACAAGACCAAGTTCTGTTTATTTACCACACACGCTGGCGACAGCGACCTGCTTGCCAGCCGCGCTATGGCTCTCGCCGCCAAGGTACGTCACCCGTAGGCTAACCGCTGATATAGCTTCTAACATCATCCCAGGAGGGCAATGGCTTCGACCTCCTCTTCCACACCAACACCGAGTCCGGGAAGACTGATGACCTCAAGGAGGACTCGTCAGTCAACATTGGCTTCATCAACAACTCGGGAGAGTGGGCTTCCATCTCCGGCCACGCCTCGATCGAGACCAACCGCGATATCGTCAGGAAGCATTACTCCCCGGCTCTGAAGGCTTGGATTGGTGACCTCGGCGACGGCAAGCACGACGGTGGCCCAGAGGATCCCCGCATTGGCATCATCAGGGTCAAGGCCAAAACTGTACAGTACGCTGTCTCGAGGAGAACAACCGTTGGTGGCTTCGTCGAGCTGGCCAAGGGCATTGCGACCGGCGAGGCTCCCAGCGTCAACAAGCTGAGGCACATTGATGAGTCCGAGATTTCGCAGTGGAAGTCCCAGTAAATACTTCGGCATCATTTCTCTGCTTAGTATAATCTGAGCCGATCTTGACGGATGAGTCAACTCTCTTTGCATACTGCATGTATCGCACGAGCCATCTGTACCTTTATGCATAATTAGTCAAATAAACAAAACAATTGAAAAAAGCCACCAAAGTCACATCTCCATGATGCCTCATCGTGCCTCTGCTTTAGCGTGTGGCAGATTTACACAGTGAGAGGAAAGGCCTAGCTCCAAACGAGTGACGTCAGTACGACGGAAGTCCCATTCGGCTTTCACATGTTTGTTCCAATGTCAACACATCCGTTGCACCAATTTCTACCGTCGCTCTCAGCACTGAAGATACCTCTCCAGATTCAACAATCATGGAGAACCCGGTTGAAGAAATAACGAATGTAATACATCTGCTCACACAGTCACCGCCATCAACACAACGACAAACCGTTGAAAAGTACTTCACACCCAATGCTTCTTTCACGCATCCATTTTGCCGTACTGGGCAATGGCCGAACTCCAGATTGCTAGTTGGGCTGATCTATCGTTGGTACAAGATCATGAGTCCAAGCATCGACATCACAGTACAAAGTGTTGGTACGTGTAGCTTCCACCTGCCAGGCGTCCAATCGCAGACTGACATGGACTAGCTTACGATGAATCGAATCTCATCATCTACGTCTCGATATTTCAGATCTTCCGCATCTGGCTTATACCTTTCTACTATGCACCGGTATACTTGACCTCGGTCATCAAGCTCGAACGCAACAACGACGATAGGAAATACTATATAGAATCACAAGATGACCTCTATGCTATAGACCAGTGGATAAGATTCATTGCGCCAGGTGGCTGGATACTAGTTTACTTATGGCAGTTCTGGGCATCCTTCTTTTGTGTCATTGGCACCATTGTGCTGCACCCAATTACTCTACTAGAAGAGCGTGCCAGCAGAGGCGATGGAGGCGAGATCGAATGGCAGAGAAAGAAGAAGCCAGTCGGACAAATGGACGGCATGAGCGCAGCAGAGGTTTTGCAGGGAACAGAGCTCAAGGGGCGAGTTATTGGTTGATAAGCACAATGCGCTCGCACTTTACACCCAGTAGTCAACACTACGCATGTTCCTGCAGTAGCTCCAGCGGAGTTCGACCAGCGACCATTGATACGAAGTTTTGGGGTAGAGAAGATGCGACGCAATTCGCGAACATCTGATGACAGCGACGCTCTACTACCGAAGTCTAGCGAGTCCTTCACAAGATGTCACAAAAATCGCAGCGTCGATTACTCGACCCGAGACATCTACTACGAAGACACGAGCAGCTTCTCTTCACACTGGTCATCAGCAGCGGGCAGGGTTGTTCATGCAGTGCCGTTGATCCGCATGTGACGACACACATACATATGCGCGACCGTATTGAAGGCTGGCAGCCTTGTCGGGGACGTGGCAAACAGCACACTCAGCGGTGCACCTGCATGCAGTGCACACTCACGAGATCACATCCTTCGAGCCTTGGATTTACCACCTGCCACTCTAAATTTAGTCTACAGTAGACAGCAAACTCACTGACAGCACGACCTTCCAGCTGCACTATACCACTTCAATATGACCGGGCCGTGCTAAACTTATTATCTATCGCTTGAAGAAGAAACATGGCAAGGGTGACGTTGGCCGACTAAAGCCCTAGATAACGGTATCCCGTACCGTCAAACTCAATGCTCGCCTCTGGACCGGCACATACACACCTGTGCGATACCTGATTAAGTTGACGGACAGCGACGGTTTCTCCTGAGGTGTGGGGGTCAACCAGAGTTGATTCGAGGCGAGGATGCAGTCGAGATTGACATCCTTGTACCGAGTCTAAGGCACAGTTCACGACACCCAAGCCGCGCGCAGGGCTCAAGTTTTCCTCTGTTGATGGGAGCTGAGATAAGGTAAGGCTCGAGCCAGTGCGGAGGCGACTACAGAGTCTTGACTGCTGTCGCTATCCTCAGAGCAGCAAAGATCATACATCCGTCGTGTGCCGAGGACGCAGTAGTGTACACGCGATGGCCCGGGGGCTGGCAAAATGTGCAGGCAAGCCCTTTTGCAAAAGAGACGGTGTCGCGAGGGTTGGCAGTCGAAATGGCTCGCTCTAGCGCAGGCAGGGCGTCCATCATGACGTCGAGCCTCCTCCAAAAAGACGGTTGTTGACACTCGCTACACAGGACTGCCGAACGCGAGCAAGCCGCTTGACGAGGATTTCGCCAATCCCGTGTAACTTACAAGATCAGGGACTGCTCGTGGCTTGTGAGCATGGATCCCATGCAAGAAATCGCGCTGTGCTGCGGCCTGCCGCATCTGATGATTCTCCTTAGGCGAATCACCATGCTGGCTTCTTAGCGTCTCGTATTTTGGTCGCCTGAGCGAGCAAAAGTTGAACAATGCGATTCTCGACAAGCCACCAGAAAGAATTTCCAAGACAAAGGAAGTACTCTCAGCTAATGAGTATTCAATACTTCTCAAGCACGGCACACCTACCTTCGCGTGAAGGAGGCAAGACCTGGAGAAGGGGAGACGTTTGCAGGTTTGCCCGAATAACGCCTGATCGACCCAAGGGTTTACCATCCTGACTCCCGTCATTTGACCATGCGATGCCTAACTTGCGATAGAGTACGCGCGAAGAGGCACGGCTCATCCTAGATCAATAGTGTATGGTGTCTAAGAGACAAGCTATGCCTCTTGGCACCAGTACGCCGGTGTATATTTGGATAGCCTTGAACAAGGGCTTCTGGTACATAGTCTTTCGTTGACCCAGACCCCTTTATTGTCGTCGCTACCCCGTCTCTCGCTCATCGGTCCTGCCCTGCACATCTTGTTGCAACTGCCACTCGTTTCAGGTACTGGTTATTACACTGTCGATCATTGAAATACACATCTACTGTAACCACGGCACCGCGCCTCCGTTGTGCCGCAAGAATATCAATAATTATACACGTCTACGACCTGCGAAATGTCCCTCAAGTACTTCACCCTCGCGCTTGCTGCGACCGCTGCTGCCGCACCTGGATCCCCCTTCCAGGCTCTCGAGGCTCAAGCCTCCAGCGACAACCCATGCGAGCCCTGCCAACCCTCAGGTGCCACTGGTATGGACCCTCCGGCTGTCAGCTCTGATCTCTCCTCCCTCTACGTCAACGTCCTCGACTCGGTCAAGGGAATCTCTTTCTCCAAGCGCGATGGCATGATCGCGCGCGCTGCTACCTCTGGCTTCTGCTGCGTTGCCTCGCTCAATTGCGTCAACGTCCAGTCCCTCAACATCCCCATGTGCTACGACAAGTTCACCACAAACTTCAAGTTCCCCGACGGCTCGTACGGATCCCTGACAACCGGAGAGTACAACTCGAACAATCAGCAGATCAACCTTCTTACCGGTGACTACTCCGGTGGCAATATTTACTCTGCCGTATCCCAGGATAAGCCTAACACATTGACTCTCAGCATTCCCGCACAGTACACAGGTACTGGTGTCGGTGCTGCGATCCCTGCGTCTGAACTCGGCTCCGTCATCGTCTACACAACTACCATCCCGGGCACAACGTTCACCGCGCCTACAGTTATCCCCGGAACCGTCCGCGCAGCGACTGTCAATGGTGTCGCTGTTAGCACTAGCATTGCGCCCCAGACTATCACGCAGGCTACCACTATTGCGCCCCAGACGACCGTTGTCACCACACAGGTCCCTGATGCGAGTGGATCGGCGTCGAGCGAGGGTGCTGCCGGCGCTGTTTCGCACGACTCGTCGAAGTCGCTGGGTGTCTCAATTCTGGGTGCTCTGATGTACTTCCTGATGTAACGGGCATTTGAAGATTTGGTAATTCAGGTCTGGTGTTGAACTGGGCAGTTTAAGCCACGGTTGAATGAAAGTAGAGATGATACCCTGGGATGGATACGTGCATAAAGCGCTCACTCACGCGATACTTATAATGAACACTCACAGTCCTGAGCCTTATTTGTATTGTGATCGTCGGTGAATGCCTTGAAGGCCTTCAGTATCAGCTTTGAGCCTATTCAAAGATCGGTATCGTCGTAAAGCATCCCATTGCGCCTTTTTAAACCCATAAGGTAGTCCGTACATTGAAGCCGTCCACATTCACGCCATTACCCATTGACACCATTTTCGTCAAATCGACCCTACCATCCAATATGTTGAAAGCCTTCGGGCTCAAGTCTGCTGAGCATCACTCACCACCTCAACGGAAGCAGGGTACTTGCGGGAAGAGGCGTTCAGCATGCGCTTCAAGTACGCCTCGTAGTACTCCCGCATAGGCTTGCTCGGGTCAAGCAAGTGCTCGTCATGGGCTAAGTTCTCGAGACACTGAAGAGCTCTTTCGAACCGACCTTCGACATCCTCCTTCCATGTACTCATCTCAGTGACTCCAGTGGCGAAGCTCTTAGCACTGTCCGGGTGGTGACTTCCAGAGCCAATGGCGACTTCGATGCTGGAGCTTTCAGGAAGAGCGGTGCTGTTGAAAGGGATAGGGGCCCTGTTGGCAAGGTCGTTGGCGGAGAACGAGATGAGACCCACAGGGTTGGGACGAGGTGAGCCTAAGGCAATAGGAACTGAGCACATGCTTAGATGAGAATGAAGACGATCGGAGCAGGTTTACATACTCTTGTTCCTTCCTCCATCACTCAGCACGTCGCCCATGCTATCGCTTTCATCGTCGGCAGGCACAGAGGAGCGGAACGAGCGGTTGCCGACCGACGTCATGTCGGTTTCTTGGCCAAATCTGGGGCCATCGAGCTTTGCTTTAGCGAGCCTATCACCAATGGTGCTCCAGCCACGGCCGCGATTAGAAGGGTTGTGGTAGATAAGAGATGTTGCTGGCGTGACGGCCGGTGTGTTGATGGGAGGTGTTGGATACGTAGCGTCTTCCGCAGCTTCGTTGAGACCTTCAGCAATGGGAGCCAGGATCTTGACCATAGCATGAAAATCTATATCCGGCGGCGGGTCGACGGCCTGGGTTTCCAAAGCCTCGGTGAGTGGCGTAGGATTGGGAACTGTCACATCGCCCGTAGTAGTCACCGAGTACTGAGAGCCAGAAGACTTGGGCTCGGGCTTTCCGGGTATAGTGAATTGGTTCGCCATTATTGTAACTGATGCTCAGGTCCGGTTGCAAGCGCAGTTGATGTAGTAAGAGACGCGGGGGAGGGGGGTGGTTCGTTTGGCAGGCGACCTGTGCTCACTCTTGGCTTCACAATGTAATGTGCTGCAGAGGTCGTCGGTGATTTAAGAGAGCAAAACTCGCTGGCAATCGAAATTTCGGGAGTTAGGAAGAGCGGTAGAGTGAGAGACAGGGAGTTTTGTTATTGTTGTTGTTGTGGGGAAGTTCTTGCGGGGTGTGATGGTGAATGTGAGTTGGGGTCGGTGCGCTCGCCATGCGACGGAGAGGGCAGCTACGAGCAGGTCTGAACCAGAAAGAGGCACTCAGCAAACAGCTTCAGATGTAGCTGATATCCAATCCCGCGCAGGCCGATGCAATCTGACACGTGCAGCCGTTTCCCATTCACCTACGCAACTCTTGAAGGCAGATGTGCTACCCCACTAATTCCCGAGCTCACGCTGCGCTGCCGGTGCACCTCGATCTCTGCGGAACTCGTTCTGAATACCGAGGTGCTGGATGGTAAATCGTATAGCGCAATACCTGTGGAGTTTGCGGCAGGAGCTCTTTCACTAGTTTGTAACCCTTCGCTTGCCGTCACTTCACCGCTCTTGCTATACTTCTCTTCCAGCCAGGGTCTGAGGTTATAGTACACACCGCATGCGAATATCCCAGTCCAAAGTGCCAGTTCTGCGGCATAAATGATGATGCCCAAGATGTCAAGCTTGGGTTGGAAGAAGACCGAGAGCAACGAGGTCAGGTCTCCGAGCGCATCTAGCCCTACGAAGATGAACGAGATGCCTCGCACCGTACGGTGACGGTAGATATCCACATAATGACTCCCTACTCCTGCCGCAAGCAAGGCAGCAGCAAGTGCAGCCATGACAATGAGAGGCCATTCCAAGTCCATCTCTTTTGCATGACGGAGAGCAATGATGAGGGCAGCTTGCACACCGCCCATGAAGCACAGGACAGGAATAATGAGAGCCAGAGAGTGGGAGACAGACCAGTTCTAGAGGCAGATTTAGCGATCAAGTCGTTGCATGACCGGTCACAAGTGATATGCGTACCTTCTCATAGTAATAGCACTGAATCCAAGTCACCAAGCTCAGCACAATCAGAATCTGGGGCTGAATACGCAGAGCGATGTTGAAATCCCCTACGATATTGTAGACACCTAACGGGACTCCAGCCCATGCCCACAGCATCATCATAGTAGGCTGCAAACCAATGGCGTTGTGCCGGCGATAGTTGATGACAATTTGAGGGATCAACTGTATGGACCAGCAAACCTGCCCTTGTTAGTCAGCTTTGCGAATAAGATTCAACGTGCACGTACAGCACCCAGAGTCCCAAGCACGTTTGCGGCAACCGGGACATTCATGACTATGAGATGGAATGCGATTTGATGAGATGCAAAGAACGTGCAGGAAGGCTTGCGCTACTGTAAAGTCGGAGAGGCGGGTGACAACTAAAATCAACAACATCGAAGAGACTCTCAATTTATATTTGCAACACTACACACGATTCGAAAGCATCTTGGCCGTTTTCAAGAGCATGAAGTCCGATCCACCGTAGCCAAGACAAGTTCCAAAGCACCGAAGCAGTCCGTCCGACCTCTCGCTTGTCCGCCGCACGTCACCCAGCCAGGCTGATCCCTGCACGCGCCGACCGAGGCAAGGCTGCGGCGCCAACCCTCAAGTTCACGATGCTTGATAATCGAGAGCCGCCACACTACAGTCACTACCATGAACAATATGTCGTCGATACCGACAGGAACAGAGGAGAAGAAGGATGAAGGAAAGGTGCTGCCAGGCGGCAAGAAGATCGTCAACGGCATAGTATACGATGCAGATGGCAAGCCGTGAGTATTTCTCGCAGTGCGCCGGATGGGATGCAGCGTTCTCAGTGCATGCAATACACGCAGCCAGGACACAGAACACTGACGAATGCTGTGCAGATGCCGCACTTGCAACGACATGTCCGCGCTATTCGCCATGGGCAAGAAGAGCAAGAAACCCCTCCCGCCCGCACTCCCTAAAGATTGTCCACCCGACGTCGCACAGCTCGGCCGCTCCAGCTGGACGCTTTTACACTCCATAACCGCCACATACCCGGAGACTCCCTCACAGTCATTACAAACCGAGACATCCGCGTTTCTGCGAACCTTTGGCAAGCTGTATCCGTGCTGGGTGTGCGCGGAGGACTTCCAGGCTTGGATGAAGGTCAATACGCCACGGGTCAGCAGCCGGAGCGAATTTGGGATGTGGATGTGCGAGGCGCATAATGCGGTCAATGTTAAGCTGGGGAAGAAGGAGTTCGACTGTAACCGATGGGACGAGAGGTGGCGGACGGGGTGGAAGGATGGGAGGTGTGACCCGTGAGCACGACTACCCGGGACGGCATAGAGGCTCATAAGTGATCTATGATGGATGTACGATTGTATACGTTTTTGAAGAGACCTGAAGTATTGTGGTATGCATGGCGCTGCGCGGACACCACTCTTGTAACAACACGGCACGACTTGAGAGTATGGACTTGGCCATTGGGCGGCGTCAAAAAACCGTCGCCTCGGTCTTACTTGTTATCGGCATTTTAACCTGTATTATACCTATCCATAACGGGCATTATGTCCGTCTTAAGTCTTTAAACCCATCCCGTGATGGACCTGCTAGCAGGGGCTAGACACACTCGACTACCAGACCTCACATCTGCAACATGAGTCGAGGTCCCTATCAGAGACGAGGCGGGGTAGGTACACACCTCAAAGATCCCAATGATACCACCAAGAGGTAATGAGAAAGTGTTTCACCTGACCTCCAATCTGCCGTTAGCCCACATGTACATCTACCTCATCACTATTCTGCGTCTCAAGCATGGCCATCACCTCAAATATCGCAAAGGTGGTCCCAGCGATGCGGCTTCGCCGGCGCATTCCGACTTCTCCCTAAGTCGTTTCGACCGAGGCTCAGCGATTGCCCTTGGTATTCTTCTCGTCCTGATTCTTCCTGTGGTAGGCTGGTTCTGTTGTATCCAAATCAAGAAGAGGAAGGAAAGAGATGGTGAGCAGCAGCTGTGGCGACAAGAGAACGCTGCAGCTCATCATAGTGAATGTGTTGGAGCCTGAGTTGCGAGACCATCATCGCAAAAGATCTTGGTTGCATGGTCCTCTCCCCAGCCATGGGCAGATCTTGGTGTGAGCGCGTTGGCGGGAGGTGAAACCAATGGCTGGCGTAAGGGCCATGCAGAAGACGACAAAGTGGATCGTCATTGGCAAAGAATAGGCTCGCAGTCACATCATCTAGATACGGCATGACAGCAGGAACTTATCACGGGCGTGCTTCGTGGGCCTGGAGACCACTACGGGTCCGCCGACTGTAAGAGATCGGTCTCGCTTCGCTCCCAAGCTATATGGTCATGAGATCCATCTTTCCAGCCTGGACTTCCCCGGCGAGCATCATGTCGCAGACACCAAAGTAGTGTGCGTTCCATAGATTCGTTCGTCCCAGCTCGCCGTGCTTCGTTGTCTCAGACACAGTGCGATGAGCGGCGGTGCAGTGAGGTAGCCTCTCGTGGCGGATGTATAGCGCGTGCCAACCGACGTCTTTCGACCCTCACGCCTATTCTCGAGCCTAGAAGGGCTCTTCAAGCTATAGTCTTCGACGACGTCCATGTTTGCGAGCGCGGAAAACGAGGCAGTGTGCGAGCTATGGCAAAGGGTCCTTGAAGGGATACATGGATTACACCTAAAACTTCGTTGTGTCAATACCCTTTTGAGAAAAGAAACAATGACGGTACACGATACAGATTCGCTTGGATGCACTGAAGTCAGAGATTTGAGCCATGGAAATATTCAGCTCCATGATCTTATTCGAACCTACTACCGTCAAACACTCCATTTCTTCAATGGAATATGTCGTTTCTTCACAAAAAGATTGCTCCAGAATGGTATTTCTAAGATGAGCTCTGACCGGCTAGCCGCTCAGTCGATGGTAACGGTACGAGGGATATGCTCCAAGATGCCGAACAGGTATCGTGTGATGGTCTCGTTGTAAATGCCGCACATTTAAATCATCGAGACGAGCTTATCGCATGATCTCCTGGTAGATGAGAACTGCGAAAGGTTAGCAAATGCACATGTATAAAGATGGGATTGGAACTTCGCACGCTTCAGTTGCTCCTTTGTCAAGTTGTCCTTGTTCTTGTCAAAGTCGAAGAATTCCTCAGGAATGGGGTCGGCGGTCGGCTCGTCATCAGGGTCGTGATAGGGCTCGAGGTATGGGTGCTTAAGAGCCTCCTCGACTGTGATACGCTTGACCGGGTTGAATGCAAGCAACCGCTCGAGCAAATCAAGCGCAAGATCGTTGGTCTTAGGGAACATAGCCTTCCATGGAATCTTCTTCTTGAAGGGAAGCGAGCGGATGTATTCACGAGCGCGACGAGACTTGATGCCGTAGTAGTCTTCCATGGTGGGCGTACCGAGAACGTCGAGAATCAATGTGAGCTGGTGGTGGTCTGCAAGCTGTTAGATCCAATACCCCGTGGTTGGCCCATCAACACTCACAATCTTTTCCAGGGAACAACGGCTTGCCACTCAGCATCTCAGCCAAGATACAGCCAACACTCCACACATCGATGGCCTTTGTGTACTCCTTGAAGGTGAGCATGATCTCCGGCGCGCGGTACCAACGCGTGGCCACATATTCTGTCATGAAACCAGAGTTGTCCTCAGTAGAGGCGGCGGATCGTGCAAGACCGAAATCGCAGACTTTGAGATCGCAGTTCGCATTGAGGAGCAGGTTGGAGGGCTTCAGGTCGCGGTGAAGGACGTTCGCCGAGTGCATAGCCTTCAGAGCGCGCAGCGTCTGGTAGATGAAGTACTGGCAGTGATCGTCTGACAGCTCTTGTGTGCGGATGACGCGGTGCATGTCGGTCTCCATGAGTTCCTGTCGCTTTTGTCAGCCTCGCTCCAGATTTTGTTGCGTGTTATGGTTACCTGGATGAGATAGACCTCAGTGAACGTCTCGTAGTTCCGAGGCTTCTGAATGTCGAGGATCGAGATGATGTTCTCATGATTAAAGTACCGCAGCAGCTTCATCTCTCGCAGTGTTCGCAGACAGAACATGGAGTGGTCGAATGGCGTAATCTTTTTGATGGCCACCTTCTGACCGGAGGGCTTGTGCAGCGCGGAGCTGTCAAGCAGTTAGCAGCTGTCTTCCTTGATCAGTCGTGATCCACCTACCAGACAACACCGTATGCACCTTCTCCTACGACATCCTGGATATCGTATTGCTCTGAGACGTTGAAGGAGATCTTCCTGGAGCTACCGCCTGCTGGAGGCATGTTGACGGCTGTTGTGGGTTGTAGGCTCGGCTACTGGAGGTTCTCGATCGGTCGACGGGAGCTGCTGCTCAATTCGTACGTGCAGCTGGTGGGTTTGGGTCCGTCGATGGAAGGTGGGTAGCGTGTGACAGTGAAGATGACGAGCACGATCTGCGATCACTATTTGTCAGTACAAGAACAGGGAAGGTAGAGCTGTGGCCATTGTTTGCAGGACACAAGTGTCTTGGTTTGTGTCCACCCGGCCCGGGACATCTCATGGTGAAACGGTGCAGTGTCATGACGGTGAGCTCAGCCCCACGTGCTCCTGCGAAATGCGGGCCCAAACGAGACTCCCGTGTTGACAATGGACACCGACTAGTCGCCGCACAGCCGCCATGTGAGCTCAGTGAGATATGGGACATACCTTGAAGTTAAGTCTGCTATGTTGCACGCAGAGAAGAGTAGTCGAATTGACCTCAGAGGCGGTGCGCTTCTACGCGACGTCCAACGTGCTGCAGTTTCGTGCGCACTCGTAAAGTGGCGCGTTGACTGACTGAGGGGTGCGCTAATTGGCGCCAAACACTACAGACGGACGGATTAGCCTTTGTTCGGCGGCGTTCGACCTCGACGGCGGATGATTGATTGTGCAAAGGCAGAGGGCAGTCGAGGCGGTGACAGGAGAGTGCGGGAGCAAGGTGAGGAGAGGAGGGGCAGGGTCTACCAAGGGTCTACCAAGGGTGCTTGATCGCCAGGTAACTTGCAGCGATGCAGCAGAAACAGATCGAAAGAAAACGTGGCAACGTACTGCAATTTACTGCAGTCTGACAGCACACAAAAGCTGTTTGTTCTCCAAGTTTTCTGTCGTGTAATGCAGAGGAATGTGCAGTGGCGGCGGTGCTGATAGTGGGGTATCTGCAGCTTGAGGCGGGCAAGCACACGCAGGGACGGCTCTCACTCGACGAGCACAGCACCACAAGCAAGGATGAAAGCGAGATCAAATTAGGCACAACGTGCAGCTGGCAGCTCGCAGTTATAGCAATCCACGAGAGGAGCACCTCTGTCTGAAGGCTGCTACCGCCGCGCGAGCTTCCTTCCACTACCAGTGCTAGCCGCCGCATCAGTAGCACCAGCCAATAGTACGGAGAAGAGAGCAAGGAAACCGGGTTCCCGCACGAGGCATAAGTCGGCCGCTCTATTGAGACCTGCATGAGAGTCATCTCAAACTTTGCGAGAGCGTTTGACATTCGTATGGATAGCAGCCGGGTAAGAGAGACCTTGTCTTATGTGTCTCGGCTTCGCAGAAGCCCCACCATCACTCCACTCATATCCCGCTGCAGAGAGACTGCGCAGCTTATCGTCAGGCATCGAACAACACCGCCTGCCCGGCTGTCCGTGTGCTTCTTGTCGATGTCTTGTCCAGCCTGATTCTGAAGGTCAACCTCTGAAACCTCGTTGTATGCAGGGGTCTAGTTCCAAGGGGCAAGCCGACATGATCGATTGGGGGGAGGGGGAAAGGTGTCACATCTAAACTTAGCAGGGCCGCTATGGCGGCCTATGATTGGCCCCGTCACCGGCCTGTGGTTATTTCGGATGTCTGCCAACTTTGTGCTATCTGAGATCCTGCCCGCGCGACAACCGACCGGTCGAAGGTTTGATGCCTCAGAGTTATCGAGCTGACCACGGTACAGAAAGGCTTGCAAGGCTTCTGAAAGCTGTTTCGGCATGGGCGCAATGTCGCGGACGCCTGTACTACGCAAGACGACGTTGAAATTTGGCAAGGATCGAATTCAGAGGCAAAGTGCCGGAAGAGGCTATGCAGTCAGACAAAGCTCGGAGCTGGGCGCCGCCTGTGAAGGCGTTAAACGACAATGTCGTCCCAGGACTACACATGTGCTCAATGCAGCAATCATCGGGACGATGAGAGAAACAGCCATGACCGCGGTCGATATCTACATTTCCATGTCGACTTTACAGAGTAGCTGTCTTCACCTGTGTCGATATTGGTCGCGTGGCTCGTGCGGTGTTGCAAGTGATGGTGAAGACCATCACCAGTAAGCTGTCACGCCCAGCCCAAGCCTGCTGGAAGGTCCTCACCATGATACTTGTGACGACTCTGTCGAACGCAAATCTGGAGAAAGGACGTCAACGCAGACCCCGCCTCCACCTTCGCACACCACAATCACCTTCAACTATTGAATCACCTATACATTGCCATATCTAGCACTCTCTCGGCCGCTGTCATGACTCTGTCCACTAGGGAAGACCACGAGAGAGTCTCATGGCCCTTGAAGGAGTTCTCGATTGAGAAGGAGTTCAATTGAGTCAAGCCTGAAGAAGAAGAAGACCGGACAGAGCTGTTCGTTGACCGGGCCACCCATGAGTTCGGCATCGTCTATTAAGATTCTCACTAACAATAGTGTGCTGGTTTAATAAACAAAGAAAGAATTTTAGTCTAGATGCATAGCAGAGAGCAAGTTGTTCCCTACTAGCGAAAACGGCAAACGTTCCCTAAATGTGGCAGTATTGATGTGAACACAGCTAAACATTTAAGATACCGCTTCAGTCTTCAGGTGGCGAGCCGGTTGCAAATATCCCCTGAACACTCTATAAAATACCTTGGAGAGTGGAGCCTTTAATCCATCAGTGACGTCCCGTACGGTATTTATGTGGAACAAAGTCAATTTAGTACACGCAGCAGCTATTGCGAAAGGCTTCTCACCAACACTACAGGAGCTCCACCTGTTGTACCTAACAGACCGCTGGGGCGGAGCCGAGACTTAGTGGACAAATATTGACTGGCATACATCGATGGAACTGTAATGTTCTCTAGCATGAGAACACGGCGAGGTCTTTGTTGGAGCATCTCCTCATGTGACTTGACTGCTTGATTCTCTGTTCTATTCACTGATCTAGCACCCTGCTGCATAATTATCGCAAGCTTTACGACCATCGGCACCGTTCATATCAGGCAGTATCTTATGAAAGACAGTTTCCTATCTGTCCGTTCATAGTGCCATACCAGGAAATGACTGGTCTGCATGAAGGTCGCCAATACAATAGCGGCGTGGCTGTCTCAATGTTCTGGAGTTGCAATATACACGCATCAGACTGCCTGTCAAAAGCTCACCCATGAACTGGACCCAGAAAAGATCGGGCGTGTTCGTCTGTAGCCGTCCGAGAGTATGTCCAATTCTGACCAAACACCAGGCATGAACAGATGGGCCACATGGGCATGGAGTGCTTTCGAAACAGCCCGATTCTCTGAGTACTCCTGCCAAGCCTTCTTGTCACTCAGAATTGGAGGCAGTCGTATGTATATCTGTTGGATGATGGCCTTACGCAGGCCGCAATCGACTTGAGGAGTCTGGTCGTCGTAGACATATGTGGCGAGGTCAACGATAATCAAAGAGTCTTGAACGAACGGAAGGCGGTCGATGATGGCTTTGACCACTTTGGTCTTGTCCTTCTCAAGGCCGTACTGTAGCCTGTGGTTAGCTCGAAGTCTTGGTACGTAGAGAAATAGGGGTGTACCTTTTCTGATGCAATGAACAAGTCCAGTAGATCGTTACGAGCCCGCTCCTTCTCGGTCTCCGGCCGCAACACGAATCCCGTGGACAGTGACCCTGTTGTCGAGTTATATGTTCCGTAAATCTCGTCAAGCATAGCAGCTATAGTCTTCTCAGATTCAGGGAGCCTTATTTTGTGCTTATCGCTCTCCTGTCGCGCGTCAGAAGCTTCTACTTACATAGTATTGTGGGAGACGATCGATGGCACTTACCGCAAAGCCTCCAGTGCACACCGCTCTGAAGTACGAAGACTTTTCGCCAAGCCTTGTCAAGAAGGCCAGACTGGTAGATGAAGATGTCTCGAACATGAACTTACCTCACACGATGCACTGGAAAAGACGTAGTGCCTACAAATATGGTGAAATCAGACCACTCATCACCTGGCCTGGTCAGTATCCGTCTGCTCACATCAAGAGTACTACCTACTTGGACCAATGCGAGAAACCTGTAGGTTGACTCATCCAAGACTTGAACATACGTTCTGTGTAGCCTCGGGCGACCATGTCGAAGTCGTCGTTCTTGTCGATGCCCTTAACGATGACGGTGTGGGTACGGAACGCCTTGTTCTGAGCTGCGCTGGCGAGGACTTCCAAAGCATTGGCAAAGTCATGAGCATAATTCACCGCGCTGGCGTAGTCATCAAGACCGGAGGTACCTGATGATCCGAACTTGAGGTTCAGCTGGAGGTGTTTGAATAGCACCGTGACTTTGCCGCAGTTGTCATGTTTGCATGCAGCGCGAGCGTTTTTGGCTTCGAAGTAGACCGGCTCCTCGGTATCCGGAAATTGTTCCACTGCAGCGATCGGTTAGGTCGTCGCCTTACGCCTGTCCTTTTCTCTATCTCGTAGTCACATTGGCCAGACTAATTGCACGCTGTTTTTGCTTTTTACAGCTAGCTTTCGCGAATCCTAGGATCAATAGACACATTTCGTTTGTCTTAATGCGCCAACGATCTCATAATGTCTGGTCTTGGAGTCTCGATCGCAGAGGGCACCTTGGTTCATCAGCGCGTCAAATCGAGATGCAAGCGCCGTTGAGTTGCTGGTCACGCGTGGCGGTTATTGCGGAACAGCTATCAAGGAGGCTGGAGGCAGGCAGTGAGCAATTAAAGGCGATAACTATACCAAGTTGTAACCTCCAAGTCTACACTGCATCGATGGCTGAGCTGGGAAAGCGCTCGTTGGGGTTCTCGACCTTCGACGCGCGTAAGGCTCCCTCGTGGTTCGTATTGGTGAAATTAGACAACGCTGCGCTCAATCTGGGGGCGGTAAGCCGAGAAATCGATACACAGCCAATGGGCCCAGTCTTAGCGTGGGTTTTCAGGGTTCATGGCATGCCCCAGACAGCGTACCTGACGCTTGTGCTGCCCTTGCAGTTTCACCTTGGCATTCAAATAAATACCACTTCATCACTACCTATGGTGTTGGCTCAAGATGTTACTGAAATGCAAATACATCATTGATATCTATCTCAAATCGCCTGTGGTATCTTCCGAACGAGCCTACCAGACTCCTGGTCTAAATAGTATAATGCGCCACCCGTCACAGAAGCCACACCAAAGAACACCCCAGATGTAAAGACAGAACCATGTCAATTAGCTTATCGACTCTTTCCAGCAGCCAGAATCTATGAACATGAACTCTATCGTCCCACACACTAGATCCTCCATGAAGTAGCCCTTGGACCAAAGCGTATTATAAAGTCAAAGTATACAATCGAAATGCTGCTGCGGCGTGCGCGAGGAATCGTGGTCGACCTCGAACTCCCATTGCAATGCACCAAGCAATGCAGGAGGGTATCATGATGCAGAGTCGAAGTCATTACCCGTTAGATGGCGTTTCCTTCCCCTTTACCACGGGCCTGATGACAGCAAAGGCGAACAAGCTCGTCTCAGCATGTCAAACAAGCATCTTGAACTGCTTACAAGAAAGCAGCGAGGGCACCGACAACGGCGAGAAGGCCAACACCGGCCTGGGCAGCAGCGCCAGTGAACTCAGGAGTAGAGGGCTTGGTGGTGGTGGGGACACCAGTGGCAGTTCCCTGAGGAGCAGAGTAGTGGGGAACAGTGCCGTTGGTGCTGGGGTAGGGGGCGTAGGTGGGAGCAACCGGGGGAACGGAGGTGCTGTAGACGGGGGTGACAGGCTTGGAAGAGGGCTTCTCGGCCTCGGGGGTCTTCGTGGTCTTGATGACGGTGGTAGTGTAGGAAGACACGGTCAAGGTGGTGGCCTCGGTGATCGAGTAGGTCTTCTCCTCGTAGGTGACGACGGTAGGAGTGGGGCAGACGAAGGTGGTCTCCTGGACGACCTTGGTGGAGGTGACAGGGTACTCGACGTACTGGGCGCTGGAAGAGGCGACAGGGTAGGCAGAGGAGACGGGGGTGGAAGCCTCGTACTTGGCGGAGGAAGACTCAACGGCGTAGGCAGGGTACTTGGTGGAGGAGGAGACGGGGTAAGCCTCGTAGGCAGAGCTGGTCTTGTAGACGGGAGTGGAGGCAGCGTAGGCAGGGGTGGTGGCCTCGTAGACGGGAGTCGAGGAGGACTCAGCGACGGGGTAGTAGTCAGGCATGGCCTGGGCGCCAATGGCGCTGATAGCAGCGATGACAGCGAAGGAACGCATCTTGATTGTGAGGGTTGGGATTAAGTACGTTGGTATTAGGTACGGGCGTTGGAGGTCGTTGAAACGAGTGAAATCGGAGATATCCGGTGTATTAGTGTAGTGAGTGTGGGTGAAGAAAAAAGGCATGAAAGCACTGGGAAAGCTACTTTATAGGAGGCCGACCGTTCGAGCTTACCAAGATACCCAACATCGACAGACAGGGGGCTCACATCGATGGTAGCATCCACCAGCGAGCCTCTGGAGAAGCTGGCCCGTGGTGGCGTTTCAGTGGATACGGTAAAGGGGTATCGTTGCCCGGGAGCTTCAATAAGGCTGGTCGTCTGGGCGTGTTTATTGATGGAAGCTATACTAGCCTATCATAACGCAATGAGGCGCAAAGTAACGAGATGAAAGAGCAATTTCCCCTGCCAATTTCCCCTGCAGCCTCAACAGTTCGCTTACACACCTAACCATTTCCGTCTCATTGTAGGTTAGTGCAAATATCATCCGCGACGACGATGTGCATAACGTCCACCAGCTGTGCACAAGAACGTCTCCGAAGCTGTCATTAGGAGCCAAATCAGGTGAGAGGCGGTTGCACGACTATCAGCGGCGGCTCGGGGTTCGAAGCAAGTGTCTGTAAGCCACGGTTCCTTCCAAACTACAGTTTCTCCAGGCCTATTCGCGCTGGGACCGCGAACGTTTCTCGAAAAGGGTAAGGCAAAGCCGAAATTGACGTGGCTTCGTCGCTGTGATCGAACACGATTGGCAATGTCGTTATGCGCAAAAATAGCCGGATATCAACGATGGTTTGAAGAAAGGGCGGTCTCCCGATGCATTGAAGATGCGTTGGCCAGCGCTTGAGGTGGATCAGTGCGGGTTCCTGCGTTGCTGTGTCTGGACCCCCAAACTAATTAAGGTAGGTATGGGGAGGGGCCGAATGCCGAAGAGCGCCTGAGCTGTCGAGCAGATTTTGATGCAGCAGAGCTGCTTGCTCTGGTCACAGGAGCCTGACGATTGGCACTCATGGCACCAGGAACCGACAGGCGCAGCTTCGTTCGACGCTCAGCTTGTGGAGCTGACGTGCCATGTTGTGAAGGGGCAGCATCGACCATTGATTGGCTATCAGGCGTCCAGCTCATTCGTGTCTCGCCTGCTACCGCCCCATACAACCGTTCTGGGAAGTTTTATTCGTGTAATTTCGCTCAGGAATGCTTCGCACGTGCGAGAGGCAGTTTGAAGCGCCACATTCTTATCGTGTATGCTGCATCGAGTTCTTTGACGGATACAAAGGAAATTCTAACACGAGCGAAACTCTGCTTAACAGTTGCCACAAACGGTGGCAGATCCCGTCCCGAATGTACGCGATGTGCAGGGTTTATCAAGGGTATCGCGGTGAGGTCGGTTGCTACAGCCGGCTGAAGCACGTGGCTGGAGGAGGACGCCAAGGCTATGGTTTTTGCACGCTGCTCCTGGCCCCAACCTTCACCACATCAGCGTACGCACCGGCAATCTAGGTACGCGAGAAAGCACCACACGCACTGCTTCTTCATACGACTGCAACACGAAGATCGATAAGACCTCGATCGTTGGCCAACAGACCTCACTCACCGCTTCGCGCGGAGTGACGCTCTCCTGTTCGTATTGCGAAAGCCTGGATCGCACGTCACAGAAAGTGCAAGTGCGCCCAGCAAAATGCAGGCTCGGATGCCAAAAGAATGGCCCGGAGACACAAAATACCTGCGTGCGCCTTCCTACTCAACGAAGCTCATCCAGGACAAGCTGAATACGCTTCTCCTATCGAAAGCAGGCTTATCATCAAGGGAGCCAGTCTTGATCACGAGGGGCCCCTATGCAAACGTGAAGATCGCACGCGTATCGAATGCTTCCCATCCCGCGCAAGGTCAGTACGGGCTGTATGCGGCTGGACATCTTCCACCAGAATCTTTCATACTTCCTTACTTGGGCTTTGTTCACGATCAGACTGAATCAGATGAGACGTCTGACTATGACCTTTCGCTGGATCCCGACCTAGGTATAGGAGTTGATGCATCAAAGATGGGCAACGAAGCAAGGTTTATCAACGACTATCGAGGCATATCTATGAGACCAAACGCCGAATTCCGCGATATTCTGGTAGATGTCGGGTTTGGAATCGTGGAGAAGAGGATGGGAGTCTTCGTGCTCAGCGCCGGCAAGAGTGGAAAGAGAGCAAAGGGGATTGGAAAAAACGAAGAGATTCTTGTTTCTTACGGCAAAGGGTTTTGGACGGAACGCAAGTCGGTGACAGCATAGTTACGAATACGGCTCAGACGAACGACGTTGGCCGGCATCTTCTGCTGCACTCGCACACATAAAGCCCAGCCCGACTCTATTACATATCGTCATGATGCACATCAAGTACCCTCGACCCTACAGTGTACCAAGAGACGTTGTCGACGGCACTGGCTGAACTATAGCCATCGTGCAAAACTTGGTCAGAACGCAAAAAGGTCCAACTCTGGCACATGTCTCTGGCACATGTCTCTGGCACATGTGCTCGCTGGAGCGGTTTTAATTTGGCCGATGCACATCCGTCCACATGCGTTACAAACACTACAAATTACATATCACCGGAATGGCGTCCCCAGCGTTATGATCGGCATTTATCGCACTCGCGGCTCGACTATCACCAACCATCAGGTTGGCGCCCCACAAGCTAACCGTTGCTTTTGTTCCAGAACAATGAGCGCACCACATGGATGGAGATCATGATCCTAGATTGGTAGCAAAAGTTTTGATGCCTGACACAGAACGTCACAGTGTGACAGCATGTGGCTTTTAGCCACGTCAGGGTTCTCAGAAACATGCTGGGGCATCTTAGCTGTGGCGTCAGGAGGGAAGATCCGTCATTTCCATCGATCACAAGTCGAGGACCTTGTGGCATTTCAGTCCCGATTCCTTGATCTGAGCCTCTGCGCCTCGCACTTGGCCCGATCGAGTGAGCTGCAAGGCGCCCTATGAGGTGTCACATAGAAAGAAGACGGGGAAAGTTGGCTTAAAGCCAAGTGTGACGTCGGAGGCTCTGAATCTCTACTCAGCTTGCGCACAAAGAACTCTCCACTTCGCGAGGAAGGGAAGCATTTCGGAACGTCATTCCTAGGGTCTTATGGGGTTTATACCCGAGCAAGGCATTGCTGACCTTCCATGATGGCAAAGGGAAAATCGCATGCGAGAATGAATCGCCTCGGAGCCGGAGACAGGGTTTCCCGCGATGTCATGAGTCGGTTGCTTGCCTGCAGGTACGGGCACTCAATCACACCAATGCAGGATTTTCAGGGACACACTTTTGGTAAAATCTGTCGATCGCGAGTTTGTCCCGATGCCTGATATCAGCTCTTGATGTTTCCCGGTGACGTGGTGTGGGTTTCGTGAGTGCGCCCCACCTCGCCAGGACATCGATCGACAAGGGAGCTTCAACCCCCCAATCAGCACTTCAAATGCATTGTATCCCAGTCACTGGCCGCGCTCAACGTCGTTCAGAAGATGTCCATGCTCAAGGGCGGGTACACGGTTCGTTTCAATTTAGGCCCATCACAAACAGTCCACGTCATGGCATTTGCGGTCTGGAAGAATGCGGTTTGAGTAGCGGGCATTCAACAAAAGGGCCTCAGATCTCTTCAATAAACCACCAAAACACTATTACCATAAATAACTACCTGCTATATTCCCACTGCGCATTCGTGCAGCATTGGCTTGCCCTATCACATTCAACCGTCCATCAACCAACCAGCAAACTTGCTCAGCCGTTTGCGTTACGCTCCTCGAACCGTATCGAGCTAACGCTTCCTGGTGCATCTGAAGCTGACCATATAACGCTCCCCGCTCCAGCTCGATAACACCACTTGGCTGCTCAAACACACTTGGCTGTCCTCGAAATCCTTTACAATGGCTCTCGTTAGACCTATATTGCACAGAGTAAGCTTTCTTGCTCCAACGCTCAGGACAGAGTTGACAAGACAACGGAATGAATCTATGCAGAAGTACATTTTACTTACTGCTCAGAAGGAAGCCCTTCAGCGCAGGATGTCAATGTCTATCCCCTTTAGCCTACCTATATCGACCTCTTCGCCCGAGTTCCAGTCGCTATCATCGTCCCCTACATCGCCCATCGACTATGTTTCGACATGTCTTACGACCACCGAGCCCGTGCCTACGAGACCAGGCACGGTCCCTCAGACCAGTGTCGATGATACACACACCAGCGAATCACACAAACTCTGCGAGATCAATCAGCAAATTGTAGCGACACTTATGGAACTCCTCAACACAGAAGCCGTAAAGACGGATCCAAAGTACCGTGCTTTCATACAAGAGAAGCTGATGGAATCCGAACAACAGATCCGCCGACAAAGACGTCGACGTTCCTCGAATGCTGAGCGAGACTACGCGTCTTCCATTGCTCACCATCTGGAGCTTGGCTTGAACACGTCAAAGACAGGGGCGTAAGCCCTGCACCGTCGATGTGTGACCCGTGTATTCCTGCGGCGCTATTGACGGCGCAATGGTCATTCTGCGATCAAGTGCTCAGATCAAAGACAACCGAAGACGAAAATGATACCCCAATATATACGCATGCATCATTGAAGCGCAATATTTGCAACGAGGCAACTCGCAGCCTCACAATGTACCACCATCTTTAAAATATCGAGTAACTCAATCTTGAAGCTTTTGCGTGCTAGTTCCGTGATAATTGCACATGGCTCATCGCTGCAAGTTTATCAATTGCTGACCCTAACTGTTCGCCTTTCCGCATGACAACCTTCCTTTTCTAACCATGCGCATGCATCTTGGTGCAACGGCGTGGGTCACAAAACGTTCCAGGCACATCTGTTAGTTGGTGAGTTCCGACTTATCCGGTGACCCCTGTAGGTATGTAACTATTTACTCCATATCTACCTCGCTTTCGCACGCAATACGTACCTACCTAAGGAAAAATTCGCTACACCCACGCTGACCTCCTGTCCCCAAAGGAACCTTGTGAGCGGTACTAGAAGATCTTTTCCCTGTGTTGCTTCGAATTACCTTGCGCAACTGCCACAACACCAACCGCAACCCTTTGGCAATCGTCGATGTGCCAGGGTTTCGCTTACCTCTCGGTGTGACATCATTCGCGTGGCTCAACAAGAACCATACCTAACCAGCACACCCAAAACATTCCGGCACAGCGCGCTCATCCGAGCCAAGCTTACATCCGAACGCGACTTTGAAGGTATCGAATACAAAGGTGTCGACCAGTATCGAATGATGTGACTGTTGCCAATCGGCATGCTGATTGCGGGGATCGACACAACCCCTCGCTCAACATCGCAACCTCCAGTAAGATTGAGTAATAAGCTCCGCATACCCACAGCTGGGACATCACTCCCGAACACATGGCGAGCAGCTGTAGGGTCTCTCCGATGGCTTCTAACTGATCGTGTGCACACGAGGAGAAGCTCATGGTGTGACCATGTGGCAGATGCATGCACACTGGAAGGAGTGGTGAGCGCGAGTAGCTGACACCAATATTGACCAAAACTGAAAGACATCTGATAGACTTTGGGACTGTTGTCATTTTGTATTTCAGCTAACAGGTCATCCCAGATAGTTTTGTGGAAGCCCTCTTCGCTCGGCCATCGGCACCGAACCCGCCATAGTTTGAGCTTGCAGCATACTTTCAAGGTTGATTGCTGCTCTTGGACGTCATGTACCCCGCAAAGCGTTGACGAGATGTGATGCACTACGTAATGGCCGACTGCCCGATACGCGGACCACTCGTTGCTTGCTGTTCGACTTCATAGTGGCGTTGCGATTGAGCCTCATGATGATCATCGCATCACAAGACTTCTTACTATCACTCGATAGCAGTCCATCGAACGACATACACTCTCATACGAGTATCAAGATCGAGTCAGGGTTGTCAGGACTTGAGTGTGCAACTGTACATCCAGCAAGACGAGCAGAGGCTTGAGGTTCTCAGCCCTCAAATGTGAGCCGACATGCATTAAGCCGCAAACGGTCCGCAAAACGCAAGCAAGGATAACAAGACACAAATCTGAAGCCAACCAACATGGCGACGAGGCCTGGAGTTTACCTTGCACTACTACAACAGGCTGGCGCAGGATGCCGAACCTTATACCGAACCTTTGGGCGGGCCGATTATCCCCCACAAAATACACTTTCGGGCGTAGGAGCCATACAGATCCTTGGGCTGGCTGCAGTTTGGTCTCTTGGAGCTTTGTCTTCCTTACACATTGTCTCAATAACCAGAAGCGCATGTACTCTGCTTGATGAATGTCATTTGGGGCCATTGTACGGCCAAATTAAGGGTCGGCCATGTCGTTGATTCCGTGCATGAGCTCTTAGCACACCTTCGTTCAAGGGCATTACTGTCGTTGACACAGATGCTCTCTTATCCGAGCTAGTCACTGCAGGTGTTGTATTGCGGAACACTCTTACTTGCAAATGTTTCCAAAGCTTCGATACATTTGCGCCATTGCTCTCACGATGTTTATACGTTCTTGAATGAGCACTTCGCCCTTGTCCCCCACGACATGTGATCACTGCGACACGTACTCTTCCAAAGTGTTATCAATGCGATGTGCCACAATATTGCTTGACATAAATCCCGACAGCATTGCTGCAGGCTGCTACATGGTAGCAAGACGTATTGCACAGATACGGTGCTCACATTTGTAAGAACCCGGCAGCAGCCATCCCGCATTCTGACCAGCTCTTCCAAAGAGTGCGAAATCTTGGCCTGTTGCTAATTCCTTCAGTCAAAGTATCATGTGGGAAATCTTTCAACCTCGGATGCAATGCTCAGCCGGGCAACGGAACCCTTTCCGCGCGTTCCTTCCCCCTCTGTCCCCCAACATACCAGAATCAATGCGATCAGTACGAAGACTAGCAAACACGAGACCTTTCTGTTTGATCGACCAGGACATGGCTTGCTAGAAAGATATCTCAGCCAACCTCTACTAGCAGAAACTTGTCCTTACCCAAAACGATGCCATCGAACACGGAGATCACCAGCGAGAGCGTCGCATACATCAATGGATCGGTGTACACAGTCAACAGTTCGGGGCCATGGGCATCTGCTTTCATTGTATCACAAGATGGCTTCTTCACACAAGTCGGATCCACGGAAGAGATCTTAGCAGAAGCGAAAAGATCGCATCTTGTCACCGTGGACTTGCGAGAGAGCTTCACAATGCCCGGCATCCACGATGCGCACATGCATCTGTTGTTCTCAGGCTTAGGTCTCACTACAAACGCGACCATTGGTATGGACGCAACCCACCTGAACATCGCCGACAAGATTAAACATGGAAGTTGCGCATGCGAATACATGAACGCGTACCAAGATTGGGTCCTGGCTAGCGCTTACAATAACCAAAGCTTCCCTGACGGCATCGCGGATCGTAAATATTTGGACGAAATCTTTCCAGACCGGCCTGTAGTCGTATCAGGAGGCGCAGCACACGCTATGCTTCTGAACACAGCTGCGTTAATCCAAGCAGGATACGACGTCGACAACGAGCCAGATGCGCATGGCGCCAAGTTTTTCCGGAGGCCTGATGGCAGTCTCACGGGCGAGCTTGCAGAAAGTGCAATGGCAAAAGCAGCACTCGCAATTCCTGCGCCTAGCCGCTCACATGTCAAGCGAGCACTGAAACATGCCATTCGACTTGCCCACAAGGCTGGAGTGACGAGCACACAAGAAGCAAGCTCGAATACGATCTTATTGCAGGTTCTAAACGACATGGAAAGAGAAGGCTCCCTGAAGCTGGATTTATCTACACACATCGTGCACGAGAACGAGTGGCTTGCCTCGGAAAGTAAAGAGAGTCTGGTGAAACTCGTTGAAATCGCAAATCAGCACTCGAGCAGACACGTGGATACGCGATTCGTCAAAATTATGATGGATGGCGTGCCACTCCCGCCACTGTTTACCCATGCAGAACTAAACGAGCATGGAGATATTGACCACAACAACATTGTACCCAAGGACGTTGCGGATGCTATACTCAGATATGACAAGAAAGGATTGACCATCAAGATCCATTGTACAGGGGAGGGCGCAACAAGACACGCTCTCGATGCTATCGAAGCAGCAAGGAAGAGGAACCCTGGTGGCCCAAGGCACGAGATTGCGCATAATTCAGGTGTTCATGCTGGTGTGTGACTTTTGCAACAGCTACCCCTCAACTCGAGGCGATGCACTGACACCAATATAGATGACTACAAGCGCTACGCTCCACTCAACGTCACTGCAGAGATGTCACCTGCTGAACTCTTCGTACATCCGATAACGGCTGCAAGTGAGGGCCTGATGGACTGGAACTTCGTTCGGATGATGGACGCTGGCGCCCACATCACCATTGGCTCTGATTGGGGTGCTGTACCTGACCCTTCTCTTTTCGAACATATGGCAAAAATTGTCGATACAGTAGGACGTGGAGATAGAGTGGCCGGTGGAGAAGCTTTGTGCCGAATGATGACTTTGAACGGGGCTATGGCTGTGAATCGAGAGAAAGAGCTTGGCAGTATTGAAGCCGGAAAAATTGCAAACTTCATCCTCTTAAGTCAAGATCTCAGCAAAGGTGATTTCGAAGGCGCAAAGGTACTGCGAACGTATTTCGAGGGAGAGAAGGTTTGGGATGCTAGTGAGTGAGCCTTAGGCTCAATACCCACTTGCTTGTAGGTATCCTTACCTACAAGCCTTACGTTTAATCTTGACTTGGTTTTTTGTGCCACCTAACCGTGCAAGCTTGCGGAGTTCAAAGAATCGGCATCTACCATGTCTGAGCGATGTGCACATTCCTTCTTTGCACCTACGCCTCAATAGCTTCGTGGCAATTGTAACACCTTCTCGCTGACATAGTTCAGGATCATCTCTCGACTGACAGGAGCAATGCGTGGCACCATGCATTCCCTAAACCAGCGCTCCACGTCATACTCAGCTGCATATCCCATGCCACCGTGACTTAGAATCGCCCTCTCGCACGCTTTGAAAGCCGCTTCTGCTGCCAAATACTTGGCACTATTTGCTGCAATGCCCACAGCGTCCTGGCGAATGGACAAGTCTGTTGTGCTCGCATCATACAAGCGAGCAGCATGGTAAGTCGCTAACTTGGCTGCCTCGAGGTTCATATACGCATCGGCGAGCGGGTGCGCAATGGCCTGATTCATGCCGATGGGCCTGTTAAACACCTTGCGCTCCCGTGCGTACCCAGCAGCCTTTGCCAGCGCTGCATAACCCAGTCCTAGCGCTTCGCCTGCAAGCAAGCATCTCTCAGCGTTCATGCCGTCCAGGATGATCTTGAAGCCTTGCCCTTCCTTGCCGATCAGGGTACTGGCAGGTACACGGTAATCATCAAAGAACACTTCGTTCGCATCAACTGCACAGCCTCCCATCTTCTTGATCTTCTTGATGTCGAGGCCAGAGTTGCTCTTGTCGACATCGATGCAAAACAGGGAAAGTGCTTGACTTGGCTTTGGTGCCTCCTCGGCGGCCTTTGTGCGCGCAAGAAGGATCATCTTCGATGCGACCTGCGCGCAGGTGATCCAGATCTTCTGGCCGGTGATCGAATACGTGTTGTTGTCAACTTTGGTCGCTGATGTCGTGAGTGCAAGGGTGTTGAGGCCAGCATCGGGTTCTGTGACGCCGAAACATGTTCGCCATTCGCCTGAGATGATCTTTGGTATCGTCTCTTCGAGCTGCTCCTTGGTTCCAAATTTGGCCAACGGCTGGGTCGCGTACACGTTTGCATGTATCGCTTGAGCTCCGGCCATCCCTGCTCCCGATTCGGCTATCGTCTGCATCATAATGGTAGCTTCTGAGATTCCCAGACCAGACCCTCCATAAGCCTCAGGGAGCGCAACCCCAAGCCATCCATCGGCTGCGAGGGCGGCATGAAAGTCTTTAGGGTCAGTTCCCTCCTGATCATGCTCCTGCCAGTAAGTGTTGGGAAACTTTGCGCAAACTTGACTGATTGCTTCTCGAACCATCAATTGGTTCTCCGTAAACCCTGTGGTCTCCATTATCTGCCGTGGGGCGGTGGTTGAGAACGCCCGTCTTCGTGCGGACATAGATGACCAGCTGCAACTCCGCAGAGTTGCTCTGTAGAGATGGGACATTGTCATAATGTAGATCTGAGGTATGGAGCGGTTATCCGACGCGGAGCGTTCGCTGTTATCTTCGAAAACAACGGCAAAAGTACATAGCCGACCTACGGAGTTCTAGTGGGTCTGTGGGAGAGCGAATCCGAACCCCGGATCGACGGTGTCTGTTTGCGGCCTCGTTCTTAATAGCGCCGAACGGGAATTGCAAGTGCGCATTATTGCCATCTCCACCGACTTCGACAAAACCTTGACGATATGTCAACCTCCCTGCCCACAGATTAATCGCACCACTTCCTTTGACTGCAACAACACAGATGCTTGCTAGGTCTCAGTCTCTTGCAGCAACCGTCGCAACGGCCGATCGAGACTCCCAATGACGTTGGCTACTAGGGGCGTACTTTCTTTCGTGTCCGTGACCTCGGATCGATGTGAGGTTTCAGAGGATTCACATTGGTTCAGAAATTCCAACAGATCAAGACGATATGGCATGAGCGCTCTGCTCGATTTGTACGTGGTTGAGAAAGTATTTCGCCTGGGTACGAGCGTCGCGTCGTACATGCATGCGCAAGATCAGTCCTCGGCCATGACCACGGCAACTTGAAGACGGGGTAATTGATGCAGAGTCTTTGCGACCTCGCGGAGAGCAGTATGCGGGGACGTAGAATCGACCCAGCACACGGGCTACGATCTGGGGTCGATTCGTGGAGCAATGTTCGTTAGGCGTCGTGGCCCAGAAACAGCCAAGTCGCCGGCCAACACCAAGATATCAACAGCTGATGCGATAGGCGGAATTCACCAGGGCCCCAATTCTTCCGGTAACTCGTGGCTTGGACCTTCACAGGAACCTAACGACCGCAGTCAACAGCACCTTGGAGAGAGCGGAGCGAGCAGAGTCGGGCCTTTGGCGTTATGAGGATATATCACACTGATCGAATTAGGCGAGCAGCGGTCCAGAGCGAGTATGTATATAAGGTCGAGGAAGGCTGCAGAGATGGTATCGTTACCAGCTGCAGATATTCAATTGATCCCGGAAGAAGCCCACTGCTCAACCTCGACGTGATCCTACATCTTCAATCATGAAGCTCACTTCTGCCCTCGTCGTTCCTCTTATTCCCGCACTGTCTTCAGCAGCTGCTCTTGGTCGCCGCCAGAACCAGCAGGGTGATGGTCCTCAGGGTGATACTGATGCCACACAAGGTGACCTCAGTGGTCGCCCGGCACCGCGCTTCCCATTTCCGCGTGTTGAGTTTCCGATTCCCAAGGAGACCGTTGTTCTCAACGAGACCATGTACATCTACCCCGGCCAGACCTTCGACGGACAGATGAAGCGTTACGAGCGTGTGGATGGTAGCTGCAACGAGCAGGCTGAGGGCACTGACGCCGATGCCGTTTTCAACCTCATGCCCGGCGCCACCATCAGGAATGTGGTAATCGGTCAACATCAATCAGAGGGCATCCACGCTCTGGGTGATGCGTGGGTTGAAAATGGTGAATCAAGCTTCTGCTCATGAAGTAAGACAATTGCTAACATTGGATCTAGTCTGGTGGGAAGACGTCTGCGAGGATGCCCTCACATCCAAGGGTCTCAACACCCAGCTCCGCGTCATTGGCGGTGGAGCTCGCAATGCCCAGGACAAGATCTTTCAGGACAACTCTCTGGGCGGCAAGTTCAACATTACCGGCTTCTACGCCGAAAATTTTGGCACCTTCTACCAGTCGTGCGGCAACTGCTTGAACCAAGCCAAGCGCAACGTCACGATCCAGAACGTCATTGCGGTGAACGGGACTCGCATGGGCATAATCAACCCCAACTTCGGCGACGAGTATCGCATCAAGAATTCGCAGGTCCAGGATGTCACGTTCATGGTCGACAAAGAGATTGGCAACAATGTCCAGACCGTTCCTTACACGATCGGCACAGGGCCGGATGAGAAGTATGCCTTGTACAACATGACCCGCGATGCTATCACTGGCTTCAACGGAACAGCTGCAGACGTGCACGAGCCTGAGGAGCCATATGAGTGGCTTGATGAGTTCTGGCCTGGCAGCTCGATTGCGAAGTAGATGTTGACTGATGAGCGATTGCGAATTATATATTGGTTGATGAGCGATACGAAGTACATGTCGATTGATGAGCGATTGCGAAGTACATGTCGATCGATGAGCGATTGCGAAGTACATGTCGATAGATGAGCGATGAGCGACGACTTGTATGTAGACTTGTATGTAGACTTGTATGTAGACTTGTGATGTGTCGACCGTGTCTGAGCGTCCAACGCTCAAACTCGAAAAAGGTGCCTGAGAAGCAAAGCGACCGTGGCAGCGATGTCCATCAATGCACACAGGGTGGGTGACGTCATAACAGCCTCTACGCGGCTGGTGTTGCGATCAGGCGCAAGATGGAGGAGATTAGAGGCGTCGAGATGGCGACTCGACGAAGCGATGGACGCCAGTCGGAACACCAGACTGTTTCCGAAAGCTTTGCTCGCGGTGGATTGGATATCAGCAAAGAGCCACACGCGGTGCGCCACGGAAATGGTCCCGCGCTTTCCGATGGCGGGACCTACCCCGCGATTCAGGTACCGATGTGGAGTAGAGCTGTTTAGCCATAACAGAGACATTTCCCAGAGGTTTGGATCAGTTGAAATTCCTGTGCTTCCTCATCGACAGTATCAAGCAAAAAGTACCAGGACTACCGACACAATGGCCGCCACAAAAGTAGCCCTCATCACAGCCAGCTCAGCAGGTCTGGGTGCGCAGATTGCGCGCGTGTTCGCGCCAGACTTCCGAGTCGTAAGTTGCCCATTGGCGTGTTTCTCAAGGATGGTGCTGATGGGGCATGATAGGTGATCAACTACTCGTCCAACTCGGAACGCGCGCAAGACCTGATTAAAGAGCTCAATGCCATCCCCAGCGCCACGACAAGCTCCAGCGAGCCACGCTTCCACCTCGTGCAAGCCGACATGTGCTCGAGGTCGTCGGTAGAGAGCCTCGTCAAGGAGACGCTGGACAAGTTTGGACGTCTTGATGTTGTTGTGTCGAACGCAGGGTGGACGCGCATGACGACGTTCACAGACATCGAGCAGCAAGTCAACGACGAGGACTGGGACAAGTGCTTTGTCATGAACGTCAAGACGCACTTGTGGCTTGCGTATGCGGCGAAGAATGCTCTGGCTGAGACAGAAGGGACGTTCATCTCCACAGCTTCGGTTGCAGGTGTGAAGCCGAGTGGGTCGAGTGTGCCGTATGCGGTGACCAAAGCGGCACAGATTCATCTGATGAAGAGCTTGGCTGTGATTCTGGCACCAAAGATCAGGTGCAACTCGATATCGCCTGGTATGCTGCTCACTGAGTGGGGTCTGAAGTTCCCAGAGGCGAAGAGGAATGCGGCCATCAACAATACGAAGTTGAAGAGGCTAGCAACAGTCGAGGATTGCGCGGACCAGGTTAGGGTGTTGGCGCTAAGCAGAAGTATCACTGGGCAAAACATCAGTATCGACGGTGGGTCGTCGGTCTAGAGTGGCATGTGGACATGGGGTGATTCGAAAGAACAGATCTGAAAGCATTGGGTATCTTGCTGTAATGTGACGCAGCCTGGGCAATGGATAGCCTGTCTTCGAGACGCCTCTTGTTCAAAAGAACCTTCACCTCAGCCCTGAAATGCCTCTACCCGTAGAGTGTGCGCCGTCTTCGAGACGCCTCTTGTTCAAAAGAACCTTCACCTCAGCCCTGAAATGCCTCTACCCGTAGAGTGTGCGCCGTCTTCGAGACGCCTCCTGTTCAATAGAACCTTCACCTCAACCCTGAAATGTCTCTGCCCATGGAGTGTACCCTGTCTTCGAGACCCCTCTTCTTCGATTCCAATTGCCGCACTTGTTCCTCTTCCCGGCGCAGGTCTTCTGCTGTCAAGACGACTTCTTCTTGTGGCTCCTCCTCCACATCATCGTTCTCCTCCACATACTCTCCGCGCGAGCGGTTCAGTCGATCGAGCTGGGCCGTCTGTTCGGCAAGGCGGCTCTCGTAGTACTCCAGCGAAGACTCGAGTCGGGCGTGTCGCTGGCGCATGGCGGCAATCTTCTCACGGGCGCCTGGGACCTGGTATACGGCCAGCAGCTTCTCAGCACCCTCGAGCAGCGGTTCGACGTCGACTTCGTTCTTGCTGCTCGGGTCGTACTTGCGGTAGCCCAGACCTGAGCCAGCACCGCCGCCTCCCCCTCTCCGGATCCTCTCTACCAGTTCATTGCCGAGGACTGCGGCCACAGCCGTGTTACGTCTGGGTGCGCGCACTGCATTGGCTCCACCGCCCGAGGTGCTTGCGCCAGGTCCGGCGCTGGGATTGAAGATGGTGTTGCGGCGGTTGCTCGATGTCGAGGGCTCTGCATGCGTAGGCGCAGCGGGCGGCGGCGGGACAGAGAAGAGGGCGCGCTCGTGGGCTTCCGTATCGCGAATCAGGCTGGTGATGTCGTGATTCTGCAGCAGGGCGTTGGTGAATATCTTGGGCGGGGCGAAGCTAGACGGTGCTTAGAGGTGCAATAGGAGGGGAGGGGAGTGGGGGTTGGCGTACTGCAGGTCGGCGATGGAGGCGGAGCAGAGCGAGATCTGCTCGAGGTGGTTGTGCAGCAGCGTCATGACGGGCGTGCGGGCGGCGAAGGGGCAGGTGCAGACAGGTGCAGGCAGGTGCAGGCAGGTGCAGGCAGGTACAGGCAGGTGCAGACAGGTGCAGGCAGGTGCAGGCGCTTTGCCAGGCACTGCCAGGCAGGGAGAGAGAGGGAGAGTAGGCGGGGGGTGGCCGTGTTTGAGGCGCGTCAACAGCATGGAGCGGCGGGGCTTAGTCATCGATGCACTCGCCGACGTCAATCCATCGAGCAGCGCAGTGGCAGCTCCTCCGAGCTTGCCTCCAACCCGCCAGCGCCGCCCTCACAGTCTCCCCTCCTCCATCCGCTCCTCCCTCGCCGCCTTCACCGCCCACCCACACCTCTCGTCTCTCACATGACCGCGGCAGCCATGGCCGACAGCATGGAAGGCGTCGTCGCAGCGGCGGAGAAGCCCACGGCCGAGCAGACGGAGCATCAGACCATCGCCGGTGAGTACCGCAGCCCGCCCCCATGGACTCTCTGGACTCTCTCGACTCTCTCGACTCTCTCGACTCGCCCAGCGAGGCGCCCTTTGCCTCGCGCTGCTCCTGCGGCCATTGCACCACGCCCGGCCGCATGTGTGCAACGCACCTCCACGCCATCGCCTTCGCCTCGTGCAAGTACCTGTGCTGCCGCGCTGACCCCGCCGCCCTAGACATCCGCGCCAACTTTGCGCTGCTCGAGCGCGCCGTTGCCCAGTTCGACTCGCGCTTCGCGCTGCGCGCGCTGCGCTCCATCTCGTCGCTCCGCACCCGCCTCACCGACCGCGTGCTGTGCTCCGTCATCATCCTGACCTACTCGCCCAACAATGCCACGGCGCGCACCTTCATCGAGTACATCGGCATGGACGGCGCCGCCATCCAGAGCGTCGTCGCCCAGTACCGGGAGGAGGTGCAGGCAAACAAGTCCAGCGCCAAGGAGCCCATCCCCGAGATCGACGTCTACATTGCCATCCTGATCCAGGTCTACCTGTACGATCAGAAGGACCACGACGAGGGCGCCGAGTTTTCGGAGAAGCTGGTCGACAAGATCCGCGACATGAACCGCCGCACGCTCGACCCGCTGGGCGCAAAGGCCTACTTCTACTTCGCCCTCTTCACCGAGGAGATGGACCCCAAGCCCCCGTCCAAGCAGTCGCCCGTCATCGACATCCGCGGCAAGCTGCTGGCCGCCATGCGCAGTGCTGTTCTGCGCAAAGACCCCGACACCCAGGCCGCCGTCACCACGCTCCTCCTCCGTAACTACATTTCGACCGCCGACATTACACAAGCCGATCTGCTCGTCGCCCAGACACAGTTCCCGCCCAACGCCCCAAACAACCAGGTCGCCAGGTACCTGTACTACCTTGGCCGCATACGCGCCATCCAGCTGTCCTACACCGAGGCGCACGAGCACCTCACCAGCGCCACACGCAAGGCGCCCTCTGGCAACGTGGCAACTGGCTTTTACCAGCAGGCCATGAAGCTGTTGATTGTCGTCGAGCTGCTCATGGGCGACATTCCCGACCGCGATGTCTTCGGCCAGCCTCGCCTGGAGCGTGCTGTGGAGCCCTACTTCCGTCTGGTTCGCGCTGTCCGTGTCGGTGACCTGCAGGGCTTCCTAAAGGTCGTCCAGACACACTCCAAGGTCTTCCACAAGGACCAGACCTACACATTGATTCTCCGTCTGCGACAGAACGTCATCAAGACCGGCATCCGCATGCTGTCGCTATCGTACTCGCGCATCTCCCTCCGCGACATCTGCATTCGTCTTGGCCTCGAGAGCGAGGAGTCGGCCGAGTACATTGTCGCAAAGGCCATCCGCGATGGAGTGATTGAGGCATCCATCGACCACGAGAAGGGGTTCATGCAAACAAAGCAGGCAGGAGACATCTACGCAACTCGCGAGCCCGGCGAGGCGTTCCACGACCGTATCCGGGCTTGTCTGACGCTCCACGACGAGTGTGTCAAGGCCATGCGCTACCCTATGAACCAACACAGGCTGGAGCTGAAGAACGCTCAGGAGGCGAGGGAGCGTGAGCGCGAGCTGGCAAAGGAGATTCAGGAGGGCGATATTGACGACGATGATGCGGGCGGTGACTTTGATGGCTTGTGAAGCTGTAGAAGAGTAGCACGCAGAACTGGTGCTGTCTGGCAAGCATGACACACGGGCCAAACGGTGACGCAAACACAGGTCACCCTAATGATGCACGAATAGAAGAGCATTGATACGACCACATGATTTTTATAACTGTATACGTGTGGCTGCAACATGCACGCGGCTGAAACGATGTCGGTGGACCCATGCAGACACATCCCCACCAAGTGTGGAGCTAACTTGTTCGAGTGAAACGCGCCCGCGGAGGTCCGCAGCTCTCCCATCACGTCTCCCCCGCGTTCAACGCGAACACCTGCTTGGCAACGGCTCACGTGTCACTCACCTTCGGGTGCTCAACCATGGTTCGTTGTCATCAACATGTACGTTGGCTCTGTCCGGATACACAACTACCTCGTGTGGCCAGGGAGAACAACTGATAGCCTGCAGGATTGATGTACCGCGGCGCCTGCGTCGCGCCATCCTGCTGAATGACCTGCCTCTCGTGCGGCGCATCATCCGCAACAACCCCAACTACCTGCGCAATCCCGACTACGACGACAAGAGCAGCACGAACCTGCACCTGGCTGCAAAGCATGGCTTCACGCAGATCGCTGTATGTTGTCCTGCGAGCACCTACGAGCACCTACGTCATCTCGAGTCCGTTGCTGCTGGCCATGAATCGTCGAGTGAATATGTGGAAGAGTCAATGCTGACACCCTCATCCAGGAGTTCCTCGTCGACGCTGGTCACGAAGAAGGCACTATCAGCCGCAACAACGACTTCGAAACGCCCCTGATGTTCGCTGCCACGGCCGGCAAGGAGGAAACCGGAGTCTTTCTGGCAAAGCGCTTCCCTGAATGCATACCGTGGGCAAACAAAGCTGGCCTAGACGCTGTATGTCAAGCCTCATACAGACGCAGTGGATTTGTACTAACAGCCGACCAGCTCATGCTCTCCAGCAAGTCCGGCAGCGGCACCCTCCACCTCATCCCGACCCTCATCCTCCAGGATCCAAGCATCCTCACCGCAACCGACAAGTCCGGCAACACAGCACTCCACCACGCCTCCGCTGCCGGCGAGTTCAAAGTCCTCCGCTTGCTTCTCCAATACGGCGCGAACCCCCTCGTCTCGAACGCATACAGTTGGACTCCAGTCCACTACTCCGCCAGTCCCGCCGCAGAAGCATACTTTAAATCGCTCATCATCGACTTTGAGAAGAAGAAAGCCGAGGGCAGGCGCGAACTGCAGGAGCGGCAGAAGCAGAGGCAGGGCGGAGTGCGCCTGGTCACAGACGGAGATGCGCTGGTCGGCAGGGGCAGCAGTGAGAGTGAGCGCGTACGAACGCGGGCCAGGGACGATGCAGGACTGCAAGGATTGCCGGCGCCCGGCATAGATTGGAGTCCTGTTGAGAAGAGGAGGGCTATGACGCCTACGGAAGGGAGGGGGTGGACGTTTACGCCAGATGGAATGAGGCCGAGGGCCGAGACAGCAGAGAGCAGTGGGACAGTGTAAACTACTTGGTCACTCGGCGTTCGGTTGGAATTGGTCTGGCGTTTGGAGTAGGTCGTCTTCAAGTCTTTTTGTTCTTTTTGATCAAGCATTTCGAAGCAATTCGACCATCTTCCCGACTTCCTCGGAGTCTACTTCCTCGTCTGGTCCCGTGATGGCCGCAGAGTGCACCCACTGCACACCGGTCTCATGCTTCAAATCCACAACATTCGTACTCCTGATTCCACCACCTAAGATGATACTAATCCGCCCGCTGTACTTCTGCTGCAACTCTCCTACTCTCGCCCTTCCTTCCCACGCGTTCTTCGCCCCACCACTTGTCAGAATGCTCGCGAACCCACAGTCAACAATGGTCTCGACTGCAGCATCCAGATCTGTCACATCGTCGATTGCGCGGTGGAACGTACAGGGCAGCGGCTTCGCCGCTTCCACCAGCTCTCTGTTCCTCGCTTGGTCGATTTCGTTGCCCGCGGTCAGGATGCCAAAGACGAAGCCATCCACCGCGCTCGACTCTTTGAACATGTCAATGTTGCTCTTCATCTGGCTGCACTGTGCGGCCGAGTAGGTGAAATCCCCGCCGCGAGGGCGGATCATGACATGGATCGGTTTATCCGTCGCTTTTCGAATGGAGTGCAGCGTGGACAGGGAGGGCGTGACGCCGCCGGCGGCGTAGTCGGCGCACAGCTCGATCCGGTCGGCGCCTGCTTTTGCTGCTGTGACGGCGGAAGCGGCGTTGAAGCATGCTATTTCCAACATCGTGTCGAGTGTTGCATGTTACAGTTCTCGGGTCGAGCAACGCTTGCATCTATGCAGATGCAGAGTGTGGGCTAGTGGTGAGTCTAGCTATTTCACGCCTAGACTCCATATAGTCACAAAACTCCAGCCTGATCGCTCTCCTCAATGGGATCAGTCTGCGCTTCCATTGCCTACGATGATCGCTCTCCTAAAGCCGTCTTGCTGTGGTGGAGTCGCAACTCGCCAGATTTCGACATGCGTTGACATACCGGTACACTTCTGACTGCCCTCGACTCACCAAAGCGCGATACAGGCGGTCAGATCAGCAAGCAAGCCAGCTCTTATCAAAGAATCCGACAAACTCAAAACCTGATCCAGAAGTGTAGGAGCCACGCATCCAGGAATGCAGCGGGGATGCTCTTTTGATATCGTATCGCCTGCGCAAAGCGCCATGCTATCGTGGGAAGTTCAGTCCTCACTTGTAGACGAAGATAGTGTCGTCCATGTCATCTAGTGAAGCAATCGCAAAATCTATTATGCAAGCGCACCTCCGCATTGCCCCGCCCACCCGATCCGTCTCGCCCTCCTTCCCTTCTACACCCACTGGTCTCGGCTCCCAGATCATCGGCTCCTTTGACCAACACGCCCGTTTCAACGGTGTAAGGCTCGTTCACCCATCTCTACAATATCATCCCGGTCTCACGGAGGAGAAAGATCACGATCCTGGGCGAGCGCCGTCACAGGAAAATCCGCTTGTCTTCTACGTACTAAACAAAGACAGGTGGGAGGTGGCGATAGAGAGGATGACAGGTGCTAGGTTTGCGACTGTCAAGAGCTACAATCTCTACTAGTACGGGACGCTGATGGCAAGGGACAGACCTATGAGGATGCTGCTGGGTATCGAGTTGTGCTGTGGAATGGGGGATGGGCTATACTCTAGCTAATAAACCTTACTTCAAGCCGACTAGGTGCCTTCAACATCAAGCTCACAACGTGTAAATGAACTCAGGGTTCTCGCGATCCGTCAGATCCAGCCACTCCTGGTTCTCCAATCGTACGTAGCCAGGCGCTGCTCGGATCGCCGCCTTCTTCTTGTTTTGTCGGACGCAATAGAAGTGGATGAATGCCAAAATACACAGACATATTCCCCAGCAGACAATTATGGTCACTTCAGCGGGGACGTAGCGTGGTGCATCGCCTGGACGGAAAGTTTGTGGGCCTATAGTAGGTCAATTTTGAATACACTGCCGGGGGAGATCTTCAACTCACCAATGATGTTACCCACACAGTATCCAATCAGATACATAGCCGCAACAGTCGTCTTCTTTGTGTACCCGGCCACATTACTGGAGAGCAGACTCAGCAGCGCAACGAATGCTGTTGGGCTGGCTTGAGTCAGGTAATATCCGGCGAGACGACCAGAGTTATGGCTCAGGGGCAGCGCAACGATCATGATCATGCCGATCATTGCGGTGCAGATACCGATCATCGATATGAGAATGCGGTAACCGTACTTGTCGCCAGCCCAGCCGCAAGCAAGCAAGAAGACAACTTCGACGGCGCCGCCAGGTGTACCGTAGAGAAGCGATTGTTCAGGTGTATAGCCAAAGCCCACGATGAGCTGCGAGAAGAAGTTGGAAATACCACCTGCAGGCTGTTAGACGTTGTGTGGAACTTGCAGAGCCTGGTTTTTTACCGTTGGGGATGTCAGTAATGAGCGCAAAGAAGAAGAACGCCCAGCTCAAAGGATCTGTGAGCGCTTCCTTGAGCTGATATATCTTGTAGTGTTTGTTTCCAATACCCTGTTGGTTCACCCTCACACGCTCGATCGCCAGGATTTGGTCCTCCTTGCTCAGCCATCGGCAATTGAGCTGGTTGTCAGGCATGATAAATAGGAAGAGAATTCCAACAGACATGGTCAGGAGTCCAGTCACAAGGAAGATGATCTTCCACGGTTCGATGATCGTGCCCGTCTTGCGACACCCAACTGCAATGCCGTATGCAACAACACCGCCAAATATCTGTGCCCATCCGTTGAAGCTGAACCAGATGGCTGTGCGTGAGCCCTGTTCTTTCTTGGTGTACCACTGCGACGTGAAGAGGGCAAAGCCAGGTGTTACAGCACTCTCGAAGACGCCAAGGAAGAAACGGACCGCGATGGCACCAGAGTAGTTCTCAACGGCTGCGAAACATGACAGTACAAGACCCTATTATATGTCAGTCCTTACTTCTGTGCTATTAGCTGGATAGTTGTGTGCTCACCCACATAATGATGTTGAAGGCCGAGTACTTTCCAAGTGGCAGCATCTGTAGCAAGCGAGTTGTAGGATACTCCCATGCAATGTAACCGAAGTAGAACATCGATCCCAGCCATTGGTAATTGTCTTTCGTCAGGTTGATTCCGGAAGCAAGCTTGTTGCTTGATGGCGGTAGTCGAAGGCCCATGACACTGGCGTAACTCAGGGTCGTCTTGTCCCTACATCAGTTAGCTTCTGGAGGTACCTCATTGATCATGGCGATGCTGACAGGTAATTGAGCCCATAGACAAGGCACATGATCTGCATCAGTCAGCTTCCGTAGAAGATTCTGCAAGCAGTGCAATACTGACAGGCATCAAGTGCCAGTCGATCTTTCTCAGCAGCGCTTTGTTCTTCTCTGGTGTCAACTCAATGACCTGCCCGTCCATGCCGTCAAAAGCCTTCATCGCAGCGTCCACATCGTGAGAGTGATTCAATATCTTCTCATCGAGCTTCTGCACTATGCCCGGCGAGACCGAATCGTTGTCAGTGGCCGAGACCACCTTCTCGACGGCCGCTGGTTGGTGCGTCGCCTCTGTTGCTGTGGCCATCGTGTCCAGGCGTGGTGCTGCCGAGACTAGTTGCGAGCAGGATTGGGATGAGGGTCAAAGCTGCTGCGGTACAAGCAATATTAAGAGTGGCGCCAACGCTCCAAGCTTTATATAGCGGTCACTAATAGGGAGAGGCGCGCACGTCGGGTACTATTGCCCGATGATAACGCCCTTACTTGCCGAACATACTGCCACTTATCGATGATAAGATACCCCGATAGTCTTGACGCTATCTGTAGTTGCCATTGCCTTTGCCATACCGACATGTAATGCGGGGTAGTTCGACTTTGGGTGACATAACAGACGAGCCGTGGTACGTCCGCGATAGGTCAGACGAGTGATATGCATATCGGTTGCCAGATCGGGCAGCTGCTACGAGAGGTGGTGTTACCGTTCGTGAGAGTGATAAAATGTGGATAAGCGTATCACTTCGCGCTCTCGATAGATAGACGTACACAACTATACCTCAATAATGCAACAGGCTAACCATCGGTGTTGCAGAGAAGTTGTGTTGTGATGTCAGCAGCAGAAAGTCAATCGAGTCAGTCAACCTTCACGCGGCCTAGCGTGCGCATCACAATTAAGCATGTAAATAAGGTTAAGCTTGCAACCAATTGATAATGCAACGGAAAGATGGATTGAAAATCTTCTTGCAGCTACTACGCTAATGCAAATCCGCATCTATGTGATGCTTCCACATATGATGGGCTGTAAGGTCAACCACAAAACTCCAGGCGCTTTCGGCTCTTGCAGTGACCGTATTTTCACGGCCATGACTCCAAACGCCGCCCATATGCAGTTCGTAAATGCTAAAACACCCACAGAGTACAAACAGAGTACAGCCGACTTGAAAGAAAACGAATGTGCAGAGAAAGAAATCCTATGACCTAACGAAGACGCTGTTGAGCTTATTCAGCGCATTGCTATCCGCCGCAGTGCTGTTTGTAGCCAGACGCTCCGGTGCAAGATCACGAGGAAATCTCGATACAGTGTTTGGACTGCGGCTGCCAGAGCGCGACGAGGCTTGGTTGTCCTGGTCGGCGCCATTGGTGTTGAGAAGGGAGGTTAGTGTTGGCAGAGGACGAGATGCTGCTGCATTAGCGGCCTCAGCACCATTCTGAGCGGGCGTCTTGTCAGCGTCAGGTGCTGATGGCTTGGTAATGCCCACAGAAGCTGCAGCACCGTTGATAGCGGGCAGCTGTGGTCCAGGCTCGGGCCCCGACGCAGCGGGAGCAGGAGGAGGCGGTGGTTGGCGTTGAGCCAGCTCAGCAGAAGATGGTGCGCGCGCTGGAGGCGGGCTGACCATGTGATAGCCTGCCTGGGCAGCGTGCGCGGCATACAAGGAATGTTGAGCGTAGATGGGGTAGCCTGGCGATGCATGATGGTGGCCGACAGGCTGTGGAGGACGGTCAAGAGTATGGCCCTGTGGATGTGGAGGCATGTAGTAGCCGGGTGGTGCGTAGACAGGCTGGTAGAAGAAGCCTGGATGACCAGCGCGGTATGGGTGACCTGGGTGACCTGGGTGACCTGGGTGACCCGGGTGACCTGGGTGACCAGTTTGTGGTGTAGGCGGGTACATTGGAATAGCGTACATTGGAGCCACAGGACCGGGATGTGCGTACGGCGAGGCTGGGCCCATGGTGTATGCGGCGGCAGCGTGAGGCGAGCCAGGCATTGGCCCACGGGTGACGGCGGGCGCGGCTTGAGTCTCGGCGAGTGCGGACTCAGGGTACATGTTCTTAGGAGGCCTGATGTGTCGCAGTTGCGCGTCGTTGGTCGGTTGTGGAAGGTTGTTGGAGTTTGAGCGAGAGTAGTAGCTGATGAGGTGGAGATGCTGGCCACTGGAGGTTGTGATACTGAAAGATTGCTTCATAAGACCGTCTGGCTTGTACCGGTACCCATCTGGGCCCTCACCATCCGAGTCGCCTGTCGCGGAACCGTCGGGAGACTTGCCGCTCGCCCTCTTGACAAGCGGTGGTGTTGGTGCGGCACCTCCTCGCTTGCCCTCCATCTCACGATATGTCAAGAAGCTGCCAGACACTCGGCTTGCGCTCCATGACTTGCCATCTGTCCACCTCTTCATGCCAGCCTCGCGCTCATCCCATACAAACACTGAGCCTGACTTGATCTGCTGGCGCTCTTTCTCTGACAGACGGCGCTGAACGCGTGGTAATATGCCGATGCGGCAGGCTTCGAACAGGATGATCGCATCGTTGGGTGTGCGAACGTGACCGTGATATGTCTCCATTGTAGATGTGCGGATGTGGATGTGGGTGTGTGGTAGTGGGTGATGCGAGCTGCAGTCGAGAACCGCTATTCAAGTACTTCTGCAAGTGCTAAAGGTGCATTGAGTGCCTGAGGGACTGAGTCAGCTTGAGTTGACTGTATCGGTTTGTGGTGCAGCCAATATTTGTTAAGGGCCGGGGGGCAGAGGGATGGAACAAGGTTGGAATAAGGTTGACTGCCAACCTTGTGACAGACACAGATCCCACTCCACTCCGGCAAAAGCCGATGCAATTCGCATGCGCCTGACGTGCAAATGAGGCTCTTACACCACACGTGGGATATGGTCAGGCGTGCAAGGGGACACAGCTGCGGCTTTGCACAGATGTGACTGCAGAGAGATATACTGCAGTAAAGGCACTTACGGTAATGTAACACTTGTGACGGTGACAGACTGGGCGGTAGGCAGTACTTTGCTTCCTATAAGCGGTTACACGGCAACAGCAAGGCTGGGCGGCGTTGCGTGGGGCTCCAGTGGCGTGAAACGGACTGTCGATGAAACTGCTTATTGACGTGACAGACGTGCGCGGCAGTGGGCGCTCGGTATGTGCAGGGGATGCGCTATGGCTGGGGCGGGTGAGGATAGGGAGCGAAAAAAATCAGAAACCACTCATCAATAGGCGCGGGTGCACTCTTCATGTACGCTCTGGGGCTTGCAGCGCAGAGCGGAACCTAGTCCACCTGGAATGCCCTCAGGCCTTTCTCGGCGCTAGGGTCTTGTTCTTGATCGACGCCCAGGCTTGTAGTGGCGTTGGATAGCGAGATAAGGCCCCTCAAGCTGCCGGGACAAGCTTTATTCGGATGCCGTTGGCTGCTAACTTGGGGCCGCTCACCCCGGCGGTGCGACCCACGAGCGCGTACATACGCGGCAGCGTCGCCTTGTGCTCTTCATCGCAGCCAGGCTCCAAGAATTTTCGGCTTTACGCTTCCATTTGCGCCCGAAACACAACAGGCAGGCAGCAGCGATCTGTTCACATGCCCCTAAGGCTTGGATCGCTGGCGCCCAGTCCGCTCGATGCGTGGTCTCGACTCGCCAACTACTGCCAAGCTTTGTGTAGCCGGATAACTCTAAATGGCGCTACACAACCTAAACCCAATCTCTGGTATTTACCATCGACAAGCCTTTCGCGGCTTGGCTGTTCCACTCTGACCCCAGTTCTGACATCTCCCAAGCCTTTGCGCGAAGTCCGTCACTCCGTCTTGTGATCCTTGGCTACTGCTCGCGTGTGGCCCAGCGCCGTTGGCCGCTTGAGACAATTTGCCCAGCGCTTGGCCCAAGACGCCTCAGAGCACCACCGCGATGCTCGCCCACTAGCCTCAGCGCTGGGAGGACAAGGACATCTGCCGGATTCTGGGCAGCCGGCTCCGCTGAGCTGAGCGCTGCGGCCACAGGCAGTCCGCCGCAGCCCAGACGGGCGATCACACACTGCTCAGGAAGCTGATGGAAGCCTGCGACTTAGATCACGCCGTCTGCAGTTTCATTTCCCTGACGTTCTCCGCACTGGTGGATAGCAATCCTAGGTGTGTCCGCTTGCTGTCTACGTGGAAGATTCCGGTGTCACCACCCAAGCACACCACGCCTCCGCTCCTTGGACAGTCCGCGCAGCTCCACTGTAACGTAATGGACCGCCTCCTATTCCTTAGCAGTCCGCTTAGGGGCTCGGCCAGAGCATAGATTAAGCTTGGTGCCTGTGGTTTAAGCTTACTATGTGCCACGAGGTTCCGATTTAACCATGCTGACGGTGTGACGGGCTACAAGTCCGATGGCATTCCCGCAACTGTACAAGACATCTATTTCTTGTCCATCGTCATTTTTACCAACCTTAGTAAGCAACCTCTTGGAAATATAGCCTTGACAGTGCGGTGACGATTGCACATGCCCCTCAGCATAAGAGATCAATATCGACTGGTATTCAAGCACCTTCGCATGGACTGGGCGTGGCAGCTGCGGACCGGTGTACGGAACACCACAAGAGCATATTTAGCTGCCACCCGTACTCCTGGGCTTCCCGTATATTCGTTACATCCTGCCCAAGGCAGTATGGCTGGAAGACACTATCAACAAGGCGTAATTTTCAGCTTGCCGGAGTGAGACAAAGGCCCGAGTCCCGCTTCATTGGCGCAGGTCACACTCAAGTCTGCCAAGGCGCAGACCACTTTTCCGTTTCTATGAGTGGCCAAGCTTCGCGTTCCCACGTCTAACAATGGCCCCATCTTGTCATGAGGCCGCGTCAGCGCGATTGGAATTGCCCAGCACTCTGAATCTTGACTAGAACCCGCATACCGGCACTTTGCAAACGATTGGGGCATCATTCGGATTGCAGGAGCCTTGGGACCTTCATGCCGTGTGCCGTCAGCCTGCTGCGTCCTCTGGAATGTAACATTGCGGGGTCTGGATATTCTCCAGAAAACCAACAACACGAGGAAAGCCACAGGACGGCTGGTAGCATCCAGCCGATGTCGTTTCCGCTTGCAAGGGCAGATAAGACTAAAGCAGGTTATGAGTTTAAGCTTAATTGCTCATCAACCCCGGTTTGGCCAGCCGCAAGCCACTCCGATCAATACCTTAAAGCGCGCCAAAGGCCGCCACAAGATTGTCTGACCAGCCCACAATAATGCACTATCTCTATCGCGCGCCTCATACTGACAGTGTCGCCGGATCGTGGAGAAGCAATTACCGTATTATCGCGGTCGTGCCTCGTGCTTTTCCTCACTAGTAACCGCGTTTGCAAGCTCTTGCGAGCTGACGGATGAGGCAGATTGGAGGCGCAGTTCACAAGGCCACGAGAACAAATTTTGAAAAAGGTCTAGATGCTGCGCCAGCGGATCATCGTACAGCGGTTCAGATGGTTTGATGGCTGTCGACCCACGAGTGATGAGTGGACGGAGCCCAGGGAAGAATTAAGGTAGGCCAAGCAATCGTGCTTGCTCAATAGCGCCCGGAATCTCCCAAACCTTCCAACAACGACCCGACGCAAATTATCTTGAACGCACTACGTTCTCTTCGCGATGATTGTTGCTACGGCTCATGGCGCGCACTTCCGCTCCTGAGAAGTAGATCAGAGCACGCAGAGCACGCAAGTTCAACACTGTGTCCTCCGCGCCACCTTCATGCGCGTCAGGTCTTCGGGTTGAAGAACGGCAATGTGGGCCTTTCAAGCGAGTGACTGACAATGCTGCAAGTGTGATCACGTCCCACCTTAGTCGGCCCAATGCTCCGCTCGCCTCAATCGTCAACTCAGTAATCCGCCGAAAGTGAATGCACGGTCATCAATGGTAATGAAACAGCTTGTCGTTAGACGCCAGGGACGCCGACGATGAGCAGTCATCCACGGTAAATTGCAAACCATTCCTCAATAACGGAGCCTCTCTAGCCTTCTACTACCACGCATCGCAATCATCCACTTCTGGCCTCCCGTCAATCCTTGAATAGCAACATGAGCAACATAGCAACATAAGCAGCACATCGACTGTCAGTGGCTTGCTGTCCAAGTCTCGCACCGCCGCACCCTAGAGCTTGGTTCAGGTCTCCTCCTGCATCCGTCTGCACTCCTGCAATTGTCCACGAACCACGTTCATCGCGCCCTCACTTGCCGTTCGAGAAGGATTGGTGGCTGAATCCTCTTTCTTGGCCTAACCCACGTGCGTCAGGTACATGCTCGACGAACAAAGCGCGTCTTACCTGGCACATTCCTATTGCCACACTGGACGTCGCAAATTTGCGTGTACCAAGGTGCTGTCCGGAGATCACGGTATACTAGTGCCCCTGAAGTGACACTTGTATTGGTAGTATTTCTGCATTGGGCAGGTGGCACCAACGACACTACTTTAAAGCGCAGACTTTTGCTTGTGCGGTTACATGCGCCCGTAGGTACTCACACAGAATTTCTCGCTGGCAACTGTATGATGAGAGCAAGACCGTGTGTGGGTCTGATGGGTTTACCACCTTCCTGCAAAATAAGTCTCGAGTATAATTTTTCCTTCGCCAAGAACCACTGGATCTTAGAAATCGTTGCAGTGACACATCGCCATCTTTTCAAGCTTTGCGGCGCGTAAAAGTTTCTGTGGAGCTTGGAGAGCATGGAGCAAGGATGATTTGTATGGTACAATCACAGCGTCGATATGATTTCGACCTAAAGCATTCGATCGAGTTTTTCGTACCGCGGTAGCTTGAACCCATTGTTGTTCTCCTCTGCAGTTCTATTGCCTCCGATCAGTCTTGCAAACGACGGAAAGCTGGCCGCCCATGCCACCACCGATATGCCAGACTGGAGCAACCACCTTTCCCACGCCATGTCTGGATGCACTGCGCCTGGCAAGATGCCAGGGATCTTCTGCGTCTGCTCAACGAATGGGCGAAACGCTTTCTCATACGCGTCCAGCGCTGACATGGGATGCTGATCAGGCTGCAGCTGCGCCAGCTCGCCAGCGAGCATACAGCCTCCCAGTATCGCCAGGCTGGTGCCCATGCCCGTCAGCGGCGTGGGCGCGAATGCGGTGTCTCCCAGACAGATGACGCGATTGTGACTCCACCTGTCCATTTTGATCTGCTGCATGGGGTGGAAGTAGAAGTCCGGCGCCGCGCTCATTGCGTCGAGGAGTCTCCTCGCTTCCCACCCCACACTTGCGAACTCCTGCTTCACGAGCTGTTCCTGCTTTGTTCGCCCTGCTCGTATGGCGTTTCGCCAGGCAATTTTCTGGGCCTCGTTGTGCGGCATGATGGTAAACATTGCTCTGGTGGTGCCGTGGGGGTCGGGCCGGAGAGTGATGATACGTGATTGCAAGCCGATATAGACGTTCCACCACTTGTTGTCTGTTTTCGTCTTGGGAACGGTGAAGTACACAACGTACATGTTCTTGTCAATCACATTTACAGACTCCGGTACGAAGACTTGTTTCCGCAGCTTTGACCACTGGCCGTCCGCTACGACTAGCAGATCAAATTCTTGCACGGAGCCGTTACTGAGTTCGATCTTCACGCTGTCGTCGTCGTTGTGGAGGACTTGCTGAATCGTGGTGTCGAAGAGGAACTCTGTCGAAGTTTGGGCTCTTGACGCTTCCCAGAGGATCTTTGCCATGTCTCCTCGTAGAATCTCAAACTCGGATGTGAAACTTGCGATCGAGTTCTCCTTAATCGGAAAGGAGGCGAGTGGTCGACCGTTGTGGTCGACCAACTGAGTGCCCTCCTCTTGGGTGTGGTAGCGTTTGACCTCGTCGAAGAGGCCCATCTTCTTGATGACTGTCATGGCGACACCAGTGATGTCGACATTCTGTCCGTGGGGCAGAAGTGCTGGGCCTTTTTCGACGATGGCAATGCGTGCTCCATCTTGGATAAGAAGCATGCTAAACTTGGACCTGCCACGCCAGCCCCTGAGATGAGAACGCGCATGGTTGGTGGTGAAGGAGGAGGCTGTGACTGGGTCGTTTAGTAGGTGGTCGTTATCGCTGTATTCATCACACCTTGAGTTGATCCAAGAATCGTGCGACTCCTCTACCTTCTGATATACATGGTTGGCGTTCGGATACTGTCACCTGCTCGGGCCCGTCGAGTCCCCAGACCCCGAGAAGTCGCAGTCTAATGAGGTGCGCCAGCAAATAGAACTACACAGCGTACGGAACTGCCTTTGCTGATGCTGCGACACTTGCAGGAGCAGAAGACATGCATATCGGATGCGTGGAGCCGTGGAAGTGCGGAGCGCGCAACGCAGAGCTTTGAGGCTCTGAGGTTCTTGGCGAGTCCCCGCACAGGGCTGGGTCGACGAAAGATGTGGGGCACTCACTGTCCAAGCAGCAGCTCAGGCAGCGCCTAAACATCGCCATCAACTTTGAATTCCCCTCTCGCATTGCTTTGAGCGTTCATTTCCTTCGGCAGAATGTCTCTCGTGCCAGGTAGGAGCTTTCACCCGCTTCCATAGGCATTGACTGACCACGGTAGACGCCATCTGGGCTGCATCGCCCGCAACCACCCGTGGCCAGCCAACGCCTCTCTCGTCTGATCCCAAGGGAGAACGGATAGCATATGCTGTGAGTAGGTCGGATCGAAATGTGAAGCTTGCTGACGTGAACCTGCGCGTACCAGTCCGGCAAATCAATCTTCCTCCGCTCCATCGACGACCCCGCCGTCAGTAAACAATACACCCAACACACGGCCCAGACTACGGTCGCTCGTTTTTCGCCCTCAGGCTTCTATGTGGCAAGCGGAGATGTGTCTGGAGCTGTGAAGATCTGGGATTGCGCAGGCGAGGGCGCTACCAAAGGTGCGGATGCGAAGCTGCGTGGGCCGGGAAGGGCCACCGCAGACCGCCGGCGGACAAAGTGAAGCTGACCATGTTCAGGCGACTACCACATCATCGCCGGCCGAATCAATGATATCGCATGGGACGGCGACTCGCAGCGTGTCATTGCAGTCGGTGACGGCAAGGAGCGATTCGGACACTGCATCACAGCAGACAGCGGCAACAGCGTGGGAGAGATCTCGGGGCACTCGCAGCAGATCAACAGCGTCTCGATCCGTCAGCAAAGACCACTACGAGCTGTGACTGGGTCTGACGACAGCAGCCTTGTCTTCTACCACGGCGCACCTTTCAAGTTCAACACCAGCTTGAGAGAGCAACACAACCGCTTCGTATTCGGTACTGCTTTTTCTCCAGACGGCTCGATGTTCGCAAGTGTTGGTGCTGATAAGCGCATCTGGCTATACGATGGCAAAACCGGTGAGGCTAAAGGTCAGATTGGGGAGGGCGTCCACACCGGTTCCATTTTCGGCATCTCCTGGGCGAAGGACTCGAAGCAATTTGTCACAGCTAGCGCAGACCAGACTGTCAGGATATGGGATCCCGAGGCGGGCAAAAGTATCCAGACCTGGAGAATGGGCGAGGAAGGTGTTGTCAGCATTCCTGACCAGCAAGTCGGTGTTGTATGGCCCACAGGCCGCAGTGACGGCTTGATCGTCAGTGTGGATCTGGAAGGAAACCTCAACTACCTGGTTGATGGAAGCCCTACGCCAACTAAAGTAGTGCGCGGACACCAGAAGAACATCACATCTTCTGGTGTCTCGGGCTCGACGTTCGCTACTGGTAGCTACGACGGTCGAGTCCTTGCTTGGGATGTCTCCACAGGGCTTGCGGACAAAGTCGAGGGAGACTCACATTCCAACTACGTTGCAGGCATCACCGCTGCCAATAATCAGAGTCAGGCTGAACTTTACACAGTAGGATGGGACGACACCTTGAGATCTGTCTCCGTTCCGGACAAGATCTTTACCGGTCAAGCAAGCTCCCTTGGATTTCAGCCTAAGGGCATTGCGGCCGCGGGAGAGGTTACACTGGTCGCTTCAGATGATTCGATAGCCGTCTACTCCAAAGGTTCTAAGGTCAGTTCGGTACCCATTGAGTACGGCGCCACCTCGATCGCTGCAAACGGGTCCACTGTGGCAGTCGGTGGTAACGACAAGCTCGTCCACATCTACACACTGTCTGGCACAGAACTCAAGGAGACTGGCACTGAGCTTCGCCGCGCTACTGCCGCTATCTCGGCAGTCGCGTTCTCGCCGTCCGGTTCCAAGCTCGCATTCGGTGCCAGCAACGGCAAAATTTACGCATATGAGGCTGGTGGAGACTGGAATATTATCACGGACCGGTGGAGTGCACACACTGCTCGTATCACTTGCCTTGCATGGGACGAGAGCGAGAAATATGCCGCTAGTGGAAGTCTTGATACCAATGTCATGGTTTGGAGCGTCGAAGACCCAGGCAAGCGAATCAAGGCGCTCAATGCTCACAAGGATGGTGTCACTGGTGTAGCATGGGAGAAGGCGACAAAGGTACTCAGTGCCGGTGGTGACGCTAGTATCAAGGTATGGTCTGTCAAGGGTTGAGCGTTCCTGCGACAGCATACCTATCATCTTGATCGATGGTTCCCTAGAAACGCCTGATGCGTTCACTATGCGTCTGAACTGTCGGAGACCACCGACGGGATCGAGACTGAAATCAATGGAGAGACCACCATATGCCAGTCTGGTCACTCTTTAAGGTCAATAGAAAGATGAGGCGAGTGATGACAGGCCGTGGCGCGCTGCGCCCTTCTCCGCGCTTGTCGTCTCCCGTAGCCGCGGTTCTTAATCTAGCGTCATCAGTATGCCTTCCGCGGTGCTCATCGTTAGCCGTCACAGTCAAAAGTCATTCGCAACCTTGGTTTCAGCACAATTGCCACATCTCATTGGGTATCTTGAGCTTATAGCACAAACGTTCGACCTGCATCCATGCGGTGAAGTGCATGAATGCAGGCCCGTGGCGCTGGTGTTCGCGTGCCGTGGCCTGGGCAAGCCTGTTGCCTGCTTTGCCTCCTCGCTGGTGAGCATCGAGCCTTCCTGCGCGATTAACACACTGAGGCTGAATCTGCAAGCCAAGCTGAGGCCTTTCGCAGCAGGGCGTTGGCCCTCGCAGCAAGGTGCTGTAGGGCTATGGGTACATAGGTTGCCTTGTTTCAATCGTTTGGCTGTCTCTCCCCGATTCTTCTTCCTCCCTTCTCCCACAAACTCGCACCTGCCACGCACATATCTTTCTGGTCTACTTCCAAACTCCTTTCGCATCATTCTTGTTTCTCTTTTGTCTCGCCACACTGATGGACGCGACCTACTACACCGGTTACGATAACGGTTACGATAACGGTTACGACTACTCGTGCCGCAATGGAGGCCCCGGTAACAGCATGACCGATACAGCCTACAGCAATGCTTTCGCAAAAGAAGAGCTTGTCAGTCCAACCACGCTCTCGCCGATACTACACTATCGTCATGATTCGATTGTCTCGCCGTCAATGTCAAGTCTCTCGCATTTCTCTGCTGGACAGCATCAGGCTGAGCTTGCTGCTGCGCTACGAATGACCCCGCACGCCAACAATCTATATCCTCACAGGTCATTTGCCATGTCTCGCGGGCCATCGCAGATCTCAGCTCACTCGTCTGCGTCGTCCAGTCAGCAACATGTCGGTTACCCGCCTTACGCATCACAAGGCACCGGTCGTCACAATGGCTTTGGCACTGAGAGCATTCCTATGTTACGCTCTGCCTCCGATAAATCGGCCTTTCACACCCAACTAACTAATCATCATCATTTTGGCTCTCTGCCTTGCAATCTGTCAATGACGTCCTTTACCTCGGCCCTGGCGAACACAGTTCCTACAGAGACCCTAGAAGCCCCACAGTACAGCGTTCAAGAAGGATACGCCGACAACTCGATGAATTACCCGATTTGGAGTAGCCTCGCTGGGTTGGGTGCATCCGAAAGTAGCATTGGTGATCTGGGTCAGACAGCCATCGAGTAAGTCAAACCTCCTAGTAGTACAAAACGTTTTATTACTACTTAGCACACGGCATCTCCCGGATCGTCATTGAAATCCGCCATCCTGACATTACTGGATACCGTATTCGACTTGAGAGACCCTTTCTGCTCTCGTACTTGCCACTTGCCTATCTGGTTGGAACAAGACATTCCTGCATGCAGGCTTGCCAGACCGTGCATGCAGATTCTGAAGGACCTCCCGGCGACGTTCCGATGGAGCTGTTATTCAAGATAAAATCTGGGTTGGCGCACAAGGACCATGTGACGATTATGTAACCCAGCTGGAAGTCCCTTCAAAGCGACAGCAGTCTTTACGATAACACTACCAATCTCTCTGGACCAAAAGGATACCTAATATGCCACATGATGCAGAATATCAGTCGTGCCTTGCGTCTGACTGCTTGATGAATGCGCCGACAGCGTTTGTCCCGTGGAATATTGACCAACAGAACGGCCTCTGTCCTACTAAGGTGGTACCCTGGTGATATTGGTGAACAATTCTGCGACATTGAAAATTCCTTGGATCAGTCGTTTCTTCGGCCCTAGGACACCTCCCCGTCATAATTTGGAGCCGGCCGCTTGCGAAGGAGCTGTCATACGGCATAATGCCCAGTAATTTACCAAGGTGAGCCATTCTGTAGCTTTGTTCGATCTATCGCCTCTTGTGATGCGGACGGAGTCAGGGATAGCCGAAACCTATGTCGAGTGACGATCATCAGCTCGATTTGTGCAGCATCGGACACCATCGTATACTCCATATTTCTACTTTGAAGTCATGCTCTGCGGATTTTCATAAGCCTCCGTTGGCAGTCTGGACGTCTTTTTTACAAGCCAGCCGGCTCTTCTCAAAAATGCCGTCGGATATTGAGCATACAGTGCAAAGCCAATTCGAGTTACGCCAGACTAATGTTCAACGATTGCTTGATAATTAGTCTTGGAACTCCTTCTAACGAAGCTACTTTCTAGACAACGCCACGAGTCTTCTAGGAGGCTCACACCACTGGGTCGTCCGCGTCCTCGGGCAATATCGTCTGGGCACTCACCTCTGTTAGGTTCTCCGTAGGTGCTTCAACTAAATCAGGAATGAAGAAACTGTGACTAACAGCCTCGACAGTTCCTTCGCTCTAGCTCCATCTGCGGGAAAACACGTCTCCACATTCACTCAACCGGTCTCTTCGCCCGCCAACCCTCGTAAGCCCAGTCCACTACCGAAGAAGCGGCGTCGCCATCATACCTCAACCTCAGACAGCGAGCCCGAAGTTATCACTGGACACGTTCTCGCCAATGGAAAACTCAAGTGTTCTGATCCTGAGTGCAGCGTGCTGAAGTTCGGTCGACCAGCGGACTTTCGACGCCACTACAAAATGGTCCACGAAACGAAGAAGATCGAATACTTCTGCACCTGGAAGGGCTGCGACCGATCCAAGAGACCATTTAAGAAGGGCAAGGGCCGCAGCTTCGGGTCGCGAAGGGATAAGATGGAAGAGCATGTACGTACAGTACATCAGAGGGTAGACAAGAGGAAGAGGCAACAACCCGGCACAGAAGACGAGGAAGATGAGGAAGACGATGATGATACTGAGGGAACCGAACAACCGCAAAGCAAGACGCAGCGACGCTTGTGATACTAGAGGCCCTCGAAAAAGTTACGGCCAAGTATCTGGCTCTTACAGTGTCTTGTTTATGTATAGAGCTATAAGTTCCTACGACAGTATTTACGGCGTTTGCGGTACATCAGTGTACTTCTTCGGTCTGGATTGCTCGTGGAGGGTTGTGACGATTCAATGGTGTTCTATCTTGCGCTCGATCCACTTGTGTATGTACTATAAAGTGCAAGGCGAGGTTGAGCTGTGGATCAAGAGGAAGTGTTCCGACTTCGGTGTAAGTATGCATACTAAGGTAGTGCACACCACATAGCAATCACACCATAACCACAAATCGATGGAGTCTCTTGCCCATCTTGGTCCTCGTCTACGCTACATTACTCATCTTAGCATCCGTCAATAGGCATCCAATCCTCCCTCATCTCGAATCCATCCGGTACGAACCCAGGCGCTACCGTCGTACCCAACAATGTCCATCCACCCTCGCTCCTCGCCCTCTGCCAGCGATACGCCGGGACTACACCCTGCGGCTCTTGTCCATCGAGGACATCTCCACCGAGCAGCAGTCGCTTCGTCGCAGTCCCGTTATCCCAAGACATTTCGAGTGTCAGGGGTGCACCCGCGTAAAAATGCCTACAGATGTCAAAGGCATTCTTAAATCTACTACTACATACCCGAGGCATAAGGGAGATGAAGACGTACCAGACTTCCACAGCGTCCACCCTATGCCAATACGAAAACTCAACGGAGCCCGCGAGGAGGTAGTAAATCGCGGTTGAGATTGAGCGGTTGTCGTCTACAGTACGAGCGTCGCGGAAGGTTTCACGGAAGTAGCCTTTCTCGACATTGGGTTGGAGACTGAGATGCTTGATGATCTCTTGAGCTGTTGTATTCTGGGAGGTGGCAAGTGCGAGCGCTGGGAGGGCGAGGATTGAGGGCAGTCGCATTTTGAGTAAAGAGCGAGGCAGGGACGTGCGAGATGTTGGTGGAAGGAAAAATAATGTTTTTTGTTGTGCAGAAACGGAAGAAAATGAAGTCAGGAGCGAGTGCAGCACGAAAAGCGTGATGGTGTGACGATCTCGGGTGGCTCCTGCAGCTTATGTGCATGTGTAGGTCGTGCGTTGATAGGCTCTTAATCTCAACATCGAACGAAGAAGCTGCGACAAGGTCACCGTTGTGACGGAGAACGAGGGGCTCTTGCAGAATATTTCTTGATTAACAGTCGATAATTTACAAAGATACGGACCTGTGTTCCGTCTGAAGCAAGACTGCTATGTCAGGCTCCGACTTTCAGCCTCTAGCCGCCTGCAACGACGGCCAGTCCTTCGTAAATCTTTCTTTTGACTTTGAAAAATGTAGCGGCATCGCTGTTCCTCGGGTCAGTGAAGTTATATGCTCCACCGTCAACCTCAATAGTTCCTGCCGCCGTTTTCCTGACGGCAACAGTTCCATTGATGACCAGCACACCTTCGCCCCTGAACTCAGCTTCCATACCAGAAGCTTTCATGAGCTTTCTCAGGTCTGCAAGCCTCAAATCACCAACGTGGAAGGGCTGGGCGACAGATCGCACAGCAGTTGCCATGTTTGTCGGTATGACGTCCAGAACCGGTGTGTCGTCGTTTGCTTCCTGGCTAACGGGAATAGCAGGTGTGGCTTCGAGCCTCGCCCGCTTCTTGGCCGGCGCTTCGTCTTCTTCCTCTTTTGGCGGTGGCTCGAGACTCGCAGCCTGCAATCGTCCGGTGACGGCAACAACACCCAGACCGTGCACCTTCTGCCATCGCAGGTTTTGAATCATGCTGCGCGACAGCTTGACAGACCAGGCATTAGTATCGACGCTGGCATCGACCATTGTGCCGACTTGGGGAGTGAAGATGTCGATGTTGCCGCCGGCTTCGATCGAAGCCAGCGTCCTTCTGAGCTCTTCTGCAAGGTCCTTGGTTTCCATCTCCTCGCCAGCTACGAAAATGAGGTTGCGAGGCTTGATCAGTGGGATGAGCGTCTGAATTGTTCGGCGGTCATGCAGGCCGGAGAAGTCGACGTACGTGATGCGGCATCTGATGTCGAGTGTCTCAGAGCCAATGGTGACCTTGGCAGGCCCATCAACCTTACCTACGTCGTCTTCTGGCTCGCTGTCTGGCTCGGCGGGCGTATCTGCTACACCATCCCACTTCCTCTTCTGACCGACTGCATTCTCCTTCTTCGCTGTGTCACCACGCGATGGCTCACCTGGCACATTGTCTTCTTCTTCCGCCTTCGCGAACTCTTCAGGTCGAATGAGGTCTCCAAAGTCGTCTGCACGCCTTCGTTTGGTAATGATTGGGAACATCTTGTCTACGCCCTTCTTGCCCTGAACTTCGAAGTCGTGTACGTTCTTTCGCCGGGTGAGTATGTTAACACCCATCTCAGCATCAGTCTGATCGACCTTGTTGCGGGCATGACGAAGCGTAGCCGTTGTGTTAAGAGCCTTTCCTTGGTGTGGATGGACCATGTCCTCGGAGTCTTCCGAGCTCTCTGATGTTGTTGACGATCGATCATCCACAACATCGGCGGTCTCCATGTTGGTTGTGGCATCGCCGCCCATGGTGTTGTGTAGCTGTTTCTGTCTTGCCAAATGCTGTTGGTAGAGGGGTATCTCGTCGCCTTCGAGCGCTACTGTTCGAGCGATCCGCACTGATGTTTGCCCGGGAGCATTGATGATCGTTGTCGACGAGTCGTGTTCCGTGTGTGCATTTTGCTCATTCCAGATCTCCCATAGGTATCTTCCCAAGCCCTTCTCTTTGCCGCTCAGTTCACCGACACGCTCTGTCAAAATGATGAGGTTCTTCTCGTCTGATGCTAAGCTCTTGATAGCGTCCTTGGAGAAGCCCCACTCCAGAGAAGTGTCGCTTGCGAGTATCACCCGCGGCTCAGACTCGCCGAGCATGCGTGTAACACGTGTCTTACGCTCTAACAGGGTGAAGTGCCTGAAGTCAAACGGTGGCCTTGCACCTCTGTCATCTTTGACACCTGTCCGGCTCTTACTCGGGTCCTGGCCATCTGTAGCGCCTGCCCCGAATTCTTTGACGATTCCTTCATCCATCCACTCGACCATACTTCTTACGTAACGCATGGTCGCACCGCCTGTTCTACTTGCCAAATAAAGCTTTGCGTTCCTTAGGGGGCTAGTACTGTCCGCTCGTGAGGCTTCGTTCTGCCATGTTTCTTCGAGGAGGTAGGACAACTCAAGAATGCGAGCACTGGAATCTGAAGGGATCAAAACAGACCCTCCTTTCGCCACCGTCCCCCTGATCATCGATAGAAGAGCCTCATCTCGTTGGTCGCCCTTGATGTTTGTGTGTTTCCCTGAACCTTTGCTACTGCAGATGAGAGCAGTAGGGCGGCGCAACTGCTCCAATACCTCAGAACCTCCAGTCCCAGGTCCACCTAACCAGGCAGCACCAGAGAGCACGTGTTCCCGTGCCTGATTCCAATTTACCGCGTAAACAACTGACTCCATGCCATGTTGAATGTGCCATATTGTGCCTCCTAGCGTATGTCCTGCGCTGTATGCCGTGATCATGAGACCGTTAAGAGGTGGGGAGCTCGGTGATGCTAGCGGCTGGCGTGGCTGGGAGTATTTGAGAGGGTTCACGAGACCAAAGTAGTTTGCGATCTCCTCGTGTGTAGGTGCTTGGAGCAAGATACTTGGGTTGCTCCCGCCTGGGAGTGCCGAAGGGTATGCGTACGCCGACTCATTGAGTGACTCATTCGAGATTATGGAAGCTGCGAGCGGTGTGGAGGCGTAGAGGTCTTGTAGAAGTGTTCGACCTAGGGATATGACGGGTATCGTTGCGTAGACGGGTATGCGCGTGAAGGTGGGGATGTGCTTGCAGCAATGCACATATGCACCAAGATGTGCTGTAGTGGCATGGGTGAGCAAAACGAAGGAGAGCGTAGGAACATGTCTGGAGTCAACTCGATCAGCTTCATTCTTTGTGTATTCATTCGACTATATACAGCTGTACATTGGAGACTGAACACGGAGCAGTACCTACCTCTCTATCTCCTTGAGCAGTTCAACATCGAAGCTCTCGTCCCAGCCTACGTCGATGAGCACCTTCACACCTCCGTCGAACTCGAGCAGTGACTGAGACGCTGGCGACGCAGATTGCGCACCGAGCAAAGGCGTGAAGTTGAACATGATAATTACAGTCAGCTAGACTGATGCACGCGACCGTCCTTTACGCAAGCATAGCGACCGGTCGTCAGGTCGTGGTGATTATGGCGTGTTGGCGATTGCTTTGATGGGTGATGAGTGTGAGGCACGCCGCGTCCATTGTTGCTGTGCACGCCAAGACACGCTAAGCTCCACGACAATTTTGCAAACACTGCAAACAGAGCAAACACGCACTCAGACACAGCAGGGCATGCGATGCAGATAGAATCATGCTGTCGTAGTGCGTAGTCTTCCAGGCGGTGCAAAAGCTAAGCTTGGCTTCGAACACATACATACAGACGGCCCAGAACCGCTTAAAACATGTCGTATATCGATGGGTGGAACTTGTACACAGTACGACGAGAAACACATGAAGGCGGGATGACGGAGCGAGTTCACATCAGTCTCTACACCATTTTGCGGACAAGCATTCTTTGTACAACACAACTACATCTATATCCTTGCCGCCTGCAGTCTTGGACAACGTCTCAGGCATCAAGCCCTGCCTGCCGCCTGCCTGACCGCATCAACCCACGCGCCGAAGGTCCGGGAGATCTGAAAATGCAGACGCAAGCTGTTGTGAGGCGGCCGCTCCAATTGACTCAACATTGGCTTTTCATGCAGCCGTCGTCCTGTCGAATACATTTGGCGAATGACACGGCTCAAATGCCCTGAGGAAACCCCGCGCCGGTGCATGCCGCTAGCATATGCAAGTCACACCCGCTTCGTCTGTTCACTCCACCTTCGGCCCTTTTTCGGATGCCTGATCCCGCTTGTATCAAAACCAAGACTCATAAACTGGCTAATGTAAGTCATCCTTCTTTGGTCTCCGCTGTCACTGCGCTGCATCGTCGGATATTCTGGGGCGTCTTACATCTTAAACTTCATGATACACCCTCAAAAGAGACAGGAATCTTGAGCACAGATCTCGCATTTATTCATGCGTCATGACCGTTGTCAGCTGGCAGGGCACCAACCTGAGATTGATCGCGTTTCGCTGAAAAGGGAATGATCATAATAACGCAGAGTGTGCAGCTCCATCGTGATGAGACAATCACCCTAGGCCAGACTACATCCGATTCATGCTAGCACGCTGGTATCTTTGGTCTAATTTACCCTCGTCTGTAGTGAGATGCCTGGCCTTCTCCGCGCAAGGAGTCAACAGAGTCACACAGACATTTCTTGGCAAGGCCGTATCCGATGTTCCTACTAGCTATGAGGCACTTGGGCTTGCTATTTGGCGTTTAACGTCGATCACGAACCCACAGCCAAGGAGATCAGTGCGGGAGCCCTTTGAAGCCAACTTCGGGGGTGTGCTCTTTTAAGTTTGGCAGTCCGTCCGCGTTTCCGTCCGCTACCAAATTTGAGAAGCCGAATCCGATGGAGAGTATTACATAAAGAGTACGATCGACAGAGATGAGATTGATATGCAAATGCAAGAATTCTTGCGTTGCAGAACTGACGTCCTCGGTTCTTCGCCTGGGCCAGTAAAGGCCACTGCGAATAACATTTATTGCTTCTGCTGACGAGCGTAAGCGAGCACCTCCAGCGTGCGGGGAGAGGACCTCTTCAGCAGCTTTTGGCTGGCCGTTGCTCCGCTGGACCTGCCAGGGCTAGTTCCAAACGTGAGAGATCTGCGAGCCCTTGCCATCCTTGTGATGTGGCTGAAAGCTCAATCGTCCAACTCAGCCGGCTCTACGGTCTTAGCCTTCTATTCTGTTCACGCCGCTTCGAGCGTGCCTGTTGTCAACTGTCAAGAGCAAGGAGCATCTGGACCGACCGTCATTTGACCGGATCCTGGCCGCGGAAATGAGGTCGTCGTCAGGTCACACATTGATTCGACCTGAAGGAGTAATGCTAAAGGCATCTCTCGCTGTGGGGCTGATTACCGGTATCAGCTAGTAGCGCCTCAAAGTCGTCAGGACCTCAAGAAGATCGTGTCCCACTAACACTCTGTATGCCTGGCCATAGTGTATTTAGCGTTAGGCTATCGGCATTAATTGTCACTTCCAGGGATCCCACCCACTTGACTGTTGTTCGCGGGCTAATCAGATAGTAGGACAGGCCAGCAGAGAGGTTTTGCGGCGTTTCCTCGCATTTCCCGTCGCCGTTCATCTTGGATCGTCAGCTTTCCGCCCAGGGTGTGTCTGACCAACGGCATCTCAAAGCTGGCGCGGGAGCAAGGACGAGCTGCGGCCGATGAAAAGCGAACCATGTCTGTCGAAACAAGGGCCGCGCAGTTTGGCCAGCACGTTACGTCTCCACGCGGTTGACATTCTGTGTCACTCAGCTAGCGCTCACGCCGTCTATTCTTTGTGAAGCCATATGCAGCTCCTGATCTTTCTGAGAAAACGTCAACACAGTTCCTTGCGTGCACAGTGCGCCTAGTCCTCTTGCAAGCTTCGGCCTGCTCCCTGCTTTAAGTAGCCAGCGGCCCGGTGCGCTGGTCAAAGTGGAACCACTACTTCCAGGGTCGTCCATCATCGTGTCTTAGAGGCGAATTTATCGTCGTTGCAGCGACGCTACTTTTGACTTACCTACGATAACCTCTCCTCTCCCGTGTCGTGCAACCTATCCTTGAACGTCCGCCGGCTTACCTTTCTCGCCCACTCTTCGCCCAGGATTCGAATACCTGAATACTAGTTGATAAAGCCGTATTACCTGCCATCCAGGCGATCATCGTCGAAACGCTGCTTGCACTTCTCGCAGCCCACCTCCTCCTCACGCCTGCCACTGTCACGAGCATTTGAGATTCACCACATAAGAGATCCATCAACTCATCAGCCATTCTACTCCAAGGCTACCATCGGGTTCAGCTTGTCTTCCGACGACGCAGTTTCGCTTCGCTGCACCACGGCCCATTGGTTGTTGTTCCGCGCCCGCGACTCGCTAGACGCAGTCCCCCGCTCTCGAGCAACAGACCGCCCAATTACTCGCAGCTCCAAACCCGAACCGCGTGAGCTATCTCGCAACAATAACATTATATTCTCGACAATATACTGGCCGTCCTGTTCCACCACTGGCTTAGAAGCAAGCCATATCTCGCGGGAGTAGTACAAAGCCTCTGGGCGTTGCAAAGTCGTACACTCAGCTACACAGACTTCAACCTTGGTGTGGACAAGCTTGCTCCTAGTTACGGGTACACACGACGCAAACAGACGAATCGTGCTTCCAATGTTGCCTGCTCGCCGGCAATAGCACTCGAACTTGCATCAATCAGACCGAATGATCTCAATTAACTCCTTGGCCCCTTCGCCGTCAGGCGCCCATGCACGTATGAGCACCAGCTCATCTCCCCCGCCCTCCATGTCCTCCGCCAGCGACTCACCTCTCACAACACCCAACTTCGATTCGTATGTCTTCTCTGCTTCCGACTCACAATCAGACGGCCGACGGGACTCACGCACAAGTCCTGATGATATCGTACCCAAAGTTGAGGAGGCAGAGCTCGAACTAGCAGATGTCAAGGAAGAGACTGACGATCCTCCTATCTCCCCAACAGAGCCTGTACGGATACGTCGTGCTCGTGGCCGACCCCGGATTCATCCGCCCCGCTCACCCACAACTCTTTCAAAACAGGCAAAGGCGCGTTCGAAAACTGGTTGCACGACATGTCGAAAACGAAAGAAGAAGTGTGACGAGACTAGACCCTTTTGTAAGCATATTTGTCTAATTCCTCGGTTTCGTCCTAATGCCCTATAGGTCTATCGTGTCAAAAGAACAACATACACTGCGAGGGCTACAAACCACTTGAGATATGGAAGAGTGGCAAGCAGAAAGCAGCCGAAGGTGTGTACTTGTGAGCACTTTCGAAGGCCCAAGCTGACCGTTGTACAGCACGGAAGCAAAGCGACGACATGAAGTTCGATCTTCCACCTTTGATGGAAGGCGTCGAGAACGATCTCGACCGTTCGCTCTTGCAACATTTTGCCAACCGAGCAAGCGCAGTCCTCACCTTACATGGCGACAAAGCAACAAACCCCTTCACCAAGATCTTATTACCGATGGCGCTCGAGCATGAAGGCTTGATGCACTCGGTTCTGTGCTTATCTGCCTCGCACATGTATTCAATCAACCCATCGCAAGATTACGAAGATCGTCAGGCATTCCATCGTGGAAAGGCGCTGCAGCTCTTGAAGCACGATCTTGAGCGCCAGAAAGCCGGCGAGGGTGGAGTGATGGTCTACAAAGACTCTAACGTTGCTCAGATACTCCTGCATCTTCTTCATTCGATCTGCGATGGCAACACGTCTGGCGAGTACAGAATGCACATGGTCGCAGCGAAACAGATTGCGATGAGTCAAAAGTCTGCCAATCCCGAGTTCCAGTCGCTCTTCGACGAGTTCTTCTACTACCACTGGATTGCAAGTCAGATCACCTCTATGGACGGCGCCGATATGCCCATAATGGACGACTTCAATCTGCCGTTCAAGATCAACCCTGAGACTGCTGGTCTTATTGGTGTGTCCGACGGTCTATTCGGGTTCATCTCCAAGATAAGCAACCTAAGACGGCGCTTGCGGTCGCGCATTGACGGCAACCTCGAACCAACGATGGACTACGAAGCGTTGCTCGCTGCACATGCAATCGACACAGGCTTGCGTGGGTGGGTCTGCCCGCAAACACCTGAAACCCCGCGATATACTATCTCAATGCTCTATCGCCAGGCCACGTGGGTCTATCTCTATCGCACAACAAAGAGTTCGCATCCACATTCATACATCAAGAGTGCCGTGGACGATGGCATTCGATACATCAACGAGCTGCCTGCAGAGGGTTGGATTCAGAGCAACGTTCTTCTGCCGCTGTTCCTCATTGGCTGCGCAGCATTCGAAGAAGAGCAGCGCATCGAAATTGACCGAGCCTTCTCGGGTCTGATCGCCTGTACAGGACTCGGTAATATTGGATTCGCCAAAGAAGTCGTCGATGACATCTGGAAGCTCATGGACGCTGGCGACCCGGAGTCATGGGACTGGGAAAAGATTATTCACCAAAAAGGATGGGACTTCCTTGCTACGTAAGACGGGCTTACACGCCACATTTATCCTTCTCACTTCGCTTCTCCATTATTGCATTATCACGATTACTTCCACGGAGGAAAAAGGCGTATCGAACACGGAGTATGTTCTTCATTCCGGCATGCTGTTCTGAGACGGTGGGTCGCATCCTTTGAAGCATGATTGCGTCGCGGTTTGCAATTACTCGGCACAACGTCGCTTACTACACGGGCGGTGAATCGTGTGGAGTTCTGGATGGACGAGTGGGTTCTCGATTTGGATAGCGCATTGCTTTGGTATGGTTCTGCGGCGGTTTCTTTCACGCACACGGCATTTGAAATTTGCTTCTATGATTTGTATCTTTGATTTGCACGAACACATTGCATTTGGCCAGGCACATTCGCACACATGGCATGGCGAATCCCGTAGCAAGCATTATCTGTAGCTAGAGATATCAAGCATGTTGGTTGGTACATTTGTGTTTCACAACAGGTAGCTGCGCAGCTGAAGATGCAACTAATTTTCACTCCTCAGCTTCGAATCCTAGCACCTTGTGGATCGATGATTGATCAAACGAGCGAGGTGTCAGGGTGAGGAGTTAGTATGCTGCGCGGCGCTGTGTTCAAAGCCCTCGTCTCAATGAGCCGTTTTGGCTCAAATTATCCTCCAATCCTAGGCCTCGACAGCCGCAAGGACGTTTTGCTAGCGATGTTGTGCGATCAGAGAGTCTGGGGTATCATTGGAATCATATTAGGAGGGCAACAGGTACTCGATCATGCATTTAGCCGCCGGGCGAGCACTTGTCCGCTGCGACGTCTGATTCATGGCGCAGTTCGTCAGGAGCTCTGAATGCGATGCTGCCTTGTAAGATCGACGTCTGGGTTCAGCTTTCGTAGTCCGGCTTGCGTGCTCTGCGTGGGATCTGTATCTACAGCTTGGGGCTGATTGCTGGCAGCTAATTTACAGAGCTGACTGATGTACAGAGCGTGTTCCTTGGTCTTTCTCGGGCGCGTGCATTGCACTTCGGGACACCTTCCAAAGAAACCGACATCTACGCAATGGCTTCGGCGTTGCGCAAATATATCTTGGAATTAGCGTATATTGTGTCGGCCCTTTTATCGTCAGTGTCGTCACTGTCATGCCCCCACGCGGCTCGGGAGCTTGGGCGATGCGTTCCAAAGTTGGGAACAAATGTTCAGGCTAGAAGTACAAGGTACGTCGGAATTGCGCGGTGCAAAGGACGACACCTTACAGTTTACCGATATGACCCGGGAGTAACATCATGGAGTCTCGTTCTCATGTAATGCTCATCTGAGGCTCGAAACACCAGGAGTGCAACAACTGCCGTTGGAGGGGTTCTGGCTCTAGACACTCTCAGACTCCCCACATTCCCATCCGGAGGCATACCTGTCGCCGGAACGTATAACTTAATCCCATATCCGACGTCCGAACTCTCGACTCTAGATCGCACATCCTCCCCTACGATCGTCATATGTTCCGGATTATTCCGTAAGCAATAGTCTAAGGCAGCAGCAGTCAGCCTCGAATGCGCACACCGTTTGTGGAGGTGGCCTTGATCGTCATCACCCTACAGCCACACATGCCACATGACATACCGTCGCGGTTCATTTAATGGTACTTCGTCTCTCTGAAAGGAGTGGTCTGTAGGATAAGCTGAGTGCTCAAACAATTTAGGATATTCGGATCCGCCAATATTTCCAGCTACCGACGCTTCTGGTACGAAGTAGCCCCGTTCGATCGTGCCTGCATAGACTCGCAGTGGAAGTAGGTGATGCAGAACATAATGCGAGATCAGAGTGCACCAACGGTGAATTCACCGCTAGCTCTGCACTCACTAATGTCAGCAAAGCTAATGCGCTGCCCACGAGGACACCATTGTGTCGTGATTCCTTGTTAATAGAACGGTTTTGTGGTCGCCAGTGTGAAGACGTAGGGCTGTGCATTGGGCGAACTAGACTGCCTGCGGACCTGCAGCTGACAGCTGCGTAAGCGGCCATGGTTGACAGGTCATCGGTTGTTGAATTGCGATATATGGGTGTGTGGGAAGCTTTGGATCGAGGCCGCCTGTTCCCTGTTCGGTGTAGATGGTGAATGCACGAAACATTCCAATCTTACATCTAAAGCCGTGTAACCTCGAATAATGGCTAGGTCAAGGCTTGAACGGTGTTGCGATAAGCCTCATGTGCTACCTTCGCCTAGATGAGACATTACAAGTAGATCTCGCCCTGTAGGGTGTTGCACAGCACTGAGTGGCTGGCTATGAGGGCCGCAAGCCACACACACACACCGAGGCACATGCCGAGTTGCCATTACTAGAACTTGCTTGGGCCTTGTTTCTGCAAATTGATCATTTCAGATGCAAATGCGCAGACTAGTAGGATCTAATTCAAGGGTCTGTGGTGATGTTCAGGATCTATCCGCCCGGTATCAGGACCCGGAGCTGCACGATCTGTTCACAGGAAAGGGTTCAAGATGTGCATGCATGTAGCCTCCGCTGTGTATGGCTGAAATGCTTAGTCGGCGCTGGCTTGTATCGTCACGACTGAATCGTTTAGGGGATTGAGCCGGATGTCGGCCCCTGGCCTATGCCATAAGCAAGCATAGAGATCTGCGAATACCTTGACAGCTGCAGGAACGAGAGGCATTCAGAGGTGGAATAGAACAGAAGGGGTACAACTCGCGGGCCTGTGCTCTGCGCGTCGCTGCCGTGCGACCGCCCCCAGATTTTCGTGCTGCAAAGGCGACAGGCAGCGACCCCCACAGATCCTGCTGCCAGAAGTAATTCCACGTTGCACAGCATAGGCCGTTGAAAGTGTAACGGCGGCCCGGAGTTTGGTCTTGATCACAGTCGCCTGGCCGCCCCCGCACAAGCAACCAGAGACTTGCAAGCGCTGACCGTGCAGCCTAGGTGGCTGATCGATGTCCGTCTCATTGACAAGCTTGTGAATTGAGTGGTGTTATGGCTCTCGACCTTCCTCGTAAAAATGATGGTTGGCCAGATGAGGCGTAGTGGCCCCTTCGGTTGGCAAGCGACGCCAGCATCAATCGCGTGCCGTGAGATGATAGGCTCTAGACTTTGTATTCGTATCCTATAGACTGCCCACTCTCCGCTTCGGAGGCTCTGGCCAATAAGAGACACGCGCACAAATTACTAGTGCCGTGGGAAGTAGCAATGCCCATACTATCCATCGCGCGCCCACACCACAGCACCCACAAGCTCAGTTCCTTCTCGGCTATGATGCACAGAATCTCAACACGCTACCTTGATTTTGAACGTTATGGAGTCGACAAACAAGGGCAAAGCAGACCTGGGGTACCGGAACCACGAGCAAGACGCTGTGAAAGAACTGGAGATCAACGAACACAAGCCGCCACATACCAGGTCAATTCACACAATTCAGTCCCATACAGCGCACGCCAACAACACCATCTCCTTGCGGGACGTTCTTCCCGTCTCGGTTCGACTCAGCCACCTTTCGATATCCGTTGATGTTTCGTCCAACGCGTTCGCAAAACTATTCTCGAAGAACAAGGCGTCGACAGGCCAGAGGGACGTGAAGAACATCCTCGACGATGTCTCTACGGACATTCGGTCGGGTACCATCACAGCCATACTGGGTGGCAGTGGCAGTAGCAAAACAACCCTACTGAACAGCATGAGCGGTCGCATGAAAGCGACCTCCGGATGCACTTTGTTTAATGGTACCGAGGATATTTCGAGTATCAAAAGTGCATATGTAATACAACAAGACATTCTGCTACCGACATTGACCGTTCGAGAGACGTTGACATATGCTGCTCAACTACGCCTTCCGGCTTCCGTCACGCAGGCTGAAAGAAAGCAATTGGTAGAAGAAGTCATCGCAGAGTTGAGTCTGAAGGAGGCGGCGGAGACGCGAATAGGGAATCACGCGCACAAAGGCTGCAGTGGTGGCGAGAAAAGACGGACAAGTATTGGGGTGCAGCTTCTTTCAAACCCAAGTGTGCTGTGGCTAGATGAGCCAACTACCGGCCTCGATTCGACGAGTGCTTACCAAGTCATCAAGACGCTGCAGAACTTGGCGCGACAAGGACGCACGATTATCGTGACAATCCATCAGCCACGGTCTGAAATCTGGAGTCTCTTCGACAATGTCATCCTGCTCACCCGCGGCAGCCCTGCGTATGCTGGCAGCGCAAAAGACTGCCTTGACTATTTCGCAAAACTTGGCCACGAGATGCCACCATTTACAAACCCGGCAGAGTACCTCATTGATGTGGTCAGTGTCGACAACAGGAGTAAAGAAGCCGAAGCTGTTGCTGAAGAAAGGGTACAGCGCATCAAAGCAGCCTGGAGACAGCACTGTGATGTGACAGTCAGCGAGAAGCAGCAGCAGCATGTCGTTGCAGCTCGAGTCGAGCGAAACCCCAGATCATTGGCACCACGACATTCCAGCATGCTTCAGCAGATCAGAGTGCTCACATCAAGAACCTGGGTTGTGACCATACGAGATCCAATGGGCATGTTCGGTAGTCTCTTGGAAGCCATCAGTATGGCGATCATCACGGGATGGATCTTCTTACATGTCGATGGATCCTTATCTGGCATCCGTTCTCGACAAGGCGCGTTGTACAACGCCGCTGCGCTCCAAGGCTACCTTATCCTGCTCTTCGAGACATATCGTCTTACGGATGACATTCAGCTTTTTGACGAAGAAGCACGTCAGGGTGTTGTCAGCATTCCGGCCTTCTTGATCTCCAGACGATTTGCACGCTTCTTCATTGAAGATCTCCCCGTGCCTCTTTTCTTCTCGGTTATCTACTACTTCATGGTTGGCTTTCGCGCCGATGTTGGACAGTTTCTTACGTTCTTCAGCGTCATTTTGTTACAACACTATATCGCTGTGTGCTTCGCCACGGTCTGTGTAGCCGTCTCGAGGAATTTTGCAGGAGCCAGTCTTGTGGCAAATCTTGCATACACCTTGCAATCGATGGCCTGCGGGTATTTCATTCAGTCAAATACCATACCGATCTATGTAAGATGGACCAAGTGGACTGCTTATGTGGTAAGTAATACTCAGTGGGTCTGATCGTGCACACCTGCAACGTCAGTCTAAATTGTCAAAATCAATGCTGAATGTCCCGTAGTTCTACGCTTTCGGGGCTCTGTGCGCAAATGAGTTCACAGGCAGCTTCTACGATTGCCCTGTAGGTGGTTCAACTGATGAGGCATGTAAGGAGTACACTGGCGACTTCATCATGGATTCACTCGGCTTCCCTAATGACTGGGTATGGCGTCCAATTCTCGCTTTGACTGGATATATCTTCGCATTTTACGCAGGAGCAGCCGTCCTCTTAAGATACTGGAAAGCCGAGATCGCCATGGCTCGAGCACGACCCTCTAATATGGATGCATCTGCTGGCAAAGAGAAGATGAGCGAGCACACCCCCAGTGAAGTGCGAATGATTGACATCCGTCTTGAAACATTCGGTCTCGATGTCGAAAAACGCACTCTACGATCACAGACAACCAAGACGATCCTCAACCCACTCACTGCAGAGTTCCGGCCAGGGTCTTTGAACGTCATTATGGGCCCGTCAGGGTCTGGAAAGACATCACTACTGAACAGCATGTCTGGTAGACTGAAAGACGACTTCTCGACAAGGTACAAGACGTCAGGTACAATGACATTCAATGGTCTCGCGCCATCCGAAGATGTCGTTCATTCGATCTGCTCCTTCGTGCCCCAGGACGATGATGCTCTCCTGGCTTCCCTGACCGTTCGCGAAACTCTTTGCTATGCTGCGGGTCTTCGCCTTCCGAAATGGATGTCCAAGCAGCAGAAGACACAAAAGGCCGAAGAAACCATCCTCAAAATGGGTCTGAAAGATTGCGCAGACAACCTGATTGGCAATGATCTTGTCAAAGGTATCAGTGGTGGCGAAAAACGCAGAGTGACTATTGCCGTCCAGATCCTCACGGAACCACGGATTCTTCTTCTCGACGAACCTCTTTCAGGGCTCGACGCATTTACTGCACTATCCATCATGGACGTTCTCCTGAGTCTTGCTCATGAAGGCCGAACGCTCATTGTCACGATCCACCAGCCCCGCACAGATCTATTCGACCAATTCGGCAACATCATGCTCCTCGCTCGTGGAGGCCACCCCGTCTTTGCGGGACCAGCTTCCCAGATGCTCCCACATTTTGCTGCCCAGGGCTACGACTGCCCTCTTCACGTGAATCCCGCAGACTTCGCTCTCGATTTGATCACTGTCGATCTACAGCACTTAGAACGCGAGGAAGCCAGTAGGGAGAAGGTCCGCAAACTGGTCGAAGCGTGGCATCCTGACCTCGTCCCTACTACAAGAATTGGCTCAATCGCGACGCCAGCTGAGCTGGGTAGTCTGGCTCGCGAACCTGCAAGCTTTGCAGCGGCATACCCAATTCTCATTCGTCGCGCTACGAAGAACTTCTTCCGCATGCCAGACCTAATCATTGCACGCGTCATGCAGGTTGTTGGTCTTGGCATTGTTTTGGCACTCTTCTTCGCCCCGCTCAAAAACGACTACTTCTCTATCCAGAACCGAATGGGTTTCCTCATCGAGATTGCCCCGCTATACTTTGTTGGTATGCTGAACAACATCGCCACCTACCCTGTCGAGCGAGACGTCTTCTATCGCGACTATGACGACCGCATCTATGGCGTTGAGGCCTTCTTCTTGACCTATATCTCAATCACCACGCCTTTTGAAATAATTTCTTGCTTTGTATTTGCAGTCCTTGCAGTCTTGGCTGTTGGTCTCGAGCGCGACGCTACCACGTACTTCGTGATCACCTTCAATGCGTTTTGCATCACCAGCTGCGGTGAGAGTCTGGGTATCGCTTTCAACACGCTGTTCATGCATACAGGCTTCAGCGTCAACATTATGAGCGTGTTCTTGAGCGTTGCGCAGGTCATGGGTAAGTTACAATTCCCTTGCCGTCCCTATAGCATGATCAATCGCTAACTTATTTGACAGGTGGCGTCATCTCGCTCAATATCCCATCGTTCCTGCAAGCGTTCAACCACCTCTCCCCAGTCAAATGGGCAATTGGTAACATGGCGCCTTACACACTCCGCGATCTGCAGTTCACTTGCGAAGACTGGCAAAAGATCAACGGACAGTGCCCCATCACCACTGGACAACAGGTCTTAGAGTTGTATAAACTAGACAAAGATCCAGGGATATACATTATGGCGCTAGGAATCTGCGCGATAGTGTACCGATTCTTGGCGTATGTTGTGCTGAAGTGTGTAAAGGAGAGATGGGTAGGGAGGTTATGGAAGGAAATAGGAGGTGGCAAGAAGAATGCACCTGCCGGTACAGCTGTACAGAGTCGAGTTTTGACTGCCTCAGACTAACGGAAGACTAAGTTACCTAATGGGCTACTTATACCACAAGAAAGTGCTCAAACAATGTGCGATATAAGCTCAATATCAGACATCTCGATGTATTCTTCAGGACAAGGGTGTAAAGTCTGGCTCATGGAAGTTTTTGTGATGGGAAGACTGAAACATCTTTGTTGTAATCTATTCGGTATTCTAGGTATGGCGGTTCCATGGAATAGTTGCTCCTCATCCTGAAACAGAGACAGACTCGTGTAAATCGGACAACTCCTGGCTATTGGTCATAACTTCGGGCATTAGAAGGATACACAACCATAAATTTCCTCCATACACATTGATTGAGTTGAGCGTTAAGTGTAATCAGGTTGTGCATGTCTTTGACGTTGTTGGCGCGGCATAGCAGAGCGCTAGGTTGCGAATATCTTTCTGCTTCAAACTTACTACGGGTGGCACTATTTGGTAGGGCAATATGTATATTCGGTGAAGGTACGCTCGTAGAATCCTGGCAGGATGCCGAAATTATCAGAGTAAGTCACTGTTGACCGAGAGCATATTTCTACTCTGTTGGATATTTGACGACTACACAGCTTTATAGGTACAGCGACTATCTGAGATGTGCATTTCGATGACGCTCCATAAAGCCTAGCAGGTTTCTTAGACGATTGGAGTAAACCACAATTGATCGAGAGCACGTTTTCACTTCCTCAATATCTTTAGAGACTGCACAGCTGCGCCCACAGGTACAGCAAATATCTGAGATGTGCACGTCGACGACACTCTGCCGAACATGCGCTTTGCTCTTTGAAATAGTGACACTCGGACTGTATGATTCAACGAATCAGCAAGGGCATTAAGTACTCCACCATGGGATAGAAAGGGATGCATGATCTCGTAAATTTTTTTGTCACAGCTGAAAAGCGGCAAAATAAAAACTATACTTGTACCCCTAGTTAGGCTGTTTACATAAGGATAGTTCTCTGCGACATCTCCACTTTGACAGCAACTGGCATTCCTGCGAAGACCTCGTTCACGACCGTCAAAAACACACTTACTAATAATTTTCGCTTTTTGTTACTGATCACAAGCACTCGGCAAGTTGTTATCTACTACTTTACTACACTGATTTGTTTACATGCCTACAAGGCTCAACAGCATGAAAGATTGACACACGATCATCTTCACTAAAGTTTAAGATCAAGAATGAGCGTGATAAGAAGAACACCAAGAAGGCATACAAGAATAGACGGAAGAGTTTCATGACCCCTTCAGAGACGAGACCCTTGAAGGAAAGAGCCAGCCCTATGTAGAATGCCCCGGTGATGTCAACTGGAGAAACAAAGGCACTGCGCTCAAATCTAAGGAGAGTGCCCTAACGAAGACGGAAAATACAGAGTCTGGAACGATCACAAGGACCCTTCCGGACGTCTAGAAGAAGCGGAGGCGAAGCTTATTTCGCCACAGGTTGACCAAAGACGAGCTGGCGTGGCCCTGTATGAACGACAACCAGAAACACTAGGAGTAAGCCTGCATATACGTGTAGTCATTTTATATTGGGTTGCAGATTATCTGTGGAGTAGGAGTGAAGAGCTCCGACAATTGCTGGCTCTTGATATGTATTCGTAGCTTTGGTATAATGAATGCAGATTTGGTCACACATTCGGCGCTCGCAAACGAGCCGGTCCCGTGCGCGCGATCAGACCTCTGTCACAACTCGTAAACACCTAATGGCTGCCTTCCGACTTCTTCAAACGCTCGAACAGCTGCACAAAAGCAGCTGGCTCCTGAGCACCGCCAATCTCAAAGCGATCATTGATTATAAAATTTGGCACGCCGCTGATGTTCTGCTCGCGCGCGTCCTGCACCTCCTTGTCAACTTCAGCACCGCCCTTCCCGCTGTCCAGCCAGTCCTTGATTTCCTCCTCTTCAAGTCCCGCCTTCACGCCAGACTCAATCAGGATTTCCTGCGTTGTAATGTCCTTCTCATTCTCGAAATATGCAGCGAACAGCTCCTCAACAACACGAGTCTGCATCTTTGACCCCTTGGTCTTGCCGAGCTGCACAAGGCGGTGTGAGTCGCGCGTGTTTCCAGTCTTGCCGCCAAACTTGAAGTTGATGCCCTCGTCCTGTCCAACTTTGGCAAGCATCTGGTTGATGGTTGCTGTGCGCTCCTGGCCAAACTTCTTGATGTACATCTCCTGCTTGTCGAGGCTCTTGCCAGCATCAGGATTCAAGTAAAAAGGGTACCATTGTGTCGAGAATGTATCGTCAGAATCTGGGTACTTCTGCTTGTATGCTGTAATGCCCTTCTCGAGGCGCTTCTTGCCAACATAACACCATGCTAAGGGCTGTCAATTTTTGCAGTTTTTGTGCAAATTTGCCCCAGGGAACGTACGGCAGATTGTGTCTGACACGATGTTTATGTTGAAGTTTGTCATTCTGCTAAGGCTCTGTCTGAACGCCACAATGGATTCAGTTTCGATTTCGGAATCGTGCCGAGTGCTGCCGATGCTGCATCGTGGCTTTTATGTACAGCAGGTCCAGTGCTGACAAATTAGCGTCAAAGAAGTTGCGAGCGCGGAAATTCGCCACTTCCGAGGTTGTTCGCTTTATCATCAACATCATCAACATCATCGGCATCAGGACTTCACCAAATTTTCCGACATTGTAGGCTTCACAGTGCAGAAGGGTGGTGTTGAAGTACCTGAAGCACATGCAACACGGTACCGATAATCGAAAATTAGGGGTTACAGATCTCACTGTTATTGGGAACGAGAGCGAGGAGGCTATTGTGGCAGAATCCGTGAAGCATACTAATTCGCTACGTAGAATGAAGATCCGCCCTCTCATATCGTGGAAAAGACCGGACACAAGCTCTGAAAATGGGAGGTCTTCAGCGATTGTTTGCATGAGACCTGTAAGTCGACAGCTTTCGGAGACTGTAACTAGGTGTTTTCACATATCCAGCTTTCTCCACGACATGAGAGGCGCATATGTGCTACGACCTTGGTCCTACAAGCTTACATAATCAGTGTATGCATTTCTCACCTAGGGTTGTCGTTCTTTTATCATACTTCTTCACCCTTTCTGACGCCACTTCATCAAGGCTACTGACTTGGACCTTGCCCAGCCCGTAACTTTTGCTCAAGATACGCTGAACGATATTTTTCTGCCCGGAGCTGGTTACGCGATCGATCAACTTCAGCCACAAGGAGACAGTGAATCAACATGGGGTGCTGTTGGAGGAATTCGGCACCGGGAATCGCTGCCTTGAGCAGGTGGGCCGGAGAGGCTCGGAGCGGGTTGAGATTCATCGAAAGGACCACTTCCAGAAGGTTGACTACCACCGAAGAGACTGGGCTGGGAAGTTTGTCCACCGGGGCCACTAAAAAGGCTGACCCCGGAGGATTGAGTACTGCCGAATAAACTGCAACCAAGTAGGCTGCCGCTCTTGGCAGGTTAGCTACTGCCAAAGAGTCTTGTTTGTGGTTGGGCAGTTGGTCCGCCATTGCTTCCAAAAATACAGCCGGGGCCAGATCGACCTCCAAACAGATTGGGTTGAGAAGGCTGGCCACTACCGAATAGATCGCCTCGAGAGGGTTGGCTGTGAGTCTGACCGAAGGTAGGTTGGTGTGGGCCAAAAAGACCTTGCGTAGTAGAGCAGCCCTGAGGATTGTTGTCATCGCCGAAAAAGTTGTGCATTATAAAATGATCTCTGAGGAAAGGCACAGGGTTTGGTAGAGACTGTAATAGTGTATGATATACCTGTGTGGAGTATTGGTAGGCTTTTAAGGGTGTGGTGATAAGACTGCTAGATCGCGAGCAAACAACGTGACTTAAAAGACTGTATTGGAACTAGACAGAAGTGAGACAGGCTTGAAGGTGATTCCGCTCCCATCTATGGCTTATGATTGCGGTAAGACACTCTGAAATGCCCTATGGAAATGGCAACGAGATGCTCAACGAATCGAAGTACAGTTCTGCTCGATTGTTCGATATTATATGAATTAGTCATCTATCATCACCTCATGTCCAGGCCCGGTATCAATCCCACCTCAACGCCCTTTGAAAAGCGCGCTCAGTACCCACTCTGCTCCTTCCTATTGCTGCCATTCGCACCACCATCACCTTCTCCATCTTGTCTACTATCTTTAGCGCCAACAGCAGCTTCCTGAATGCCCTGTGCATCACCTCGCAACTTCTCAAAATACGCTTTGACGTCCTCTGCTCCTACCGCCCGGCCACTCTCGGCAAAGGGTTTCAAGAAAGCGCTCACCTTGTCTTTCAGCTGCGCGTATGCCATCGCGCCTTGGATAGCGCGAACGCGATCCATATTGTTGAAAGCTGCTTCACCGCGGTTCAGAATCGAGCCGGTACCAACGGACTGCGCGCCTTCCTCGCCGTCTTCGGAGATGGGCGGCTCATATGTGTCTTCTTCTTCCAAGAGTTGCTGGTGTGGCTTTAGAACAAGGAAGTGCTCTGCACAGTGGCACAGGTGATCACGGAAGGCTGGCTTGAGAAAGAGGGAAAAGGGTTTCGTGAGGGCTATTGTGGAAGGTGGAGGTAGAGACGCTACTTTGCAGATTGCCATGTCTTCCTTCTTCGGTGTGATGGCCAGCGTTGAGATGACGGTGGCGGTGTCTTCTGGAATGCTTGAAAGCGCACCATTGGGATCTTCTGACTTCTTGCGCTTGGCTGGAGCCGGCACAGGAAGTGATGCGTCGGTCTCGACATGGTCGTCACAGGCTTTCCGTTTCTTGGAATCACCATTGGTGACAGTCTCGGCTGATATTTGTGTTGCCTGTGCCGCATTGAGTTCCTTCTCGGTGTAGACTGGCGGCAGGAAGCCAGGGGAACCCGCGTATGACTTGATCCAGGGGTTGGCCTCGATACACTTGTAGCAGAGGAAATGATCGAAGTCGTCCTCAGATGGGAAGCCCGGAGGCAATGGCGGGTCTTCATCTTCGACGTCCTCAGCTTCAGCCACAACATCGTTCCCATCAGCACCATTCTGCTCAAGGGCCGCTGCGTCAAGTACAGGTGTATCTGTGGTATTCGAATTCTCCTTCCTGGCCTCTCGATCGAGCTCACCGTCTGCGGCTGAACCATTTGGATCTTTCGTTTCTGGTTTTTCGATCAACTTCGCGTACTCCTCGCGTGTGAAGCCAACCAAGCACTCTGGATGCCACCAGTCTTCGCCACAGCCGCCCTCTTCAGTAGTCCCTAGACCAAGGCATTGGAACATAGTACCCTTCTCTTGGTGCGCATCATAGTCCTCGCCGCAGCCGCAAAATCTGTTCTTGAAGTTTTGGTTGTAGCTGTTGCCCTTCGCGGGCGTCTCGCCAGTGACGTCGCCCTTCTGCCCGGTCTTTGAGTTGATGCGCAAAGTGCAGGGTGAGTTCTCGGGCATGCGTGTCGTGCCGCAGTCGCAGACAAAGTCGCGTTTGTTGAACAGCTCGACAAGGGTGTGTTCGCCGTGACAAGATATGGAGCATGAGTAGCAGACGCCTGCTGGGGTGTGGACTTGGGCGGCACTGGCCGGAGGTGGACTGCATGTGAGGCATGCGTATAGGCTCTGACGGAGAGGACCGAGGTCTCGTGTGCACGTGTCGAATTGCTGTCGATCGTCAGCTATGGTTCGTGCGACAGGTATAGGCTGCTGACGTAGGGAAGAGCCTCGCGTGCTTCTGCCTCCATGTTGAGCTGCTCATTGATGAATCTGCAGTCAAGATGTTAGGTACCGGTTTGTACATCCATCGAGGTTGGACTCACTCCGCTGCGGTTTGAGAGCTCTCAGACATCTGCGACATGCTGCTAGTCCGCGGCTTTACGGACGCAGTAGTCGATTGTAAGTCTGCCATCGTCGAGACGTGGGGTTCTCGATGCGCACAGTATGATATTCGTGGTTGCAAAGCCTTATACTTTGCGGATGCGAGGTTTCCAAAATAGAGGTCAACTTCGTGTTGGTGTTACTTTGGTCGAGATGCTGGAGCTCGAGAATCAATTAAGCCTCAATCTGGTTAGCACAGTGGAGACGCGCGCGTTGCTTTCGTTACGGAGAGGAAGTCGCGAATTTACGCGACACCTACGTGACTTCCTCAATCACACCCTACATTATACATACCCACCTACTCACATCCCCATTCTGCGCCCGTACATCCTTGTACAAAGTAGATGTGCATTGACTCGAAATGAGGTATGTAAACACCTTTGGTAGCACATACGGCAGGAGCGACCGAGCCCCTGCCCCTCCTCACCGTCTGGTCAGCTATTGACATGCCTCAGTTCACCTCTGCGCTCCAACATGTCGTCTGCAAACCGCGGGGCAGGTCCCAGCAGGAGCAACAATAAACGTGCTCGTGATGATGGCCTCTCATCACCAGGAGCTCTGCCTCCGTCGAGTCGTAAGTGAGACAATCATAAAGGGAGGAGCACGTCTGATGACCAGCAGCCATGGCCTCCTCACCGCCCATGCTACCCCAAGACGATGACGCAGACTTGCTTGACGACGACGATATCATCCGCGATGTTGATGACCTGGACGAGGAAGCCGAGGAAGCCGAGGGTATTGATCTGTTCGCAGACGACTTCGAAAACGACTACACCAGGCGCGAGAATGACGCATACGAGGGCGACGGTATCGACGATGAAGGCGAATATGACGAACTTACACTTGATCAGAGGCGAGAGCTTGAAAGACGCCTCAACGCTCGTGACAGGGAGGCCAGGCGTCGCATGCCAGCTGCTTTCTTGCCGGATGATGACGATCAAGATGGTCTGGCTGATCTCATGGGCCAGGGCCGCCGCCGTGTACGGAGACATCGCTACGACGAAGACCAGGAAGACATGGATATGGGCGACGATATCATGAACGAGGAGCTCACCCTGGAAGCTCTGACTGATGTAAAAGCCAACAACTTGACGGATTGGGTAGCCCAACCCCAAGTCGCCCGTACTATTGCCCGCGAGTTCAAGTCGTTCTTGACTGAATACACAGACGAGAACGGAACATCGGTCTACGGTACACGCATTCGAACCCTTGGTGAGGTTAACGCCGAGTCGCTGGAGGTATCGTTCGATCATCTGGCCGAGTCCAAGGCTACATTGGCATACTGGCTGGCGAATACACCGACCGAAATGCTTAAGATCTTTGACCAGGTCTCGATGGAAGTTGTACTTCTACACTACCCTGACTACGAGCGCATCCACAACGAGATCCACGTGCGCATCACAGACGTACCTGTCCAGTACACCCTGCGCCAGCTTCGTCAGTCCCACCTGAACAGTTTGGTCCGTGTCAGTGGTGTCGTCACTCGCCGTAGTGGCGTCTTTCCCCAACTAAAGTACGTCAAATTCGACTGCACTAAGTGCGGCACTACGCTTGGTCCTTTCCACCAAGATTCGAACGTCGAAGTCAAGATCTCCTTCTGCCAGAGCTGCCAGTCGCGTGGTCCCTTCACAGTCAACTCGGAGCGCACAGTATATCGCAATTACCAGAAGCTCACATTACAGGAATCGCCAGGCACTGTTCCTGCCGGTCGTCTGCCCCGTCACCGCGAGGTCATCCTTCTCTGGGATCTGATTGACTCAGCAAAGCCTGGAGAGGAGATCGAGGTCACTGGTATCTATCGCAACAACTACGATGCTGCCCTGAACAACAAGAACGGCTTTCCTGTCTTTGCGACAATCTTGGAGGCAAACTACGTCGTAAAGTCCCACGACCAGCTGGCTGGCTTCCGACTCACCGATGAGGACGAGCGCGAGATTCGACGACTAGCTAAGGACCCTAAGATCGTGGACAAGATCATCGACTCCATTGCACCTAGCATTTACGGTCACACTGACATCAAGACTGCGGTTGCGTTGTCGCTATTTGGTGGTGTCAGCAAAGAGGCTGCTGGGCGTCACTCCATCCGTGGTGACATAAATGTTCTCCTTCTCGGAGACCCAGGTACCGCCAAATCACAGGTATTGAAGTACGTCGAGAAGACTGCTCACCGCGCCGTGTTCGCTACTGGTCAGGGAGCCTCTGCTGTCGGTTTGACGGCTTCTGTTCGTCGCGATCCTATGACCAGCGAATGGACCTTGGAAGGAGGTGCCTTAGTGCTTGCTGACAAGGGAACTTGCCTCATCGACGAGTTTGACAAGATGAACGACCAAGACCGAACGTCTATCCACGAAGCCATGGAACAACAGACCATCTCTATCTCCAAGGCTGGTATTGTCACAACACTCCAGGCTCGTTGCGCTATTGTCGCAGCCGCCAATCCTATTGGCGGTCGCTACAACTCCACCATACCTTTCTCGCAGAATGTTGAGCTGACCGAGCCCATTCTGTCGCGTTTCGATATTCTTTGCGTTGTCCGCGACACAGTCGATCCCAAGGAAGATGAGCGTCTCGCCAAATTCGTCGTCAACTCCCACGGCCGAGCCCATCCCCTCGTCAACTCTGCCTACGGCTACTCAGACAAGGCCAAAGCCACACAGGACGGTGAGAATGGCGAAGGGATGGAAGTAGATGATATGGAGACAGCACGCAAGGAGAGCGAGATTCCTCAAGAGTTGCTGAGGAAGTACATCCTCTACGCTCGCGAGAAGTGCAGGCCCAAGCTCTACCAGATCGACCAGGACAAGGTCGCTCGTCTCTTTGCCGACATGCGCCGTGAATCGATGGCGACTGGCGCGTACCCTATCACCGTGAGTATTCCTAGACTATCCTACATACTCAGACACGCAGATGCTAACATGCTCAGGTCCGTCATCTGGAAGCTATCCTCCGTATCGCAGAAGCGTTCTGCAAGATGCGTCTGTCAGACTACTGCTCATCACAGGATATTGACCGCGCCATTGCCGTTACCGTCGATTCATTCGTCGGCTCGCAAAAGGTTAGCGCGAAGAAGGCTTTGGCGAGGTCGTTTGCCAAGTACACATTGAACAGGCCTGGTGCCGTCCGCGCGCCTACAAGGGCTGGTCGCAATGCTCAGCGAGTGGCTGCGTAGAATACCGATGCTGGGGTCGAGTCGAGTATTATGGTGCTGGTTGAATAGTGCGATGTGAACGAGGGGATGCCTTGATGACGCGCATTATTGAAGCAGACGCGCGCTTCTGGCGTTTGGAGTTTGTTCATGTTTAGATATACCAGTCTCGAGTTTCAGTTCCAAACAAGATGCTTCACTGTGCCAGAAGTCCTACGCGATCACACATGTCTACTGTGCACGACTTAGCATAAGGTCTTATCGTGTGATACGGGCACTTGGGGTATCTCGCCTGAACGCCTGAACCTAGTATGTCTCACACTCATGCCATCTACTCTTCGCTCTCACTTCTGCTCCTGTCGCGTAAGACAAAAGCCTCCGAATCGACGGGACTTGACAGGTTCACCTTGTGCTTTTCTACCCAGGCTCTGATCTTTGCCTTGTTAATCACCGCTTCCGCACCCCCTCTCTTCTTATGCTCGAGCACATCCATGGCTTGCAATGTTGCTATGATGTCGTCTGGTACGATGAAGGTCTTCTGCCCGAGATCCTGAACGGTCAACATCTTCTTCGATGGACAGGACAGTATGGTCCGCGCAAGAGCTTGCGACCAGTAGTGCACGTAGGCTAGGCGACCAAGGTCAGAGAGAGCTGCGACATGTTAGCAAACAAGCTACAACCTCAGAGTGGCGGCGGTTCTACGCTTCTCAGGCCCACCCATCCTCCCTTCCCGCTTGCTCATCTCATAACTCGCACCCATCAGTATTTGCCCCAGGCCCTGTTTCTGCCACGGCGGAAACACCAGGATGCACGCTAGATTATTGTTATCCCAGCTCATCTTCTCCTTGCTGAAGAAGCCCACGACCTGATTCTGGGCCATCGGCGCGTCGACATCAAGATGCGTGTTCGGTATGCCTGGCGCGGGATTGTGCGCGACGAGCAGGTAGTAGAAGAAGGTCGTGACATCGTAGAAAACAGACTTTGTGTCGAGGAAGAGCTTGGCAAAAAGACAGAGGTTCTGCGCGTAGAGCTTGTTCTTCTCGCCATCGATCTCGTAGAGTGAATAGCCATTGGACGTGTAGACGTGGTTGCCTGGAGGCTCGCTGCTGCGCAATGGACAGGCTCTCTGGGAGGTGGTCAGCCCTTCGCGTGACGGTCGGGTGTGTGAGGGGCATACAAGATGCTTGATGAAGCCCGGAAGCTCCTTGGTGTACTTGAAGCACCATTGGCACACGTAGAGGCGCTCCACCTTACGGCCGACAAGCTCTTCCGAGTAGAAGGACGGGTACCATGGCTTGATCAGCAGAGAGCCAAACACGACCTCGAGGACATTCGGCGTCGCAGGCTTGTCTTCGGCATTAGGCGCGGGGCTCACGGATGCGCCATTCTCCATGGACACATCTGCGGCCATTGGGAGATAAGGCGGGGGTGGAGATATGACGCGTTTGCGAGCTGGCGGCTGGTCTCGACGCTAGCGCGAACGCGACTGCACGTGCTGGCTCCTTCACGCCTGCCCATCTCTGCCGACTATGCAGCGCTATCCGATCTTGACTCGATGCACTTACTGTTACAGATGAATGCTAGCCCTGAGCATTCACTTGCTGTTCTTGGTAGTTCTACCCAGAACTGTGGATGGAGCCATATCGCGGCTCAGCTGCGGTCGCGGTCCATCCTCCGTTCCTTCGCGGATCCCACACAGTCTTCAGATTTTCTCTCGGTGCTGAGTTCTCCCAAGTGGCTGCTCGCTACTAGCATGGCGCTGCAACTTCAAGCCAGCTCCGGGTGGTATTCGCAGGCGATAGCAAGCATTGGTGGTTCGCTTCGCGGACGAGAGCTCCGTAAGATGCTCAATACAGCTCGAGCCTGCCGCTGGAGATTGGGTATGAGCTCGATCTCAGCAAGAAGCAAGCAGAGATGACCGAGACGACCACTAGCTATCAGATGACGAGAGTAACACTAGCCACACACAGGCCATTAAAATGCTAAAGCTGGTCGAGGATGACCCAGGCGTGGTACAACATCACGTCCCGAAAGGGACCGAGCGACTCGCCACCGCGGTCACGAAAGAATCTCACGTTTCGAACGGCTGCTCAATGCATTTTCTGGACTCCTCAAAGGGCTCTCCCCATATCGTTTTGCAGATTTTCGGGCTCGAAATGCTTATATCATCGACGTTGCCCCCGAATGACTACCGATGTACACGGTAGTTGCACTTTGATGGTCAGCTCTTTAACTTCGTCTTGTTTCAATCAGCATCTGGAGCGCCAAAGCCAGTATTTGAGAGCAGTGCGGCACATAAGTAGGAATCGGACCACTACGAATTATTCGAGCATAGCTATGTACAATACTACAATGCGAACACTACACGCTAAACTGGTAATACGACCTTGACGCCCATGTACTCTCGCTGATGCATGAGCTTCCCATCGATGATGACCTGATGCACGCCAACACGGTTGTGCACAGTATCTGTGGGATCCGTGGCGGTAGCAATCTGGATCTCGCGCCACTGTCGGTTGGTAGGCACAATTTCGCCCTGTAGTGTCCGCTTCTTGAACTCCTTGTAGATACCCTGATCTTCAACACAACCCTCGCGCTGAATGAGTGGTGATTCTATTATCACTGTCAGCAATCTGGCATAGAGTATATCAGAGGTTGGCCTACCTTGTGCAGGTGTCATGCGCATGTCACCAAGAGAGCTGTTGAAAAGCACAAGAGAAAGGCGCTCCTGATCAAGCTGATCGATTGGAGGCTTGAAGACTCTGTGTCTTGTTGCTTTGAAGTGCCCCCCTGATACAATTTCTAGTGTATCGCCAATGTTGATGACCAGTGCGCCGGGCTTGTATGGTACGTAGTACCATTTTTCGTCTTTGCCCCAGATCTGTAGGCATGAGATTGGGACGGAGAACAAAAGTGTTGTAAGACCGAAGTCTGTGTGTCCGTGCATACGTAGCCCCTTCGATGCTTCCTGTGTCTGCTTTTGTACGGGGCGGAAGAGTGCGTGGCGGAAGTATCCCTCGCCGGTCGGGCCATCGTGAGACTGAACATTATCCCATAGGTAGTCGTCGGGCAGCTCGAGGACACGAGAGAAGAGTGTGAGGAGGCGACGGTTTACGGACTTGGTGAGGTAATTGCAGAATTCTTCGATCTCGTCCATGAAAGGATGGAGGCACTTGGGGATGCGGTTAATATCCTGCCAGTCAGGTTTGTACCAGTTGAATTGTTCGATGCCGTCCGCAGGTCCGCGATAGCGCTGGATCACTTGTCAATATCTGGTCGCGGAGGCTCCCTATACATTTTGTCATACCTTGAAACCATAAGGGTGCTTGTACCCAGACCACACACCAGTCTCGGGGTTGAACAGAAGACGTTCTCTATCCTCTTCACTAATATTTTGGTACAGGTATTGAGCGAGAGCGAACTGTCGGTGCAATTGCTCTAGCGAAATGCCATAGTTCTCGAGGAACAGGAAGCCATCTTCGCGAATAGCTCGCTTCACTTGCTGCACCAGATCATCAACGACTGTTGGATCATCAGAGTCCATAAGAGACAGGTCAATGGAAGTCAGCTCGGCGAAGTCTTCCTTCTGCTGTGTGACAGGTGGAGGGATCCATTCTGGCACAAAAGGCTTTCCGGGCAGATCGGCTGCAGGAGGGTTGAATTTAGCAGCAGGTGCCATCATGAAGGAGAGTTGATGAGGAATAAAGAGATGATGGTGCACTGTAGCGTAAGCTAATGATCAGTCTGATTTGAACGAAAGGAGGCCCAGTCCTTATATCCACTGGCGTACAGCGTGGTGTGAGATCGGGGCGAGATCTGCTTGGAGAGTAAGCCTTGGTTCATCGAGCTCCTCCACAAATCAGGTGAATTGGCCACAATTAGGCATAATGGCGCACTGTGCTCGCCTCCGGTCCTTGGACTCTGAGCTACGGGCTCCATGCACCGTGGCAATTGAGCCGCACGTTTTCCCGCGTCCCGCATCTTCGCCTATCTATCTTCGCTTTCATGCTCCTCCCGTACTTGTGTTCAAGCTACGGACGTGGCCAGTGGAGTTAAGGCGATAGAGTGATTGTCGAGAGAGGAGCTCCTCCTTAGTGTGTGGGGCTTGCGCTAGTGCGGCTGACTAGCGTTATCTTGATGCGCCTGTGAGCTCCTCGTCTCCACCTCCAGCATTGAGCAAGATGCAATCGCTCCGAAACGAGGCGATCTCTGTTGACCTCGTAGTTTAAAGATGGCTCAGTAGGCAGACATGCATATCTCACAACACCTTCGCCATACTGCCTTACGTCAAATCTTGCTGAAGCCGTCACCTTAGCATTCAAATCTACCTTGTCGAGTAGCAGCCATGTCACGCCAGCTCATCTCCAGCGAGAAGTTCCCCACGAAGCCTCACAATTGTCCTGCCACAAAAGTACCGGGTCTCGTCTTCTGCGCCGGGCAAACAGCCACAGGAGAGATCAAGCAAGCCACAGTAAGTCTAAGCTTAGCAGGCTCTTCGGTATCTCAGATGTACTAACATAGGATTCAGAGAAGAGTTTTGCAAAACCTGAAGGAAGTTCTCGAGCTTTCTGGTTCGTCACTTGAACAGGTTGTCAAGTACAACGTCTACCTCGCAGACATGAAAGACTTCGCTGCCATGAACGAGGTGTACATCGACTTCCTGCCTCAGCCTATGCCCTCTCGATCTTGCCTTCAGGCACTGCCTCCTGGTGATGGAACCGTCATCGAGATTGAGTGTATTGCACAGGCGTAAACAATAAGCCGCTGAGTACGAAAACAATAATATCGAGGAGGTTCATGGCGGAGCACGCTTAGTAGACCGTATTTGAGGCGCTTGGCATATAGATTTATCAAACTCACTGCTCTGTACGAGAGTGACTTGAAGGGAAATAGGAGCAATAGATAGAGTACAGATCTTGAATCAAGCAAGCACGATCATACATCCTCTTCTTCCCTGACTTGGTGGTGAAACTGTATCGGCGAGAGCTGCAGTAATTACGTATCTTATAAAAGATGTGACGCTGTGCGATGAGCGATTGATACCAACAGAGCGTCTATACAGGTGTTGGTAGGGGCAGGAAACAGCAGACCAGAGACGACGGCAAGATAGGAAGAGTGGGTGTGAGGTGATGGTGGCTGAGCCCAAATGTTACGATGGAGCCTTTAGTAGACGGGTCTAGCGACCTTCGTCATGGCATAGCTAAACTATACGACTTCGTGACCCGGTGATGTCCCGATGTCGAGCCGATCTATGCACTTCATGACAATCTTGCCCAGCTGCCACCGCTGACGCCGCCCAAAGACCTTTCTCGCCCATATCAAAGCAGCCCGCGTATCACCGTCTTGGATACCAATGACCTGCATTGATCCTATAATCCCGTCGCGAACTAATTGCCACGCGATCATGAAAGCTTTGTATGCATACAGAACAACCCATGGTGCCTCCGTCTCAGGCATCACTGTCGCATCCAGATATCGCAGGAACCAGTCGACGTGTGGCTGTACCAAATTTGCAATCCGCGATTCGCACAAGAACTCGCACGATGGTGCATGTTCAGTCAATTGATATAGCACCGCATCCATGCTGCTCTCAATGATGCCGCCAGTATGTGTTGGCGACCACATTTGCAGTTCAATCATTGCAGTCTCCCATGCAATTTCGCCAAGAGAAGCCGAGGCTGGATCTGAGTTGCCTCCATGTGGCCGGGCGAAGGGTTCCAGAGCCACGAGAGAGGATCGGAGCGGCTCGACTCTTTCGATACTGAGGATTCCAGTTATCGTCGACCACCCTGAAATTTCTCGAGCGCTTGAGATCAAAAACTGGGTAATGTTGACCGTGCCATATGGATCGAACGGTGGCAATGTGTAAAGATCCGCATTGCTCGATAGAAACCGTCGGACGACTTCTGGGTACTGCGCTGCAGAGCCAGCCTGACGCATAAGCAGCTGTCTATGTGCCCACTCTCCGGATGTTGCTGCAGTCCAGTGGTCTTCTGGGCATGGTAGGTCGTGTTTTATCTCTAGATGTGATAGTGATCGCGGAACAGAGAGCACCTGATACCATAGTGCGTCAATTTGGTGTACAGCAAAACAAGTTCGTTTGTGCGCTTCAGACTTTATGAAATGATGCCAAAGCGAATCTAGATCCGCAGTCGCTGTTGCCTCAGTCGTTAGAGGCTGCATCAGACCACCTGCTCGCGCCAGAGAGATGATCTTGGAATGCGTTTGGAGGCCAAACGCCGATGCGCTTCCACAAAGATACATCATAGTATACAATTGTATTAGCAAGCATGCCTGGACACCGAATGTACTGTAGGAGGTACTCAATTGCTCGTCTTCATTGTCAGTCTTGAGGAGCGCACGGGCTTGATGGAAACACTGAATCGACAAGCTCACACCCGAACCAGCCTGCTCCCCATAGTCCGGATCTTCACCGTACTGATACCCAAGACACAGCATACCAAGGAGCAGTCTCTTATCTGTGTGGTATGCATCAAATGTCGGTTGATGGATGAAAGGTAAGAAGGGCGAGAGATGGTTGAAGAACAATTCAGTCCCTCGAGTGATTTGTGTTTTTGAGACATTCCAATCCTCCCGCACTTGAGGTGATTCAGCGGAAAACCATCTGGCAGGGCTGTCTTGGCTGTGCAGGCCGAAATTGCTGGTGTCCGTATCACGTTGCGGTGGTTGCGTTCGCACAACTTCTATGAGTGGATCTGATCCGAATCCTACTGGTCCTTGCAGGGCAATGTCGATATTTGCGGGTTGCGTGATTGTTGTTAATAATGGTGCTGACCCATTGCCTGACGAAGCATTGCTGCCTGGGTTGTGCTGATCGATATGTGGCTGTTGCAGTTCGTATTGCATGGCAGTCTGCCAGACTCTGTCAACATCGAATTCGTCCCGCTCTTCGGTTGTTGCAAAGAGTAGTTCGTTCTGGACTCGAGGAGGTGAGGTGGACGAATTCCTGTCTTTCTGCAGCATTTGTCGCTTTCTGGGTCGATCGGCCTGGTGTTCCGGATGCTTCCTCTTGACATGTCGATGTCGAAGATCTGACCTTGAGAAGGTTGCGGCGCAGAACTCGCAGGTCAGCGAGGTCTCGTCTTGGGAACGTGTGTGAAGAGCAGCATGACGCTTCAGATTCTCATGTCGAGTGAAGCGGCTCTGACAGATCTGGCATTGGAATGGCTGGAAGGAAGGTCGTCGTTCTGGAAGTGCGGGTGCCACAGTGACAGATGTCATATTGATGGTGATTGTGAGTCGAGTCAGGTCAATGGCAGAGGATGCATCATGTCAAACCGGCATCAAGCAGTACGAAAGAAGGCGGTGCATCCTTCCCCGCAATCCGAGGTAGTCGCGCTTATCTCCCGCTCAATAGGCCGATGCCAGCTGATGGCACCCTAAGAGCTTATCTTGGGCATTTCAAGGCACCGCTTATTCGTATTGCGATAATTGGTCATTTGCGTATCAGGGCCCACATTGCATGGATCATTTGCAGGCATCCCATCTATGTGTGTGTCATGGCGATAGCTTGAGGGAAGGAGTGGAAGTGGTGACGCCTAGCGATATCGGCCCGATCGGTAATCGAACTTCGTAGCGACGGCTTTCTACACTTGGTTTTCCTGACACATAGCCTACCAACCCGACAGAGAGGGTGTTTTTCCTGCGGTCCTGCGGAAGACACTACTGATATCGCTCGAAGAACGCCTTCATTGCGATATTGGACAAATTTACCGAAGCCACCCGCCCACATTGCTGAAATGTCGGCTGTAATACAAAATTGTATTACAATTTGCGGAAATTATATCTGGTCGCAGGCGATGCACAGGGAAGTTCTGGCTTTCTTTCAAAACACTGAGGCAGGCCCAACAGCCGACTGTTTCTGCCACATAAGAGCCCCCCACTCGCTCACCCTTGTACTGATACGAAACATTGCCATATTGCTGTAGTAAAAAGGATATATACTCCATCAGTACATTTCATATCGCCAGTTGAGCCGGACCATCTCCTCAGTCACACCACCACGAATGACCTTCGCAATCTCGTCTGGGTCACCCGAATCTAGACGCTTGTTCTCACGGCGGACAAGCCATCCGTAGAAGGTGATGGTAGCGGCGAAAGTGAATGCGCAGCCCATCAACGTACCAAAAGCCGCATAGAATTGCGGCGGTGCATAGTAGAGGTAGGAAGCCCAGATGTTGGACGTGCCACCGATGGCATTCACAAGAGCCGATGCTGCTGCACGCTTCGCTGTCGGTCGTGCCAAATGTAAGTTGATCGTCTTGTATAAGACAAGTTGAGGTCCAACGGAGGCGAATGGGAGGATCATCATCGAAAAGTACCTCGCACCGACGTTCAGTGTCGCCATTGGGATGACGTACATGCCACATGCAAGCGAGATGCATGCAATAATGATCGGGTATGCTGTGTTCTTGCGGTCAGAGTACCACATGAGCCAGTAGTACACGATGCCCGCAAGGATGTATGGAGGAGCCGTGAGCAATAGACTGGTAGTGCCCTTGTATCCGAGCGATGCGACAAGAGTAGGAAAATAATTGGCGATGGAGCCCTGCGCTTGGGATAGAAGGTTGCAGAAGATAAGGAGCAGGAGCTTAGGATCCGTGATGGCCATCTTGAAGCCTTTCAGTGTTTCATTCTCCGTCTTGCCCTCTGCTGCACCGGACTCCGACTCCATACGCCATACAGCAAGATCACGCTGGATCGGAGAGAGAATCTTGCTGTTGTGCGGAAACTCGGGCATCAGGAAAGCACATACTGCACCAATTCCGACCGTGGCAGAGCCTTCTATGATGACTACAGGTGTGTGTATTAGCAACTGTCGATAACATCAACGGAACACAACCGAAGACATACAAAGCCATTGCCATGCACGGATACCATGCTTTCCGTCAAGGCGGAATACACCAGCAGCGAAGAGGCCACCAAAGGCGTTACCGAATTGTTGCGCAATGTACAACGCAGCGATGCGCTTTCCGAGCTCGGTCTTGTTATACCACGCCGACAAGTAAAAAATGGCTCCCGGAAAGAATCTAAGGAACAAGAAATCAGCATCATTATTCAGGTGTCTCTAAGGATAACTTACACGGCTTCCGCCGCGCCTAAGATGGCGCGTACAGCCAAAAGTTGACCATATGTTTTCACCGCAGCCGTTGTGGCAGAGATGGTACCCCAAATGATTACGGCCGCGCAGATGTAAAGGCCAGGTCGAGGTATCCTCGCGATCAAGAGGTTTGACGGGATCTGTAACGGAAGGTAGCCGACGAACAGGATCGAGATCGCCGTTGCGAACTGTTGAGTGTTCATGTTGAGATCCTCCATGATGCCTTGCAACTTCGCCGCTGCCAAGTTCTGACGGTCGATGTAATTGAGGATGTAGAGGATGCCAATGATTGGGAGGATGATGAGGTCGATCTTGCGGACTAGCTTCTTGTTGAGAGCCGCAAGTTCCTCCCTGCTGAGGTTGCGGAGAGATTCTGGCATACCCTCGTCGCGCTCGTTGTCGACAGTGCCGAGCTCGACATCAGTACCAACAGTCCCAACGAGCTCCAACTTTTTCAATTCGGACGCCATTGTAGTGTAACTCAATGATCAGGAGGAACCAAAGAGATTGATAGGTACAGCTCACAATGATGCTGGCAACGAATGATCAGTACCTTATAACCAACTGTCATGATTCGTAGCGAGTCTACCATAGCATGCGTGTTCACAGACTTGAGATAAGACTGAGAGGAGCACCTCAGCTGATATCAAGTCGCGAACTATCGGACGCTAGTTTTCGGAGGCTTATCACACGTGAGGACGAAATCTGGGGTACAGTGTGCATGACTCGTGGCCCTTGCAGGAAGCTAGCGAGCTATGTATTGGGAGGAGCTCCTCCCCCGTCCTCCCTGTGGGGCAACACCTACCATCCGACATCGTCGGCATCCCATGTGGAGCCAGGTGCTCCTCAGAACCTGCAGGTCGCGAGGGTCAGTGGAATTGACGCGATGGAAGAGCAGCCAGGCGCTGCTGAACTACTTAGGTGGACGTAAGGTCCAAAGGCTATGTGTATTATCTGCAGTCTCATCAATTTCTTCTCATCTGACAGTACCTTTGATACCATCCACTTTGCGCAATTATCAGTCCCCCCTTTTCCTGCGATCCCTCTCGAGAATCAGACTCTACGGTCACCGACTGCAAGACACCATGGGCTACCCTACCGCACAGACAACGAGTATTCAAAATCCTCGGCTGAGGCTGCTGAACAAGATCAGGGCTGGGGAGTTTCCGTTGATGACCTTTGTCGCGATACCCTCCGTTCGCCAAGCACAGATAGTGGCTTTGACAGGCCTTGATGGGATCATCATCGACTGCGAACACGGTCACATCGGTGACGATGCTATGCACAACTCGGTAGCTGCGATATCAGCTCTCGGCGTATCCCCAGTCATCCGAATTCGAGGACCAGCACATGATATTCTCAAGCGCGCTTTGGACACTGGAGCACACGGTATCATGGTCCCTCAAATCAACAACGCAGAAGAAGCCGCCCAGGTAGTCGCCTCTTCGAAGTTTCCACCACAAGGTGTCCGTGGCCAGGGCTCCGCTTTTCCAGCCATCGGTCACGGTCTCACAACTCCTGAGTACATGAAATCAGCCGACCAGACGATTATCACCATGATCCAGATCGAGACACGCGCAGGAGTTGAGAACGTGGATGCCATCGCCGCAGTGCCAGGTGTGGACCTCATCTTCATTGGTCCCAATGATCTCGCACAATCACTTCTTGGATACACTCCTGCACGAGGCGATGAGCCAGAATTTGTTCAGGCTGTAGACAAGATTATTGCTGCTGCTCGCAAGAACGGCAAGTGGGCCGGAAGGATGGTTAACAACGGCACAGCAGCAAAGGAGGCAAGAGAAAGATACGATACTGTAGCCATCACTGGTGACACTAAGGCAATTCAAAATTGGTACATGGCGGAGTTTGAGATTGCCAGATCTGGTGTGGCCCAGCCGTAGACGGAAGTAATGAAGCAACGCCTAACCCTGGTGGGGAGTATAGAGACCCATGGTCAGATGAGTACGAGCAACAGCAATACATATGTTTATCGAACAGCTCTTTCGCGTACGATCTGAAGAAGGTGATTCGTGCTTCACTCGGTCTGCTAGCTCTCATTGTATGGGATCGAGGTGTTGGACATACATATGTATTGCTGTTGCTCGTGCTCGTTTGATCTTATGTTTCCAATCCTAGTCTCAAGAGAATCTCATTCTTGTCAGATATGGAATGATAAAAACCCAACTATTACCAATTGTGATCAGCTCATTACTGCATACCTAGTATTATCGACGAATGTGTGAAAGACTGGAAGTATCTACCAACTACGCGAGAAATGGCATCGACACGAGACACGAGTACCATTAGTACAGGATTCGCATATCTAGACCGCCAGACGCCGAATCCTCTGTGAGTTCATGCATAACCAGTGAGCTTCGAAGAGTTTTGACATGGTTGCATGTGCGAAACATTGTATCTGTCATCACGAGAGACGACGTTCGACCGAGTACCGCTTCGACGATTAAGGTTCGATGCCAGTCGTGTCGGTCTCTCGGCTTTCTCTCCTCGTCTTGTGGGGCGGAGAACAAGTATGCTAGCCAGCGACTGAGCTTTCTATACACAGTCTTGCCTGTTGGGTAGGGCCAAAGGCACAGCCGCGCTAATGTTCAGCTGGCTGCAACACTTCAGCTCTTCCGTTGCGCTCAGCTTTCCAGACCAAAGTTATTGAGTTGCATTACTTTCGAGATTGTATTCACATCGTTTATAGTCGGGCTTAGGCGCCTCACAGATGTTGCGCTCGCGATACGCTCGCGATACGCACGTGGAGTGTGGTGCTCAATCCTTCATCATTTGTGGAGAAGCTCGACATGGTCAAGAAGGTCGCTGAAAGCAGGAGAGTGAAGTTGACATGCATGGAATTGGACGAGCCACCCGCTAATCCCATGACTGCAAATGACAAAGTCCTCTGGAGCCGGCCACGGTAGAGAGGCCATTCACAAAGCTCAGCGAGCGGTGAGGAATTTCATAAAGACCGAGGCGGCAATTGGTCTCTAACCGAACATGATCAAACTCGAACCGCCGATACTATAAACAGTACCAAACAATGAGAGTCTTCGATACCCCGCTAGTCCACTGGACAGGTATGTGGAGAAGGAAGAAGATGAAGTGGCCAAGACTGTAGCAGAAGGAAGCAACGAACGGGCTCGGCGTGCAGGTGTAAAACGAGAAAGGCAATTGTACAGCAGTAACCACGAAGAATAACGCGCACAGAAATAACTCTGCCAGACTATTCTTGCCGTACGTGATACCAAGATGGAAATGTGCAGGCTGTCAAGTGCATGGGCAGAGATGAATCAGAAAGGTGGACGGAGATGGCAGAGTCAGAACGAACATCAGGCGAACATACATTGCAGTGCGAACGTAAAGAAGTAGACTGCACACCTGTGCATCTGCAATTGTGCTGGCGCATTACTTTCATCGCAATGGTGCCTTGCTGAGGCAACATTCAAAAGACAGTGCCGTCACTCTGAATGATGATTGGACTCGACTTCGTCGCTGGTCGAAGCTTCGCAGCCGTCTCTCTACCGGACTTCCAGGTTCCAGCCTCAAGGAGCTGCGCCATACTTAGCTGTGCACCATCCATTCGAGACAAGATCATGGGATACAGTTTGTCGATCAGCACAAGCGTCATAGCTCGCCACTCGACTATTACATCGTCGCCAGCCGCAAATGAAGGAAGGGACCCTTCAGATGCCCTCAGGCCTGCATTGAGGGTGGCTTCCTTGAGTGAGAGCACGCCCATGTCCACGAATAGGCCTCCGTTACGGTACTCGGGCAGTGCTGTCAGTGATTCGGCGTTGATCCACTTGACATTGAGGATGCGCTGGAATGGGACCATCAGAGAGTAAGTAAGCCACTGTGTCAGCTTGTGGAACGGCTGTATGAGCCCAGGATCGACTTTGTTGTGATCAAACGAACTGCCGCCTTGCTTTGCTAATGCACTGAGTGGCCAAGCATCGCCTATGGGTGCGCCATTGATTGTTGTGCGATCTTGTGGCCAGATCGGAATGAGCAGAGTCTGCAGGAGGTCCCAGAAACTGAGGATATCGAGAGTTGAGGAGTCGCTAGCGGACTTCAATAAGTAATCTGTAATCCGATGAGCGAGATCCCTAGTCACACCTGGCTTACTTACCAACGGCGTTTCCTGGACGGCCTGTGTCACCAAAGATGTCAGGGTGTGCGAGAAGTGATTTACCTAACTCTCTAAGCAGATTGGCTCTGGACTCAACTCCTAACATGGGGTTGCTGTCTGTGACTTGTAAACCTTTGGCGAGCGCCTTGGTCGACAGTTGAGCCAATCCTTTGCCTAAGACGGTATCAGCGGTGATCTCGAGTACCTGGAGTCGATAGCCCGTACCATCTACAAGCGGAAGGCTACCTTCCTCGCCCGTGTATCCGCCTCCAAGGAACATATACAGACTGGCCACAGCGATACCCTCACTTCGCTCGTACGATCGTTCTGTGCCGGGCTCAACGTATTCCCAGTGGTCGCCAGCACCGGCATCCAGGAGAACCGATACAAAGAAGAGGTCAATAAGCCGTCTCGTGAGCTCCTTGTCATCGCTGCCAAACTTCTTCCAGTCCTCGAGTAGATCGGCAATCCTAGGTACATTGCCGACCTCGAAATGCTGCCAGCGTCCGTGTGGTGGGATGGTGTGAAACTTGTCCGGGCCGTAGTCACGCTAGTCAATCGGTGAGCGCGACATGTGAGACATGCGGTCATGTTCAACGGACCTTGATGACAGATGTCACGAAGTCCGCAACATCGTCCAGCTTGCCCTCATTAATATCGAAGTGATTGAGGTTCCCGTCCTTTGCGGCCTGTCCGACGATTTTGGCACGGTCCCTAATGGCACCCAGCGAGAGCAGGTATTTGACGGTAGAGTCCATGCCGGATGTAAGAGCAAGACAGCTGAGTGGGACAGTAGAGGGGTAGCACTTCCAGTAGTGGGGGCGCTGCAGTGAGGATGAGCAGTTGAGCACTGGGTCAAGACAGAATGCAAACGTACATCGGAGTCTTCGAAGTCAAGAGCCCATATAGAACAGCGATACCTTGATGAAGCAGCCGTCGAGTACCCACTGCTGCTATCTGCACGCTTACATGATGCGGTTAGGTCCCCAAAAGTGGAAGGCACGGGTCAGGTGCCACGAACGGATGTCGGAGGTCGCCGATGCAACAGACAGCTCAAACTTCAAAGTAAAGCCGTCGCCAGCGACAAGAGCATTCTCACAGGATACGGCTCCCGGGCAGCTTATCGAGGCGCAGGCGACCAGATTCGCTTGACGGCCTTCATCGGCGCCTGATTGGACGAAGCCGCACACTCCCGTAGCTGCAACTCCACCACCACACAAGCTTGGGCCCCGAAGCACGCTGATGCATGCTGCGTTGGCTGACTGGCTGGAGGGCTGCACGTCGCTCAAATTTCTTTGCCCTGCCTCGCAGCTTGTGTGTTCACCTCAACGCCCATTCGGTGACATGTAAGACGAACATCACGATCGTATTCCTTGCCTTGCCCTTCACAGCCCGCTCACGTCGCACGTTGGTTGCTGCTCTTCGCTTCCAGCATGCAAGAAAAGGACACTGCACTACCGTCTATATTCTACTACCAGCTACGGCCGGCGCGCACGCCCTAAGTCATCATCGACAGCATCAGATCCACTTAAGCAAGCGCGTCATTCGCTGGCGGACAACGCATACGGCACGCTCAACGTGGCATGGTGGGTGATGATCTGCGCCTCCTCTTTGGCTTTCTAGTCCGTTGTGCCCTCTGGATACTGATCGATGTTTGGCGAACTTGTAGGCGGACTACGAAGCCCCATTCGAGGGCACTGCACCCCCAGCGCGACGCCGACCTTCACGTGTGAGAAGCGCCGACGACACTCCGCACTCAGCAGCGGCTTCCTCTGCAGGAACGGACGATGGAGGCTCAAAGATATCGAAGACAAGTAGACGGACCTTGAGAAAGGCACCCAAGAGCCATACATCCGCGGCGCCAGAGCCAATATACGAGGAAGAAGGTGCACACTGGGAAGATAATTCTGTAGGACACATGCCGCACCTGGGACAGATCCATGAAGGACTTGCAAATACAGCCAGTAGGAGCAGGAGCTCTACAACGGGCTCGACGCGCCGCCGTCACTCTGAGGACAATACCAACCGGATGCGAGTTCGCCCAAAGCAAGGCTCTCTTGGACGAGGTGCCGGAAGCCTGGCCAAACACTCGAACTCGTCTCTAACCTCGGTATTCTCCGGTCTGACCCAGCCTAGCACTGCGAGCGAAAGCAACACTACCATCACTGATAAGTCTAACCGTGACGAGCGGCGCCGTAAAGACAAATCAATTAAAGGGGCTAAAGTGAAGCGTAGCAAACGTTCCGCCGCACCATCAGTCGCTGATACTGAAGTTACCCACTCCGAAGTGTTTCAATTTCTGGAAGAGGATCCTCACGGGCAAGATACACATGGTGACGCTCATAGCGTCCTGCAAGCGTCCTCCCCATCAGTAATTTCGTCATTGGATTCTCGTGCCGATGACAAGTCTTCAGATGCAAGCGAAGGTGGACATGATACCCCGAGGACATCACCAACATCAACGAGACGATCGCACAGCCATGGAACGTCGTACTACGGCCAGTATAAGTATGCCTCCAGAAAGCCGTTGTATGCAAGCAGCTTTGTTCATGGCCCCGGAGACGAGCCTGCGGAGGACAGCGAGGTTTCCAGTGATGAGGAAAGCACCTACGATGACGACCACGCGCAATACCCACCTCCGTCAGCCCCATACTGGGGCTGTCCCCCCATGAATGCAGCTCACCCTAGATCTGGCCACGTGCACCAGAGCCCTCAGCCGCACCACACCATCCCTTATGCAGGTGTTATGTCTCCGAACATGCAGTCAGCTGTACCTTCTAACGATTCACGAATGTATTCAGGCGCGCCGCCAGCAAATTTCAGTTCGACGGCGAGCCAAGCTTCAGCATGGCCTCTAAACGTCTCTTTCCCACAGCCGTTGGCCATAGCCTATTCACCGGAGACTGGGGCTGCTTATCTGCACCACTCGCCGGTAGCCAGTCATGCGCCTCCGAATGTTCTGCAATCTCCTGTTGCTGCGCATGCTGTTGCTGCCCAGCACATGGCTATGACTACTCAGCATTCGTCCCACCGCAAAAGCGGCTCAGGCAACGACACGATGATCGGATATGAGCTTCTGGCACACAAACTAAGCGAACTGAAGAAGGGTAGAAAGGATGACGCTGTAGTACCAGCATATCGCAAGTTCGAGCAACTGAACCATCGTGTCCTACTCCACCTACAAGACGAGATCAGCGAGCTGGAAGAGGAGCTGCGCCAGCTTGATCAAGAGATCGCCGAAGCCTCACCAGGCGCTCAGACAGGGCATCGCCACCCTGCCTCCCGGCGAGGAGATACCCAGTTCGGAAACGACCTGCACCGCCAAAGGCTTGATGTACTTGGTCGGGTCTTCCTGAAGCTGGAACAATACAGTGAGTGCCCGACAGTATGCCCCATCAAGCACCGTGTGGCAAGAATCACGTTCGATAGAAGCCACTGACCAAAGCAGACAAGGCTTTATCAGCCTTTAGTGAAGTCAAGCAGCTGCCGTCTGCCCGTCCTTCAGACGTTGAGAAGTATCGCGCGTGGATGAAGCAACGTAATCCCATTCATGAGGCGGAAAGCCGCTTCCTAGAGCGCCAGGCAGATCTAGTGAATTTTTCATCAAAACGGCACGCAAGTATTGACCATAGTGCGGGGACGAACCAGCATGCAAACATGTGGCTTCCGCTGTTTCCGTTTGTGGCATTTTCAATCGTCCCCAGCTTGCTTGGACGCATCGTCGTAATCGCGCTTATCAGCGCCGTGGGGCTGAGGACGGTCACGTCGACGCCAGAGTTCATGGCCATTATGACTGTCCGCGAGTGGATGTACACGGCTTTCATGTGAGTGATTTTCCCATTGGACAACCCTGGCAGAAAGGCAAAGCGGTGCTCGGCAGCCAACTTATTACCGCACAGAGGTTGTGTTCGTTGGCCATGCTGCTTTTCGCCTCGTCCCTGAGGATTTTGACAGAGAAGCTAATGCACGCAGCTATTTTGGGTTGATGAGTGTTCTCGCGGTTCTTGTGCGCTGACCGCACAGGCATGCCCCACCGCACGCATTCCTGGCCAAGTTGGGGGACGGGCGCAACGATCGTCACGCACAGACGACGTAGTCAATGTCGGAGAGTCAGGAACCAGTCCACGTCCGTGTTTACGGCCTGGTCAAACTTTATGAGCTACGAAAGCAGCCTTTATGGCGTCATTTCTATCGATCCAATGAGCGGATTTGCTTGTATCCAGGCGTTACTCGATGCACTCGGAAGGAGGGTTTCCCGTACGAACGTCTGCGTGGCTTGGCGCTCGCTTGGCCATGTAGTGAGAGCGGATTGGGAATTTGGGATCCATGGCTCGCGGTGCGTTCAGCGCGGGTAGACGAAGAATGCGTTGCCGAGCTAGGCATGGCTGCATGTGAAGGATCGAAGAGGAAGTGGCGTGATTCTTGAATAGGACCGGGTGCAGTGCTCAATACCTACTGTACAGTGACAGTCGGGTAGCCCACAAGACACTGTAGTGCAGCTGCAAGACGGGCAGCGGGTATTGAATCAAATGAAACGTTATCAAGATACATTGCGATTTGCGATGGTCGTTCGCAGCTACGGTGCAATGGGGCCGAAGGAGCAGTGATCTGGGACCTGCATGCAGAGGCCTTGAGGGGCGGCCCGCGAGTGCATTCCACTTGCCACAGCATGCAACAATAATGATGCCACAGCTGCAGCCTGTTCAACAGCGACGGCCACCCCCTCGCGCAGGCACAGGCAGCGGCGCAGCGCCATGGATGGAGTTCGGCACACTCTGGCGTTGACGTCTGCTAGCAGTGCTAGTCAGGAACCACTAAGCCAGACTGCCAGTGCGCGACCCGCTCTGGACAGGGGGAAAGACAGCAGATGACCGTTTCACCAGCATGCATGCGAACCCTGCCCCGGCACCCTGGCCCCCCTGTGCATCGCCAATTCTCCATCTCTACGCGCGCTGTTGGCTGCATCGGTGCAAACGGCTGATATTCTCGCGGAGTTGGAGTGCTCGGTGCAGTTGCGACTTCCCTTCCCGCCGTCTCCTGCAGCGGCCCATCTGCAGCAAGTCCGACCCACTTAGCAGCCGGCCACGCGCTGAAACACACGCTGCTCCTGTCCGCCCGCCCATCACTGGTGCCCTACTTTCGTACACTCTGCGCTTCACGTCCTGAGGTGCTCCCCTCCTCGCCCGCTCATTTGCCCCAGAGACGCGTCGCTCTTCTGGAATGTCGCCGCCCGCCTGCTGCTGACCTTGTCCAACCTGCCGCTCACGCTGGTGTTCTGTGTGTCCCCGCACTGCCCGTCGCGACTTCCTCAGCACGCTCTCTGCTCCTCGTTGCTCGCTGCTCGTTCCTCTTGATCTTGACGGCGCGCCCGGCGCAGACACTGCCCGCACCCCTTCGCCGCCACGCCTCGGGACCCTTACGCCTGACGCCCGACGTCCGACGCCTGCTGTCGCTGACACCTGTCACACACGATCGCGACAGACGCTCACAGACGCTCACCACAGCGCCTCGACAGCCTCGCTGGACGGACATCTCCGCTGCGGCACCTTTGCGCGTACAGCGAGCCCTGCCCGCCTGTCTGCCCGCCTGTCTGCCCGCCTGCCTCCCAAACAGAGCACCGCTGCGCTGGGTGTTACTGCGCTCAGCACAGAGTCGCACACGTGCCTGAGTGTCGACTTCCTTCCCGTCGACGCCCAGCGACTCGTGCAACCGCCTACTGCACCCTTTCGCCGCCCGTCGTCTTAGCAGCTCGTCGACATGGCTGTCTCAATGCTGCATGCCCCCTCTCGGGCCTCGACCTCATCCACCACTTCCTCCTTCGTCCCGGTCTCGCGCCAGAACACAATGTCATCCCACGATGGGTCGCGGTCAGTGCGCCAGTCGAAGCGGTACTCGGTCACGGCGCTGTACCTGTCCATGTCAGCCAAGGATAAGGAACTTGAGATCGAAGACGATCTAGCCAGAGGTGCGTTGTGCTCCTACGGCTGCTCGAAAGCTGACTGACAACTGGCAGCCCAGAAGATACTGCGGGAGCTAAAATCCAAGATCTCGTCCCAGTCGAAGAAGAACTTTGTACTCGAGAAAGACGTTCGCTACCTCGACTCGCGGATAGCATTGCTTATCCAGAACCGTATGGCTTTGGAAGAGGTAGGCATGATTCTTCCACTGAGCGCGTAGTACAGACACTGACCTTGAGATAGCAAAACGAAGTCGCCAGCCACCTCGAAGACGGACTCGAACTGCAAGAAGGATCGTTCCCCAACGATGAGAAGACACAGAGATATGGCAATCTGCTGTTCCTGCTCCAATCTGAACCACGACACATTGCCCACCTCTGCCGACTGGTGTCAATGGCCGAGATTGACGCGCTGCTCCAGACAGTCATGTTTACAATCTACGGAAACCAATACGAGAGCCGTGAAGAGCACTTGCTCTTGACTATGTTCCAGGTACGATGCACATTCAGCCCGTCATCTTCTCCGACTAACCTCGCAATCAGTCCGTGCTCACGTACCAATTCGACAATACGCCAGACTACAGCTCGCTGCTGCGTGCCAACACACCAGTGTCTCGAATGATGACTACATATACACGAAGAGGACCTGGTCAGAGCTATCTGAAGGTTGTGCTGCAGGACAGCATCAATTCCTTGATTGAGCTGAAGGACCTCGATCTGGAAATCAACCCCTTGAAGGTCTACGAGAAGATGGTTTTCGAACTTGAGGAGCAGGGGCAATTGCCAGCACACCTTCCAAAGGGTGTCACAGCTGAGCAGGCTGCAGAGAACGAGAAGGTTCAACAGATCATTGCGCCACGCGTGAACATGCTCATGGAGATTGCGAACAACTTCCTCTCGACTATCATCAAGGGTCTTGAGGAGACACCATATGGTATCCGTTGGATCTGCAAGCAGATCCGCAGTTTGTCACGACGCAAATACCCGGATGCGCAGGACCAGACTATCTGCACACTTATTGGTGGCTTTTTCTTCCTGCGTTTCATCAACCCTGCCATCGTCACGCCAAGATCTTACATGCTCATCGACGCAACGCCTGCTGAGAACCCGAAGCGCACGCTTACCTACATTGCGAAAATGCTGCAGAACCTGGCCAACAAGCCATCATATGCGAAGGAACCGTACATGGCTAAGCTCCAGCCTTTCGTCCACCAAAACAAGGATCGCATCAACAAATTCCTCCTCGATCTGTGCGAAGTACAGGACTTCTATGAGACCTTGGAGATGGACAACTACGTCGCATTGTCGAAGAGAGATCTTGAACTCTCCATCACGCTCAACGAAGTCTATGCAACGCATCAATTGCTGGAGAGGCATGCGACGGAGTTGGTAAGCTCAAAGCTTGCGCGAAGGGATGACGCCAAAGATAAGGTTACTGACTTGCTTCAGGCAAGAGACGACAGCTCGCATCTTGGTGTGATCTTGCAAGAGCTTGGGCCAGCACCGGCTCAACTTCCACGCAAAGAGAACAGGGCTATCAATCTGCCGTTGTTTAGCAAGTGGGAGACGCCACTTGACGATCTTACTGCAGCACTCGACATCACGCAAGAGGAGATCTTTTTCATGGAAGCCAAGAGCACTTTCGTGTTGATCCTTCGATCGCTGCCTCCAAGTACCTCGGTCACTCGGAGACCATTGAGGCTTGATAGGATTGCCGAGGCCGCAGCAACGACCAAGAATGACTCGGTCATGGTGAAGAAGGGTATTCGCAGTATGGAGCTATTGAGTCAGCTGCAAGACCTGGGCGTCATCGACAAAGAGGATGGATTCTCACTGCTCAGAGACGAGGTTGAGCAGGAGCTCGTACATCTGGGTTCGATGAAAGAAAAGACGATCGATGAGACAAGAAAGCTCGAGGAAGTGTATCGGACGATACGCGACCACAACAACTACTTGGTTGGTCAGTTGGAGACTTACAAGTCCTACCTGCACAACGTGCGAAGCCAGTCCGAGGGCAAGACAAGGAAGCAGCAGAAACATCAGGTACTGGGGCCTTACAAATTCACCCATCAACAGCTGGAAAAGGAAGGTGTCATCCAGAAGAGCAATGTCCCGGAGAACCGGCGGGCGAACATCTACTTCAACTTCACAAGTCCATTACCGGGCACATTTGTCATATCGTTACACTACAAGGGCCGTAACCGCGGTCTTTTGGAGCTGGACTTGAAGCTGGACGATCTGCTTGAGATGCAGAAGGACAACCAAGAGGACCTGGATCTGGAGTACGTCCAGTTCAACGTTTCGAAGGTGCTGGTCCTCCTCAACAGGCGGTTCGCGCGAAAGAAGGGATGGTAGACTCGTCTCGTCCCGTCACGCGAGCTTTCACGAAGACACTATGATACCCCCGGTTTTTGCTATGTTGTTACCGCCGTTTGACGCTCTCTCCGACGTACTTAATTCTTCTATTCCTACGGCGCTGCGGAGTTCTTGGGTTTTGCACTGGTCTTGTTGGTATACCCCGAGGTGGTGACACTACCAGATCTCTTTCAGTAGATTGCAAGAGTCGATGAAGAGACTCAGACAGCACTATCATAAGATGAGGCAGCGGGCTTCGGACAGATAGTGTCGCAATTCCGCACTAGCGCTGCTTTACTTTATCTTTCTCCACGCTCGCTCTGTACGCTTGTTACATGATTGGGGGTTTGATAGCGGGCGGAATTGTCAATGTCGAAATTATGCTTCGGCAGGACCGATTGTGTGTTCTTTTGTTATACGAGCGATATGTATGATGTGATGGGATAATTCAATGATCGGATTCAGTCTTGTATCGAGGTAATGGAATTTTTGATTGTGCAAGTGCTCTTTGTCTCGTATGTGATGTTGACTTGAGCTCGGCGGTAGTAACAAGGTTCCGGTCATGCTACGTCAGTCGCCCCAGAGTGTCACCAACACAACAGATACTGTGATGGTCGCATAATCGTAGACACGACCACCTTGATTCCGGGCAGCGGCTTCCCTCGGCGCCTGGAAGGATTTGCATAATCACAACGTCTCACGATAACAGACAGCATCATATCGCACCATGGTCCCTTCCGTGCCTGTCACACGCACGTCGACTAGCGTGGCGATCGCCAGGCAGTCGCGCCGCCCGATTGGATGTCTCGCATCTGACTCCTCGAGGCTGCGACTTGAACCTCGCGCCTCGACTCTCTTCTTCTCCATGATACCCACACACCCTCAGTCTCTCTGAAATCCCGTGAAAGGGTTTACCAGCATTACTTATATCAAATTGCAAACATGTCGTCCTCTATTGCTATCCCCAAGCGCAAGAATAAGCAGCTCGAGCACGCGAGCGAGTCCATGTCAGTCGGTAGCAGCTCGTCGAGCTATCCGCAGTCTTCATACGGTAGCTTCGAGGCTGCGAGCCCACGGTCAGCGAACAAGACGAGGAGGCCGAGTCTCATGTGTACGTCGTCTCCTTCCAGTCTGGTGTGATGCCGCGCGGAGCTCTTATCTTATCGTCACCGTATCGATAGAGCGATAAGGCCATCATGGTAGACGGAAGGCTGATAATGAGCAGCTGCATCATTCTCGAAAGCCGAGCACACAGTTGTGAACGTAGGAGATGCTGAGTTCCCCAGGCTGATCACCTGCATCAAGACCAGCCAGGGTTTTGACTGGAATCAGGGTATGTGCCCACACTACCTGCGGCACGTCATCTTGGTCTCGCATGAGATGGGTTGATCTATGGTTGAGGGGCGAGCGCTAACGATACAACAGAGATGTTCCTGCCCAGCTACGCCGACTTCCACTTCGATGACCTCGAGCGCCGACAGGACCCTGTTGAGGATATCGTGGTGACAGATGAGGAGATGAAGAACATGTTCCCGGCATCTTAAGGCCGAGCACCACACCGTCATACATTGGGCGGAGGCGTCCGAGAAGGGAATCTACAGGCGTATACACAATCTTTGATGGGATATGGGGCATCTATGGACGGGTATCATAAGGGCTGCAGGCGTTTAGGCTTGGGGAGTCGCCGGAAAGGCGTACCTACATGCGCGGTTCTATGTACATATCAGTAGAACCATGCAATGTACCAGATACAACCCAAGCTTTGTGCAAACTGCCAGATCAATGCTGATGTGTCTCGTAATCAAGCCTCACTGCAACTCCCCTTGCACAGGTGTGTGCACGCGGCAGCCCCGCCTCTGCTTGTCTTTAGCGCGAAAGGCGCGCGTTGATCTCCCGGCACAAACAACACCAAAACAAAGACCAGGTCATCACGCATTCCATAGTCCACCGACACTGCCACACTGCTGGCACAACTTTGCGCATTGCCATCTCCCACACACCTGGACTCAGCATTCGACTTAAGCGCACCTCGACCTGCGATCTCCAGCGCACGACGCGCACCCACGCCGACCAACACAAACACGCAATGCAATCCGAGCACCGCAAGATCGAGCTTCAATCGCCTAGCGATCTCTCCTACCTCACGTCACAAATCCGTACCGCTGCGCGCCAAAAACTAGACCTCCATCTACCCGCACAACCCTCAGACAACGCCGACGACCTGCGCGCACAAACCGAAGTGCTGGTCGACGCCTTCGTCGCGCAAGTCCTTGCCGGACTGCGGAACAACATCACTATCAATGGTCTGGACGTCGTTGCGCAGAGCCGAGGCGGTGGCTTTGGAGAAGAGGACGAGATGGAGGGCGTTGTAGCTGAGGACGTGCAGGGCGTCGAGGAGGAGGAGTTTGAGGCATTTGACGAGAAGTTGAGAGTCAAACTTGCCAAAGAAGTTGAGAAGCGAGACAAGTTGGTTGCGAACATATCGAAACATCGCCGCGAGACAGCGAAGAAAAGCGCAAAACAATTCGAGGAGCGGTTCCAGCAAGAAGCACACATCTTGGAGGAGCAGAGAAGAGGCGAGGTGGAGAAGGCGCAAGCTTTGAGTGAGGAGGATGCGCTGGATATCGAGATTGCGAGGGACGAGGAGGTCAGAAAGAACTGGGAGAGGGCGGTTGAGGGCTTGGGGAGGCTGAACAAGGGCTTGCCTGAGACAAGAGCACGGCTGGAGAGATGTGGAGATGTTGTTGAGTACCTGGGCGGTGAGAAGAAGTAAGCGCAAGATGAGAGGGTGATTTTTGGTATTCGGCGTTTATGGGCTACGTGACTTGGGACGGATACCCGTTTGATTTGACTGTATCGGATATGCAAGGCATCATTCGCGAAAACGATCTACTATTCAACATCTCATCTTACTAACCGTAACAAGCCATCGTTTTGTTGTTACGGTCCAAAACAAGGCCAGCACCCTGCATCACACTTTCTGCTTGTTCTCTACAGCGGATCATGTCCATCTCCGACGCCACTGGCCTGGAGTTCATAGGGTCCGCCGTACTTCGCTCGAAAATGTAGACAGGCTACGTGTGCCGCGAGGGATGTAGTGTCTAGGTCGCATGGCAATATATGGGCCGAGTATCTACCTTTGAGAGCTGCCATGCAAACGAAGGGGCTTCGACATTCCATCCGGGTATACTGATCGAGGAGCGCTTCGAGACTCCGATATAATGGCTTCGTACTGCCTAGTGTGTTGCACTAGATCTACAGACCGCTTTCATATTGACGACCAAGTTCACGGTGACAGTCGAAGTGGACAACGTTATGAGGGGTGGCAACGAGCTGCTCGAGTTCTGGCGTTCATGAAAGTTGGATCACCCTCGTACTTCAATCACACAAACCGGGGGCGATCTTCGTCTTGAGGGAACAAGATGTCACGACGACGGCCGCGGCTCGAGCAGTGCTCCTCTTGAAAGTCTGAGAATTACGTGCAGAATAGCTCGTGGAGCTTCCGATCGTTTTCATAACACTCCAAAGAGCAGTACATCATGTTGTGACAACCTGAGTAGGTGAAGATCCCAAGCTCAGGCCACGCACCGCAAAGAGGTGGGTCTGTCGCTGTACCACACGAGATAAGAGACATCTTGTTTCTTGTCGTAATCAAGCAGTATGGCGAGTCAGAGTTCGGGCTGGGAATCGGTTCGCAGTTATAGGTGCCCGAGTTTTCTGGACAGCCTCTGATTCTGGCATGTGTTGTTCTCTTTCATCAGTCGATGCAGTCATCTCTCGAACAAGTTTGGCTTGATCGCGGGCGTGACCGCGCTGTAGAAGGGTTGAAGGGCTATATGTGTAGAAAGATAAACATATTCAGGCATCGTTGCCATGCAGTATGGAGTCTGTGTTTCAGTCTACAACCTGAAATTTTCAACTCTGAGTTGCTCCAGTCTGATCGAAATTTTTGAGTTATTTCAGTACACTCGCTCGATACGAATTCGCCATCGAACCATGCCCATGAGTCCAGCAAGAGCTTTGTGGAAAATGCAACGGTGGTGGTACGAACCCATGACAAATCGACGCGAGGACAGTGAAGAAAGGGCTAGATTGACTGCAGATTAAAATGCCTTGAGTACCTCCTGGGTAGCTGAAGGCTTAGCCTGCTAGCACACGTAGCTCGACGTCGACCAACTGGTGAAGTAGAAGATAAAAGAGATCCTCCGTGTACATTCATACCGCCTAATATCCTACGGACTCGGATGTTGTCATCTGCTGTTCGAGACGACATTCTAACAGTACGTTTTGTGAGTGGAAAGACAGTGTCCGCACAGAACTTGACAAGTGGTTCGCTCTCCTTCTGGTGCATGAGGCAGGTCGTAATGAAGTATTACTGCAGTCAGATGAGCTATATCGCGAGAGGATCACCAGTATCTCCCCGTCAACGAATGTCTGATCATGCAAGAGCTGGTTGGTCACATCAAAGCTGTGGTGCTATGGAAGTCTGCGATTGGAAAAATCAGACGATCTTGCACACTTGAATATTACTGCCCGCACCCGAATGCTGCGCCGCCATACAAGTAGAAATGCGCCACTCGTAACGCTATCAAAGATGCAGTGACCGAAGAGGGGAAGTGAACGAGGAGTAGTATGCAACCTCTGAAGTTTCCACGATCGTACATGATGATCCAATCAACCCGTGCTTCTAGATTTCACTTCGAGGCTGGGCCTCGTTCCACACTCCTTTGAGTCCCTTCGTATTGGCCATTTGCCTCTGATCAAAAATCCAACACATTTTCATTTCCAACACGCAGCCTGCCCATGGCGCCTACTACACCACTTGAGACATTGGCAGCGAGCGCACTACTTGACACGACTTCTGCGCAACAGGGGAGTCATTAATCCGAGGAGGTCTTCGAATCACTCGGCATCATATGTGTCATTGCAGCAACTTGCCTGGGATTTGCTCTCAAATGCTTCATTGTGAAGTGTTGGAGCGAAAGGCGCCTGCCAAGTACAATTCCCACGCCACTGCAGCTGCTCTTACCAATTCTGTACTGACCTTTCGTCGACAGAACATGATGCAGAGAGTCCTTATGTCGGTTTAGGGCGCCGGAGGAAACCGAGGTTCCGTTGTATGCGGAACAACACAATCGTCTTTGTTTGTTGACGATCAGTGATACATGTCCCCGACTTGTCTTTGAGTCGGCCTGAACAGGCGGATAAATATACGACGGAACTTGTGTACTGGGTGGGGCTTCCATCGCTTTGTCTGTGCATTTGGTGGTGTTCAACATGGGTATAAAGCTCGACTTTCTTACTCTCCTGCTGCTTTAGCCCCACTCATGCGAATGACCTGCCCTTGCATACTGCCTCCAGCGTCCCTTTTCCATCCGAGAACGTTGTCATTGTTTTTGCTCTTGATGACTTCAAATGGTACTGGGAAGCCGTGCAATGACGCACCGCCAGGCTTCCTCGAACCTGAGAGAGCCAAGCGTCCTGATGCATGATCGATGTAGCCCGCCACGAAGCCCTGTGTTATGAGAGCAGCTGCTATACATTCAACTTCGGCCACGTCCACCTCGTGATTGTATGGCTCAATGCCGTCGACCCCGGCAAAGTCAGGGTCAACATACGAAGATCTCGACACTGACGCGTAGTCCTGGAAGATATGACCGAAATTGCGTTGCCCGGGGATGGCGCCTTGCTGCGCCATAGCCTCGTTCTTGATCTTCGCGCGTGCCTCGAGGATTGAGAATGCTGTATGAACGAGATTGATATCAAGAACTGCTGCCTTGCTAGTATTCATGCCACCGTCTTGCCTACCTTCCTGGCCTGTTTTTCTGTAAATTGCCCTGAAGAGCGACCGCCACACTAAGACTTCGCAGTAGTTCCCGATCTGGTAGAAGATGCGGAACTTCATAAGCCAACCCGCGTTCTTGCCTGACAGATCGGGGTTTGTAATTCGCCGGAACTTCTCAAGATTGCCAGATTTGATTGCCTTCGCGATAGGGTCAAACGTATCCCTGAGGCCTTCCGCTTCAGGTAGCGCATAGATGTGTTGCGTAGGAAGGCGTCCAAGGATCAGATTGGAGGCGATGAGGTAGATGAGTACGAGGCGTCTTTGTTTGACGAATTGCGGCGACTTCGAACTTAGATCGTATGCATGATCGAGAACCAGTCGCGCCGCGTAGAAGTCCGTATTAGCAAAGTGGTAGCGTCCGAGATAGTAAAGGTAGGTAACCTGTTCTGGCCTGGGATACATGTGCAGCGGTGGTGACGAGTTGGTGATGTTTTTGAAGATGGTCTCGCAGCTTTCGGGTTTGTCGGCTTGGAAGAGGATCTTCAGGCAGATGTTCGCCATCTTGTAGATCCCAAGCTTCTTGTCTTGAGTACCAACTCGATCATTCAAACACTGAGTGAATGCGGCTCGAACCACGTTAGCTGCCTTCTCTGACAACGACTCTCGCGATCCCTCGTCATTCGAGGTCAGTAGATGCTGAATGAGTTCTGGATGCTTGTCAAGGCCTAGTGCGACTCGTGCGAAGATTCTGGCATAGTTGACGATCGTTGGTAGGATCAACACACCTTTGATTGGGTGAGTCAAAGCGCTGTTTGCTTGTCTTGTCTTGGTCAGCGGGAGCGTGATTCGCTTTCAAAGCCACTTACTCCTGCAAGTCTTTCAGGCCTTGGTAGGTATGCAATAGATTGGACAGATCCATGTCTCTCAGGAAGGTCATCCATCCCACGAGGAAGGTGACCATGGCATTCCAGCCCTGGACTGGCTTGCCCTGCTCATCTTCATACTCGGCTGTCTCTGTGACGACTTTTCGCACTAGCTGATCAAGCCGACTTTCAGAGTTGTTCGCATTCTGTGAATAGCTGCTTTGCAAAGACTGAATGAGCTCCTGGTAGATAGGTGGGAACGGTGGCTCGAGAAGAACAATCGACGCGAGCTCCGCGGCATTGCGTGCTCTTATCGCATTGTTGACTGCTGTACAAAGCTGTGTTTCTACACCGTTGTTGTTCTGAGCACTGAACATGGTCGCGCGTCGAGGTTTAGTTTGGCTGCGTCCAGATTCGATAATCGAGGCCAGGGACGCGAATCTTAGCGTCCTCGCTTGGCTTGACCAAAGAGCCCACCCCTGTAGACGATCTTTCAATGGGAAGGATTAGTGTGGTATTGTGACAGTAGACGCTTAGATGAATGCCGGGTCTCAAACAAACAAAAGCACATGTAACGCGTGTGACGGCCCTGTCAATTCACGCTTACAGTTCTTCAAATTGGACTGAGCTACTCCTGTGGTATTTAAATGCGGACTGTATAAATGTGTTTTTTGCGGTGTCGACCAAACTATGTTGTTACAAGCCCATCCCCCCCTCACCCCTTCGTCTACCTACAATGAGGGTTGGAACGGATGTATGCTAGATACCAGCTGAACGCCAACGCCGTCGCTTCAAAGTCAAATGGTGATGTCCGTCCATGTTCTTTGCGCACTGTACAATGAGTCTCCGCTCGTTATAACAGACATTGCCTGTTCTCGCGTCGCGACGAGAAAGTTGTTATCGAAATCGTGTCTGTTGGAGCAACAACGTTGGATGCGAATGCCGGGTCTCATGCACCTCATAAGAACTCGGAATTCCATGATCCCATGAGCATGTCTCTTGTCATCTCGAAGCTAAGCCAGCTACTCGCCATGCTAGGCGCCACCTTAAGTAGGTTGGGTACAATGCCCTTATACAGGCCTTTGATGCCTTCCGTCATGACGATCTGCTTTATCGCGTCACCGACACCCGCATATTTGTAGCCCATGCCACTCATGGTGTTGATCTGGAATCGTCGTCGCAAGACATCGAAGGGGTACGTGATGGTTTGCGCAACGGCGCCGGAGACAGCACCGGCTCCCAGTTTGCCGATAGCGCCGGGGTCTTTCTGGCCTTCAGGCGTAAATTGTGTGCGCGCAAGCTCATATACCATAAAGTTCAAACCGACATATGGTGCGACACCGGCAACGGTGGGCAGAATGCCTCGATATAGGGCGGGGAGGCCTCCTTCGGTCTTGTACATGTTCACCAGAAGCGTCCACATGCCTGGAAGCTTCTTGCCTTCCTCTTTCTGGAGACTCGAGAACGATGCAGATTGAATTGATAAACGCGTGCGGACGATGTCGAGTGGGTATGTGAAAGAGACGGATGTGATACCAGCCAGACCACCGCAGAGGAGTCGCTGATATGCGCCTAGTGGGGCACCTGGTTCGCTTTCGAAGAACTGAAGTTGTTAGCTATCGAATCGCGGTTGTACCCTCGTCATCGAAGCAACAGGCGTCGGCGATGTCCTGCTGGGGGTCCTCGAGCGCTGCCAAATTCTGTGCGAACTTCTTCATCTTCACGTACACAGCCATCAGCTGTGTCCGTCTGAGGACTCCTTCAAATGTCCGGCCAGACAATCGAGAGTACTAAGCTACACGCGGCGAAAGGGGGCTGCTTACCCTCTTGTACACGTTGTATGCGCTGAATTGTACTGCAGAGTAGGGCACAATGCGTATGCAATTCGTTCCATTGCCGGCCATGAATCCTCTCCAGCCCTCTTCCCTCCACATCTTTGCCAGCGCTTTGGGTACTGACATCTTGTATTCTTCGCGGCCGACGCTCTGAATTTGGAAGAGGATCTTGAGGCGCTCGAGCGGCGAAACGACGGTTCGAGAAACGGCGCCGGCGACACCCCCAGCTACGAAGGAAGCAACGACTGGCTGTGCGAGGATTACCCGTGCCCTCTGGAGTGCTGTGGGGTCTGGTGCGCCGAGAGGCTGCGATTGCGCGTGAGATGGCGTTTGGAAGCTGGATTTTGTTGTCTAACGTACGTTTGCGCCCGTCCCTGGCTGAGCTGGCGCAACAGACATGGTTGCGGTACTTTAGGCGGGTTGCTGTCCTCAGCCTTCTGTAAACACCTCAAAGAAAGGTATTCGACGCTCGATTAAAGTCCGCGACTCGAGCAGCTGCACGTTCACCGGAGGCAGGAGGGAGGTAAAAGCTTCTGTCGAGCTCATCGGTATCGCACGGCGCAAATGTTGACAGGCTGGCGAGTTCGGGGTCGAAGCAGAAGCTGTTGTTATGAGTTGAATGGATCGTCCATGCAAGGCAACCGGCTGGCCGTCAATGCTGAGTGCTGGGAGCGAGGTGTCGCGGCGCAATGGGCGAGGGCGGTGTCTGGAGCTGTGCTCTCCGGCGTAGTGTCGTGTTGAGTGATGACCGAACACCCCAGATAAATTAGCGCGGCTCGCCGAACGAATGCTTGGGAGCGGATTGCCGCCATCTCTAAAGGGCCATAGCTCGGAATCCCTTGACATTGCCGCCCGCCCGGTCTTTCGCGATGATGCAGTAGTTCAGCACACCTTGAAAGCTGTTTGGCAGCTGCCAGTAGAGAGCTGCGCCATATGCACTGATAGGAATACGCTTGTGTGTCACTCTGCTTCACATCACATTTTTCGCTGCTACCGCAGTCTTCAGCGCTTCATATGCTAATGGACGCCGTGGGAGCACAGGGCACAACCTGCAATATACTTGTACTTTCAATCCTATAACAATCCAATACTACTTGAAATAGTTCCTAATAACTAAGAGATACAGAGGTAGGAGCATAAGCAAGAGCACGCTGCTATTGATGCTTATAAAGAGCAAAGACGTGAGGAGAAAGAAGCTCACAACACTTAAAAAGCCTCCTGATTGCCTAATAAGCACAAGCGCACAGCTTTACAAGCTCCTACACTAAAAAGAAGCAAAAGCGTAGTGCTGCAGGTACTTGTAGTAATGCTGTTGCACCTAAGCCTGCACGCAAGCTGCGCACCTACACCACACCCAGCGGCCGAACAGCCACTCTATATAAATAATTTGGATAACGTACCTCACAGGGGAGCTAATTACCTGTATCAGGAAAAGTTTTTCCATTGTTGAAACTGGGAATTGTGGCATTGTACTGTGGGCGACAGTACAAATGGCAGGCCTGCAACGCCTGCAACGGTTATGTGTGGCTTTTCAAAAGAGGCCAGGACATTTCGCTGACTGAAATTAGATTCCTGCCAACGCTGACATGCATTCCCTGCAGATGCTCTGACCTACATCACGAGATGGCTCGCCTTAAAATCAGCCTTGCGGCCCCGCCGACATAGAGAACATGTGCTCCACTACTCCTCTCAAAGATTGTTGTGTTGATTTGTTGTTTGGGTGAAATATGGACCCGAATGGATGTCTCTGGGGCAAACTAGGACGATTTTGTAATGCAAAAAGAAGGTACTCCACGAGGCGAAACATTCGATGGAATCCTGGATCCAGTGTCGGGTACAATGGATCGACACAGCTCCAGAACCATCTGACGCACGTGCAACCACACTGTAGTGCAAGATACCGATGCAGGGAAGTGTCGTATCTGGTGGTCGATGGCCCGAAAATACGACATGGCATGGCCAGTAGTCCATACACGATGAAGATCCCTGGGCACTCAGATGCCAAGCCAACAAACGTTGTTGATGGCCAGCCTTCCTTCGAATCAATCGCGTCCAACACGTCAAGGATGGTAGCACGTACGATGACCTGCGTCTGCCGTGCTGGACAACGGGGGCGAGAAAGTGGCTCTAATATGCTAGACCGACTACGAGCAAGGCTATCCGTCGCGACTGCTAATACCTGGTGAAGCCCCGTTTAGTACACATGCTACCGATCCATACCCCACCCGCTGCCCAGCTTGAAAACGTGTGCTGCCAGACAAACAGAAATAATCTGTTCGATCGAGGATGAGGCTGCTCCTACTCTTGCTGAGCGTAATTTATCCAGTAGCTACTCAACAACAAGACCCTATCGAGGACTTCTGCCGGCGCCACCAGCATCAGATAGCTATCATAGATGACAAGCTCTACATTGACGGCTGAAAGGTGTACTACGGAAATTCGGTTGGTAACAACAGTGTCGCGCAGCAAAGTAGGTGCATAACCCTCGTAGTAGATGAGCCCTCAGTTGATAATTATCACAGACTATCGGTTGCTTTGGGAGAACGTCCTGGAGACTGATGAGGCAACTGCTTTTCCTAAGCAGTACAAGGATCTGAGAAAAGTACATCATGGTATCATTCCTCGTAGGGTACTGTGAACGCACTGACTTTGGGCAGGATGTGGAGGTTCCTTCCGTGAGCGGTGGCTTTCTTTGGGCTGACAATGTGAACAAAATGTTTTACCTCTATGGTGGCGAGTACATTGAGGTCACTGATGTCAAGCCGTTCACTAAATTCTGGTACTTCGACGTCCTCGACAACACCTGGAAGCAGACAACGCAGATTCAATCTGATATCTCGTGGCCGGCTTTTGGATCCGGTACAATCGATTACGCGAAAGGAATTGGATACTACTATGGAGACTACCTGAATAACAAGACTGTACCGAGCTGGGGAAAGACAAACCCTCTAATGATGAGCTCACTGGTGTCGTTCGACATGAATACACAGGCTTGGTACAATCAAATGACAGGTACGACTCCATGAGCTGAAGGATCGCTTCACTATATACCAGTTTCGCAAGCAGGTATGTTGGTATATTTTGGAGGTCTACAGACGAATCCCAATGGAGAGATGGTATTTGTAAGTCCAGATGAAATCACAAGCTAGCAACACCACTAATAGTCTACAGGCGAACATGAGTGTAAGTAACGTGGAAATTTGAGCACAAATTCATGAGTAACTCTGGGCCAGGAAATTCAAATGTATGACATCAACAATGGCGAATGGTTCAAGCAGACTACTACCGGAGATGTGCCTCAGCCCAGGAAAGGGGCGTGCGCAGGTGTCACCTGGGCCAATGGTCGATCCTCTTTTAATTTGTAAGGCCAAGATGATGACACTGTAGGGAATCCATCACTGACATTGCAAGCTACATGTTTGGCGGAATCGGACCGGACGGGCGGGGAGTCGACGAAGTGTACATTCTAACACTCCCATTATTTCAGTGGACTATGGTGAGTATCATGTTAAGGCATCATCAAGGATGTGTAGATTATTAACACGCTCAGATCTGGCCCACCAAGGCTGAACTTCCTCATTACACTCGAGGTAGGGGATGGTCAACCTGCAACGTCGTTCGAGAATTTCCCCAGATGCTCAGTATGGGTGGCTTATTCAATGACGATGAACCCCAATGCGTTGAGCCAAAGATCGGTTCGCAATGCGGGCTGCTTCTAGGACAAGAAACTATGGAGGTCAATCCGGACAAGCAAGGCGCTCAATGGTGGTGGGCGCTCAGAAACGATATCAACGGGTACCGAATACCTGAGAACATTGTTTCACTGGTTGGTGGAAAGTATGTGTCTCGTGTGCTCCAAAGGTCATGTCTGAGGCTAATTGAATTGCAGCGAGAATGGCTCTGCCACAAATACTGCACCAGTGCAAGGCTGGGCTAAGCCCTCACTGGGCGCGTTTTTCACAAATGAGAACTACGACCCACCGCGAAAACCAACGCAATCAATCCCAGTAACATCAGCAACGTCCATATCAGCGCCGACATCCCAGCCAAAGACTGAAAATCTGAACGTTGGCGCCATGGCAGGCGGGACTATAGGTGGTGTTGTTGCGCTTGGTGCGCTAGTGGTCGTTGTCTTCTCTTGCCTCCGGTCCGGGCGCCTTAAGCAAACTCACAGCCAAATCAAACAGATTCACAACAACAGAGCGTCCGAACTAGAAGGTCTGGGCATGGCTCAAAAACCGGCTGCCACATATGCGATCGCAGATGGCAGCAACAGACCCTTCTCGGTGAGCCCAACGCCTGCATACTCGCCTCAAGCCTCACCCCCGCCTCCACCTGTGTCTTGGAATGGTGAACGGAACTACTACCAATCTCCGCCTCTCAACAACGGCGACTGCACATATCACAGCGGCCCGGCATACCCACAAACCTATCATCCACCAGTTCTAGAGCCTTCACAAGCACATCAGCAGATGAATCAACACTACATGAGCGCAGAACTGCCAAGCTCTCGAAGCCCGATTAGTACTGAGCTATCAGATGTCAGGAGCCTTGTCAACGCTGAGCTGCCAGACCTGAGAAATCCGGCTCCTATTCGTGCGCCTCAATGATCCAAATGGGATTCTGTTACTACATGTTAGGGTTCCACTCATTTTGTTCTTCGTGATTCTGTTGCTGCAACGATTTCGTCACGGATAGATGTTTGGAAATACTGTATAACTCGGGCACTAGGGTTTTCGTACCTTTGGTACGACTTCCACTACGCCAAGCCAGTCTTCACCGCACTCAAGTTTCTGTAATCAGTGCTAGTTCACGCGCCCTCTTCGCTCGAACCCCGCAACACCATTACCGGATACGGTAGAATTAAGGGTATTTGTGGTGAGCGGCCAGGAGACAACGAGACTCCCCGTTCGCTCAGCCCTATTTAAGCAACGCACCGGCGGATTAGTAGTCAAGTGGGTGACCACTAGTGAACATCCGCTGTTGTATGTATCTTTTTTGACTGATTTTCGCTCATGCTGAATTGATGGAATGATGCGGGGGAAGCTAGGATACAACAAAGCTCTTATCTTTTGTCCAGTATGTTCATACGTGCTACCCAACCTGTGATTTCCGTTCATACACTACATATACCTGTCCATGCTCCCTGTTACCCTCAAATCTCTCCACAGAAGCTTTAGGTCGTCAATGACCTTATCGACCTCTTCGCTGCGAATGGAACCTGTACTCCCTAGGGTTCGTATCAAGACCGGGGCATCATCTCTTACAAAAGCCTCATGAAATTAAGGCCATGCATCTTTGTGCATCCGTCATGCCCTCCCATGTCCCAAAGGGAAGCACATAACGCTCGACCCGAATCTCGTGCATACCTGCACCCTCGAAGTACTCTCCAAGAAGAGTGCCGATTCGTGGCTCAAGACCACGGGATCGCATCATATGCGTTCCCAGAAGAAGATGACAAGAAGTAAGCCATATCTGGCTCTTGAATTTCGATCCAGGCCTGGCCATATCCATCAATAACCCAAGACAGCTCGGGGAGGGGTGTGACTTACACCAGGCCTTGCCAAACCAAGACATAGCTCGATATATTTCTTCCAGTCTGTGATAACACCCATCAGGAACTTCGAGAATATGTAGTCAAAGGTATCCTTTGTCAGACGGTCGTTTTTTTCTGTAGCCGCAAGTTCCATGATGCCGCCCTGGATGTACTCGATATTCTTCAATTGCAGACGGAGAGCAGGGACGGGAGACAGATTGACGCCGCAAATCTTTGCTTTGGAGTACGTGGTGCCGAGTTCGTCAGTTATGGCACCTATTTCACAACCCATATAGATCACTCTGTGGATAGAAACCGAATCGAGAGGAGCGTGGAAAATCTTCTCATCGAGAAGCTCGCGGATGCGCTCGGACGCCGCTTGAAGTCTCCGATGCTCTTGATCACTCGAAGCCAATGAGTACATTGTTTTTATACTTTGCTTTTCATAGACTCACTCGTTAGGTAAGACGTAAACAGAATGCGTAGTATGATAGGTCCGTTCCTCTCCTAAGGCAGATGTGGTTGCCATTGCTGACCGAGTAGATTGGTTGTCCAGACTGGGGATAATGGCGACAGGACTCGAACTGAAGCATTTGGATGTAAAAAAGAAGATTCGAGTAGTGCTTGACGTTATTGACTCCGCCAAGTGAAGGAGGTGCACCCTTGCGGCACAGTCACTGCCATGCGCGAGTCATGTCCGCTCAGATGAAGGTTCGTGTAGTGAGCGTTAAGCCTATTGACAGCGGGTCGACCAGGCCCAGACAGTAACAGTGTATGACATTTCTGTTCCATCAATTGTCCTCTTTTGTTCGCAAACATGTACTGTCCGAGATGGCAGCAGCCACCAACTCTACACTCCCAGCACCCTACAGACGAACAAAATACTCGTACAGCCTTCTCCTCTTATCATTCACCTCGCTGAAACATTCTCTCAGAATCTATCTCTCATTCCCAACTTCGAAACCCCAAAAGTATGTTTCCAATGGCTTTCTCCAAGCTTTCTTGCGGAAAACGCCAGCACCGCTCGTTGCAGTGTTTACTGACATCGATGAGTCTGTGACTTTCATACACACGCCGTTCACGATGGACGAATGCTCAGTCACGCGTTTGGTACCTCTGCTAGTCTGTGGAATGTCGGGTTGGTCTCTAGATTGTAGTTGATTGAAGATTTCTCACATTGAAAAGGCACAGTATGTAAGGATACTGTGATGTGTTTGAATGATGGTCGCATCTTGCATAAGGATGAGGTCGATGTGCTGAGCTCGTTCCTTGGCTCGAGTCTTTTCGGAACAAAGGGTTGAGCAAGTGCAGGGCTGTTTAGCTTCAAGAAGAAAGCTACGAGTGAAAGATTTCTCATAGAACTTGGTAAGTACAATGAACATCCCATGAAAAGTGTGGACATGTGACGGACGTTGTCAGCGGATCCTAGGTTGCTATGCTAAGTGTCCCACTCTCACAAGGCTGCTGAGTGATGCTGCAGTACATCTCAGTAGTTCATGCGATCGCATTCTCCTCAGAACCCCAGTCTCTTCTCGTAATCTTTCCAAGCCGTTCCGACAGGCTGGACCAACGTATAGCTCTCTGTTGTCGTACCGAGCCGCTGCACACCATTAACCATGTACAACGGTGTAACCTCACCATCATCACTGAAGAACAGCTTTGGTCTTTCCCTCCGATTGAATGTCTCAATACTGCCGTCCGTAAAGTTCACGGTCGAATTGAATGCTTCCTGTAACTTGAATGTCCACGGCCCAGTCAAGTTGCGCGCAAACATATGCGCACCAACACGAGGGTACTTCTGATTTCGCTCTGTGATGTCGATCATCCAATGTGCAAGGGCATGCCAGTTCCCACGCTTGTCGTGCCATACAAAAGGATCTTCTGCCCACGTTGGGGAGTAGTCTGAGGTATTCCAGGGAGCAGTGAAGACTTGAGTGTACGGTCCGTTGTAAGATGGGGCAGTGAAGATCTTGAGGTCTTCGGCGACGAGGACCGTCTCGCTCGTTCGGTTACCAGGAGACCAAAGTGGTGCAGGAGCAGGGTTCGTTCCATTGATGAGGATCTTGAACGGAGACCATGGGCCGCGGATTGTGGGTGCTGAAGAGACAGAGATGTTATTTGGCCACTGTGCTCTAGAAGATGTGAGTACATAGATATGATTCGACAAGGGTTGACGTACTTGTTGATGCCGCCACACTGCTTCGGATCTGGCACATCCACGCCAATGCTCCAGAGCAAATACCTCTCGTCCACCGGACTCCAATACACGTACGCGTTGTGTCTGAAGCTACTAGTCACATTCTGCTTCCACAAATAAGGTCCTTGTGGTCCACTCGTACTTTCAGCTCTTGCAATGAAGCTCATTGGTCGCCATCCACTCAATCCACAGCCGTGCGCAAATTGATCGTACAGAAGATGAAAGAGCTTGCGATCATGCTGGTCTTGGACAACTTGACCGCCCCAGGATGAGTTACCACGGTTGTTGTAGTGGTCTGGTGCGGTGTAGTTGGTGTTGTTGAAGCCACTGTATCTGGTAGCCGGCGCGAGATCAAGACGCCCACAGTCAGAGCCGAACCAGCCCGGATCACACCGGCAGACTGAGGTAGTGTTTGAGTTCTTGCCGGGAACACAGAGACCGTTCAGACTGCAGTCATCAGCAGTCGCACATGCCCGCGCACCTAAAGTCGCTGTGGCCCATACTGCCAATGATAGCAAGCGCGAAAGGTGCATTGTGTCTATCGCCACAAGTTTTTGTCGACGGCCAGATCTCATAAGTTGGTGAGCCAATATATCAGAATGATTGCAACCGTAGAGCAGAAGGGACTTGCTGAGTCTGCCGGAGAGCCTTGTATGGAGGGAGATGCACCGAAGGCGCCCAGCCGGGGTAATTAGTTCATGTCCATCTCTTTCCGGAATAGGATGTACCGTGTGCACCCCGCATGCCAGGTGCGTGAACTCTTATATTGCGTCTTAATTAAGTCCGCTCGTGCATCCAAGATTTGCTGTGATTACGTCAGTCCTGCCCACCCAGCAGCCCGGCTTGAGAAGTGTGGCTCGCTGTACTTGGTGCCTGTTCCCGCCGAGCAGGGAAGTTGACCATTGCAAGATGCTGGTTCGAACCTAAAATAATAATTTCGAAGAAGGACGTGCAGGTGAAAGTAGTAATGCGCAGGCCACTCCAGACCGCGATAAGATGTGGATTCCTTTTCCTACGATGCAATCGCTCAGTGTCGGCATGAGACCGAGTACAAACATGTAATGCAGCTAAATAACGCTCACATGAAGGGGAAGATCAGAACTAAGGGGTCAGACCGACCCGCTCTCTCCGAATGGTGCGGCAATGTGAAGTGTCCAACAATTACAAAATACCTTCGCTGGCTGCGGATACACCCAAAAAGTATACATGTCGCCGACCTTGCGCCAAGGTCGGCCTGCTAACAATGCAAAGCAAGAAACAGAGCACAAAGAAATCGTTGGGCTGTGAGGCCGTAAGTGAGGACGATCATGCGGTCAGGTCTGCGGATGGGGCATGAACGCTGGACCGGATAGTGTAAGTCTATGGGTCGTGAAATCGTATGTATGAGGGTATCTGATTTCTTTCGGCCGTGATATCTGGAACCGCGAATGGACGCAGCCCCTCAGGAGTTCGGGTACTGATGTTGTACAGAGTGGACGGGCGACCTCTACCGATGTAGAACGGTCAGATTGGCTCTACGGTCGTATCTCCCTGGTGTGTTTGGCGATACAGCGTTTGCAGGCTGCTCTGCGTTCGTTGACTCGATCGTTCTCGCGATGGCCTGGATCATTTTCTTCTTCTCGGCGTCTGGATCGTAGTGATAGTCGTGCCCAACTAAGACTTTCAATTCTCGTGTGCTGAGTGGGAGCTGGTACTTGAAGTAGCCCCGCACGAGAAGTTCGAATGGATACTGCGAGACCTCTTCCCATCGCTCTGTACCACCAGCTTCCGTCTTGTTGCCCGGGTGTGTCAGACGGATCTCGCCAATCGAGGAGACGTTGCGTCGATGCCAGTAAGAACCCTCGAAAGTGAGAGGTGAATCGAAGTGAAAGATGCGGCCGAGCAACATAGTACGAGGTTCGCCGACGGTTGGATCCTCAATGGGATCTGTACCCTCGTCGACTCCATCAGGCGTTTTCGAGGCTGCTGCTACGACTTCTGGGAAATCGATGGTCGGCCAGTCCTCCTCGTTGTCGTGCGGCACTCCGTTGCCGTGCTCCCGCCACCACTTGTCAGAGCCTACGTGCTTGCTCTTTGCAAATATGCTGACATCCATGTCCGTGATAGTAACCCCAATGATGTTTGGATTTACGGCATGGACGATCAGATCCAAAATCAACTCCTCCTGGCTAGCTACTACGTTTCGGATCTCGCTGATCTGTACAGCGTCCAGAGGCTTTGTTGTTGCGAAGACTAGCCCCACGGAGCTGAACACAACAACAAGTAGCAGGATGGAGAGAACAAGGCATCCTGCGAATCGACGACACCATCCGCCTTCATTGCGCTGTCTGCGATGATCCAGCTGTCGTTGCAGGTTGCTGAGTGTGACACTGTCCCTGCGGCGCGGTGTCCGGACACGAGGGCTTCGGACCGATGGGATCAGCGGCGTGCGCTCGTCGTCAGCCACAATGCCCGCATCGATGTCGTATGTAGATAGTTCCCCATACTTGCTGTTGCTAGCAATTGTGCCGTTTTGTATGGAGAAGTTGTGGAAGCGAGGACTGTTTGGCTGCGATGGATGTCGTGAAGACGGGCCGCGGCCACGCGAAGACTGCGACATTGAGGCAGCATCGTCGTTTAGTAGGATGTGACCAAGCGCGCCGCGGCCTTGGCCATGTCTACCGATGTGGTGATGGTGGCTGCCTGTGCCAGCGCGGCCGGATCCTAGGCGTATCGTTCCTTCACCGCGGTCCAAGCCATCGAGGTCCAAGTTTGGGTTGGTGTATGGGTTCGTGAACTTCATACTGCTCTTCTTCCCAGGGTTCTTGTGTTCGTTGCGAATCGCCAATCGTGGGTCTGCAAGACTGGCAATTGATGTCATGCTCGGCGTTCTCGAGTGGTGACCACCCCGGCTGCGGTGGGGTTGCTGTTCAGGAGGGTTTGACTCGTAGATGAAGGTGGCATCTGAGTCTGAGGAATTGGCTTCGTCAACCGCGCTGGCGACCTTCTGTTCGAATACGTCGGCTTTCGACGAGGCTTTTCGAGAACTTGAGTTAGTACTGGAATAGAAATAGCTGAACGACGGAGCATAAGCAGACACGGCCATCTCTGGGCTCGCGGGTGGTGACATGGTTGCCGTTGATCGCCGGTCGTCGTAGGAGCGCAGTGACACCTGACTCCCAAACGAAGACGCAGTGCTCGAACGGGGGGCCATGTCGGGCCTGCTAGGAATTTGATAGTGATATGAAAGTTGCGAGGACCTACCGGTGCCTGAGTGGATCGACGGCGCTTTTCGCTTCGGGGGCTTCCTCTCTTTCTTTGGCCGTATCGTCTCGTTGCTCGGCTTTAATCGCAGGGTGCCATCGACACGTCCGGAGGCGGAGCGATCCTGGTTGCTGATAGTAGCCTGCGCTATCGACGGGACAGTTTCCGTCTCAACTGTCATGTTGCGCAGGGGTGGGTCGCGGGCCCGGGACGACAGCGACGTCAACGAGGGCTTGGTGGAGACATTGCTGCTCACTCGGTGGGTTGACGACGAGCGCGGCTCCTGCATCTTGCCCTTCCTGCCAGTCTTTGTGCCGCTGTCGCTGCCGCTTCCGGTGTTGGCGTGCATGTTGTTGTTGCGGCTGCTAAGGTCTTCGCTAACCTTTGTCGAGCTGACGTCATTTCGTGCTTCCTCGGGCTGCTTGTGTGGTGTTGACGTTGTTGCTGTGGAAGTGAAGCTGCGACAGTCGTTAGCATGGTTGGCTGGTGCGGTTTTTCGCTCCGTGCGCAGCTGTAACGTGCGTCGCCATGACAAAGAGTGGGGCGCTGCGGGGAGGATTTACCTGTGCGGCTCAATGCCGTCGAAACCCGGTGTTGCAGGCAGACTAGACTCCTGCACAGTCTCCAGCTTGGGCGCGACACCGCTGGCCCCGCGGGAAGGCCCCTTCACGCTCATGATGGTGGGCAGGTCCTCCTCGCCGGGCGTCAGCACCTCCTCGCTGACGGGCACACGCGGTGTCGAGGCGGGCGAGGGCGACGAGTGCTGGACTACGATAGAGGGCGTCGATGGCGCCTCAGGCTTCCGGGCCTGGGTGCGAAGGGAGTTGCGACGTGAGCGCGAGTGGGCGCGGGCGTCTGGCGGCGGCGGGGACTTGATGCGCGGCGAGAGGGGCCAATGGGGCGTGCTGTCGCCGGAGAGCACGGCGGAGGGCGACTTCAGGGGCCGCGGTGCCTTGACCGAGTCGCTGGCGGCAGTGGGCGGTAGCTGGGGGATGCTCGCCGACGAGAGGGCGCGCTGGATGCTGGCAGCGGAGAGGCCGGGCGACGTGGCGCTGGGCGCGCGGCTGGGGCTGACGTCGGTGCTGCTCTTGCGGGACAGCAGCGCCGACTGCGACTGTGAGCGGGCACTGGGTCCTGGCGGCGCGGCCGTGGGGCGCTGGGCACTGCGTGCAGGCGAGGCATCACGCGAATTGAGCGCTGAGCTCGCAGGCGACGGCGAAGCGGACGCATTCAGCGAGCGGTCCCTCGCGAGAGACTGGCGGCGCATTGAGGGAATCTGCGTTGCGGGCGTGCCCTGCGGAGCATGCGTGACGTGCATGACGTGCACAACCGAGGCCTGGCTGGACATCGAATTCTCGCGCGTCGAGGCGGCCGTCGTGGGCGTCGGCGTAGTTGACGAAGATGACGTTGGCGGCTCAGCACTCTCGACAGCGCCAGTGATGCTCCGGAAATCGTCCTCAGCGGTAGCAGCAGCAGCAGCAGCAACAGTAACAGCAGGCGAGGTCATGTTTGCTGCGGTTCGTGGACTTTAGTTGGCAGGAACGCTCGGAGCAGCGCTGTCATGCTGCGCTGGGTGCACTGGGTGGCCGAACGAATGCCTGGATAGCACTGCAGTCCGCGACGAGTAACCGAGCAATGGCGGTCAGCGCTGAAATGACCCTCGCCAGCACGCGGCGGTCGCCCGTTGGACGGCGAAGATTGCTATCGCAGCAGAAGGTCCGTGGCGCGACGAGGACAGGTGCATTTGGCAACGAGGGATGTGGATGGGTTGGGGTGATGATGTGTAAGGGCGCGCCAGGTCGAATGGCTACCACTACTGGGCAATCGGCCGAAGCCGCTTACCGGTACCAGAACCGAGACGAGATGCGCTGGCGCAACGAAAACAGCATCGAGAAAGCATCTGCTGCATCTTCTCACACGCCGTAAATAGCAGCTTTGTGTCCTGTCAGCTGACGTATTGTGGATGACTGCCTCGTGCCGTCCGAACGGGCTGTGCGACTCCCTTGGACGCACCGCTCTGCCTGCAACACTGCAATGCCAAACTTGCTCTGCCTGAGGGCTGCCGCATTTGATAGGGCTGCCTTTGTACCGGCGTGGCATGCTCCCGTCCGTGCAGAACCAACGCTGGATCCTTCGGCGCCACCAGGGCCTCCATGGCTGAGAGCCCAACACGTGTCACACGCATGCGCGGCGCTGCATCAAAAGCAGATCAGGGGCCAGACTTCTGTTGACCGGACTACCTGAGTCGTCGACAAACATCACCGCAGGACGGTGTAAACAATAATGGGTACACATGTGCCGTATTCTTCTGGTCACGTCTGATTCAGCTGGCCTAATGCAGCCCATAGTCTCCCTCTGCCGCCATGATCCTCTGACACTCCGCGAAAATGGCCGCCTGCCTTGCTACGTCCGCCAGCTTGCCAATAACTTGCTTGTTTCCATCCACGAATCCATACAGCGCATAAGGAATGTCCACCTCGTTGCAAAAGTCCTGCACCAGCTTCTGCGTCTCCCTGAGGTTGTGTCTTGGAATCCTCGGGTACAAGTGGTGGATGGCCTGAAACTGAAGGCCACCGTGGAAGAAGTCAAGCCACTGCGGGCAGTCGACATCCATAGTTGTGCGCAACATTCTTTGAGCAAAGGACTCGTGAATGCCGAGATCCGTTGTACTCATTGCGAAATGCGACAGTGTGATTTGCACGTGCAAGGGCGATGTGAGAGCGTGGCTGATCAGGACGAACCAGAAGCGGCTGAAGTTGTCTGGCATGGTCTTGTAGACGACACCGTAGCCGTACCATGTCCAAAACACCGTCATGCCGACCATCTCGAAGTAGCGGTGCCACCGCGCCAGCCCCTTCTTTGGGCCCTTGCCTCCCAGAAGATACTCCAACGATAGCCTGTACAGGTTGAAACGAGCGAACAACATGATCGGGTAGTACGTATAATGCTGGATGCGCACCAAGATCTTCGCCGCCGCATCGTACTCCATGACCCTCTCATAGTATGTTGACGTAAGGCTCTCCAAGAATCGGTGAGTGATGGCAAAAATGGGAATGTATTGGATATCAGGGTCGTGCTCTGGGTCATTTGTGACAAGGTGGTGGACATTGTGGTTGAACTTCCACCAGCACGCACTGAGGCCTCCCATATAGGATGCGATGAACATGGCGATGGTCGTGTCGGTCGTGAAATCGTGAGTGATGCCCATGTGACCAGCATCATGGACCGTAAATGTGAGCTGGTGCCAGACGCAAGCGAGTGGGATAGCACTCGCAATAAACCAGCCTGAACACAAGGCGTAGAAGAACAGCGCGATCAAGGCTCCATATCGCAGACATTCTATGCCGTACGAGGCGTAGCTGCAGTCGTACAGTCCCCGCGCCTGGATTTCCTTCTGCAGAGCCCGATACTTCTGAGTGATCTTGTCTTGTGTCTCCGGATCTGTTGAGGGATATTTCGCCTTGTCGAAATCCAACTCTTGCTGCGTACGCCTGTCCAACACAGACATCTTCGGCGATGCTGCCGCGTCATCGAGGCCAATCGAAGATACGGAAGATAAAGAGGAAGCGCGGGTGATATTGGTCGTGTGTCGCTGGCGCACAAAGGACGATTTGTCTGCTGGCTCGAAGATAGGACTCTGGTCTGCAGAGGAGGTAGAGCTAGCTCCCTCATGGTCTGAAGACGAGCACGACTCCAAATATTCCTGCTCCGAGAGCTTCTCTAGCTCTTCCTGTGTCCTGAACCTTCCTCCCTGGATCGGCGGTAGGAAGTTGGTCCAGCGTCCTTCGATGCGGCCGACTTGGTAGCGATTCATGAGCTCGAGAGATTGAAAAGAGTGAAACCTATGTATGCCATATGAGCTCTGATCATTGGGGAGCCTTCTGCAGCATACCTGGTAACCTCGTCCGTAGCATCGCGGCCGATCATGTGTCGCATAGCCTTGTCACCACCAGGGTGATATGGCATCCAAGCTCCCACATTCAGGACTTTACTATCAACAATGACAATGGCCTTGCCATTGGCGATCTGACCTTCAATCTCTCTACGATTGAAGACCCTGGTCTTCCTCTGTGCTGGCGCGTCCATAGTTGCGGTATAGAGCTACACAAAGTCTAATTGCGCGTGTCGAGATATGGCAGCAAGGCGGATGCGAGCGAAAAGCTCAGAACATGCTTCAAGCGAGTGCGCAAAGAACAACAATTTTCCCACCCGAGAGTTCCGAGAGCAAACAAGGAAAGGAGAGGATAGGGTGATCGAAGCGGATCATCACTGGCGGCTGTTGGGAGTTGCAGATCTAGCAGGGGTCCAGCGTTTGGTGGCAAAGTGCCCCACGTGGTGGAAACGGCCGCTTTCTCAACCAGTCAGCGCTCGTGTCCTAGACAAGAACATGTGAGTGCATTGCTATTGATCAAGTAGCTGCCATTGCATCACACATGGAACAACGACCGTGATTGGCCTGTGAAAAGCTGAGCTGGACGTTGTGGCGACACAGCGGAACAAGGCAGGTGCGGAGACAAAGTGTCCCTCCTGTTCTGAACCCGGCCATCTCCGCCATCACCAGGTTTGCAAGAACTGGCAACCGTTTGGTAACAGCCGAGAAGCGCTAATGAACGCTCCACCTCTTCGTCCCCTTCTCTTTCTTGACCTAGACACCCCGAACATCGACCCTACAAAGTCACAGTCATGGCGAAGGACATCAAAGAGCTAGCTAAGGAATGGTTGGAGCTCGACCAGGATAAGACCACGAGAGACGAGATCTACCAACTACTCCACCATGGCGACGCAATCGAACTCGAACTACGACTACGAAGCCGGATTGCGTTTGGAACTGCTGGTCTGCGAGGCCCCATGCAAGCTGGATTTGCCTGCATGAACTCCCTCACAGTCATCCAGGCCTCGCAAGGACTGGCAGCATATCTCTTGAAAACCGAGAACGATGTTCAAAAGCGGGGCGTAGTCATCGGTCGTGATGCAAGACACAACTCAGAGAAGTTTGCCAAGCTCACAGCTGCTGCGTTCGTGGCGAAGGGCATCAAGGTTTGGTGGTACGAGACACCATCGCACACACCGCTGGTTCCTTTTGGAGTACGAGAGCTGGGTGCGGCTGCTGGAGTGATGGTCACGGCAAGCCACAACCCCGCCAAGGACAATGGATACAAGGTATACTGGTCGAACGGATGCCAGATCATCCCACCGCACGACACTGGAATCGCCCAAGCAATCCTAGAGAACCTCAAGCCTGTCACTTGGGACACGTCCATCGTAGATGAGGACAATCTTATGGTCGAGGGATCTCTGGATCTGGTAAGGGATAATTATCACAAGGCCGTTCTGTGCGCGTCTCAGCCGGAGCATGCCATTAAACTCAGCCCGGATCTCAAGTTTGTCTACACACCCATGCATGGTGTCGGACTACCAGCCATGAAGCGCTGCACCGAGACTTTGGGAGTAGCCTCGCAGATGACTGTCGTAGAAGCTCAAGCTCAGCCGGATCCAGACTTCCCAACAGTCAAGTTCCCAAACCCAGAAGAGAAGGGAGCACTAGACCTGGCTATCCAGACAGCTGATTCAGCTTCGGCGAAACTCATCCTTGCCAGCGATCCGGATGCTGATCGACTTGCTGCGGCCGAGAAGATCGGTGACAAGTGGCACATCTTCACCGGTAACCAGCTTGGGCTGCTGCTAGGCGCCTACATCTTCGAGCGGTACCCATCATCAAAACCTAGAGACAAGCTTGCTATGTTGGCAAGTACAGTCAGCTCGAGGTCACTTGCCGCCTTGGCCAAGAAGGAAGGCTTCCATTTCTCCGAGACCCTGACTGGGTTCAAATGGCTCGGAAATGTCGCGCGAGACCTCGAGACGCAAGGCTACACCGTCGCATACGCTTTCGAGGAGGCTCTTGGATACATGATACCGCAGACAGTACACGACAAGGACTCGATTAGTGCCGCCGCTGTCTTCCTGACTGCAGCATCGCAGTGGTCTGAAAAGGGCTTGACACCATACGCTAAATTGCAAGAGCTCTATGAGTATCTAGGCTACTTTGAGGATGCAAACACGTACCTCGTCTCTCCATCACCGCTCGTTACAACAGCAGTGTTCACGGCTGTCCGTGCACTGGGCAGTCCTCACCCCACCACCATCGGATCCCGCAGGATCGTGCGCTGGAGGGATCTTACGCTAGGCTATGACTCAAAGAGCAGTGACCACATGCCTGATCTACCTGTGGATCCGACTGCACAGATGATCACTTGCGAGCTGGATGATGGCGCAGTCTTTACGGTTAGAGGCAGCGGAACCGAGCCGAAGATCAAGCTGTACATTGAGTGCCAAGGAAAGACCAGTGAAGAGGCGAAAAAGGGTGCAAACGGTATCCTGGAGGATCTATTGAGGGAATGGTTCAAGCCAAAAGAGAATAGTCTGAGACTTGCATAGGGCATGCAACAGCCCGAGATTCGTGCAACAGACATGAAGCTAGCGGTGAAGTAGAGGAAAAGGTGCGTTTGTCTGCGTTCCTAGTCCAGCATATAGCGAGCATGGCATAGATATGAGCCATCTTGGACACAGTACCTCTTTCCTGCTCGCCTTTCTTACCTTTGAAGCTTCCACAGACCGCCTACGATGCGAGCAGGAGTTGACGGCCAGGGCTACAGCACTGTGGAAGACTATGACCTTGACATGTGGAAGTGAAGACACGGCAATGCTCAGATTGGACATGGATATCAAGACTGGTGTCACCGTCTGGGAATAACGACAAGCACACACGTGTTGTGAGCGTGGGCTGGATCGATCATCTGAAGAAAACAGCATAGTTATAGGACAAAGGCGAAGGAGCATATAGTCCAGAATACTCACTCAAGCCGTCAGATCCGGTTCAGCAATGTCCCGTTGCCCATCTCTGACGTTTCCTCACTGCTTTTTCCGCCGTGTGCTGCTCCGCGAATGTTACACGGCTGCAGTCCCCACATAAATGCTAATACTCCAAAACAGCTTCGGGCATGCCACGCAATGATCTTGGCCGTCACGTCTTGCACCTTCTTCATCCATGCTCAGCACGCACGCTCTACCCGCACGCAAGGCTGACGTCTGCACACCACCTTGTAGAAGAACTGCGACAGCAGGCCACGTACGTACTACTACGCTCGCTGCCTGGCATGCACTCGCCAAACCACAGGCCGATATCTTTGGTCGAGGCGTCGCCCTATGCAACGATCCCGGCCTCGCCCTATGCAACGATCCCGGCCTCGCCTGCAGTAGCGGCATGGTTCTTCAGATAGTGCCCAATGAGCGGCCTCGCGCAGAGCAGGAAGAAAGCTACTTGTCGCACAATGCATTGCTGCAGCGGCTGGGCTGCTGCCTCGACGGATAAACATGGCGACTGTCTCGGTGCAAGCATCTGCACCCGAACAGCGCACGCACAGCTTAAGACATGGCGCAGAAAGCAGGCAAATGCGTGACTATCGCCGTGATGCTGTGTTGGAGACTGACGTGGTAAGCCCAAGGGCACGGCTGAACTTAGCTAGCGCAGCCGCCTCCCCAGTATCCACTGATCCAGCGTGTCGCAGCCTATCAAAATGGCGACGATAGTTCGGTACAGCAGGGGTCGGCGCGTTTCCGCTGTCGGTGGAGTTCGTCGAGGGCTCGAGGGGCGGCCGTTGCTGCGGCATGCGAGCGCAGAGTCACAGTGTCACACCCTCTCTGGGCAAATGCAGCGTCTCTTCCCCACCCAAATCTCGCGACCCACTCCATACCACGCCCCCGTTCCCGCGATAAGGCTCGATCGTCAGGCATTGACTCTTTAAAGCATAAAACCCGCCTGTCCCCTCGAAGGAACCTGCTTCCTTCGTCTTCTGCTCGCAACTTTCTCGGTACGCGCTCGGCCCTGCCAGAAAAGTCCAACGCGCTGCTAACGCCATGGCAGCTCTTCCCATAGGTCCCGCGCAAACAATGCCCCAGTACTAAACACTGAACCCGCGCGCTCCCTCCGCGGGATGCCCAATTGCTGGCATCCATGGCAGGGTTCGCAGAGCCGGACACGGTTTCCACGCAACGCACCTCTTATCGCCCAGCACATGAACGGGAACCCCCTCCTCGACGCGCGCTCCCCAGCGGGCCCTGCAATTACCGCGATGCCTCGGTTGGCTCCTGCGGATGTGACCAGTTCTGGGACAAGAGCAGTGCTGAGCTGCACGATGGTAGCACCCTCCACCGGCCAGCGAGCGAGCGCGTGCCCTGGTGCGTCTGTGGGCATCATGCATGCTACCATCTAAGAGCGCCGCGCGCGTCGGAGCAGGCGACACCTGCTATGCACATGGGCACCAAGCACTTGGGACAGCAAGTGAATGTAGACGAAGCTCTGAGTGCCCACGACGAGCGGATACAAACGTCGCTCTATGGCAGCAGCCAGCGACACCAGCGGACAGCCGCTTCTGAGGCCAACGGGCCCGGTCGCGTGTTGCAGAGGCGGGACGCTCCAACGCAGGTCAGCTCGTCCGGCCTGCCTGGACTCCCTTCGATGTGCATGCTCTCCAATGACCGACGCCCAGCGGCTGGCGACGAAGCTAGGCATGCTGCGATCCAGCCCCGCGGAATTGTAGCAGGGCTCGGGCTGTCCATGTTGAATATGGAGAGTATGCCAAATATTGACCGTCTGCAGTCTGCCTCACCCACCATCGCCGACGACAGCGTCCCACCACCGCATCAGCGAGCCTTGACCGAGCCAGAGCGCGCCTCGACCCGGGAGAACTCGGTACCGGTCGACTCGATCCGGCTCCTCAGCGACCTGCGCGGCCCCTTTGAGCAGATCAAAGACTTCAACCGTAATCTGCAAGCTGACGTCGCCGGTGACACGATCCCAAACACGCTCGATCCACACGACTTCATACACAGCACAACCGAGGTCGCAACGCCCAGCATACGAGGCACGCCTGACCTTGGTGCTGCTGACAGTGCGGTGCAGCAAGGGAAGAAGCTAATTGATACGCTGTCTCGACTGGCTTCGAACAAGCCAGGACCAGGCAGCTCTCCAAAGAGGCTCGACGATGTCACTCCTGTGCCTGGTCAACAGCCAAACTCGCCCCTTTTACAACAGGAAGAGCAGCTGCAGAATGTCTTAAAGTCAGCATCACCTCAAGATCTCCAGAAGCTGGTGTCGTACCTGGCACCGCTGCACAATTTGCTGAGCACTATACCGAACGTGGCCAAGACTATATGGGACTTGACATACCGTCTGGAAGTGCTTGAGAATGGATCCTTCAACTACGTGCAGCCCGAGGACCTCCATCCAACCCTCGAGATGTACGATGACAGACTCGTCACTGTTGAAAATCGCCTGGAGGAGCATGAGAAGATGCATCAAGCTCTTGCTGACGACAATAGCAGCGTCTCGTACAGTCGACGTCGTATTGACAACGTCACAGGATCGTTCAGCTCCAATCAGTCTCTGCAGTCGACTACGTCCTCAGCTTTGATTCTCGCAGCCATGGAACGCAAGGACAAAGAGGCCGAGCTTAGTGACATCAAGGGCCGCCTGGAGATGTTAGAGTCCGCGGCTGTACCAACCACACTCAATCCTTGGGAGGTCGAAGTCGTGCTGTTGCCATGGGGCCGTGAACTGCGGGGCATATGGTTTTCACCCGATCAACCAATGCACGAATCGTCAAAGACCACCACTCAAGACTCTGAGGAATGGACTCAAGCTAGGAACGTGAAGCCAGCCCAGAGCCTTCAGAACTTGCGCGACACTGGTTCGAGTCCCAATCCTGGCGCCAAGGGCATCTTCAGTGATACCGAGAGCGGATGGAGCAGTCAAGCCATCAGCGATTGGGCGTCTGGATCAACCGACGACTGGCTATACCCCAAGGCCTGCGGTGCCAATAATTTGGTGTACAAACGCCTCCTCAGTCGTGGCTTCATTCGCAACGTCACACTGCACAGCGCCAATGCTCGTGACATCCAGGCTACATTGTCCCATGCCTTCAGCGATGTTATGGAGTGGCTACAATTTACAGATCGCGATGAAGACCAGATGGTTGCTGCCCATCCTGCTCTACGAGCCTCGTTCATCCCACTTCGCAAAGTCATGAAAGAGTCTAAGCTCCGCTTCCTTGCTCCGAGTGAGATGTCGAGCTCTGCACATTGGTCTGCGCAGTTCCTTGCCGCTGGCGTGGTGATGCGTGTCTCAGGTGGTAAGAGGAGGCTGTATGTCACACAGCGAGAGGCATACGTGCAACGCAGCGATGAGATGGGCAGCTCGTGGACTTGGCCTGAACTGCGACAACTGCCTCGTTTCAAGCCAGGTCAAGACGAGCAGATGGAGGGCAACGACGAGCAGTGTCAGCCGGTTCCGGAGGCAGATGCTAAGGAAACATGTTGGCAGTACATTGCTACATACGATGCTCCTCCCGTTAGCGTCAACTCGTCATTTAGCAGTCATCAATCGGTTGAGCTATCCATGCGGCCAGCGGACGGCCAGTGGCGCCGTTCTATCACGCCCTGCTCGATCCTGAAGCACAGGCAGCAACAGCCTCCATCGCCCATCAGCTTATTTCAGCAACGGCCAAGATCTTTGAGCCGTACAGCTTCCACCTCGGTTCTCGAGATACCTGGCTCAGCGAAACGGCGTTTCAACTCGTCCCCGACGAAGCACGCATCATCACAGCCAATGCACTCACGCGCTCCGAGCATTTCTATGGCTCGGCAGAAGCGTAGACGAGTCATAGATTCATCATCACCGCATGAATTGGCAGCTGCACCTGAGATGGGGCCAGTGACAATCTGGAACCCCACTCCACGACGCTCACGGGAGCCGTCTTCCCCTCACATCACCCATCCCGCGTTACCGAGGTCAAGCTCAGATGTCAACAGTCGTCCAAGTCAACGCTCTGCAACTCGGGCAAGCAACGCTGCAGCATTCGCATACGCCACGCCAGCTTCAGGACCGTTCCTCGGCGGCCCTGCCTTTGGTGGCTACAACCAGGGAGGGGACACAGAACCTGACGACGATAGCGGCGATGACAACGAGAACGGAGAGGACGCCGATGACGATGACGATGGCGAGCAAAGCTGGCATGGCGTCACGGACGGCGATGAGATCAGCGTCTCGTCCTCCGACTCTGACGCCAACGCCGGCGCACAAGAGATGGTCAGCTTCTCGGGCGATGACAGCGGTTTCGAATCTGAGAACGACGCTTCCCAATCAGAGGGCGACCGAACCCCGACTGCCCGACGGCGACTCGATGAAGATGAAGACCAGAGTGAGGACGAAGACATGCACGCTGAAGACGACGGTGTCGAGATTCTCGATCACTTACTGGAGGTACTCGAACCCCGGCACGAATGCACGCTATACGAGTGCGACTCATCGTGTTAGTCGCAGCACGGCGCACACGGAAAAGCGCAACAAAACGCGCAGCGAATGCCATCACCGTTCAGACTATTGTTTATGATCCTCGGGGTGGGTAAATATGGACAGAATCGGGATTGGAGATGGGGATTATCGGAGCGTTTTTGTACGGCTTTTGTACCATACTATCTCACATCTCTGGCTGGTTTCCTTGTTGCGGTGATCTTACTTTTAGCTCTGCTTTTCGTGTCAGGTTTGTATTAAGATGGCATAGCGAGCGTAGCATATCATGGCGGTGATTGCCAATACTCTCCCCTTAGTGTGGAGTAGCTGAATACAAATACTGAATTGGAAGACGCTCTTTTGTTGGCTGAGGCGAACGTGAGCGACAGAAGGGGGTGGCTCAACATCGTCGCTTGCTCGGTCCTACGTGTTCCCAGAGGCGTTCAGAGGCGGAAGATCGCGGGAGAGAGTAAGTGAGGATTGACGAATAGCGTCCAATGTATTACCTATGCTCCGCTATCTATGCTCACAAAATATTTCTCAGTTGTATGCATCCGGTCATGATCAGATGCCATCATTCGGAGACGATGAGCGCTGTTGCTTGCTAGCAAGCGTAGAAAAAGCCAAAGGACATTGTCAAGTACGCCAAATGAGATAAAATGAGAGAGGCAGAACGCCTTGCGCAGGAAAAGAGCACCCATCGTGCACCGTCGCCACAACATGGATGGTGCGCAACTCGCCTTTGTGCCATCATCATATCATAAAAAGATCCGCCGAAGACCTAAACCCTGCTCTCGGGTTGGGTAATATTCTCCTCGTGACGAGCACGAATACCAGCTTTGTCAGTGGACTCGAGCGAAGAAGTCTCGCCATGGCCAGCAAAGGTAGAATGAGGGACCCACTTAGTGGAGCGACGAGGTGTAGTCTCCTTGAGCATGTTGTCGATCTGCTCTAGGGACAAAGCCTCGATCTCAGGGACCAGGAAGTAGGCGAAAAAACACAAGCAGTGCAGGTGGCACCCCAGACAAAAAAGATCTTAGTCATAAGGTTGCCATACTGTTCGTCAATCATGTAGGTGCTATTGCTACCAACTAGTACTTAGAAAGGGAGAAAACATAGCACACGTGAAACCAAGCAATCATGCTCATTGTGAGATTATTCTTCGTCTTGCAGCTCTTGATACTCATCAACCTTGCCGAAGGTGTCCACCGCGTCGTCTTCAAGGTCATCTCCAGCCATGGACTTTCTGCTATTTGCGAGACAGGCAGTAGAACACGCTACTGCCGCTTTTGTCAGTAAAACCCCCCGACTTAGCACGGCAGACAGCCTCGACGGTGCCTTTCACCGTTTCCTTGGCCTTATGCCGGAATTTGTTATCTCACCCGCTGAAGCTTGTTCATCCACGCAGGCATTGGAGCCAAATAACGGGACGACGCAGTTGATGCTGAAAGAATCAAAAAAAATCTGAAGAACGCGGAGGAGGATGCTAAGGAAAAGTTGCTTGTCTTACGTGCTCTAGTCGAAGAATGTGACGAGGCAGAAGCTGAGGCTGATGAACTTGCTGCCCGAAAACCTCCTGCGTTGACTCACGAGTCTCCAAGCCAGCTTTCGGTCATGTCTCCGTCAGCCTCAGCCATTTCACTGCCGCAGATGAAGCCCACCATCTTCAGTCCACTCTCATCTCCTACAGGGCCCTTGTAGGAGCCGGGCAGCGATTATTGCGTAGATGATCGTCGCGACGAAGCCTCGTAATTCACTGGTACGCAATTCCACCTTCTCGCGGACATTACCTAAGGCGCCTTTTTGCTGTTCGGCAGCTGCTGCATCATTGTCCGCAACCGCAAGAGCTACGAGCTGGTATACTGCACGGCCACTTTCAAAGCAAAAAGGTTTCTGGAAATGTGGTTCGACGCATCAATCAGTCAGCAAGCTAGGGTATATGGTATGGTAGAGTGTGACATCGCTGGAAAGATGATGTATTCGTTAACTCCGAGACAAAAAAGAAAAAAGAAAATAGGGAAGCGCTACAGTTTTCATCGAAACGAAGGCAAAAAAGTTAAAGAAAGATTCGGGCGTCTTGACATATCGATGAGCCCAAGTTCATATCAGACTCTGCGCGGGTCACCACGGGTGGCTTCTTCATAAGTCAACCGCGCTGCCTCATCGTAGCTTGGTGGCGCATCCCTTTCGTAAGCCCTCTCCAAGCTGCAGCTACGGCGTTGTTGCTCTCTCCGTGCTTCCTCGCTCTTCCTCTCTGACCTCGGATCTCTCTGTGTGGAGCTGCCTCGCTTGGTCCCAGAGGAAGAGGACTCGGCAAGCGTATGCATTTGAGTTGCCTATCGTGGTAGTCAGTATTATTGTACGCATGTACTTTGAAGTCTTACTTACTAATGCAGCTTTCTTTGCCTTTCGCTCATCTCGCTTTTCCTTGATCTTCTTCCCCCCCTCCTGCAGACCAAGGGCAATGCCCATGACAAGGATGCCGGCCATTGTGCGAGGCTGATACTCAGTCCAGTGGAATTTAGGAGGAGCTCTCCTCAGTCCTAGCCTTTTCTTGAGGATTTTCAAACTGTTGGCTGTAGATGCTTGGAGCTCACAGCGTTCCTATCGTCGAGCTGCACACTTTGAGGGTTGCTGAGTCTGGACAAGAAGCCCGGTCGGAAGCAGATATCGCGTTTACCTATGTCTGCAGCACATGATCAGTAATTGTTACATGCGTAAATAGTGGATGGGGTGGAGTGTTCAGTGAGGGCTGAAGATGCTTGCAGTGCTGCGTGAGGATTGCTCACATCCTTCTAGTGCGTTGAACAGTTCTTTGAGATAGCGAAACGGACGTATACTACAAACAACGACCTGCGCTATGATTCACAGTTCTTCATGTTGATTCAATACCATGACATTGGTTGCCTGTTTGTTGACTGTTGCAACGTTGCTGTGAGGTTCATAAGGCGGCAAGTCGTTGACGTACGCCGGGGGTGGCGACACGCGCCGCGTTATCGCATTTCAATGACTAGCCTTGCTTTCATCACTGCACGCGAGTCTGCGACCGACCGAGAGCCTTTTCTATGAGAGTGTTTGAAGAAGTATGGAATACGATGATAGGATGGCTTCAATGCACATCTGCCGAAATCGCTGGTAGTTCCAACCTCATCGACCTTGACTTTGTGATGCCGAAGGCGGCGCTCTGCGCGAAGCTGGCACGGTCATTGCAGCGCGCGCTTTTGCAACAGAAGTGCGTTCTCGACAATGCTTGCATGAGCCTATGTTCAGCATACGAGAAGACGCCGTGCGGCTTGAAGGCTTGGGAAAGGATTACCTCTTCGCGCAAGGATTCAGTGCAGGTGCCCACGCGAGCTCATACTCTATCTGGTAAGCCGTAACATTCCGTCCTATGATGTCGCGCAATGTGACATGCCCCACTTGGGGGTCGGGGATTCGGGGTGTCGGCAGTGTGGGGGGAGCCCTCTCCGCTGCTTTGTCGGTGATACTCGTAAGTTGGCACTCAACAATACCGGTTGCTATCTAGTTTGAGCTGAGATACAAATTTTTTTCTAACGTCCTCAAGCTTGTTTGCCTAAGGAACGGCCGTGCTTAATATAAAAGCTGTGTTCTGAGCCCCAGTCATCGGTTGTTCACGTTCTTTGACCTTCCAGCCCATGATGCACTTCAAGTTGTCCTCAGCTATATCAGCGGCCTTCTGGCTCGCGGCCAATGCTGCTCCCAGCTACAACACTTCTCCCAATGCGACAAGAATCAGGTTCAAGCACTGGCCAGCCAACGCGTCAAGAGCCCTCAGCGACATGATCGTCAAGAACGCGAACCAAAGCAACTACGCCGTATTCGACATGGACAACACAAGCTACAGATACGATCTCGAAGAGTCTCTGCTCCCGTTCCTCGAGAACCGCGGCATCCTGACTCGTGAGAACCTGGATCCTTCGCTGAAGTTGATCGACTTCAAGGACACAGCTAACTTCACTGAGACGCTGTACAGTTACTATCTTCGATTGTGTGAAGATGATGACTTCATTTGCTATCCTTGGATCGCCCAAGTGTGGTCAGGATTCACCTTGCGCGAACTGAAAGGCTACGTCGACGAGCTCATGACCCTCAATTCGACCATCCCTACGCAATACTGGGATGGGGACGAGGTCACGAACTCCACAGTCAATTCTCCTCAAGTTTTCCGTGGCCAGGCGGAGCTTTACAATGCTTTGATGGACAATGGGATCGATGTCTATGTCATTAGTGCCGCACACGAGGATCTCGTCCGCATGGTAGCCAGCGATCCCAAGTATGGCTACAATGTACCGCCCAAGCACGTGATTGGAGTTCAGACTTGTATGTATCGCGACATTGGTGAAGACGTGTTGGTGACGTGGACTGACTGGATTTAGTGCATCGGAACTCGACGTCCGGGTACCTTACCAACGCCCGTAAGGAGATCATTGATGGGACCTATGACCCGGAGGTCTATCTCGACCTGGTCTTTGGACCCTATCTCTGGACACCCGCCACCTGGTTTGCTGGAAAATGGGCTGCGGTTTTGACCTACATCGATCAATGGAAACGCCCGGTCCTTGCGGCTGGTGATACACCTGGCTCTGACAGTTACATGCTGTTCCATGGTGTTGATACAGCAAAGGGCGGTATTCATCTTTGGGTCAACCGCCGGGATGCGTACTTGGAGAGAATCCAAGGCGAGATTCGCAACAATACTGCTGCGCAGATGGCGAATGGGAGAGAGGTGACTGCTGACAAGAACTGGGTCTTTGTCAAGCCCACAGAAATCCTGTAAGGCGTAGAGGTGGACAAGTAAAAAACCGAATGCCTTCGGCTACTTAAGATGTGCATAGCTCCAGACCTCGGACTCTTCCAGTGCGATTGCAATCTTTTTCTGTCGTAATGATGTTTGTGATGAGTAAGATGTCTTGACGAGGACACGCCAGTCACCGGAAAGATGGGACGAAACTCGTTCTATTTTCCGCGGACAATATTGGCAACCACTGCTGCAGCAGAGTCGACAAAACCCCCAGAAATTAAGTGTGCGACGCTTCCAGGTCGGTTGTGCGACTTGTGCCGTACGAATAGGCAAAATGGAAAGCTTACGCTTAGTCAGCGTTCGCGGTTTCGCGACACGAGGGCAGATGGCCTTGCGCTGACAGTTTCAACAATGGGCTCACTATTGCGCATCTGCAACGGCGATTCTTATGAGCAGCAATGGGCCGATACTTCCGCGCGGCCGTATATTCCCCGCTTTATCATCATCGTCATCTCGGATTTACCGTTTCCGTGACGTATGAACCGATTTCTAAGCGCATAACGGTAGCAAGAAGGAGTTTCGACCTATAACCACTCACTGATGCATGCACGCTTACCTACATGTCACTATCCCGTCCTACAACCTCTCGACTGCCCAGACTCGTCACTCGAAGCTTCATACGAGCACCCAAACACCAATTTCGAACTCCGTTCCACACCACAACCAGACAAACGCTACACGTACTTCCCGAGATGGCTGACGAACGACCCACAGGCCTGAAGGCGAACAAGGGTATTGAGCTCCTCACCTGGGGTACACCCAACGGTTGGAAGGCCTCGATCCTGCTGGAAGAGCTCAAGGAGGCATACGGCAAAGACTACGCTTGGCAAGGCATCAACATCAGCCAGAACATCCAGAAAGAGGAGTGGTTCACTAAGCTGGGGCCCAATGGCCGTATTCCGGTCATCGTGGACCACGACAAGGGCGACTTCGCGGTCCAAGAGGGCCTTGGTAGGTGCTCAGAAGGACAATTACAGAAATACAGCTAACAATTGCAGCTATATTGACCTACCTCACACGTCACTATGACCCTGATCATAAATTTTCCTTCACCGATGACCTCGATGTCTCCCGCGCCGAACAATGGATGGCATGGCAGCACGGTGGCCTCGGCCCAATGCAAGGACAGGCCAACCACTTCAATCGCTTCGCGAAGGAGCGCATTGCATACGGTATGCAGAGGTACACGGGAGAGACCGAGCGCCTTGTAGGTATTCTTGAAAAGCAGCTCAAGAGCAACGACTATCTTGTTGGCAACAAGTTCAGCATTGCTGACATCGCCAATTTCGGCTGGATCCACATGCTTCGCTTCTCTGGTGTCGAGCTCGATGACTTCCCCAGCCTAAAGGCTTGGTGGGAGCGAATACTGGCTCGCCCAGGTGTTCAGCGCGGGCTTAACATTCCGTCCAAGTCAGGGTTCGGCAACGATACCTACTTGCAGAAGCTCAAGGACGACAAGGAGTTTGCTGAGAAGGAACGTGAGCTGAGGGAGAAGGTTAAGGCTGCGAAGGAGCAGTACGGATACAAGTACTCTTCTCCTTGAGCATTCAATTGCGCACAAGGACAGAGCGCGATAGAGCGCTAGCCTGCACCCTGTCAGGGTCACAAGCAAGAAGGAAAGTGTAATGAAGATGTTCGAAGCCAGAAACGTGCCCTGTTCAATTTTGGTCTACAGATTGTCCTGACCTACCGCTGCCAAGCCTTAGTCGGAGACAACGTGCTCACTGCTGATGGAAGCGCCCTCCAGCCATTCAAACAACGCCGTTGTGTCTCGACAATATGGTGCAATACCTCGATCGTTGTCAGCCAATCAAAGTCTTACAGAGCCGTGCTTCTCGAACCGAGCGCCTATGACGGCAGCCAAGCCCTAGCGGAATGTTACAGAACAGGGTCTCCTCACTGGTTTCCTCGAATTTGACAGGCGCCAACCACAGATAGAGGAGTCGGATCTGGGGCCTTCTTCTTTGCGATGTAAGGTGTTCTGCGTTGAGCACTTTGTTGAGGATTCAAAAGCACAGGTGCGTTCTTGGCTCTCTGTCTCGTTGCAATTAGTTTCCAGTTCCTTTCGCTATTTAAGTTTTTCTCGTCTCGTGCCTCTCACGGATTCGAGAGCAAGCCTCGCGCCTTCCCCTTTTACTAAGTCGATCACTGCCCTCGTGAACAGGCCTAGCAGCCACGCCCCGCGCCACAACGTCATAACCCTTGAAGGGCATCATTGAACTTCGCGCCTGAACACCTGCAGCGTTTTTGTGACCGGAGTCGCACTGTGGACGCACAACGACTTTATCTGCAGACAGCTTTATTGTTGCTACTGCGCAAAGCTCCCAGACCAAAACTCAAATCAGGCCATTCAACCCTACAAACCAACAAACTCACCGCCTCCTACGAAACCTACCCTACGAGCAGCGACAGCTAAAGTACGTTCCATTTCCTGCGCAATAGCGAGGCTAATCATTCTTCAGCTCCTCACTATGGCACTTAAGTTCGGTAGATCGCTGAAGGGCGAGAAGGCCACATTTGGAACCTCATTCTGGTCACATTTTACCATAGGAGGGGCTCTTCTGGTCTTCATACGCTTCTTCCAATTCGTCCTGGGCATCACCGTCATCGGACTCTACGCTGTCGATCTCGACAATGCGCGCAAAGCTGGGAAATATATCGACTCCAAATGGGTATGGGCCGTCGTGTGCGGCACTTTGGGCGCGATCGTGGCCATCGTTGGAATCTTCATCAAGGAATGGTTCTTCTTCTTCGTGGACTTCCTCGTCTTCGTCTGCTACCTCGTCGCATTCGGTATCTTTGGCAAGATGTACATCCCCGAAGACGCCGAAGGCAACAAAGGTATCACTCGGATGAAGAATGCTGTCTGGGTGCTGTTGACGAACATGCTATTGTGGTTCCTCACATCAGTCTACCTCGCCTTCCTGTTTTGGAAGCGCCAGAATGCACGTACTACACACACTGGACGGGGTGGCATGCACGTCTAAGTGTTCTCCCTTTGACGAAGAGAGAAAGTGCGAAGCATTGGTGCTGACAGAATTTGTGTAGAGGATCTTGTTCGATGTCAACCTGGACGTTACTCGATGGCCATGCCTGGAGAAACAGGCAATTTCTTCGGCGGAGGAGTCAGTACAAGGGCCAGCACTGCGCTCACTCACAACATCACGAGGGCCGGACCGACTGCCGGAGCATCCTTTGCGAGCACCTCCAGTATCAAGACACTACTGGCCTCCAACACCCTTAATGGCACCAAGAACGTCCGCCCCTCGACCAGCTGACCCACTGCCTCGATCCCCACATGAGACCATGCTTCTACCAGTTTCCGAGCCCACGTCTTTCTTGCAATCACCCGGGCTAGACTACGTTCCTTGCGAGATGCCCAACTCCTCGCCCGCACAAGCCCCGACCACAATGCCTATATTTCTGATGGAGCACACCAAAGATGGACCAGTACTGAGGAAGGTCTCCACGCCTGCTGAACTGGCAGTTTTCATTAAATCTATGTCATCGATACCCCATTGAGTTAGTCACGAGCAAGTTAGCTTTCATCCAATCAATAGTACAGTTCAACATTACCCGATGCTTCGCCATGCCTGACTGCTTGCGGGCGATGAGATTATGTACCGGAAAATTTAGGACTAATCATGTCTACAGACATCGTCCCTTGACAGCATCGGTGGTGGTTATACCTTATGGGCCGTGCTACTGCGTGAACTCAGCAAATGGCTGAAAGGTGTTTGTAGCCCAATACTGATGACTACGGATTTCCAGCTCAGTTACTGGCTGAATTCGTGCAGCAGCACGGCCCGCTTTCACCGGGTCATACGGTACTTTGCCCTGCATCGAGGTCTAGCTAGATGTCTGTCACACTCAAGGAATTGGTCTGCGCTGGACTGGAGTAGGTATGGTATCCGAAACTATTCTACATCTTGCAAGACCGTAGACCGGGCGAGGCGCACAATGAACATGAAGCAATACCCCACCCTCAAGATGCACCTGCCCAATTTGTGGATCTAGATGCAACGCTTCTCGATGAGGGTGCCGCAACCACATAGCTATACGTATCAGACAACCGCTCTCATCAGCACCGTTGAGGCTAGATACATGTATTACACAACAAATTTGGACGCCACGAGTGCCGACTTGCATCTGAATCTGACACATTCGTACCAACACAGCTATGGCCGATTTTAGAATGATTCACATGCTGGAATATTGGAAGATATTTTGGATGTTGAAATTTATTCGTTGGTATCTCATAGCCTCACAATCACGCAGCAGGGACAAGTGTCACACTGCTTCCCATCCTAGACTTATCGATATTCCAGGCGAACCGTATTGTGGAGTCGTCGACCGTAAGGTTGATGAGGTATTATACTGACGTTCGCTGTGACAGGTTGGTTGGGAGTCAAATGAAATAGGTTGAGCAATCTTACCAAATGATTCGAGCAAGATGTTTAGACAGAGCGCTTGTTGGCCTCAGCGGCACCCTCGTGCTTGGTCTGATCCATCTTGTCGCCGGCGGCGCCGAGAGCACCGGAGACGCGGTCGCCGATGGAGTCCTGGCCGGGAACGTTGCCCTTAGCCTGCTGCTTATTGGCCTCCTTAGAGGCCTCAGCAGAGTTGCCCTGGACGGTCTCGGAGACGTAGTTGGCGGCGTTGGCGATAGAGTTGCCAATCTGACCGACGATACCCTCGTTAGGCTTGTTGGCGTTGGGAGCAGACATATTGTTGGTTTGGGTGGATTGTTTATTTGTGTGGATAGGTAGAAGAGTAGTTGAGTTGAGTGTTGTGATAAGGCAATGACGGAGAGGAATGGCTTGTTTATATACAACTGGAGGGGTAGAGAGGCGGGCCAAGGACCCCATGGTGAGAGAAGGTGCAAGCGCTGGAAGCAGCAGGTGACGTCACACAAAAAAGGGAACGCGCGAGTGACAGAGCACGTCATAAGGTGCATTGAGCCACAAACTGCTCCAGACCAGGCCTGAAACGACTGGGCTCAGATCACATGCTGCAAGCAAAAGTCTAATGCAAGGCACAAATCCCATGCCGATCTGCGTCATTTCCTCGATGCTGAACTACGAGTTCCAGCCTGCGGGAGTAGCGGGGCATAGCGGGGCAGGCTACGTCACTACTTGCAGCTACCCCGTCAAACTTCAAAATGCAGAAGGCAACACAAACAGAGCTGCAAACAAAGCAACACGTGCAATTGTTTCTCACCATCACATGCAAACGTGAAGGGGATTTACGCCGATTACAGCCGTGACAAGGCCCAACACCGATCGGAATGCAAAGTTCGAGGCGTGCAGGTTGTGCTCTCATGGCTCAGTTCTAGACGCCCCGCCAACGAATCAGCCAACACAAGGTAGGTACTCTGTCCTCATCTCAATTGAGCTAGGCTTCGAGCATAGATCGAGATCGAGATTCAGTGACTTGTATCGCACCTCCTCAACACGTATTCTGACCCACTGAACCCGTGATGCATTGCATAAAGTAAAGAAGCCGAAGGAAGATTGATGTACAAAGGGACGTCAAGTGCTGCACATCAGTGGGGTTTCCTCCACGCCCGAGTGGACAACCCCCGGCGATGCAGGCGTCCACAGCGCTTCTGATGACATCTCCCGTTACGAATAGCCTCAGCCTCGTCACGGACCTCGGTTCTATAGGTACCAGACACGCAGTTGCCCCACGTTCAACGTTTCGTGTGTCGAAGGTGAGCTTTATGGCTACGACGAGAGGGCCTAGCTTCACAGGCTGATAGCAATATGAACATACCTACTCGCCTTACAACCTGCTCCACGTCTGTCTCGACGCCAACTCTTTGTTGCCTATACGTGGCGGATATCCACATTGACCAATTCCGGCCTCGCCCGAGACTAACCGTCACCTCAGAGCTGGCTGAACACGGCAGGTTGCAGAAGAGCTTGGAATAGAGCTCAACGCCACTCGAAATAGAATGCGTTTGAAGGCCACGTAATTGCGGACTGTTGTCAAATACTAGATCTTGTTTGCGCGTAAAGGGCAAAAATTCGCTTGCAAAACCATCACCTAGCAGATGCCCACGTCCTGCCATTGCTGGTTTCTTGCACAGAGCTCACGAGATACATTCTGCGGGCTTCCTCCAAACCAGGGGCGTTGAAGTTACTGTTGCCTTGCGGAAGTAGGACTGAACATGGCTTCATCCCAGTCGGCTTTGGCCAGTAGGACTGCCCGTTCTGGTCAAGTGTGTGAATGAAGGCAAGCTCGATCCCGCGCTCTAGCGAGTATACGGGAGCAGGTAGATTATTCAGAGGCAAGGTAAGTGAGGGACTCAAAGAACAATGCCTTCATAGACAACATCCAAAACATTTGTCAAGACTTGATTGAGGCTGTGAGACCTCTAATTAATGCTTCACCCACGATTCCAAACTTGAATACATATCACTGGAAACGTCTGTCCGAGTATCGATACTAGACAACTTATATGCAGAGCCCTTATGCCACTGATTCTGTAGCCGTCCGACGGTCATAACTTGTCTAAGGTTAGATCACTGGACGCCAAGCAAGAGCCTTAGCATACCATCAATCCATCCCCGAGAAGGACCAGTTTGTATCGCCTACCAAACGAAATGACGACGTTAGGGTAGCACTGCAGTTCCACGCGAGGGCCGCGGCAGAGTCGTGTGAACGATCTGCCCGCTCTTTAACCGACGAGATCCCCAGATTGGCCCTCCGTAGCGCGCCTCCAAACGCGGGGTACTCTAGTATCGGCTCGGAGAACCGTTGTTCGGGGCAGGAGATGCGCAACTTGGCGCTTTGTCATCAATGTTACAGCATCCTTCCACGGGAGTGCCGGAAATAATCGATTCGTGAAAGTTCAGAGGTCTATGCGCCTTGTCCACAGGTCACAGCGTTCGTTCTGGAACTCCGGTTCACATGGACCACGAGTCATGGTGGTGTGATTGGGCATTGGAGTGCGTTGTAGCGGTTGGACGCCAGTATCAAATCGTGATAGCATTTTCTATCGATTCGTGGTGTTGTATGGCTGAGTGATTTCAGCGAGATTATCTGTATTGCTCCTACCTCTGAATCGGAAGCTCGGTCTGGCTTCTCGTGCAGATCGATGTGCTTGAGGGATAAACATAATAGAGTTTCTGGTTGTCAGACCAGTCACCGATACTTCGGGGCTGTGGTTGTGATGGCGGTTGTGATGGCAGTTGTGACTGCGTGATGCATGGAGAGAATCAAACGTCGTTTGGACGGTCCTTCTTAAGCCTCTAAATTGCATATGTAGCGCCTCGAATCATCCAGGGAACTTAGGTCAAGGAAATGGAACAGCCTGGTCCAGCAGGCACAAACGCCTCCAGTTGCTCGTCATGGGGGTATCGTGTCTCAAAGAATGGTACATTTCGGCCTGTGTCGTTGGCGCCGGTCCCTGTCTCCTCTTCTACCGCCTCGTCTTGGATTTCCACCGGCCCTTGGGTCTTGGGGAACATGTCGCCGTTCATTTGCGTCTTTCCGAATGATCTGCCGACACAGATCAACGAAGGCTTCGTCCACATTAGCTCTTCTTCTCGCACTGGTCTCGAAGTACGGCGTGTTCCACTCTCGCGATGTTGCAAATGCTCTTGGACGCGGAATTGCTCGGTCTTCCTCAAGGTCAGATTTATTGCCAACAAGTACCATGGGAACGTTGTCGTCTTCTTTGATGCGTCGAATTTGCTCTCGAAGCTCGGCAAGTTCGTGGAATGATGATGCCGATGTGATGGCAAATACCAGGAGGAACCCTTGTCCAGTCTTCATGTAAAGCTCTCTGTGAACCGTAAGCTTCATATGTATGTTGTAGTCGGTGACAATACCTCATGGCAGCTGCAATCTGGTCAGTGTGTGATTCATCGATATGGAACAGACTAACTCACTGAACTGTTCTGTTCCTGCTGTGTCGAGAATCTCCAGAATGACATGGCGGCCCTTTGAAGCGAATTAGAGAACGAGCTGGCGTGCTTCGTCGATTACTAACATCAACCTCGATTTGCTTCCGGTATGAATCTTCAATTGTTGGATCATAGCTTTCTATCCAGACATTTTGCACAAATTGCGCTGCTCACAGTCAGTACCCTTGAAACTGCTAAGACTACAGGCAAACCAGCAACGTACCTGTTAGACAACTTTTCCCGACTCCACCTGTGGCGCCACCACCGTCAGTCGTGCCCTAGCATACGGTCGGAAGTTTGTTAGCTTACCCGATCCAAGAACAACTATGTGGTACTCTCTTTGCGACATGCTTCAGATGCCTGGAGAGGTTGTGAGGAAGGTAGCGCAGCGCACGCGGAGAATATCTCCCTGCCCTAAAGTGGCACGAGCTGCCACGGAAGGACAAGCGGCCCAAAGTCGCCGCTCCCTTGGCTCGACCGGAGCTTAGCTGGCCTTAGCAACCCTGATGCTGATGCTTCAGATGGCGGCACTTCTGTCGCGGAAAGACCGTGTTTGGCGTTGTTCCGCGATGCAGAGACAGTAGTGCGCGATCGCTGTGAACCTACCACACGATTGCGGCAGCTGTCAGCTGTGTAAAGTTTTGGCAAGTGGCATCCAATCAGCAAGATGAGGATCTCAAGTGCACCACAGTTAAGCCATTGAGGCAAATTGGTGATACGAAGCTCCCATACTGAACGCCTGGACTCGACTCACCTCCTTCTTTTGCGGCGAGGTTGGAAGCTCGAAGAAATTTTCCAGCGGGTATTTATCGATAAGGCGAGAGCAAGGTTCACAACAAGAGGGACAGGTGGACGGGCAAGTAATGGAGGGACTGCTTGTGCAAGATCAAGGGAGATGGAGCAATTAAGTGGTGTTCAGATGCCCTGTACTTGGCACAGCTCAGTAGAGAGGGTGTGCTGTGACGTTCGTGCAGTGCCGCCGCTGTGCTGGATGCCAACTCGACTCGAAGCTGCCAGCCGGTGTAACGCATGCCGTGATCCGCGCAAACGCTGCTTTGTAGTTTATTAAATAGCTCCTTTTGGTCGAGCGTTTGCCAATGCGGTTGGTTTAGCAGCAAGAATGGTCCGACCGAGATCATCGCCAGACCAACCCGCAGTGCAAAATGCCTGAAGGAGCATGGTCGCCAGGCGGACCCAAACCGGCTGTTCGGGACATCCCGACCCCCAATGGTGTGGTAGCGTCTCCCCAGCGATTTGACACGACTGCTTAGCTCCAAGGATGGATCAAGCCTCAAGTATCGCTATTTAACTCTATTATACACTCTGTAAGGCTGCAGCTTGCAACATTGCTGCGACTGAATAACGCCGGGTGGAGCTGGCTGATCAACAGGGTCCCTGACTGCCTTGACTCGTTTTGAAATGAAGGCTCAGGTATGGCAACCCAATAACGCCAGTGTCGAGAGACTCGGTGTCGCCAGAGTGGGTTGGTGGCATTGACCGGTGTAGTACAAATCCTTGTTGGCCGTTTCCACGTGGCATATATCGACGTCGAGCTGTGCTATATCGACTCGAGCTGGATGCTTTCGATCCTGAATCGAAAGCCGGGCGCTTAGGCACATGATCGACAATTATTGAAAGGGACGCGTAGCCGTTGAATCCCCTTTTTGAAATGCGAAGCTGGATACTAATTTGCCAGGGCGTGCCTTAAGTTGGCCGTTATCTGAGGAAGGCCCGCCGGCTTGAGCCCGCTTCCCCGTAGCAGGCGCCGGCTCGCATATCATGGGCCACAGGAGCTCCAAGAAGTACGATGTTCGACATCGGTGGAAAACAGCCAAAGAGCAGTCACAACGAAGTGCGACTTGGTACGCAATCACTAATTATTGATGTCTTCCTGCCCCAAGAAGCTACAATTCCAAGATGCCCTTTGGATATGCCCGGCCCGATTGGGTTAGGTCGTCGTCGGTCCGTCTCTCCTCCGCCTTGGCATGAGTTCATCGCGGAGCAAGCAGATGTCGAGCTCAGCAGTCGACGCGACACCAGCATCCATACCCCACGATGCGTCTCTATGCCGCACTCGGTCTTGCAGCTTGTCTCGCGCCAGTGTCTGCCATCTTCGAAGATGACGCCTATCACATCGACTTCCACTATGCGCTGTTAGGCTTACCGAATCACGATGCTACCTTTTTCCAAAAGCCATACGGGGCCTCGAAAGCCTCGCTTTTGTACTCGATATCCGAAAATCAAACGATTGGCGCGATAAACCCCAAGGACGGTACCCTTGTTTGGCGACAGCACCCGGCGTCAGAACCCCGCGGGAGAGGCCACCTAAGAGCGGCAGACGAGCAGGACACTGTTGTCAGCGCTGTTGGGAACCGAGTCACAGCCTGGAGCTCATCAGATGGCAGGTTAGTGTGGGAAACGAACGTTGATGGGTCAGTCGTGGAGGATTTAGAGATTCTGGAACAGGAGGATGGCATCACCAAAGACGAGGCTAAGGACGCCATTGTCCTGGTATCTGGTACCAGCCATAGCGTCAAGAGGCTTGATGGAAAGACTGGTCGTATCAAATGGACATATGAGGATTCCAGGTTAGTATCCTAGGGATGTATTGGAGAAGCAGGCTGACCCCACCTCAGCAACGACACGCCATTCCAAGTATCTACCTCGCCCACAACGATCTACTACATCTCGCTACACTCGTCTATAATCGGTGCAGGGTTGAAGCTCAAGGTCACTTCGCTGAGCCCAATCACTGGCAAGAAGCTCGACCAGTACACACTCAGCTCAGACACCGATATCACATCGAGAGATCACATTGTCTTTGCCGGAGCGAACACCGCAGCGCCTGTATTGGCGTGGACAGACAAGGACTACAGCGTCATCAAGGTCAACATCATTGGCACGAAGACCGTAGCGAGCTTCGACACACCAGGAGAAAGCCCTATTGAGAAGGTCGTTCTGCACGCTCCGGGGCACGTCAACTCTCAGCCACACTTCCTCGTTGAGTATCAGACATACTTTGGGCACTCTGCTGAAGTCTTCCACGTCGATCTCAAAAAGAATACTGTGTCAAAAGCTTACAGCCTTCTCGAGCTGCAGACCAAGGGTACATTCACCACCAGTACAACGGATGCTAACGTCTACTTCGTCAGAGTAACTGAAGACGAAGTCAGTGTGGTGTCATCGGCCTCGCATGGCGTACTTGGCCGTTGGCCCACAGCCAGGTCACCCGCTTTGGCCAGAGCTTACCCTGTGCACGCTGTCTCAGAGGTAGTGGTAAAGTCCGGAACAGCCACTGCTGCCAGGTCAGCTATCCTGTTCTCCAATGGACAGTGGGTCTTGGTCCGTAACGGTGACATTGCCTGGACTAGACCTGAGTTCTTGGCGCAAGCTTCGTCTGCCGTGTGGGCCCGTCTTCCAGAGGTCGAGTCTCTCGCTGCCGAGCTTGAAGTTGAGCAACATCAAAATGTAGTGTCAGCTTACATCCACCGAGTAAAGAGGCATATTCAGGACCTCGAACATTTCCCAGCCTGGGCGCAGAATCTTCCTCGACGTCTCCTTGGTAACGTTGTGGGCAAGCCGAAGCAGACGGCCGTGGATAATATCCAGCAGGACACATTCGGCTTTCACAAGCTTGTCATCGTTGCAACCGAAAATGGTCGACTTGCTGCCCTTGATGTGGGTGCTCGTGGAAAGGTGCTGTGGAATGTACACCTCACGCAATTTGCCGACACGGTCTTTGAGTATCCTACTCTGAGAGCCCACAGTGGCTATGTAGAGGTCAAAGACCCAAGTTTCGAAGGTTCCTTGTTCATCAACTCGACCACAGGCGGTACGGCATCCTATGTCAACCTTCACCTGCACGGACCTCAAGTCGCCAAGGGACAGAAGCTTGTGTCATTTACCCTGACAAATGGCGTTCTCAAGGGAGCCCTGGAGACAGAAAACCGAGGAAACACAGAGTCTGTATGGGCTTTTGAGCCTCCGAGCGGGGAGCGCATTGTCGGCTTCACTGCGCGACCACTGAAGGATCCGGTTGCCTCCATTGGCAAGGTCTTGGGCGACCGAAGTGTGCTTTACAAGTACTTGAACCCCAATCTGGTGCTAGTAACGGCGGTATCAGAGCTCGCTCGTACCGCGTCCATCTATCTGTTGGACTCCGCTTCCGGTCAGCTGCTCCACACTATGTTGCACTCTGATGTTGACACGTCGCGACCGATTCCCTCTACCATCTCAGAAAATTGGTTCAGTTATTCTCTGACCATTGACTCGACTGCTTCACCAGAGTCTCGTGGTCACCAGCTGATTGTCTCGGACCTCTACGAATCACCGCTCCCTGACGACAGGGGCCCATTGGGCGCTTCCTCAAACTCTTCTACAGTGAAGCCTTCAAGATCTCAGGGTGATGCCGCCAAGCCATACGTACTGTCACAGAGCTACCAGATTGCCGCGGAGATATCGCATATGGCGGTGACACAGACCAGGCAGGGAATCACCAGCCGGGAGCTTCTCATCACCATTCCTTCCACCAGCTCCATCATCGGTATTCCTCGTCAGTTCATTGACCCCCGACGTCCCGTCGGCCGCGACCCAAATCCAAATGAACAGGCGGAGGGTCTCATTAAGTACACCCCTCTGCTTCCCCTTGATTCGAAGTGGCATCTCACCCACAAGTACGAAGTCCTGGGCATCAAGGATGTCATTACGAACGAGAGTGGTATCGAGAGTACCAGTCTAGTGTTTGCTTATGGTCACGATATCTTCGGTACTCGAGTCGCACCTAGTTTCGCATTTGACATCCTGGGCAAGGGTTTCAACAAGATCCAGATGCTTCTGACCGTTGCCGCACTGTTTGTCGGTGTTTTGTTTGTTGCTCCATTGGTAAGTTCTGTTGTTCATGGTCTCGTCAACAGCAAGCTTACATCGTACAGGTCAGGAGAAAGCAGATCAATTCCCTTTGGACGATACCTTAGAATTCTCAAGCATAGCATTACCTTGGTTTGAGGCATGACCCATGAATAGAAGTCACATACCGTTTCAAACCCAACAATCACCGTAGCTTTCTATATCAGCTGCGACCATGTCTCACTTGAGCAATTGCACCCGCGTTTTACTGCCGAAAAAAACATGACGTCATTCTTGAGTCTAGACCGAGCTACGAAGACGTGGACCTTTATTTTTGACGAAATTAACCATGACGCCGTGTTAAGTCCACACAAAGTATCTTCGTACGAAAGAGATCGTCGACACTTGTTAGGCGTATCTGAAAACCCGATTTATTTGTCGTGCAGCTGCTCTTCATCTGTACTTCAGAACACCTACAAATGGTGATGCGAGCGTCCGCAATATCTATGGACCCTGCATCGTACTGACGACTACGACATTACCAACAACAATACCTTTTATGACCAACGGGTACATCCACTCACTAGCAGGCTAAGGGACAACGATAAACGAGATGTCCGACCAGAAGAGATACTCCAACAAGCTTCAAGGCTCGCGGGTTCTAATTATCGGAGGATCCTCCGGTATTGGCTTTTGTATCGCTGAGGCATGTCTCGAATATGGTGCACTTGTTACGATAGCCTCCTCGAACCCTTCCAAGATTACGGCCGCTATTTTCAAGTTACAATCATCATACCCATCCGCGAAGTCGAGCATTCACGGTCAGACAGTCGACCTATCCAAGTCCGATACCTTGGAATCAGAGCTTGAAACTCTTTTTGAGCAGACTGTTAAGGGGATGGGCAGCGATAAACTGGATCATGTCATATTCACCGCAGGCGACGCGCTTGCGACGACGAAGCTCGCTGACGTCACCATGAAAAGTATTCTAAAAGCTGGCCAAGTCCGCTTTTTTGCTCCTCTACTGGCAGCCAAGTTCATCCCGCAATACGTCAAGAACTCGCACGAGAGCAGCTACACCATTACTACAGGCAGCATCAGCGAGCGACCCATGCCGGACTGGAGCGTCATTGCCTCCTATGCGGGTGGTCACCACTCCATGGTCAGAAATTTGGCACTGGACATGAAGCCAATCCGAGTCAATGGCGTCAGTCCTGGAGTTGTTGATACCGAGCTTTGGAAGATGTCACAGGAAGAGAAAGACAAGTTGATGGGGCAGATGAGCAAGAAGATGGCGACAGGAACGCCGGGAAGACCGGAGTGGGTGGCTGAGAGCTTCCTGGGAATCATGAGGGATTATAATATAGATGGTGCTATGATCAGGACCGATGGTGGTGGCTTGTTCATGTAAAGTCGGGTACATTCACGGGAAGTCGATATACGAAGTAGCTATTTGATGTTGAAGTAAATATTGAAACGGTCAAACAGACTCCATCTTGTTCAACGGATGACTATATTCCGTTGTCAATGGCTCCTATGCTCCGCGACTCGGCCTTCTACTGCTTCTTCGGCGGCTTAAAGCTTGAGACAAGCATTGGCTGGAGAAAAGCCCTTGTCACCGAAGCTTGACGCAGGATAGCCACTGCAGATCCGAGCTTCGCATAAAACGTGTGTAACAGGAAGATGCACGATATCAGCAATAATCAGTAAGAAACGAGCGGGTTTCTTGAACTTCTCTGTGTCCACTCTGACTGCTGCTGAAGCTCGAGAGAACCGAGAAATGGCACGGCTACATCAAGAAGGAATGTTCAACAGGGGGGTCCACCAGAAAGGATCTACCGAAGGTCGTAGATCCCTCAGTTGAGAAAGGGGGAAGACAAGTTGTTCTAATATCGGGCTGCGACAGCTCCACGTACGTTGTGCAGGATGCGACGAAAGAAGTCATGCGACCGCCTGACTACTCCTCGTAGCCTCGTGTGCGTTTATTGTTATTCCGGCTCACGGTTGCACGTCTTCCGCCATGGCTGTTCCTGCCCTTCGATCTGATTAGCGGGAGCGATACGGATACGAGCACCTGCCCCGCCGACACGCTCAATTCACCCGGTCCAAGGAACGACCCCGCAATCCCACGTTTATCGGAGCATTTACCGAGCGACCCTCAGACACATGCTGAGGACGTTTCTAGTCCATCCAGATCCCACGTTGTTGCTAACCTTCATCTCTTTTGTTGGCTGCCTTGAAGCATCGCGACAGTCTCCTTGCACCAGTCACAACAATGCAACCCAGACTGCCAATTTCGACTAGGTAATGAAGCACACCGTGTTCTCAGTAAACCCAACCAACCTACTGCTGTTGATATGAAGTGTGGCCGGTGGCAGATGGCGCCTGTCATTGCTTTCCCGCTGTTGCGTCACTCAAGTCCTGGGTTGCGATGGATGTGGGTGCCGGTGCGAATAAGAGTGTGGTGTGATCTAAGAGCTTTATCTCGCTCCTCCATTCGGCGCCAAGCCGGCTGAAGGGACGAGCGGAAAGGTGCGTGATTTCTTTGCTAGTCTAAGAGCCACGATGCAATGACGAGGAGGGCGATTTGTAGACAGAAAGCAACAACGATTATCGGCCTGCGTGGGTATTGCAGTCAGTCGACATATTTGAGGTCGGGCTAGTACTTAGCGCGAAGCACCAACGTCATGATCTTCAGTGCTAGATGAGTTGACGCGATGTGAGGCTGCCTATTAAACGGAACCCAGACGGACACATTCTTTGATGAGATGCAATTTGGTGTGGTATCAGATCTGTCAAGCGCCTGCTCAGATGGAGAGATGCTCGTTCAAAACGGGATTCTAAGATGCATACACTGATGTCTATCTGGTTTTGGGACAGGCAAGAATACACAAATGGGCACTTTTTGGCCGCGCTATGCTACGCTGATGTAAACGCCCGTTAATGCAATGACGAATTGCAATAAATTACGCAATCTAAGCTTCGCCCACCTCGAAGATGTGTACGCGAGACTTGTGCTCAGGTTTGGGCGGTATGTGGTGATGCTGGGGTTTCTTTGGCGAAAGCCTTCCTTGTGCTGAGTTGGGCCTGATGCTATTGGAACAACACCTAGGATCTTCGAAGCTCTCTGATGCGCAACAGTCAACGTTTCGGATGAGACTGGTGTTCAAGACGTCCCGGATCGTTATTCGCTTTTCAGGTATAGGATGTAACATCCTGAGGATGAGATGTCTGATCGCCGGTCCCTCGATCATGTTGAAGAGCTTGCCACACTCCGGATATCCTCTAGGACCCTCGAAGAGATCGCCGTCAGGGTGGTACTTCAGCCAGTCCTGCCAACCCCTCTTGAACCTGGCGTAGTATTCGAACTCGGATTTAGCAGCCTGCCATGGACACCCGCCAAAGGTCATCGTGATATAGACGATGGCACAAGACCACACATCGAGTGGACGAGGATCGTAAGGTCCCTTTTTCGCAAGTACTTCGGGTGCAATGTATGGCAGACTACCACAGATTCCAATAGCTGATAGGCGAACGCCCCCCATGTTCTTGCCACACTGCCCTCCAGATGCGCGAAGGCCTGGATGCTCGCCGCTGAACACCTCTGCAACACCAAAGTCTGAGATCTTGAGACGGCCGTTCTTGTCCACTAGAAGATTTTCCAGCTTGATGTCTCGGTGGGCAATTCCGTGACTGTGTAGGTAGTCGACTCCTCGAAGTAGTTGCTTGAAGAAGCACAAGCGGTCCTCGCGACTGTAGAACCCCTCGACGCCACTGGCGAACAACTTGCGTTCGACCAGGGAGTAAATTTCGCCGTGAGTGCAAAACTCCATAACGTGATTCCAGCGACCGCGATTTGTACATAGACGGAGAGTCTCAACGATGTTCGGATGATGCAGGCTCCGAGCGATACTGTACTCAGACTTAATCTTCATGATGTAATCTTCTTCGGTCTCTTCCGGGTTGCGTTCACGAAAGATCTTGACAGCGACCAGTTGCTCATCTCTAGATACACCTCTACGAGCCATAATACGAACTTCAGCTGTAGCACCCTTGCCCAGGATCTTTCCTCGCTTGCCAGGCATGAGACTTGAGCCTTTGAACTCTTTGTCTAATTCACACTGGTCGATGATGTAGTCGCTTGGCAAGTTCAGACTGAGTCGCCGAGCTTTCATACCAACGCCTTTCTCAGGTGGTCTGGAAAAGGTGTTCAGCATGCCCGCTGTAGGCTTCTCGTCATCCTTCCCGAGCTGTGGCATGTGATCAGTACTCGCCGACCGCCTCCGTGACCACGTATGTCGCTTGTTGCCAGGTCCTTTATCAGCCCAAGTGATACCCGGTCTTGCGGGGTTCATGCTCGACAAAGCGGTAGAAGACATAGGCTTCTTTTCAAGCCGTGTCTTCCTCTCTTGATCTTCATTGGATATAGTCTGTGTTGGTGAGTCCGCTGGCGGTGAAGGAGTGGCTGCTCTTGAAGTCCTTTGAGGGCTGCTAGACAGTGAGAAAGAGCTAATTCTTCTACCGCCCTGAATCATGTTGCTCGCCGAGTGATTGTTATCGATGGTGTTGTCGTTCGGAGTTGCAGGGATTTCGGGGCTAGTCTTGACCTTTGATTCTGCGCTCTGACGAGCGCCTTGCGCGTCCTGGCTAGGTTCCTTGGCATCCTCCTTGGGTGTATTTCGTCGATGCAATTTGCTTCGCACGAAGGATCCGATATGCTGTCTGAACCCCCGCTTCTCAGTCTGTAGTTGATCCTCGTATTGCGCCGTGGCTTTTGCATCTGCATGCGCTGACGTGGGCCGCATTCCTGGATTGGTTTCAGGATGCGTAGCTCGCGGCGTCAGACCAATGGGCATGAGTCCAGCAGCAGTTTTTGGTGTTGTGTGAAGCTCATCTCCATGTTCTTCTGTGCGAAATGGATGCGAGAAGGAAATACCTTCGCTGGTATGGCTGATCGGTGTTAAGGGCTCAGCACACTCGCTTGCTGTGCGTATGCTCTCATCCTCCTCTTCGATAGCATGATGATACTCTACCATTCGCGAGTTCCGACGCTGCAAATGTTCAGACACGAAAGGCTCGTTCTGGAACGTGTCTGTCCTGATCGATAGGTCTGCGTTAGGCGCCGACATGTTGGGAGCGAATACTTTCGTCTACGTGTGTGTTGACGAGATCATGTAGAGTAAAGCTGAAGTTGACGTCGAACGCTGACTTGGTGATTGGTTGTAATGTTAGGCTCGTTGGAGCGGGCTTGGTCGGTGGTATGTTAATTCGAGAGAGCGGAAGAGAGTCGAGCGTGAGAGGGTCGAAGAAGTGTCCAGCCTTGAATGCGCCATCCAAACGGAGTAGGTGTAATTGGAGCAGTCCAAGTGAAGGTAAGGGTTCAGAAGTCGTTTGTCGCTGGAAGTAAGGTGTGGTCTGGGGTCGAGAGTAAACTAAACAATGGAGGGGCCCTGCTAGTATAAGATCGCTTGTTCGCTTCGAGTGTGGGTCGAAGGATTTCGGAAAACCTGGCGCTGATGGCGAAAAGTGCAAGAAGGGTCTTCTTACCCGGATCCTGTCTGACGCTACCAAAGATGTTCAACAAAACGTGCAAATGAAGAGTTGAAATGCGGGTCCTTCACCAGGGATCGGGCGAGATATGTAGGTCCCAGGATAATAGCCCGCAGAGAAGGCCATGCCCGATGGGGCGCGCTAGCTGCACCCCTGCAATTTGACCCCCACAGCTCGAGCGCACCTGCAGATGATCGGAGGCAAGTGTTGTGTGAGCGCCGAGCTTTCGAGCCATATCTCAGACATCTACCACAGCGGACTTCGCGTCGGTGCAGGCTTTTGATTGAGGTTGCATTCTTCGCCCATCGCTTCTGACAGACAGTGACGGCTTGCATAACGGCTCTAGTTACACGCTCCTTCAACACGACTGCTTTACTTGATTCCAACAGCTCAGAGATATACCTCGGTTTCGCAAGAAACCTAACCTGATGTGCGTGATCGGCCATGAATGAGAGCGGATTGGAAGTTCTGGAGACGCAAACTGTTTCTTGTCCTGCAGCCCGCCACCTGCAGACGTCCTGATGGCTTTACCCAATGCGTGTAAATCCCGCAAATGCCTAGGATACCTCCGCGCATCGAAAGGCGGTGGTAAGGTGCACACAGGCCCCATGCATATGGAGACACAGTCCTGTTACAGGCGCCAGCTCGTACGGAAGCAGTAACTACGGCCAAAGATCAAGGACTTTGTCTGTGTCTTCTGCACCGGTTCTTCGAACGTCCTGGCCGGAGTATTGCCGCCAAGAACCCATGCGCGACATTCCGTGGGGGCGGTTTGAGCACACAATCTGTCCCCACAAAGTCTTCGAAGGCGACTTTGCAAGTGACATCAATCCTGATGAAGATGATGGTGTTTGACTAAGTGGAACGAAGCCTCGAGGTTATGACCAAGTGCTCCTACATTGTGCGGGCTTGGTGTCGCCATGTTCAACTCGTGCCAGACAGAGGCCTCATGACATGAGGCCCCAGATTACGATGAGGGATTACTGTGTGCTGCAAGCCACTGACGGTGAGCTCAAATCTGTACCCAAGCCGTCTGCGGAATACTTCTGACGCTCTCAAAAGCACGCACAACACGAATACACCAGGGTCTTTCCTTATGACCGCTCGCTGCCTCACACGTTTGCTGAGTTACAACGACACAGGTGGAGACTAAAGGCTTGCGTATTGTGGGGATGAAATACGTCGAACATGGAAAGCGCGCCGCAACCTCCTCAACCCTTCGTACAGCCAAGAGCCTCATCAACGTTGTGCGGCGTGATGCACCTCTCCGTTAATTAGCCAATAGCCTCTTCAGTCCAACAGACTGGAGGAGCGAGCAATCGGAATCGAAGCCGATACCACCTTCCCTTTACCACGCATACCGAGCGGGAAGACACCATGGTCTGAAGGACCGTCCATTCCTCCCTGGAAGCCTCTGCTGGAAGCCTTGGCGTCTTGGCCTCCTCAGCTGAGACAAGTCAAGGGTCAAGAGATCATCAACATCGGTCGCAGAGGGTCCCAAGTTTTGCAACGGAATGACATAATGCACCCTTGAGGGTTGCGTTTCATCCATCTCTACTATCTGCTGGGTCCGCAAGACCACGATGATCAGATATCCTAAGCATCGAGGACCGGTCTCGTCCTTGGCAATGCACTGCTCCTCTGCAGTGAACTTGGCGATCAGGGGAGTTCTGGGCACCTCAAGTCGTCATCTTCCGCGCTTGGCAGCGATCACGATTTGATGCCGTGCACTCCTTGTGGTCCTTGCAGCGGTCGCACGCATTCTAGTGGTAATCTGTTCCACCCTTTGTTGAAACGAGCAGACGCTTTGAAAATGCTTGGCGCGACAACACACAGCAGGCACACGTACTGAGCTTTCACAACCCTTGTTCACTATCGAGACCTCAAGACATTCGCAGCACCACACCAGTAGCCTATGCCTCAAAGAGGGAGAACCAACAATGGTCTGCGTTGGTATGTCACGTCTGGGACAGGACCACACGTTACGCAGATGATATGTACCTCGTTTGCTCCGCTTTCTCATAGTAAACGGTCGCATGAGCAGTTGACACATCGCTGACAAAACAAAGCTTGGAGCACTATATCTCCTTGCTTGTCGTGTACAAGAGTCGATCAGGCGCATTAGGGTTGTGTCTCCGCCGAAATCGTTTCACGACCAATGCTCCCTCTCCTCGATGCACACCGCGGGAGTGCCGTGCCAAGTGCAGTAGATCACCTTGGCGGACGAGTGTATGTGACAATCGAAAACTTTTGTGCAAGATCAACATTGTTAGTGCGATATCAGAGTCACAACATACCACTTTGGATCAATTCGTACGCAAGCTCAAAGAGAATGGAAGACGCCCTGGCCTCAGACTGTGAAGCATTGGCTGAGGAGTGTCTAGGTCTGGAAACTCTTTACGCACTAAGTTTTGGGGAACTCGACCTCAAAGTACGACTCAACTACCACACGTCAGACAACTAAGCCATCGCCGGCAGATGATAAAGACCTGCTCGAGCTTGAACTTCCTGCGCACTTCTGTATCGCAGGATTGACGCACGCATTACGGTGATAACCGATAAAAGGTCGCGTACGAGTTGTTGAACTGGCCTATAGTACATTCAAGTTCTGCATTTTTCGAATCAGCTCCCCTCTCACAAGAACTCAAGCCATTCCTTGTTCCCACGCGGCGCTCTGTAACCCTCCGGAAGAACCGTAGAGGAGTCGATTCCTTTATGCCTGCACATTTGGAGTATATTAAGATTGATCGCAATAACTGCAGTTCGTCACCACATTGATCGCTCTACGGGCACTTGAGCATAGTGCTGTTCTCGTGTGAATTAGAAGGCAGTAGAAAGTGTCCAGATTCGCCTGCAGTGTCGATCTGTTACATATCTGTAGCAACATCCAGAGCAAAAGATTGGCTTGGGGCTGTGTTGTGTACGTGAACGTGAACGTAGTTCAAACTACGTTCAACGAGACGCCTTTCAGAGTCTGTCCTCTTCAAAACGCTCACCAACAGTGAGCCGAAGTTGCAGCTATCGGGTACTCGAAACTAGCATCGTGCATACACCCTTTACCAGCACTCCATCATTGGCCGGCCTGTTATCGGAAGGTTTAGCTCGCTTTGATTGCGGCTCAGTGTTTTAGCCACCCTGCTTTATGTTGAACAAGGATGGTACGGCTGCCTTCTGTTGCTGTTGGATCCAGCTATCATATCATGAATCAATCCGGACCGTGCGCCACCAATCGCTTCGAGTGCCCGGCACCTCTTCAGGAAGATGGTGAAAGACTACAAGGCAGACCCGAAATGCCCTTCGAGAATTCGGCGAGGCCAGTATCTACCAAGCACAGTCAGTGGCTACTCTCAGTATACCGAGAAACGTATTCTCGAGTTTGCCGGTGCACGATCTAGACAAAGCTCGACGTCTGCCGCCATCGCCTACGCTGCTTGCAATATTCGTCATCCTACATTTGTCGCGAGCTGGACGCATCTTGCATCTAATCGGCGTAGTGCACAAGACCTATGTCAGACTCGAACCGCAGTTTGTGCTCCATGAGTAAGTGTAGAGTTCTGTGTATCTTCTGGTATTCTTCCGATCCAACGGCTACACGAACCGAAATATACAACTGCTCAAGGGCTGTCGACTGTAATCTTGCGGGCATAAAGGGCTTCCCCAGATAAGTAGCGACATGGTCTCCTGATCGGTCCGCCCCGCACGTTGCTTACCGGATGGTTCAGCAAGGGGTGCTTCCACACCCTCGCCTCTCGCTTGGCACTGATCCCATTGGTCAACACCACCCACTAAACCCCCTTTGTGAGCCTATGCCTCACGATAAGTCAGTTGAGTTTCTCACCCAACAGATCATTATAAGCCAACTTCTCAGTGAGCGCAGGCTTTGACGGACCGCTACGCCAAGTCTGGTGATGACGGCTCGTTCGACCACGCCCCCGAGTGTGTCCTCTGCCGGGGTACAACAAAGAAGGATGTCCGCCACAGTCTCAGAACAATACCTCGCAGGTATGAGTTGGACTATCTCTGGTGCGAGAGACTTGGCGATCTTGGAGGCACAGTTATGAACCATGAGCTGGCGCAGCTCGGATCTATCTCATTGTCTTTCTGTCTTCTCCAGCTCTGTCTATTCTCTGCACTCTCTATTATCTGCTCAGGTCGTGTCTCCGAGCTTCTGTAACTTCGAGGGTACGGGCGCTATCCAGGCCAGCACATCGCCCTCATGGCAGACCCCACGTACAGGGCGGCTCAGCCGGGCGAGTTCTTTTGCCCAGATGGTGGGAGATGGTCAGTAGCGGTGATCATACGCCTTCGACGACAGCATGCTGACACCTATAGGTATATGTGCGAGACGAGCACCAAGTTCGTCGGTTGCTGCACGGCAGACCCGTGTACAAATGGGTGCCACGGCGACAGTCTCCGCCCAGCGGGTCGGTCAAGTGCGCTTGGCAGTCAATCTCCAGGTGGATCGTGCGGTGGACAGACACCGTTTTGGACCTGCGAGCAAGCGCCGACGTTCTGGTATGAGGACCTTCAAAGACTAACGAGCTCCTCCCGGCTGACGGAAGAAGGGGCTGCTGCAACGAAGACCCATGCATGAACAACTCGACATGTCCGGAAGGCAAGCTCGAACCCACATACTGGGACCGCGCGGATCAGTACGAGTACTTCAAAGGTCTCAACATCTTGCTGTCATCGACCGCGCCTCGATCGACTTCATCTGTATCGCCCTCCTCTGGCTCAGGTGGCGGCAGCTCCAATCACGGCGCAGTCACCGGTGACGCTGTGGGAGGTATACTCGGATTCCTCGCCATGGTGGCACTAGTCGTCTTCCTCCTCTGGCGACGCAAACGAGCAGCCCGTGCCAGAGACTCATCGGCCTTCTCAATCGAAGAGACCAAGCCTGAAACGGGCGAACTCGCATCGCACATCTCCGCCGGCACAGGTACATCGCACCTTCTCCGTGCAACGCTTACAACGCGACTGACCAGCCCTTCACAGTACCTCCAACATACTCGTGGGACGTCAACAGCACCGCCCCACCGCAACAGACATGGGCACACGCCCACCCGGAAGTGTCCGGCGAAGACATAAAAGGCACCCCGCGCAGTCTGTTCAGCGAGCTGCACTCCAAGTCCTCGCTGGCGCGCATCGTAGAGCTGCCTGGCGCGCCCGCAGCGCGGGAGCTCGAGACGCCCGACGCAACGCTGAAGATGTCGCAGACGGGATCTGACAGCGACATGGCGAAGACACCCAGCCTGAGCGTTGTGCCTGAGCCGTGGAATAGCAGTGAGAAGCGCTGGGCGGGGGAGTCTGGGGGTGGCTGTAAGTACTGACTGCGCAGGCTTCGGCCGCTTTTCTGCTTTGCGGTTCGGTCTTCTTATAATACCATGTGCGACGATATGTATAGCGAACAGTCCTTTCGGTCCCTGAGCGCCTTCCTCTACCCGGATTCAATGCACAGTCGCTCTACGTCGGAATGCCGTCTTGCGCCTAATATCCGTGGCGGATCTGGCGTTTCCGTTGGTAGACGGGTGTCAATTCGTCCGCCCTTCTGCGAGATTGATCAACATACACAGGCTCGTTGCGAGGAGCTATTGAGAACCTGGCTTTGTTCGCCTAGACATCTCAACACTGCTTCCTTTCCGACGTAGTGGTCTGATTCTGCTTGTTGCTCTGCTCTTGCCACTTACGTACGTGACTCGCCTGCATTGTGGTGAACCTCACAGACTCGGCTGTCTAGTGCATAAAGGCCCAGAATCGCATTTATCCTGACATGATCTCATTCCACAGAGGAAGTTGCTGAAACAGAGCCATAGGGTATCTCGTCGCGAAGAAGAAGCGCAAGCAGATTTAACAAGACCGTCAGACCCTCAGTACCGAGTTTTCCACATCCCTCAATGATCCACACTCTCAACAAAAACCCTCACGCCCCTAGCATCCAACTTGGTGACCGGGATGAAGAAGTCGTGCCCAAGCTGCACATCCTCCAGACTCGGCTCGTGCAGCTCGAATTTGTACCGGCGAAACAACATGCCCAGGATCAGATACAACTCGGTCCACGCCAAATTAATGCCCATGCAAGACCTCGTTCCGCGGCCGAAAGACACAAGATAGCGCTCCAGAGGCAGGCCGTCCGGCGCAATGGGGTTACCGAGCCAGCGCTCAGGAATGTATTCGTGTGAGTTGGGGAATATCGACTCATCGTGCGAGACCTCGGGGATCGTCATTGAGACGTTGGTATTGGGTGGAATCGTCCAGTCCTTGTACTGTAATGGCATGGTGCGGCGCGTTCTCGGGTTGCGCGCGCTGAGGCCGTAGGACAGCCTGACGGCCTCCATGATGCAGGCTTTGAGGTACGGCATCTGCTCGAGGGGATACAGTTCCAGGCTGGAGCGGTTGGGGAATGCGGCGACGAGGTCGGCGTGGAGGCGTTTGTAGATACGGGGTGTGTTGATGATGTGAAAGGTTGCGATGCAGAGCGAGAAGGCGGTAGTCTCTACGCCACCGCCGACGACGATCTGGGCTTCTTCTGCGAGGCGCTTTTGTGTCTTGTCCTCGTCTGGGAGCTTGGATTGGAGAATCTCTTGGAATATCGTCTTCTTTGCATCGTTGGTCTTGACAGACTCACCGGACATGGTCCGTCTAATGTTGTTCCACTGGTCTCGCCTGAACCTGAGGATGTTCTTTGCGGCGGGCTGAAGCCATTCAGTGAGGGCGTCTGGGATGGCGTTCATCATCTGAACATGTCAGTTTGGAAGTCCAGTTGGAGCATGTCTGAACACACCGGAATCATCAGGGGAAACTGAGTGGCAATATGGCCAGCGCCGCCAATCTTTTGGAAGGCATCGTGGAAGGACTCAAACTCGGGGTGCTTGAGCTGAGCATAGTTGAAGCCAAAAAAGTAGTCCATGATGATATCGCCGGTCAAGGCAGGAAACGCATGGGTCAAGTTTATCGGCTCCTTCCTGGCCTCAAACTCCTGCATGCGGATAGAGAGGGTGTCGATGTGGCGGTAGATGATGTGGATAAAGTCCAGGATGGACCGCCTCGAGAACCTGGTGCGCGTCAGCCGTCAGCCGCCAGCCGCCAGCCGTCAGCCTTCAGCCGCCAGCCCTCAGCCGTGCAGATGAAGACGACTCGGAAAACGGCAGTTCGCGTGGTGTTTGCGAATTGCAGAATTGGTCATGGGGCCGACTGCTCTTACATGGGACTCAGTGCGGCGCGGCGACGCTTGTGGCACGCGGCGTTGACGGTGGTCAAGACACCGCCCTCTGTCCCAAAGCGGACGTCCCACCCCTCCTTGTCGAGGTGGAGGTTCTTTGCATAGAATTCCTCGAAGAAGCGCGAGTCGCGGATGTGCAGCTCGTGGGGGGCGACGCGGATGATTGGGCCTGGTGTGACATGTCAACAAACAAGACGCACAGGATGGGTGATGACTACTGGGCAATGGTCACCATATTCGTCGTGCAGCTTGGAGATTTTCCTCGAATACTGGCCGTTCTTGACGATCTCATAGAAGCCCTCGTACCAGGACGTCACGGCAGCGAGCCGCGGACCGGGGAACCTGGCCAGAGGGTGGAGACAGAGCCTGTAAAGGACGAGGGCAGCGACAGAGGCCAGGAGCCCGGCTGCAAGCACAGGCAGGTGGGCGAGTGCCGCGGCCATGGGCAGTGTTGGGGAGAGGCGGGGATGAGGTGGTCACAGGACTGAGACATGCATTCGCGCCAGAGCAGAGCGGCTGCGCAGGCGGTTTAGTATTAGTATTAGTATTACCCCGTGCTTACTCCCTCGATGCTGCAGAGTATCATCGACGCCCTCGCCCTCGCCCTCGCCCTTGCCGTTGCCCTCGCCCTTGCCGTTGCCCTTGCCGTTGACCTTGCCGTTGACCTTGCCGTTGCCGTTGCCGTTGCCGTTGCCGTTGCCCTCGCCCGCGCCCACCATGGCCGCCACCGGCCCGTCCGCGCCCGCACCCGCGCCCGAGTCCAACGAGGGCAGCGCGGACCCAGCCGCGGATGCTGCGGCACGACAGCACGGCGCGCTCGACAGTGTCACTGAGCTCGAGCCGGACTCGGCCAGCGACTCGGACAGCGCCTTCGACGGCGATAGCGCGGCCAGCACGTCGCTCGCCAGCTCCATCCTGCACTACGAGTACGCCAACGGTCGGCGCTACCACGGCTACCGCTCCGGCGCCTATGTGCTGCCCAACGACGAGCAGGAGCAGGACCGCCTCGACCTGCTGCACCACATTTTCACCCTGATCCTGGCCGGCAGCCTGTACGACGCGCCCATCCACCCACCGCCGCAGCGGGTCCTGGACCTCGGCACGGGCACGGGCATCTGGGCCATCGACTTCGCCGACGCCCATCCCGGGTGCGATGTGCTTGGCACCGACCTGAGCCCCATCCAGCCCACCTGGGTGCCCGGCAACCTCAAGTTCTACATTGACGACGCCGAGAGCGACTGGGTCTACGGCCCCGACGAGCACTTCGACTTCATCCATGTGCGCACCCTGTCCGGCGCCATCGCCGACTGGGACCGCCTCATGCGCCAGTGCCACGCCCACCTGAAGCCGGGCGCCTGGCTGGAGTTCCAGGAGCCTGTCGCCCTGTGCGAGAGCGACGACGGCACCATCGACCATGCCCACGCCGTGAGGCGCTGGCAGGACCTGTGCAACGACGCCGCCACCGTGTTTGCCAAGGAGATCCGCGTCGCGCACACGCTCAAGCAGCGCATGCTGGACGCGGGGTTCGTGGACGTGACGGAGAAGGTCGTCAAGGTAGCTTCCCTTTCTAAACCGTTCACTCCAAGCCGCCCTGCTGACACGCCACCCTGCTGACATGTCGCCCTGCTGAAATGTCGCCCTGCTGAAATGTCGCCCTGCTGAAATGTCGCCCTGCCGAAATGTCGCCCTGCTGAAATGTCGCCCTGCTGACACGCCGCCCAGGTCCCCATCGGTCCCTGGCCCCGCGACCCCCGCATGAAGGAGATTGGCCGCTACCAGCGCGAGCACATGGCCATGGGCATCGAGCCGTACACGCTCGGCTTCATTGGCAAGATCCTCGGCTGGAGCGAGGACGAGTGCCGCGTGCTGATCGCCCAGGTCACAAACGACGTGCGCCGCAAGGACCTGCACATGTACATCAAGTTCTACTTTGTCCACGGCCGCAGGGCGCCCAGCGCGCAGCACTAGGACACACCTCGCAGTACTCGGTGCGCCCAGACACGACCGTCGGAAAACAGGAGGCAACGCCGGTACCGCCCCACGACACGACACACAATCTCCACCTCAGCCCAGGCTGCCAATCGAGCCTGCCCTTTGTCCTGTCAACGCATCGGTCGGCTTGAACCCCATGAGGAAGTACAGCTGCGCCTCGCGGTCTGAGCAAGGGAGCTGCTGGTTCTGCACCGTGATGGACGGGCGGCGACCGGACTGGGGCAATGCCTTGTGGCTTGGCTCGGGTGATGTGGGTGATGTGGGTGATGTGGGTGATGTGGGTGATGTGAGTGATGTGAGTGATGTGAGTGATGTGAGTGATGTGAGCGATGTGGGTGATGTGGGTGACGAGGCGGAGGCGCTGCATGAAGTCGACATGTACGGCGACGAGGTGGAGGTGGTGGATGAAGTCGACTTGTACGGCGACATTGTGGACAGGCTTGTGATGAATTGGTGTGTTGTAGACGGCAAAGCTTGTAGGATCGTCAAACCGGGGTCGTAGGTATTGCGTACATGGGATTGCAGTGTAGTCCGCATCCATCAGCGCAGCTGCAGACATGGCAGCCTTATACCGCACCACTGCACCACTGCACCACCGCAGCAACGGGCACCGCCGTAGCAAGACACCACCCCGCGCCATACCTACCCCTCCTGAGCAAACACCCCTGAGGAGCCCAGCGATGACGAAAAAAAAAACCCAACGTCGCGCTGCAGCACAGCTGCGCCGCAGATCGAGTTAGCTTGAGGCATTTTGTTACGTCCCCGGCGAGCCAGAGCACCACTCCGGACCGACGTCCAGATCAGAGGAACACGATCGACCTCGATGGTCCCCAGAACCAGGGAGACGAGGGTTCGGTCTGGCGTGCGAGCACAATTGCATGTGCGCTGTGGCGGTGGATTGCAAACGATCACGCCATGCCCACCCTTCACTACGCACTAACTGCTTACACGAGCCAAAGTACGTTACGCTACGGTTACCGCTTGTAGCATGCCCCGTTACACACGCTGCGGGCCACCAGGTCACATCTCCTCGCGCCATCCTATACGGAGAGCACGTCTTATGCGTAGCAGTAGGGGTCCTGCATGGGGGTTGGCAAAGCATACGCAAAAGACGGTCGACAAAGGGATGAGGGGGGCTTCGAGAAAAACAGATCGATTGCGGGAGGGTATCTAGCTAGCTAAAAAGCAGATGAAGCCAGGGAAACTACATGTACATAGAGCAAATGGAGAGCTACAGTTTGTGACCTTTTGGGGCAGCCGTTAGACAACAAAGTCCACTCCGTAACGCCTTGCTAAGTCTGAATTGGTGTGAGCCCGGGGAAATCGCCATTGACAATGCACATCGCTACACGCTGGTAAAACAGTGAACGCGCACGGTGCCGTCCTCACCACCGCTGACGACTCGCTCGTCGCTGAGTCCGATGCAGGTCACTGGGCCCGTGTGGCCGGCCAGGGTGCGCTCGTGCTTGCCACTACGGGGGTCCCATATCTTAATGGTCTTGTCTTCTGCACCACTGACGACGCGCAGAGAGTCAGCAGCTAATGACCAGATGCCCTCCACGTGGCCGAAGAAGCGGTGGACACATCGGCCCGAAGGAACATGCCACAGGCGAATCGTGCCATCGAGAGAGCCAGTGAGCATGTATGCCGGTGGCTTGGGTCGTGACGGATCGCCGGGAAAAACCGTCTCTTCTTGTATGGCAGAGAGCGGTTGTGCAGCTCCCTCGTTGTCCGACGGCGGCTGCGACGCAGTATCCGAGACATCAGCATTGGCGGCCGCATTGAAATCATCTTGGTCGATTTCAAAGTCGTGTGGCATGGGCAACACCTGCTGCACCTGACCCACGTGGCCCTCGTATGTCTTGATGACCTTGTGAGTATCGAGATCCCACAACTTGACCGTCATGTCGTCAGATGCCGAGAACAGCGTGCGCGACGCGAGGTCAATCTTGACCGAGTTGACCCAGTCTGTGTGTCCTCGTAACGTGACGCGTTGGAAGTTGTTGAAGTCGTGCACCATGATGGTGTGGTCTGACGATCCTGACGCGAGCAGCTTGTCCGCCAAGTGCAGACCAATGACGCCATCGGAGTGGCCGTTCAGTGTTCTGATCAATTTGCCAGTCCTCCAGTTCCATACCTTGATGGTGCGGTCCAGACTCCCAGTGATGAGCTTTGAGTCATCAAACTGCAAGCAGCGAATGCCGGCAGTATGTCCTGTAAGAGTCCGGATTTCCTCTCCAGTATTGATATCCCACACCTTGACGGTGGCATCGTAGGATCCAGTGATGAGGGTCTGGTCATCAAACTGCAGTGACATGATGCCATTGGTGTGTCCTTTCAGGATGTTGACGGAGCAGCGGCCGTACTTCCAGTTGGTGCCAACCTTGAAGCGGTCCTTGTAGACATCCTTCCACGGACGCTTCTTGGGCTGATCAAAGTATGATGCTAACTGATCACGAGCTTCACCGTGTGTGGCTTCGGTACATGAGCGCTTTGCTGTCATCTCCGGCGACAACGAATCCTCTGGAGCGGAGCGCTTGGTGCCTGTGGTGGTCTCGGAGGAGGAGGAGTAATCGGAGTGATCGGAGTGACGATGCACCAGTGTCGTGGGGAAGGCTTCGTTTTCGGGTACTGGAGTGATCTTGGGTGACCACTCGTTGATTCCCCGGCCTGAAGCTCGCAGCTGGATCCTCCTCTTCTCGTGTCGCAGACGTGCTCGATCGAGCAGCGGCAGACCCCAGCCGCACTTGGTGCACTTCCTGTCAATGTGCTGCTCGCACATCTTGTGCCAGACCACGTCGTCGTCGGCGAGCTGTCGCCATTTCCGATTCACTTGGGCTGCTTTGCACAGTGAGGTTGTGTCGAGGTAGGATAGGATCTTGAAGCCCAGCTCGTGGGGCAATGCGCCGATGAAGTCGATCTTGATCAGGTTGCGGACGGACGAGGCGATGAACGACAGCTGGGGGAAGCAGCACTGAGCCAAGATGCCCTGGAGCATCAGATTGCGGTGTCGAGCGGGCGCCGCGGAGAACAGCGACCACACATTGGCGATGCTCTGCTGGTCCGCCTGTGACTCTCTGCCAAGCTCCTGTACAACGTCAGCGGCTGAGATACAGTCGGCGAAAAGCGCACGTACCTCCTGCAACTGCTCCATCGAGGGCTCGTCAGCCTGTCGTCGACACAGGAGATCGGGGCGGTGGCGGTAGCAGAACTTGGTGTCAGTGCTGGCGTCACCGGGGGAGGAATTGGCGCCGCCTGTGGGATTGTATTGGTGCGGGATGTGCTCGGCAAGGTACGGCGTGATCATCTGCTGCATCTTCTTCGACTTGCTGGCTTGCACTTCTTCCGTCTCCTCTGCTTTCTCGCCTAGGAGGTGTCGTGAGCGCTCTGAGGCGTGCTCGTGGTCGTGGCCTTGCATCAGGGCGGCGTGCGGGTCGACAGAAGTACCCATTGCTGCGTCGTCGGGGAACTGGGAACGCCAGGACTTGCCGCGTCGTTTCGGAGAACGAGTGGCAGGTTGCGCACGACTGCGGCCGGTTGTGACAGCGGTCACAGTATGGGTGGTATTTGACGCCATCTTAGTGTGAAGCACCCCAGAGACGCTCTCAGGAGCCTGTTCGATAAGATGTGTCCTGTGCGTCCGCCGGGAGTCGTCTGAGCGCGGGCGCCCGGGGAGCATCAATCATGGGACGCGGTGAGCTTATGCTGCTGTCGAGATACTCGAAGCGGATTGCGTGCTGTGACAACGCCAGGGTCTGGTGCCAAGCAAGAGCCAGCGACGGAAGGGAATGCCGTGCAGACGAACAGCGAGTTGAGCTGAGTTTGGCGGCGGTATGGCAGAAAATAGTATTGTCGAAAAAGAAGCGCAGTCGCTGGCGCAGCGGACGCTTTGCTTTTGATATCAACTCACGAGTACTGACTGCGTGGGGTGCAGGACTTGCAGGGTCATCGCGCTCGGGGGCGATGGGCCGATGGCGCAATCGAGTGGCACCATATGGCAAGCGCCGACTGCGCACGCAATCTGCAGAAATCGCCGTGCTGGGGTTCAGACTTTTGCGCATAGACTGAATCGCGCGTCTGCATTTGTTGTTTGTCGTTCTGCACCAGCGGACGCCTCTCTGCTGCGTGCCCGGGCTCTTGGCTCGTGGAAGGCCTCGTGGAAGAGGCGATAAGGGTCTATCTACGCCGCTAGCGGCAACCCCGACTACTGTGAATGTTGGGGTAAGAGCGGAGCGGAGCTTATGTCGCAGGACGACCACAGGGCTGGGTCTCCGTTGTTCTCAAAGTCATCAAGTCACCAAGCCATCAAGTCATTGAATCGTGCATCTCGGGACGATGGTTGGTGTTGACTCGTAGCTCCAAGCTGATCCTTGTCCTGTGCTCTACGGCAACTGCCTTGACTTGCATCTATCATGGCCTCACCACGGTCGCCTGCAGCTTCAGCCAGCAGCGCCGGCTCGAGGCATTCATTTGAGCAGGACCGCAACCGCTCGCAGACGCTCGAGGGTCTTGTGAGCCACTTTGTTGCTGCAAAGCGGTCCCTCAACTCGCAAACAGTGCTCTGGCGCGCCAACGAAATTGTGACGACAGCACGCGAGCTGCTCGAGGAGAACGCGATCCTTGCCGCTAAGAATGCGTCGATTCGAAACATTGTGGATCAGCAGGTAGACACACTAGAGGCTGTTCGCCGTGGTGTAGACGTAGTAGAGGCTGAGGTCCAGGCCGAGTTCAAGGTAACCTCGACGGCCATGCTCACATTGACTTGCTGACAGGCCGAAGCAACTGCTGCACGACGTCGACACGTCCTTCGCAGGCCTCAACTCGACGCTCGCTGTGCTGCGCGAGACTCCCATCGAGGCAGCTCTCCAGCCACCAGGCACTTCGCAGAAGCACCTCTACGACTTCATCGACAGCACTACCGTCTCCAACCTCGAAGGCACCTTGCGCGACTGCATAGACCGCTACAACGAGGCTTCAGCCACGCTTGGCGAGAGCAACGATGCGTTCGACACTTCGCTCGACAATCTACACTCCTCGATCGAGAACGTACCCTTGGCACCTGCGACCACCTCGAATCCGAGCCCCATACCGAGCCTATACCGCCATCTCGAAGGGCACGCGAAAGAGGCAGCACAGGCGTTCCAGGGCCTGGTGCAACACTATGATCTGTGTGTCACGGCCCTGCGGCATACAGAAGGAGGCTCAGCAGCTGCGACCCAGGCTACGGGCGATGCACCCTCGCAATCTGGGGATGAGTTTGCTGCGCCTCCAGAGCCCATCAGCGAGGAAGAGCGACAGGAAATGTTGAATGTGCTGCAGAAGGATGCACATGAAGTCGAGGAGGTTGTGGCGGAGATACGAGAGAGAGGCTCGGAAATGACCTTCCTGTTGATCCAGATCGAGAACCATATCAACCACCTCCGCAACGAAGCTTCGGCACTTTCAAGCATCCTGCAGATGATCACACAGATCACAGCTGAGGTGAAGTCTCACATCCAGACTTCGCGCACATTTCATGGGTCATGGCTGGATGACACAAGGCCTACACTCCTCAATGGCATCGAGGAGTGGGAACAACAGCGACAGTTCTACGAACGTTTCGATCTCGCCTACGCTGAGCTGCTGGTCGAGGTTTCCTCGCGCAGGAGACGGCACGAGAAGGCGAAACGCAAAGCTGAAGAAGCTCAAAAGGAGCTGGATAGGCTTTTCACCGAGGACGAGCGGGCAAGAAAACAGTTTGCGCTCGCCCAAGGCAACTATTTGCCCCTCGACATCTGGCCGGGACTCAGAGATGCACCAAGACAGTACGAGGTCAGAGCTGTCGCTGCAGATATACAGGACGAGGAGGATCCACCAGAAAGAATAGCCGCAAAAGGTCACATTGCCCAGAGCATACCTCAACTCGGGAGGAACGTTGTCGAACGCGCGTTGACGCGAGTGAAGAGGCGGATGTAGATGCGTCGAGTGGATCGGAAATGCTCATAAGCGCAAGCGCGAAGGTTGAGTCAGCTTGCAGTGTGTGCGATGCGTCCGGATCTTCACGCTCTGAGCCTCCGATCCACGCCCAACGCCACGTCAGCAAAAACGTTCTTTTGCATCTGCAAAGCAAAAAGAGTCGGTGTTGTTTTGCAGTCGCGCGAGTCGTCACTGTCTTGCGAAGTCCTCGGAAGCCGGCCAAGCCGCCACCATCTCGCACGATACTTTGCGACTAATCCCCATACAGCTACGATAAGGTCCGACTTCACGTTCACAACCGGAAATCAAATGGCGATCAGCATCTGCTACACTAAAATAACACTTCAGCCTCAGCCTAGGCCGAGGATATCTCTCAACGATCAGCTTCAGCTTTCTTCCAGCCAGCCACAATAAGGTCCAATTCCTGATCCGCATTCTCGATGGTGCACGAATATCCGGTGTATTACAGACTGCATGTCCCCATCCTCTGGCCATCCTGTACCATCACGGCATTTGCACTGATGGACATGTTGAGATTGTTATGAGTCCTAGCCTAACGGCTGGCGATAAGCCCCACCTGCACGCGACGAGCGTGGGTAGAAATCACCGCTGCCACGGCAAGTTTGAACTTTTAAGCTCGGATACGAGGCCAACGACGGCTATTCCGGTTCGAAATGACGCCGCGTCAGCAATGCCCAAGCATCATATCCCAGCACAGTGTTTGTAGAAGAATAGAGCGTGCACATCCTCAGCTTCCTAGAAGTCCCCCGCACATCTTCAAACAACGAGCAGCCATACTCAAATACCCCGGACAAATATGAGCTTGTGATATCTTGTTTCACCCACCGTACACGCCTTGCATTTAGTGTTCTTTATTCTTCTGTCTAATATCACATCCAGTCTCTCTTTGAATTTCATGATGCTGGCTACTCAGCGGTACTACTCCCTGGCACTTGCTGTCTTTCTTGTCACTGTATCTTTTTCGTTTTTCCTCTTCCACAGAGAGTCAGTAATATACAATGAGCTGGTCCGGTCGCCATACAGGTACGGATACTGAATATTAATGAAGCATAGCGTCTGATCAGTCAACAGGCATGACACAACCGCCGCTATCGAGCCCACTATAATCAAGCCCACTATACGCGATGCTATCGTCACACTCTTCGATTCCATACGGATCGACCCTGCCGATCCTGGATACCGAGACTCGACCGGAAAATACTTCGCAGGCGGAAGCAAGACAACATGGACCGAACCCTTGAAGAAGAAGGTCCTTGTTCTAGACATCGACACTCGTGTCCCAATCGGCTCGAACGAAATCCTCAACCCTGGTACGCTCGACTGGGACTCTCTCGATATGAGTGGCGGCCAGCTGGTCTCCAACGCCGTCATGAACCACTATCTGTACGCTCAGATCCACGGCTACGACTACAAGCTCTACTCGGCCCAGTCCATCCCCGACCACTACAACACCTGGATCATGCCTCACGTATTTCACGAGCTGGTCCCGGACTACGACTTTGTTGTCGCCATGGACGCCGACGTCACAGTCTCGCATCTCGAGGTCCCTCTCGAATGGATGTTCAACCGCTGGGGCGTAACACGCAAAACCTCCATGGCGTTGCCCTGGGACACGGAAGAATTCCACGACAACAAATCCATCAGCACCGACAGCTACGACCTGCGCGTCCTCAACACCGGCTTCGTCGTTGCGCAGAATCTGCCGCTGACAATGTCCATACTCGCCGCGTGGAAAGACTGCACGACCGAGACACGGTATCCCGGGTGTGGAAAGTGGAAACAGAGGTGGAGCCACGAGCAGCGCGCGTTCAGCGAGTACATACGACACGACCCGGAGTTCAACGTCTCGGCTGAGGCTATCGTGGGTATCAGCTGTGACGACGCGGTCGGCTGGCCGGGGTTCAAGGAAGACGTGCATCGCGATTATCCGATTACAGAGTGCAACGGGAATTTCTTCAGACATCATACGCTGGAGAAGAGCAAGACGAAGGAGAGCAGTGCGGGGAGTGTTATGCAGGCGCTGAGCCGGATTCTGCAGGTAGCCGTGCAGCAGAATCTGAGGGAAGTGTGGTATCAGGAGCCAGAACAGAAGGAGCCGGAGAAGGAGGTGGGAAATGTGGAGAATGTCGAAGATGAAGAGGAGGGGCAAGACGACGAAGCCGTGATGTTGAAAGGGCTATTGACGGACGAAATACCGAAGCCACAGGAAGTAAGAAACGATGCGGTCGACTTCATAACGATACTAGAGGAAGGTATCTACTAGCCAGGTGCATACACAGAGCTCACAGCGTCAGGTTTGAAAGGCAAGGGAGATACCATTGGAGCTCGTTTGCGCATTGCATTTATATGGCAGAGAAGCTGTCCATAACAGTAACGTGTTCTATCAGTAAGCTGCGCATATCAGTATCCTGCGCACCCCACCAAAACGCGCTCAAC